CGGACGAACCCTTCAAGCTTCAATTAATAAACATCTGTATAAGAAATGGCTGTTAACTCCGCAGTCTGTGCGGGAGTTCGAGTTCGGATCGACAAAAAGCTGGTGGTTGCCAAGAGGACTTTATGTCTGTCAGGGTATGCGATGCACACTGCGGACTTCAACGCCCCTGTCATCCAAAGGTCTGACATTTCACCAGTCGTGAGAGTTTGCTGTGTGGTGAGAAGTAGACAGCAAAGTCAAGATTGAAGATGCAAGTAGTGTGGAAAGCTGAAGAGAGGAAACAAGCTATTGTTTGGGCTAGCGGTGCCAACAACTCTAGAGCATGACTATGCGGATAAAGCCACTAGTCAGGGGCCGAAGGGAGGAGCTGATAGATCCCGTTTCCAAGTTCCACGAGTCGGATTAGGCTCTTTAGAATGTCCCGGTCGACTCAATCCAAAGATGAGGCATTGGCGTAGCAAGGCGAGGTTCCGCAAGGGCCAGATGTAAAAACGCCGAGGGACGGCGGCCATGGCTGTCTCATATTCCAACGCTAGATGCATTGTGGAAGCAAAGCTGAACCATGAGAGCTCTGCTGCCATGATCTTCAATCTTCGGTGATGAACGCCAGGAAGCAGCAAGGAAGCACTGGCAAGCATTGTTCCCCCAACAGGAAAGTCATGATCGTCAACCCGCAGGCCAAGAAAGCCAACATTGGCCTAGAACATCAGGGAACAGAACACAACTTGAGGTACAGAGGTTTTGAACTGCGACATCTCAAGCCCTCAATCTGAACCAGCAAGGATGGCGCTGACCATTTTGACGCCGCCAATTGCCCTTCCCAAACCACTGGAAGGCGGCTGTTCGTCAATCTGCTCTGCAGGCGAATACAGTAAATTGCCCATGACCTCAACTAACCCAAGTCGGCACCGAAGAAATTCGAATATTGGAGGCGGTTGATGTAGAGCTAGACAAGCTCAGAGAAACCGATGAGGGGCGAGGGCAGAATGGTGAGAAACCTCGTGGGATTCGCTTGGATGAATCTCTCCGGGTCACGAGAACAAAGTCAAAAATGACAATATGAATACGAAGGCCGCACTGATTGTCTTACTTGTGTTGGCCGCCGACACTGGATCTTTTCGACATTGAGTGCGCACCTTACTCTTGGGACCACTTTGTGTAATTCGGCCAATACTACCACCTATTCCAGAAAGGACACTCAAGACCTTGCGAGTGTTGAGAAGGGGGTTTGGATACGAGGTCATGAGGTGGTATCGATATGCATTGAATGCATACATGCCGATGCAAAGCTTGTCAGCTCCTGCACATCAGACAGAAAGGCCGGCTTGGCATTGGTTGGCTTGGCCGCCACATCAGACTGCAACCCCAGGAACAGGCACGAGCATATGCTGGAGGTTTTGTCGAGAGAAGGCTTCCACGCCATCTCGAAAGGCATGAGATGTTGGTCTTGTTGACGAAAGATTAAAAGGTAAGGCAACACAGAGAATGGCTTGCGGCTTGTGGCTTGCCGGGGCTGTCAAAGCTGGCCGTGGCCTCGCCCAGAGCTGCTGGTTGGGCTGACGCTATTGAACCGATCCAAGTAGCTAGTCGACTCAAATAGAGTTCATCAGCGTTCTAGACACTTCCCGGCAACTGAGTTTTTCGCGAGTGGCGGACGAGTAACCGCGGGGACGGTTCAGTCGAGATTTTCGTCGAGCTCTAATTGTTTCATGGCTTAATCGCTGTCGGCCGGCTGTTTCGTAGCTCGTCGCAGGAACAGCCATTCCAATGAAATACCCATCTGATAATGTCAGCACAGGAAAGCATGTCGCGTGGGGACAGTTGATCGATGACTGCTTCCCGCAATGTTGAGCTCATGGTCACCCGCATTTTTGGCCGAGGATGAGAACAGCGTCGACCAAGTGCCAAGTTCTCGACCGATAAGGTTGTCTCGGCAAGAACCATTCTAATGCAGGCCATCTGGTGGTGGCCAGCATTCGCCAATAATGACCTCTGCACGTCTTCGGCTACCCTAAAGTATAGTCGACTCGACGACAGCAAATGATGGCGGAAATTGTTCGGATAGCATAGCTCCGACCGAGTGCGTGTTGATCAGACACGAACCTGGCAACATCTTGCGTCTTTTAGCGCCAAAGTGGAGAAACTCTGCGAGGATTGGCTAGGTCGAATGAAGAACTGCATCTCCAGCCGTAGCTGAGAGCAGGGAGTTCCGCCCTGGGCGGGGAGCAGCGCACTCCAGATGCTAGTTAGGAGGGCGGGAAGCGCCTTGTCGTTTGCTCGATCGAAAACAGAAAAGAAACTTGCTTCGATGCGTTGCACGAACTGTAGGCCGTTACACCGTCCCGATGCTGGTTTCCAAGGCTGACCAGGATGGTGTGATGCGATACCGAGAGGGCTGAATATCGGCAAAGGATTAGGTTTAGCCGACCTCACTCGATTGCGCCTCACGTTGCTGGCGACGGGCGAGGTTCGTTACCATGTTGTCGGTAACGTGGTCCAGTTCGAGTTTATTCTTGTGTTTGTGGACGGCGTGGCTACCGGAGGATTTGGAGAATGGGACGGATATACACTAGACGTTTCTGTGTCAGGCCTCGAGATGTACTCCCATGAGTCCCGGTCCACCGTCCCATCCCTCTCCCGGAGCGGAAGGGGTGATCAGGCGGGAGCTGCTTCACGCATCAGATGAACGTGGAAATTTTGATCCAATATGAGCCAATGTTCAACGGCAGGAAGGCGGCACAGGCTTACGGCCTCTAGACTGGAAGCAGCAACTCACTCTCGCGGCTTCCTTCATCCACCCGACCCCCTTTTCTTCCCCCGCCCAGGGGCGCACTCGATCTCACGTTAGGTACCCACTTAACCTAATCTGGATTAAGGTAGCCAGGGTTCCAGAGGACCTTAAGGTACGTAGTAAGGTGCCTATCGTAGGTGCAGCTGCTGATACGTACCTTTCAAGAGTGGAGCTACAGGGATATTCCAGTCTCTTCCTCCGCACCATGGGTCAGGGGACCTGGTTGCCGCCTGTCGGGATGCCAGTCACAGGAAAAGTCGAGCTCTCTTGACTCGTCCAATCTACAGAGACTAACTAACATCTCGTATCGTCCGATGGCAGAAACTCACAAAGGGCACTAGCCATTGCCTAACTCGCGTCGCAATGGCTTAACGGGTCTCGGTTATTTAGACATATGCTGGGGGCTTCTTCCCCTCTGTCTCTACCTTGGCAAAGAAGTCAGTTGCTGGGCTTCAGGTGATGAGACAAACGCAACTGAGCGAATCAATTGAGAAGTTCCGCTCTTTCTTTTGGATTTCTTGGCAGCAAGTCAAGTTCACAAGCATCCAGTACAACGGCGGCAATTATTGCCTTTGTCCTCACAGCCCACAATGACATTGATGTCTGGTCAACCATTACAGAGCTCCACTGACACCAACGTTGAACGCCTCGGGCCCCCAACCTCGATAAATCCTTTGTTGAAACGGATGCTGCTCTGTATCGTGTTCTAATTGTGGATTTGGCTGGTAGACCACAACTTCGCAGTCAGGTAGCCCGAGCTGTAGATTGTCCATCGCATACAGGATTCCCGGCAACGCCAAAGAGGCGGGATTTTGGCCGACTACTTTCTCAGAGTTTTCTTCACCGAGCATCTCGCCTCGAGGCAACGGGTACAACAAGCAAAAACATGATCACATCCAACATCCTGGATGAGGAACAACATCCTCGGGGTTTGGTGCCCGCCGGTGGAACCGAAGTCCCTCGATCGTACTTTGACCACGAAACAGTGCGAAACAAAACTTGAGTCTACAACGGTGACTCCTTCCTCGTATCTCACTCCCGTCGCTGCTTGGGTGCACTGGCTACCTAAGAATTGCAATAGCAGCAGACCCCTGCTCCTTGCTCCTTGCCAGTGAGAACGACTTACCGCAAGGAGGAATAGGGAAGTGTTGACTGGGGTGGCCCCTGCATTATCAGACCCCACCTCACACTAAGGTACGAACCCCCTCTGGCGCTAGACCCTGATCTCAAAGCGCATCTTGGAGAAAACACAACACACGACTCCCGTCACTTTTCAGTCGAACGGATTGCAACAAAATCAGCGTACACACCCTTCCTTCTAGTCTCTTCGGCCCACCTCCCTCCGTCTGATGCTTAATCTCCACATATTCAAGTCTGTCATTTCATCTCCAATCTTTTCCCCTTCTTACTTGCGTATCCACACCCTCAAGGCGCTTCGCTTGATTTGGATGGGTGGAAGAGACGGACAATATCGTCTGTCTGCCACAGACACGGCTATGGGGATGGCGAGAGCAGCACCACCAGAACGACCCAGGGCGGCTAACGGTGGCTTGCCTAGGCGCAATGAGTCCAGAGGTTATTCACGGTTAGCGCCCAGACTCTTTCATTGTTTTTCGCCTCGTGTGTATCGTCTTCAGCCCTTATGCTCAGTTCACTCCCTAACAGTGTCCCAGTCCTCTCTTCCATCCCCTATGAGTTACCTCGGTCTTGTCACCTTATCATACCTAGGTAGCATGGCAACGAAAAGTCAGCTCCCGGCCCACCACGTAGGCCAATCCCACACTAAATGTTGGAAGTCCACAGCTCACGCCCATCTACGATGTAGCTTACCCGCCTAGCCTCACTGGTACCTTTTTGTGCTAGTTCCCCATCCGAGCGTGGTAAGCCCCTAGTCCCCTTCTTGGATTGTGTTCCGTTGCAACTTTCCAGGAACCCCTGGTCCACGAGGGGACCATCACCTCTCCCAAGGTGGGAGAAGTCGCCGGGAGCCTAATCTGGTCTATCGCGTACCCGTTTTCCTAGGGCTCCTTCGTGTTGGGCCGCTCGCTGCCACATTGAGGTTGCCCATGCTGTGGATCGAAATCTTATATACCCTCATGATTCCCAGCCCCATAACGATATGTTTCCTCTTCACCCTTGAACCCTTCTCTACACTCTTTAGTATATACGTCTTGTGTTGGTTTCTGCCTCTTGGCACACACTTGTCACCATGAGGGCCGCACAGTTGTCTTTCGCTATTCTTTCTGCTTCTTCTCTTGCCAATGCCCTCGCTTATCCGCCTGGCATTCACAAGCGCGCGGCACCTCCCGCAACTCTCGCTAATGGTTACACCTACCAGGGCTGCTACGTGTATGATCCTTCCATGGATGAAGGCTTCCGAGGAAGAGTCAAGCGCTGACCAAATAATAGCGATGTTGGCCGAACAATCTCTGATGCCGCCACGGCAAACGGACAGATGAGCAACGATGCTTGCACAACGTTCTGCTATAACAAGGGTTTCACCTACGCTGGTACCGAGTACTACAACGAATGCTACTGCGGCAACGCCTTGGCCAAGAACGGCGTGCCTGCCAACGAGGCCGATTGCTCTACGCCATGCAGCGGAAACGCCACTCAGCCTTGCGGAGGCCCCAACCGACTTTCGTTATATCACACATCCCTCATCCTCGGCCCCTCTGTTAATCCCGGTGTCGGTGACTGGAGCAGCATTGGATGCTATGCGTGAGTTGTTGAATGTTGCGACGATTTCTAAACTTTGCAGCTGACAAGATCCACAGTGAGGGAACCACCGGCCGCGCTCTCACTTACGGAATCGGAAGCATCCCTGGTGGTGAGATGACCGTTGCCAAATGCACTGCTGCTTGTGCCAGTGCCAACTTCATTCTTGCTGGCGTCGAATACTCTGGCGAATGCTGTAAGTTATTTTCACGCAAGTAATTCTTCAACGAAAACCATTGACACTTTCTTTTAGACTGTGGCAGTACCATCTCCAACGGTGGTGGCCCTGCCGTCGATGGCTGCACCATGCTTTGCAACGGCAACTCTTCCGAGTACTGTGGTGGTCCGAACCGCTTGAACGTATACGACTTCCAGCATCAGTTTAAGCCTCTCCCTAGCTCAACATCAACCCCGGCACCCACGAGCACTCCGGTATCTAGCTCAAGCAGCTCTGTTGTCTCTTCCAGTAGTGCCGTATCGTCCTCGAGCAGTATCGTATTGTCCTCCAGCAGTATCGTATCGTCCTCCAGCAGCTTCGTTGTCTCTTCTAGCACGGTTGTCTCCTCCAGCTCGGTCGTCTCTTCCAGCAGCTCGGCAACCCCCACGCCGACTGGTCCCAGTCAACCAGCGACTGTTGGTGTTTGGAAGTGGTATGGTTGCCAGACTGAAGCCACAAACGCTCGTGCTCTTAGTGCAAAGACAACTGCTTCTGACGACATGACTCTGGAGAAGTGCGCCGCTTTCTGTGATGGCAATACGTTCTTCGGTCTCGAATACTCTCGCGAGTGCTGGTGCGGCAACTCTTTCGCCGCCGGCTCTGTCCCAGCCCCGTCTAGCCAATGCTCTATGAAGTGTATGGGCAACCAGTTCGAATACTGCGGAGAGGGCAACCGTCTTTCTGTCTACACCATTGGCAGTGCCTCCCAGTCGTCGTCCTCATCTTCGTCATCTTCATCTTCATCCGTCGCTGGCTCAGTGACTGGTGCCGCCTCAACTACAACCTTCACTGCAGCTCCCTCTGCCACTGGGTACCCCACTGGCTGGACAAATCAGGGATGCTGGGTAGACAACCTGAATGGCCGCATCCTGCCTAACCAGCTTCAAGACGACCCGGCCATGACACTTGCTTCCTGTGCCAAAGCCTGCTCTAGTGCCGGTTACACTGTCGCCGGTGCAGAATACCACACACAGTGCTTCTGTGGTAACGCCATCTATAACGGCGGTGCTGTCGCATCTGATCCGACAACTTGCAACACTCCCTGTGGAGGAAAGTCCTCCGAGATGTGTGGTGGCGGTAACCGTATGACCATTATCTCCAAGGGCACTCCTCAGACGTACGCCCCTCCCGTGGCCCAAAAAAGCGGTTTCAACGGAAGCTGGACCTACCAGGGCTGTGTTCAGGACAACGTCGGAGCTCAACCCAACCCGCGCACCTTCTACTGGCAGAACATCTTCGCTGGCACCATGACCGCCGGTATGTGCTTGGACAGGTGTGCCCAGTTTGGATACATGGCAGCCGGACTTGAGTACGGTGAAGAATGCTACTGTGGCGATCCTGCCAACATTGTTACCCAGAAGGCCCTCTTCGTGGACGAATCCGAGTGCAATATTGTTTGCCCTGGTAACCTCAGCTCCATCTGTGGTGGTGGCGCTCGTCTCTCTACGTACTTCTGGACTGGCACCACGCCTCTCTACTCATGGAACTTCGGTGCCGATGCTACCACTGCTGGTGCCTACGAATACCTCATTGGCGGCGTGAGCATCCCCCTGATGACGATGGAGACTATCACTGGCAAGGTGACCTTCCTCGAGAAGTTCGGCACTGGCCCCCCTAATTCCACCGGCGCTTACGAGCTCGACCTTTCTCTCGTCCCGGATATCTCCAAGTCTTGGAGAGAGATGCACGTCAAGACCGACATCTTCTGCTCTGCCGGTATCACCCTTCCTGACAAGGCCGGCCGCCAGCTCAACATTGGCGGATGGTCTGGCGATTCTACCTACGGTGTCCGTCTGTACTGGCCCGATGGTCAGCCAGGAACGCCTGGCACCAACGATTGGCAGGAGGACGTCACGAATCTTCGCCTGCAGGACGGCCGTTGGTATCCCTCTGCCATGATCATGGCCAACGGTTCCATCTTCGTCATTGGCGGTGAGGAGGGATCCAATGGCCGCGCTGTGCCTACCATTGAGGTTCTGCCCAACACTGGTACTCAGCCCCTGTACATGGACTGGCTTGCGCGGACCGACCCCAACAACCTGTACCCTTTCGTTGCCGTTCTCCCCAGCAAGGACATCTTCGTCGCGTACTGGAACGAGGCTAGAATCCTTGACCACGTCACCTTCAACACCAAGACTGTTCTCCCCAACATTCCTGGTGCTGTTAACAACCCCTTGGGTGGCCGCACTTACCCTCTTGAGGGGACTGGTGTTCTTCTTCCTCAGTATGCACCTTACACGGATCCGCTTGGAGTCCTCATCTGCGGTGGTTCTACTGATGGTCCCGCCACTGCCCTGGACAACTGCGTGTCCATTGAGCCTGAGGGTACCAATCCCCAGTGGGTGATCGAGCGTATGCCTTCGCGTCGTGTCATCTCGTGCATGGCCCCCCTTCCCGATGGAACTTATCTCATCAACAACGGTGCTCAGCACGGTGTTGCTGGATTTGGTCTCGCCAACGACCCCAACCTCAATGCCCTTCTGTACGATCCCACGAAGAAGATTGGCCAGCGTATCACAGTGATGGCCAACACCACCATCGCTCGTCTCTACCACTCCGAGTCCATCACCCTTCTCGACGGTCGCGTTCTTGTCAGTGGTTCCGACCCTGAAGATGGCGTTAACCCCCAGGAGTACCGTGTTGAGGTCTTCAAGCCTCCCTATCTCACCTCCGGCAAGACTCGCCCTACGTTCAACCTCACCAACACGGACTGGACCCACGGCCAGAGTGTCACATTCAGCCTCGGCCACGCCCCTGTCAATGGCGCCATCAAAGTCTCCCTTCTCGGTGCGGTGACATCAACGCACGGTAACTCGATGGGTGCTCGTACTATTTTCCCCGCCGTCTCCTGCGGGCCTATCAGCTGCACCGTCACCGCGCCCCCCAGCGCCGGTGTTGCACCCCCGGGTTGGTATCAATTCTTCGTCCTCGACGGTGGCATTCCTGCTGTCGGTGTCTACGTCCGTATCGGTGGTGACCCCGCCGGTTTGGGCAATTGGCCACAAGTCGCCGGCTTCAAGACACCCGGTGTCTAAAGCCTCATCTTTACAATTTCAATGTGTCACTTGTATTACCCAAACTTGAGCTCTGTTTCCCAAGAGCTCTTTTCAATTACCAGATTTACCCTTGATATCCCACTTTCTCTTCTTCTCGAGCATTTTCTTTCTTTTAGACAGACCTAGGGATCCAAAACACATGTTCGACACATACGAACACACACATTCACTATGGCGAATATGATTTGGGAGTTTTTTTTCTTCGAAGGGAATACAGATACTCATGATGCACGTCCATCAAGGATCTGGGTAAATCTCCTACAATGACGAGGCCACACTGGGCATTTCTTCAGGCTAGATTTAGTATATAATTATAATGGTTTTAAACTTTAAAGTATCCTTGAACCGTTTCGTGTACTGTTCTCATGAACTTTTTTCTTCATTTACAATATGGACAAGTGTACTATGCATGCCAACCACTATCACTTTTCCTAGATGAGCCTGGACCGCAACTCAAAGCTGGCGCCAGATTAGTGGTGTCCATCCGAGATGCAATCCTCACTTACTCTTACTGCCTTGATTCGTGTCAGCGTAAGTGGTAGTCTCTAGGAAAACGAAGCGCTCTTTGGAGCCTGAGTACTGTAGACTGATACAATCAACTCACCGCCACTCTCCGCATTGAGAAGAGTAGGTACGTAGGCAAGTAACCCCCAAGTATTGTCTTTTCCCATCCTTTAGAGCAAGGTCCAAGCAATATGCTACCGACTAATACCTCTCGGGCTCCAACTCTTTTTTGTCTTGCAGATCTCTGATTTGGGGGTCTGGGGGAAAGGTTCCCATTGCATGATTTTGATAATTGTGGACTGGAAAATAGGCGCGCGCCGCTTCCCCGATTCCCCTGCAATCTGAGGTTGCAGCGGTGAATGAACAGGGAAACCATGATTCCAAAGGAGATCGACGTAGTACATGTTGCAGTAGTGGACTGTACATACATGTTCGTACAGATGGTCCCCTCCCCCTTCTATCCTCCAACGTGAGACAATGTGGATTTTTCTTCCGAAGTGGGTTTGGGTACGTTGGTAAGTTACCTTTCACCCTGTGTAGCTTCGCAAGGTACTTTGTCAAAAAACATAGAAGATTCCATATGCATTGCATGTACGGAGTACATGTACGTATATATATATGCGAATCAGGGGGGGGGACGATCCCCACCTCCTCCTCAGCTGAGGGCAGCCGTAGGAGTAGCCCACCCAATCACGGCGGAGCTTGGCGACGTTGCTCCGGATCGACGGCCGTTGTTAGTCAACTTTGACAGGTTCACTTCCCTTCGTGCCTGACATCTGAAAGAGTTTTCGTCTTGTTCAGGGGGGGGGAAGCGCTGGCCAAGGATTCTTCCGTGTCGTGTATTTTGGCTGGGGGGATTCGGATTACCTGATGGATGGTGCTTTAACTCTATGAACGTAGCCAAAAGAAAGAGGGGGGAGAAAAGCACTCTCTCGAGAATTAATGTCTGGGTATCCGTATACTGGTCCAACGACGAGCACCGACTTCACAGTGGGGGTAACACTCTTGTGCTCTCTTGATTCACGAGTCAACTCTCTCGATTCGTATGCATCTTTGGGACCATCATGCCTGGGGACCATCTTTCTGTACACGTTATCTTTCTCTCATCCATGCCTTCAGTCTAGAGATGCATATGCGGGCCAAAGCCCTCCTTCCTCTGTAAGTCGTAAACCGTCGTAAATTCGTTAGTCGCCTTAGCCAGTAGACGACGCCCACTACGCCGGTGTGCAATCCAACGCAGTCTGTCTCACCAGCCAGCGCTTCCACGCAACCTTGTACCCTTTTCCATTCCTGCAATCAGAAAGGGGGTTGTGCGTGGACACGGGGGCTTTGCCTCTAAGGATTCCCTCTTGGCAGACATCCCTCAAGCAGTAATCTGCTGCGCATTATACACCATACCTGCCGGCCCAGCCGCCCCCTCATCGACATCCATCTCCCACTCGAGCTCAGGAACGCCAACCTGCTCCATAACCCTCGCAACGACGCTCTCAAAGGCATCCCGCTCGATAATGGCGCCAAAGTGAATGCAGTCCACAACGCCGCAAAACTCCCTCTTGAGCGCTTCAATAACGCTGTCCCGCATCAGCGCCGCCGCGCCGTACCGCGCCGCGAGCTCGAACCACGCCTGTACGGGCGTCAGCTCGATGTCGCCCGGGTTCAGCGTCTTTGCCAAGGCCAGGAGGGATTTGAGAGAGAGGGCGGAGCCGGCACCCGTGTCGGCCTGCCAGGTGTGCGAGACGGTCTCGGCCTCGCCGCGGCGAATGGTGCGGTAGACGCGTGCGGGGGCGCTGGACATGCACATTGTCGAGGCCATCATTGTGTGGCCCGAGGCGGCCTTGCAGGCGTCGCCGTGGGAGGGGAATTGGCGGGGGTGGAAGTGATTCCAGCAGATGTGTTCCATTCTGTGGGTACGGACCAGTTAGGAATTTTGTCTTTCGAAAGTGACAAGGAAACCGAACAGGAAGGGGGGGGGGGGAGGGGGTTTCTTCCAACTTACGCGAGAATGAGGTTGATGGCAATGATCTCCTGTTCCGCAGATAACTGATCTGGTGCTGGTGGTTGAGACTGGGTATATGCAATGGCGGCCGACGGCGACGAGATTTGGAAGCACGGCGTGCCGAGGGCGTCGTCCTTGCGCATCGTGACCGTGACCTCGCCCATGTTGACGTCTGCGAAAAGGTCGACCGGCGGGTACGGATCGTAGTCCAGAGTCTGAGGTTGGTACAACATCTGAGGATCCGGGGGAGCTGCCGAGAATTGTGCTTGCTGCTCCGATTGTTGGGAATGTTGTGGTTGTGCCGTAACAGGGGGAAGACCCTGTTGCTGCTGCACCACCGCCGGCGCCATCGACACCTCTTGCCTCTCTGCCACTGCCTCGGGCTCCAGAGACGCGCGGATCTGCAACTCGTCGACGATGACAACGTCCTTGACCTTTGTCTCCTCGGGAACTTGTAGTCCACGCGCGGTCAGGGCGACTCTCATGCCCCCGTTCTCGCGACGGAAGGCAAGGACCTCCTTCTCAGCGGCGGCGATCATGTTCCTAAACTTGCAGACGTCGAGCTCGAGCTGCTTGATGTAGTTTGCCTTGCGCGTGCGGTGCTGGATCTGGGCCTTGCGGACCTGCTGACGGCGGAGCTTGGCCTTCTCTTTGGCCTTTTCCGCGGGCGTGAGGCCGGGCGTTGTTGACTCTGCTGGAGGTTTGGGGATCAGCTTCTTTGGTCTGGAGATCTGCGGGCTCTCTCAAGGGACGATGTCCACGTGGCAGGAGGAGGGACGGGAGTGGAAGGAGAGATATTAGAATGGGAGCCAACGCGGAAGCTTGAAAGTAGACATGGGGAATCTGGAGATTATAGGTTGGCACGGGATTTTGTATATGGAGAAGTGCCGGTGTAAGTGAATGAGGATGAATAACGTAGTCTCCAAATAGATGTGGATAATTCCAGTAGCCAAGCCTGGTCTAGACGTGATCCGCGGGGTCCATGACCAGCGGAGTACCGCATCGGGCAACCGTCGAGCCGGGAGACGTTGGAATCAGTCGGAGGGATGCAGTGGCACTCTCATTCCGGCATTGTTGGTGCATCTCCAAACCAAACAAACGTGGTCGTTGGGTAGTAGTAGCAGGTGGTAGGCAGGCAGGTAGCGGCGGTGGTCGGTTCGCGAATCCCACGTATGGAATCCACCACACCAACTCGGACCTTAGCGGCGGGAAGGCCTACGCCACAGGAGGGTTCGGTTGTGATGTGGGTGACATGATGATGAGGAATCATGAGGAATCCGGCATGGGGTTGACAAAGCATAACTCCAGTCACAAACCCTCCCCCGTCCCGAATGCCGGCTTTTGCCCCCGACTATTTTCTCTCTGAGACATCCATGTATATGGGGAAAGAGGTGGTCCACAAAGGTCACGGAAACCACCAACGTTATCGATGCGATTCACCAGGACCCTGGCGGACACTTGCCGATCGGGACGGGGAAGGGGGGGCCCACGATGTTACAGTGACGAGGAAAGGAAATAAACAAGTAACGAGATGTATGGAATCATCGAGGCCGAGATAGGCAGGTGGAAATATGAATCAAAACGGGCGGGAACCAAAAAACAAAAACATAAAAGACATGGGACGAGCACATGTGGAATCAAGGATAAGACGGGACGAGAAAAGAGGTTGCAAGAGGGGGAAAAAGACGAGAGAAAAAAAAAAAAAAAAGAAATACTCACAAGAACCCTGCCGTTCCTCATCTCCTCCCCCCGACGGCTGCGATTCGCGTTCCAGCGGAGACGACGACGATTGATGACGAGGCGGCCCCTCGTTCACGAACTGCACCCTCCCAGCCCGCTCGCTCTCCTTCTCCTCTCTCCAGTACTCTACGAAGCCGATTCGATTGTCGCCGCTGCTTGACCTGTCATATTGCTGCCGTTGCTGGCCTTGGTGTTGGCTGTTGCGGTGGTGCTGGCTCTCCCCCTCCCCCGCCCTCACCGAAGCCTCGTCCTGCAGCCGCACCTGCTTGTCCGCCATCACCGCCTCCGCCGTGGTTCAATTGAGAGAGTACGCAAGCTGCTGCGCTTCACTAGCGACGATGTGAGGTCGCTGTGGTGGGAGGGGGTTTTTTTTTTTAATGGAGATGGTGAAATGTGAGATGAGTGAGTAATGGAATGAGCGAGGTATTTGCGTCGACAAAGTCCGAAAGCTCAAAGTGTCGTGACGTTATTATTTTCTAAGAAAATGTGTCTCCGTTCGGAGCGGAGTTGGACTGTGGGAGGGGATTCGTGAGGGGATTTGGCCGGCCTTAAAGATGGGCGAATTCCAAATTCCCATGGGCCTTTTTCTTTTCTTCTGCCGGGGGGACCCTCATCCTTCTCTCTCTCTCTCTTCCCCCCAGCGGAGCAAGAGAGGAGGGACGAGCCCGGAGATTGAGAGAAGGAGGCGCCAAAGCAGCTAAACCTGGTAGGGACCGCCGGAGCGCCAGCTTACAGAACCCCCTCTTAGTAGGCTCTTGGGGATTCTAGAGGGTCGTCCGTCGCCCGTCTGCCGGGGGGCAGCATGTCGAGGGGAACTAGCCGAGAGGCGGAGGAAGGGGAGGAGGAGGAGGAAGGAAGAGGATAGGGCGGCGCTTATCCAATTCAGGGGAAGTGCGAAATTCGCTGGGCCGATCACCTCACGTGCCTGGCGCGGAACACGGAGGCAGTGTCACCTCAGCTGCAATCTCGACAAGTATGAGAATTTGAGTTAATAGTGGGCAACCCTTTCCCGTCCTTTTTTCAACTCAGAGAGCAACCGCAAACCCCAGGAGCCATTTGTCACTGTGGCGGCGGGTATCGAGAACGAAGGAATGGGACCGGCTGAGAGGCTGACACGAAGGGATTTTGAAAATGGCTCTGTTTCATCATGCTGTAATTGCCTTCTGCCTGACGACAGCTACCTCCCGTCTTTCTCATACCACCTACGGCGGCTCAGAAAATTGCTCCATCAATCATCTTCGACATCGTCTTCCTCCATAATGTTCAACCACTACATCATCTCGAATCTCTTCTTCACGCCCAACGCCTTGCGGGAATCATATAATCAATGCCAAATTGGCCCAGATTCGCTTTTACTTTTTGTGACCACCCAACGCCGTTTGAATGCACTTGATCCTCCTTCCTCGAGCCACTTTAGTCGTCGTCCTCGTCTTCGCTGGCAGTAGCAGTGTCCTCCTCGACGTCCGTCTCCGGAATGTTCTCCTCGTCGTCTTCGTCGCTGTCACTATCGGCCGTCATGTTAAGACCCGGCACAGCCTGATAGTGCACGTAATCATTCCGAACCCATCGCTTGCTGACAGGCAGCTGGTACGGGTCAAAGGGGAAGTAGGGGTCGAGTTGGTACGCCTCTTCGTCCTGTGCCCCAGAGCCCGTATCTCGGAGAGCACCGCCTGTGCCATACGTATCTGACACGAACTGTGACAATCTGATCCGCTTGTTTTCCTCAACACGCGGGAAGATGTACATCAGACCAAGCTTGTGCGATAGTGTCGCAAACTCTTCAACAATAGCTGGTGCGCAAATCTTGAGAGGGTTCATTTTGCAGTACACGCTTGCAGAGAGTTCTTCTCTCATCCCTTGCATCCACTCCAGCTCGTGGCCCAGGTACGACGCAGGGTCCTCTGCGTCGACAAACTCGGGTGTAGACACGATCAAGTCGCGCCAGCGGAAGCAGAACATGTACAACGCGGCCTGTACTTGTGCGTAGTATATTTGGTGTCTTCTCAAATCCGGTCCTCGGGCGTCCGCGTCGTGCTTCAGGCGGTAGATTTGCATTTGCTTGAGCAGGAGCGCAAAAACTGTGCGCACCAAGTCGGACGGCACGTGGGCGCCTCGCGCCATGAACCCAGCCAGGTATGTTGCCGCCGCTTGACGCACGAAACTCGGTCGGTTTTGCGAACCAAAGATGTGCATCAAACTGCCGACAAAGGTGTCCCGCAAGCGAGCTGACATTTGGCCAAAATGGAAGAGGAGAAACTGGGTATGACGGGATTTGTACGTTGGTAGCACGATTTTCCCAAAAGACTGTACGAGCAAAGCGTACCGCTCCCATGCTTGATCCGAGTCGGGGTTGGCGAAGAGAGGAGTATAGTGAGCAAACAGCGTATCGAGGATAGCATCTAGCTTTTCGACATTGCCCTTGACCACGCGAATCTTTTCTTCCTTGTCATCAAAGTCCGAATCATCGCTGTCGACGGACTCATCATCGCTGTCCTCTTCCGAAGCATCCTCATCGCCTTCCCATGAGCCCGTGTCCAAGGATTTGCTCAGTGCGTAGGCAACTGACGCTGTGAGGTCATCGTCGAGGTCGTCTAGATCCGTCTGCATCTGGACGTCAATCTTAACCAGTCGTGATAGCAGCACATCGACGATTTCGAGGTCCAAATCTCCCGCATATTCCGTCAGCCTCAAAAGGTTGTTGACGTAGGCGACAAACATTTTCTTCGGGTCGTCGTCGAAGGGGAATTTGGTGTCGAGGAGGCCGCGGAGAGCAGGCGTGGCGGCGGGAAACATTTGAAGAATGTACTGAAGGCCGGTGTGTAGTCTTTCGCGCATCGTCGTCCGGCTGACGGTAGGGAAATCGGCGACGCTCCACTCAGACTGTCTCGAGTGGGAGAACTTCTCAACAATCATAGATAGCACATGCGTCAGGTAGGATCCCTGAGCACTGACAAGAGCAGCCAAGAACTGGATGTAAACCTTGAAGAAATCCTCGTCTCGGCCCAACCACGAGACCTGCAAGACCGTCTTCACGAGACCGTTGCAGGCCTTGTTCTTCAGCAGCGGCACGCAGCTGGTCAACGCTAGAACGTAGCCTTTCAGCTCCTGGGGCTTGAGCGTATCTTCGTCCTCTCCTGCGACGGGTGGTAGGTAGCGCTGCTTGTCGTTGGCGAATATCTCCTTTAGCATGTCGTAGTCCTCGTCCTCGCCCATGAGATGCTCCTCCAGCGCTTTCCTCACTTCCGAGTTCACCTCGTCCATGGAGCGGCTACCGAACTCGAAGACGCGATTGTTCATTTCGTTGATAAGAACTTTCCGCCTCTTTGTTGGGCTGGAGGGTGGGTCATCGAACTCGATTTCGTCAATTTTCCTTCGACCGAGGACTGTAGACGTTTGACGCAAAATGCTTTTGATGGGTGTCGCCGTTCTCGGTGGCGGACCAGACCGGTGTCTGGATATGGGGGTGAAAGGACGCATGGGAATGGGTGTTTGTGATGGTCAAGGCTCTCTGCTCTTCTCTGTCTCTTTCGCTCGCTCTCGGCGGCTCGGGCTCGAGTTCAGATCCTGAGTGGGCGGCGTCTGGCAATTCTCATTGACTAATCAACTTGTTGCGCGAGGATCTGCAGGATAAGACGTCATGCATGTCTCGGCCTCTTGCGACAATGTGGACTCGTTTCGTTTTATTGTCCTCGAAATAATGAATTGATTTTTTGAGCGTGGTCGTGTCGGCCGACGGAATTATCTTGTGGTACGGTGGCGGTTGGTTGCCTGGGAAAGTTTCACGACCGGCGTGAGGTGTCGCCCGACACTTTTTTCTGAGAGTGGGCTGCCCGCCGTTCTGTTTGGCTGCGAAGGGGGAAAATTTTGAGACTGGAGGGGCTGCGCACGTGCCTCAGTCAAGGCGTGGGCGGCCCCAGGCTTTTAACACTCAAGACCCCTGGAATCGTTCTGGACCGTGCACACTCGGCAACAATGAGCTTGTTGAAATCCAAGGTACGGATACTTACTAAGGTAAGTGGCGGCCAAGATACTGGGGAAGCCTATGACGACGTCCTCTCAAGGTAGGTTCCTATTGGATAGCAATTTCAACAAACTCACGGTGCCGATTGTAGACAGTATGAGAACGTGGCCGGCTGCTCTAGTTCTTGGCCACGCTGCACAAGATCAATGAAAAAGGAGAAGAACTGAGCACGCCTCGTTTGCGCGACGGAAGTGGAATAACAAGCTATCTGAAGTGCTGTAGCTACCAGTGCTTTGGAGATACGGCCCGGGCCCGTTCCAAAAGCTTTGATGCTTGCTGAACTGCTCTCTGCCAATGCCTTAAAACCACTGATTGGTTGGGCATGGCTAACTGAATCGCAACGCCATAGGGGGAATCTATCAAATAGACAATGAGTCAAAGAAAAGACAAACCCCCTCCACTCCACACTTTTGGGTAAACCGTTCCGCTCCCCTTCCTATAACTTACTCCTGAGGCCCTCATATACAACCATGTGCCCCGTTCTATCCTTGATAAGGTAGTCTCAGAAGCCCCGGCTCCGTACTTGTACAAACTTGAACCTATGTCCAGGCGTCGCTCATCGTCGGGCTTGGGCGTCGTTAAGTCGCAATCAGTACATATATGTCGAGAGGAAAAAAAAATCGCCCTTTCAAAACACACTACCCAGTCCCACTGAGTTGTAAATCACCTTACTGGTACCCGTCGGCGCCGCCGGTGCCGTTGTGTCCAGTCTGCGCGCCGTACATGTAGCCCTGAGCATCGGCGGTACCGTCTCCCTGCTGACCTCCGAGCACGCTGTTTTGAGGCTCAGCTTGGAAGCTTCCTGCTCCGGTTGGCGGATTGGCGCCGTAACCGCTGCTGCCTGGGCGATGCGAGCTCTCTCCCCTGTTGGATTGGGATTGCTGCTGAAATCGTCAGTTGAGCTCATTGGTCCCATTGAGAGGGTGATATCGGCTGAATTCCGAGTCGATAAATGGATTACACATACTTCTCTGTATTTGGAGAGGTAGATCTTGAGAGCCTCTGCGTAATTCTCAAATCCTAGAGACGTCATGGCGAATAGAATGTCTTCCCCATTCACCGTCTTTCTCTTCTCCTGGTGGCACTTCTCCGAGGCTGTGATAGGTCAGATATTTACTCCATAAAGTCGCCCCGGTCGGGGAGAGCAGCTGTAGTGAACTATCCATACCTTCGCTCGTGATGAAGGAGATGAACTCGCTGACACATTCTTGCATGCATTCTTTGGCTTCCTTGGCGATCTTTGCGTTTTCAGGGAGCGCGTTCTTCATGATACGGGCAACTGGAGCAAAGTTTCGTATATTAGCGTCAAGTTCATCGTACTTTTCACCGCCAGAAGTACCCGTTGTTTCTGGCGATTTTGGTGACGATTTGTGAGACATTGACTGCTTTTGGCCTTGCGCTGCGGCCCCTCGTCTTTGTTGATGCTCTGATTGAATAGTCGCAACAACAGCAATGAGCAGTGAGTGGAAGCGGAGAGCAAGCAGACCAATCCAGTCCATAGACAAGCGTCACAACACTCGCAAGCAAACACAGAGCCAAAGGTCAAGCATCGTCGTCGTTGTCGTCGTCTTGAATTCGTTAGGGAAGGGGATCTGGCTTACCATTGGCTATGGGCAACCAGCGGTCCTGCTCCTTGACCTCGAATTCATAGGTGAGTCCAGCGGACTGTGGGTCTTGAGCCTCGTTCATTTGTTCCTCTTCCGGTGATTGTACACCTTGGTCGACATCCTTGGGAGGAGATTGGGGGGAGTCCGACATATTTGGCTACCTGCAGCGGCTGCTGGCGTTCTTGTAATTTGCTTGGGCTCTTGCAGCTCGCACACACGACGGGCTTGGAATGATGTGTTCCCTGACACGTTGCAGGTCCGTAGGGCTTGCAAGTCTGGCGGCTTAGCTGCAGAAGTGTGCGTCAATCCTGTCCTGGAATGTCCTGGGAAGGATTATTTTTACTCGCGATCCCCTGGCAGGCCCTGTCTTGACTTCAGGCTATGACGGATCTTCCTGGGGTGGCCTGTAGGATGCCTTGCCCGGGTTGAGTTTGGCACAGAGACTTGGAAAAAAGCGGGATGAGGGTGGCTGCGTTTGCGGGTCCCACAGGAATGGCCAACGTCTAGTCCAAGGAGAGGGTAGCGTCGAACTGGCAAAGACGTTTCTCGATCGCCCTGCTGCAGCTGTGGATATGCGCGGTCCTCCGGGTTGGTGCTCGAAGCTCGGCGCGGGTTGACCTGTAAAGCGGAAGGTAGATGGGGTTTGCGAGTCGCGATGGGGGTGGGTGAAGTTGGGTCGAATCACGTATCCCCAAGGCGAAGAGAGGTGAGGTACTTGTGTGCTTGTCGGGCGGAGCTGCGGAGCGCTGCGTCGAGGAGGCGCGTGGGCAGCCGGGCCTAGCTGGTACAGTACGGATTCGCGTGTCGTTGAGACTTTTGGCCGAGCTTTGGGCGCGCAAAGAGTCGACCTATGGTTACACACCGGTCGACCGGACGGGGAAGCCGTGATAGGGGAATCAAGAGGGAACAGCTGCAAAAGCGCGTCAGAGAAAAGCTTCGCTTGACCCAAACAGGACAGAGAGAAACGGGAATGGGGCGCGAGACGGGTGGGAGGAGGCCGAGCAGTGAAGAAGCACTCAACGCGCGCGTCGTGTGAGTGTGAGTGTGAGTGTGTGTGTGTGTGTGTGTGGAGGGGGAAACATGGGAGAGGGGCCAGCAGCATGTGCCGTCGACAAGGGGCTGTCGATTTCTTTTCCTTACAAGATTTTGGGGTGTCTGAGTTGTTCGATCGAGGTCGCAATAGACCCTAACAATGCGCCTTGAATGGAGGATACACCTGTACTTGTCGATGGCTGCAAGAACGTGGGGTTGGTGCAGAAGGGAGAAACGGAGGGAAAGTGGACAAAGAAGGTGCGGTCAACAAGCGGCCGGCGCATTAAACACAATAACATGGCCAATGTCCCTTAAAGTCGCCCAGCCCATCAGCCTGTCTATCGATAACGAGATAGATACTTCCCATCAGTATGTGCCACCCGCGGAAGTTGCGAGTAGCTGTCAGCTCCAATTCTTCCTCCAAGGTTTAGCGCGGTACCTGAATCCCCCCTTCATCCGATCCTCTTCCCTAACAACACGCGGCTGAGTGATGCGCTCCCGAAGCTGCGACTGCTTTTCGCATTCTCCATTTTCCCAAGGTCGCGCGCTCGGATGTCCTTCGGCCGTCAGTTTGGGCGTCTGACGACATCTTCGACCCTGCAAACCCCGTCAGACCATGAGACGTCCGAGATCAAGATCAAATCTACCCTCCGGAAGCTAAGAATCCGTCATCTGATGGCACACCATGGACTGACAAAGCTACAAGAAAGGCAGCTCTGTTTGACGTCCCCCCATTCCCCCCCAAGAGTCCTGCCTAGCAAAGTTTGATGTGTCATTGCATGCATTCATGCTGTATCAACACAGGCGCAGGTCATCCTGCCCGTCCTCCCGTATATGAGCGGTGTAGGCCGCGCAAAGCCACTTTACTTAGCTTCACTAAGCTCAGAGGAGGGTAGCAAGCACGGCTACCTTGCCTTTCACCGGCGCATGGCGGACGCCAAGCGGGTGCATGAAGCGCAACCGACATAACGGCACGAAAGCGTGGGCTTTTATTTTTCTTGCAAGCCTGCTGATGATAGATTATGAGGGGGGAAAACAATAGTAGCCTCTCAACAGCATCGGCAAGCCCTGTCTGGCGAGCCTGTCGCCCTCAGTCGCCCTCAACGGGCGTCATCAAAAAGCGATGTAGTCGGCGCAATGCGACACAACTCTCTCGTTGTATTTCTCGGCCGTGCGACATCTAGCAATTTTGAATTTACTCGTCCGTTGCGACAGAACTGAGTGGGAGGGCGAGGGCGCCGGTTGATTTGACAATGGCACCGTCTGGAGTAAACAAGCCGTCGAACCTGTCAGCTGTCTTTCTCGACATCGCCCCCAACCTAACCGTGTCAGGCACGAGAAGGCTGACGGCAGCCTAAGCAAGCGCCCTAAAAGACGACCGCTTGGGCCGAAACATGCACATTGGTTGGCTCGCACAGCTACTTACCTCTTCGGGCACGATAACTCATTCGAGTTGTTTCTTGAATGGGGCCGCTCAAGGAACACGCGCACAAGGCTGTGCGACATGAGGTCGAACCGTGCTTTCTGAGCTTCCAAGAGAAAATCCAAGCCAGTTGACGTCTTGGTGATTGGCCCGGGTTGCCCTAGTCACGTCAGTCAGACTTGTGCTGCGACTCGTTAACTCACCCTTTCTCAGACAGCAGAAAAACGCGGAGAAATTCTTCCAATCTTTCTCGAGGAAGCGCCGGTCACCCAATCGGCGGCCCATCGCCTTAGAGTACGCCTGACCCTGCATGCAGCACTGCAACAGACAACGGCCAGCTCAACCATTCACCCTCATTGCAGTTGGGCTCCTCTACTCTTTCGGGAGCCAATAACCCTCTAATTGGATTGGGCTCGGATTGGACGATGCCTGTCACAACAAAAATAAAGGACCACCAACGCCTGTGATGCGCTGACCTTCCGCTCTGGTTTTCCACGACCCTGGTCCGGATCATGCGGTTCCTACCCCTCCTTCCCACTCATCATGGCGAGAGGGGTACGCGCACTTCGGCCTTCTCTCGCCGTTGCGGGTGATTCCATATCACAGGCGTAAGGGTTGCATGTGTTGGCTTCGCTGCTATCATCCCGGAGCCGATGACAACTCAGAGCCACATCTTGCGTCGACCCCGGTCTCTTACAACAACGCCAAGGGGTACCGGTCTGGCTTCCGCGTGAGCCATCAAACTGCTTTCCTGCCCGACACCAGCATCGAGGAAGCAGGCCTTGGAGGCGCTGAGTCGATTTTTAATGTCGAGTTCTGTGCTGTTGATACTCGAGATGACACTTTCTCAACATCGTCCGAAGCTCAGGACGCCATGCATCCTGGTCCAGCCGGTCGTCAATAACCCACTGCTTGTATCTGCGACCATGTCCGCATTAGGTTCCATGATGTCGCCAACCCACTTGCGATATGCGATTTCGTACTTATTCGTACAGGATGCATGCGACTATGAGAAATCCCTATGGAACAACGAGGCGGATCCAGACCATTGGATGCCTCCCGCATCTGGCCCGCGGCTGGCCACGGATCAGACGTCCAAAGCGTGACACTCGTTGGGCACCAGCCCAAACAAGCATGATATCACTGCTGTAGGAACCCTCAGAACGGACATTAGTCGATCACCATAGACCTCACGTTTCATCCCTTAGCATTACGAATCGGATTGTCGCCCTTGGCGCATCAGACAGACAGGTCCCAAATACGCAGGCGGGAGAGCATCTGAAGTCTAGCCAGGTGGCCATATGGGCCGGGCCGCCTCCGCTCCGGGTGCCTTCTCTCCCGAGTGGCAGAAAGCTTTTGTTTAGCGTCTTCTTCCCAAAGGACTCCGTGGACTGAGTGTTGGTCTCGTAGCCCCAAAAAGGAGGCTTCAAAGGTCAACTGCCGTAAGGTTGCCAGTGGCCGCAGCACACCTTTCGTCACTAGGCCGCATGACAAGCAGCCAGTAAGCACGCCTCGCCAGTTGGGTCGATCTCAGCCAGCCATCTGAACCGCCAGACGTGTCATGACTTCCAAGTGGTGTGCCAGTCTGACGACTTCGCAGTACGATCTTGTTGGGCACTGAAACGCCGTTACCGCCGTCCTCTATTGCTTCTGATGTTCCTAAAGCCTACGACGTTGGGCAACGTATTGCCGCTACTACATCATCTCCATGCATTTCTTTACGAGGCGTATTGCTGAGTTGGCTTCCTCTTTCGTCGTGACCTCAACCATGGGTATGTTCGATGCCGCCTCACCTTTGCGTCTTAGAAATCCACAGGACGACTCTATTGTCGCGTGTGTCCTTCTGAGTGTGCGCGCGCAAGTCGCAACGCATGATCAAAAGACGAGGAGCAGACGTCATCATCTCTCTCAGTCTGAACCACCTCATCCGAGAGTCTTTGCGTCACGACCGGACCGGATGGCCGTCGTCGTTGCATGCACAAAGACCCGAAGCCAAGGTCGTCAACTAAAACTTTTGTGACGCAACCCTCCTAGTCTCAGTTCTGGACAACCTGAACATTGTTCTTCTTCTGTTAAATCCGAATGCGTTAGCAACTGTTCGCCCCTGAGCGACCTCATGGTAGAACCAAAGAGGAGACTCCTTCGAGCCACGAACCTTCCACTTCTCCAGCTCGTCCTGCTTAGCCTTGTACTGCTTGACTAGGTCTTCCAGGACCTTCTTCAGACCTTCCGAGTTGGTCGTCAGGGCAGGCATGACGTCCTTGACCGTCTGCTCCATGAGGACCCCGTTGATGAGGCGGAAGCACTTCCGGTCCTCGGACAGCGGTTGCAAGGTCTCCAAAACAAGCCTATATGAGTCAAGTCAGATCCCACGGGTTCATTCAGAATGAGCGGTGTGCTGGGGAGGGAATTCATCAAGTTTTTAGTTTTTCTTTTCGGGTTTTTTGACCTTCGAAGGAACGAAGTGAAGAGCGGTGTGATAGAGGCAAAGTTGGCGATGACGGCATGCGGAGTGAGATCCGATTTGAGGACGTGAAGAAGGAATCCATCATGTGCACCCCTGGGCGGACGCAGGGTTCACGATCTCCGAGGGCATGGATAGTGGTCTTCTCAGTCCCTCAAGGTTGCGCCGCCGACGTGAAAGAATGAGATGAAGTGAAGACGAGGAGACGAGACGCACTTGTGTTCTTCGGCTTCTTGTTCTACGTCGCCAATCTTCTGTGCGATCTGTTGCAGAGTATTCTTGTAGACGCCATACTGCGTTTGCAGATCTAAAAAGCAGATTAGCATGAACTATGGCGGGGTTGTTTTCTCAAATGCATATCTCTCGTTCTCTGGCCGACGTGCGATATGGTGAGTGAGTCACTGACCTTGCTGCTTCTTCTGACTTGCTACTTGGGCCGACATTGTGAGAGAAAGTCCGTAGAGACGACGTCAATGTGAATGGGTGCTGATGGGACCTTGATGAAGAAAGTAAGGTACAATGCAGGCAACGGAACTCAGTGAGGGACGACAAGCCTGAGGTAATCGCCCTCCACCACCGCGCAAGCAGTGACCAACTGTGGGATGGAAGTTCTGAAAGTGCACCTGAGGTGGCCCGAGCTTTTGCCGCGCCGTGGGCCACAGCCTCCGAAAATGCAAAGCCCGGCGCGCCGTCTGCCGCTCCAACCCCCCACCGACCGAGTGGTCTTATCCAATCCCTCGCAGGCCAATTCCATCTTTTGCGTCGCATGAACTACCGGCAATTCCTCTGGCGCATCTACAAACCACGACAAACACCGACAAGAAATCTTTCTTCCCACGACACACACCACCATTTTCCCTTCTCCTTCCCATAGAAAGTACGACATCCGAGTCAACATGCATCCTCACCTGCACACCAAGGACAACTTCGGTCAGTGACCAATGCACCTGTCATGATTCCGTACCCCGGGGGTGGGGTGGTTGCTCAACGTTGTCGCATTGCCACCCCGGATCGTTCGTAGACGAGGAAAGCTCATACTGACTCATTCTTGCCTCCGCGAATAGAGTGCGAAGACATTATGGCCGCCCTCGAAGAGTGCCACGCAAAGGGCTTCATGTTCAAGTCCCTCGGCGGCTGCAACGACGCAAAGGACAAGGTCAGCGAGTGCCTCCGCGGCGCGCGCGCGAGGCGCACCGAGGCCAACAGGGCTGCGGCGAGGGCCAAGAGGGAGGAGCGCGAGAACCGGATAAAGGAGCTCAACAAGTCGCTCGGTCTCGATTAGACTACGGCCATCGACATTATGCATTCAGGGAAAGGAAATAAGCGACCGGAACGAACGAGCATCTTCCCATCGAGACGATTTCCGGTTTACAGGTCCACGAAAGGGCAACTAGGCATTGTATTATATCACGAACACTCGCAACTACATCGATTTCGGCAACGGCACGGGGCAGGACGGAATACCAAGAATAACATAAGCGATCTAGTGGATTTGGCGTCCTACAAGGGAGCAAAAAAACATGTACCATAGATTGTACTTGTACGATGTAACTACATCAGCGGAGAAGGAAAAAGGCAAGCAAAACTTTCGAAGTAGTTTATTTCCTATGGTACGAGGCCGGTCCAAACACCCATACTTATTTTGCCGAACAATCGTACGCCTCCCCTCAAACGCTTCTCTTTCACAAGGTGCTACGGAATTCGTTGCCAAAGGTGATGAGACCAAAGACGGACAGGACACTCAGGAGAATCGGCACGGGCTTGCGGAGGCGGATGGCGCGGGGGATGGAGGAGCCTCCGAGGACAGCCGAGGCGAGAAGGCTGAGCTCGACGCCGTAGGGCTCGCGGTTCTGGATGCGGTAGCCGCCAAGGCCGTCTGCGTGGGATCGGAGCCCGGGTCAGTCCACTTTTGTTGCATTGCGACAACGCGGGGCAGGGATATTGTGGGAGCGGATGGGGATGTTGATGAAAGCACGAGCAGACTTAGCAGTGGGGGGTTTACGTACAGAGCAGGCCGACGCTGACTCCGGCGATGATGGACGGGAGGGACTTTGTCCGGGCGTAGCCGGCGATGCCGCCTCCGGCCGTCAATACGGCAAGGGCGAAGGAGGGGACAGAGAGGTCTGAAGACTGTGAATTTGTCTTTGTTAGCTTTATGTTCCTCTTGTAAGGTTCTTTTGAGAGAAGCTGCTGTACCATGTTGGTATCCTTCTTTGTGAGATTAATGGAAGAACAATTCAGTCAGATTCAAATCCTGCGATTGAATTGAAATGCAGCTGAGGAGCGGTAGTTATTCGTGAATTGAGGTAAGCAAGTTCCGACGTTCTTTGGTGCCTCGGGAAGTCCAAGCTTCGGCCTCCTCCCACCCACTAAAAAGAACAGCTGTGAGAGCTGCTGGATGATCTCATCCATTCCCGTACCTGACTAATCACGACGCTTCCCACACCACGTTCCCCAAACACAAGGGGGCCAGGAGTCATCAGGGACCACCGAACTGCTACCCCAGATTCGTGGCTTGGCAACGCTTCTGTGCAGGGGAGACACCAGCCACACCCATCACCTGACCTCCTGTGGCTTCAAGCTTTCGTGTCCTCCAGAGCTCCCAGCTCCAGATGCACCACGTAGCGTTCGGTCGCAGTACGTACGCAGCAATCGAGTTATTGGGAAGGCACATTCTCTCAACTTTTGGTCCAACACCCCCCCGACCTCATAGAATCCTCGAATTCCTTCCCCACACACCGCCAATCCCTCGCTCTCGATCTCGACCTCGAAATATCCCACAATGGCACCCAAGCGTACCGCCTCCTCCCAAAAAGCAGCAGCTGCTGCCGCCGCCGCCTCTGAGCCCGCCGCTCATCCCCCCTCCTCACCCGCAGGACCGACCGCCGCCGCCGCGATCCCGGGCACCATGACCTCGCAGCCCAAGGCCGTACCCATCACCAAGAGCACCAGCAGCAGCGCCCAGAACTGGGACCAGGTCCTCGCCAACATCTACAACCACTACATCAAGAACACGCCGCAGCGCACCAAGCTGATTGACGTCTTCATGGCCTTCCTGGTCGTCGTCGGCGCGCTGCAGTTTCTGTACTGCGTTCTTGCTGGAAACTATGTACGTTCTTCCTCTGCATCAGCCAAGGTTCCTTGCTCCTCTTGGAGGGCTCTGAAGAGGGACTGTTTGTTGAGAGACGGTCGGAGGAAGGAGTCTGGCGTTCAATGTGTGGAAATTTACAGAAGAACAATTGCTAATGATATGATGCCAAATAGCCCTTCAACGCCTTCCTCTCTGGTTTCTCTGCGACTGTCGGCCAATTCGTTCTCACTGGTAGGCCATATTTATTAGCAATACAGGGCTCAATGGCTAACAGCAGCTCTCAGCATCCTTGCGCATCCAGACCACCGAGGCCAATAAGTCCGATTTCCCCTCTGTATCACCCGAGAGGTATGCCAGTCCCCCGATTGCAAGAGACGCAAGCAACCAGCTGCAGAAACTAATACCATGACAGAGCGTTTGCCGACTACGTCGCATGCAGTTTGATCCTGCACTTCTTCTGTGTCAACTTCATAAACTAAGGGCACACATCAAAGGAAACAAGAGGATACATTTCACCCTGGAGCTGGGACAAGAAAATGGGGTGGATTCATAAGCCAAAAATTGAGGTTGGATGAGGGGTGAGGGGTGAAAAGACCAAATGGTGAGGCATCAAAGCTACACCATGATCGCATGAACATGCGGAACGAACAAGGCAATGTACATTATTCAAGCAGGCGTTGTATCACAGCACGGTAGATGTCTAAAAAGAAAGAAAAAAGTGCAATTCTGGGAATCATCATGATAGGGGTTGACTCCAATGATCTAGTCTATAAAACGACACCTACCCACCGCAGCTGTCCACTCCTCCCTGTCACTCAGCACCCTCGGCAGCAACCTGCTTATCCTTCGGCGGCCCCGTCGAGCCCGCTCTCGGCGGCGGCGGCGGTCCCCCCATCTTCGGAGGCGGCGCGACAGGCGTCCCCCTCCCGCTCGGCGCATTATCAGCCTCCCTGCTCTTCTTCTCCTCCTCCTTGAAATAGTCGTCCATGAAGTTGTTGCTCCCGCCGTGATGCCTCTCCTTCTTCTTCCTCGTCGTCGCCGTACCCGCAGGAGGCGCCGCCGCCGCCGCGCCCGCGTCAACCATTTGCGCAGGGACCAAAAAGTCTCCCCCGGACGGAGGCGCACCCCCACCGATACCCGGCGTGGCGGGCGTGAAGAGGTTCTGTTGCACCTCGCCAACGGGAGCCGCGTTCCCGTACAGCGCGGCAGCCGGGTCCTTCTCCCCGGCATCGAACATCATCTCGCCCGGCGCGTCGACGGGCTCGTTCAGCGGCGCGGGCAACCTGTGCAGCGCGCCGTACCCCAGCACGCACCCCAGCGCCCCTTCGCCACCCCACTCGCGCGTCGGCTGGATCGTCACCTCGCGCGTGACGTCGTACTCGTTATTGTAGACGTACAACCGCAGGGGGCGGCCAATGTGGTCCTCGACGAGCTCGCTTAGCCCGCCCTCGCCGTGGAGGGCGCCCTCGGGGCTGCCGAGGATATAGTCGCCGTAGGGAAGGAGGCCGGCGCCGTCGGCGGGAGAGTTTGCGGCGACGTCGAGAACATGCCAGATGTTGGCGGCGACGGCGAGCGGGGTCCACTGCAGGGAGAGGCCGAGGGAGGCGGTGTCGTGGGGGACGAGGGCGTGGAGCTCGCGGGTGCGCTGGCCCTTTGCGGACCAGAGGCCTAGGGAGACGGAGCCGCCGGCGCAGTTGCGGACTTCTTGGGCGAAGAGACTCGGGTCGGGGTTGTCCTGGTGAGGAGGGGTGTTTGTTAGCGTTGGGTTTGAGGACGGGAGGACGCCCGCCCTGGTAAGATGGGAACCACCGGGGTACGTACGATGGGCCGGCCGTTGATGCCGATAATGAAGTCGAACCAAGGCTCGACGTTTAGTTCGAGGTTCGTGTTCCGAAGCACCTGGAAACCGAAAGAGCCTTGGTTGTTCTGCTGGGTCGGTTGCTGCCCGTCCAGGCGGGACATGAAGCGGTTTAGCGCATTGAACATGGTGATGCGCTCGGCGCTTGACCTGAGCTGACTTCTTTTCTATGTAGATATGTATGTGAGACGGAACACTGTGGTACGAAGCTCGAGGTTAGTGTTGAGGCTTGTCGAGATTAATTATTTGAAGATTGTCGCTACGTGCATTCCATTCGTCCCTCCTTGGAGCAAGCTGTCATCCAAGGTACCTCTTCAGCCTTGCAGATGATCCAAGCTTCTCTCCACACTAGTGGGACGCCCAAGTGGGACCGTGGTTGTTAGCTTCCTCTCGCTTCAGCCTCGTTCATCCCATTTTCCATCACCGAACCCTCAACGAAGATCTCATAATAAGTCAACATGTGACTTTGTCTCGATGAGTCTGACTAACTAGATTACTCATTCATTGACATCGCTATCCTTTTGAAGGAAACTGAGCTCGAATACACCTCATACTTCATGCATCATCACCAAAATGAAGGCCGCCACCAGACTCCCCCTAACGGATGAGTGCCATCACTACAAATCCAAGGCAGAGGTGCCTTGGGATCTCCAAAAGCAAGTCATTCCCACCCCCTCCACGACGAGCACGAAGTATGAGTCCCACAACTAACACAGCTCATCAGATACTTTTCCCAGCGCTACTCCCTCTTCTCCTGGTACGACGAGGGCGTCCGCCTCACAGACAGCGCCTGGTTCGGTGTGACCCCCGAACCCGTCGCAAACACAGTCGCCAACGAAATGTACCACACCGACGCCTCCAAAAAAGTCCTCGTCGACATATTCGGCGGCGCCGGTGGCAACACCATTGCTTTCGCCCTATCGGCCCGCTGGGACCGCGTCATCTCCATAGAGCGCGACGCCGCGACCCTGGCGTGCGCCCAGCACAACGCCGAGTTGTACGAGGTCGCCGAGTACATCACCTGGATCCACGGGGACTGCTTCGACTACCTCCGGAAGCTGAGAGATAGTCCCGACGAGTTGAGCGAGGAGTTGAGGGTCGACATGGCGGAGACGGTGGTCTTTGCGTCGCCGCCTTGGGGTGGGCCCGGGTACCGGACCGCCGAGGTGTTTGATCTGAGCAAGATGGAGCCGTATAACCTGGAGCAGCTACATGAGGCGTGCAAACCCATGGATCACGCGCTGTATCTCCCTCGAACGAGTGATCTCAGACAGGTGGCGAAGCTGGCACCGGCGGGGGAGAAGCTCGAGGTTGTACAGTACTGCATGGAGGGGGCGAGCAAGGCCATGGTGGCATTCATACCAGGATCATTAAGTACTGCACAATCAAAACCTTAACGAACAATTTTTCCTGCTCAAGCTCTTTTAATGAGGGCCACTCTAATCAGCAAAACCTGCTTTTACAACGCCTTGACAATGCTACGTTCGTCGAACAAATCCTTTAATAATCCCTGAATGCAAAACTCCCGATCAAGTGGCGCCATTGCGTAGGTCGATTCGAAAGCGTAGATGCTGAGCTGTCCGAAGAATGGCCGCAGGATCTTGCCCACAAGTTCGTCCTTCCTATCGATGCTGACTTCGTCGTTGATGCCGCCAGCTCCCAGCAGTGGCCGTCTGTGAGAACTGCTTGTGGCCAAGTGCGCCGCCGGGTTGCTACCCAAGGAAGAACTGACACCCATAGTACCAAGCTCCTCTGCAAGTTCGTCGACAAGTGCAACAGGTTGATAATTGGTAGATCGATACACAGCGTCGATGGTGTCTGTGACGAAGAGCCACTCATGAAGCTGGAAGTCGTCCGGCGCAACACAAATAAGCAGGTCTAGCAGCTTACAGGCTTGTAGGATAGACAAGTTGTTATAGGTATCAGATGCGGTGCTGTGATCGGCAGCCACAACAGAGGCGATGGCTGCATGAAGCTCGGCGTTGATGATCGGCCACAACATAGCCAGGTGAATGGCACTGGTCTTCAACACAAGTGCGCGGACAAGCATGAAGATCTCGGCTCTCGTGGTAGAGGAAGGTGAAGACGTCGCCGTGGCACCAAGCAGTTCCACTACCTTATCGATAATGGTTGGAAGCTCTGTGACAAATGCATCCTCTGCAGCCGCAAGGACTAACGATGCAGTGCGACGAAGGTTAAGCTGCGTCTTCCGGTCTGCCTCTAATCGAGCAGAAGTGGCCCCAACACCAAACACGATGCCGGCCGTTGTGGGCGGAGTCATGCGGCCCAGGAGCTCAGGCATACGCTCCTTGTCACTGACGGTCCATTGCCTCAGCAACAGCAACCAGTCGCTTCGTACGAGCTCGATACTCGAGCTGAAGAATCGAGCATCGTTGAAAGCGTCTCCAACGTCCTTCTTCCAGGTCTTTTGGTTATTTGGCAGCCTGGAGAGTTCTTGTAGCAAGACAAGTGTGTTCTTGGACACGGTGTCAGGGAATGCCTTTGCTCTGAAAGCTGGATTGATGACATTTGTTGAAATTGTGCCGGCCGCCGACAATACGCGGTCCGTTTCAACTAAAATCTTGGGAAGATTCGGAACAATTGCGGCCAAGATAGCCACCACATCCTCGGCTCTATCGAGAACGCTGACCAAGGCAATCGTGGGAGCCCGGCGAACACCGTCGCGGTTCTTTTCCGATTTGTCGTTTGGTGCCGTATCTGCAAACGTCAGGGGCTTGGTTGTGAATATCGCGGTTAGGAGCCGAAGGAACAGATCCTGTTATTCTTGTCAACACAATTTCAATCGGTTATAGGAAGAGCTTCAGTGCTTACTCCAAGCTCCCTTCTCATTTTTCGCTGCTCTCCAAAGTTGGTGTTGTCAACCTTTTCGCCCAAGATAGCCGCGAACTCCAACAAACTCGGTAATGTCTGTCTGTGTGGGAAAGGATTTGTGAGTAGGTCGCGCAAGAACGCCATACAATCAAGCCATATCTCGTCCATTGCGTCATCCTCCAGCGAGCGAGCATATTCAATCAGAAATGTGACCAGGTCAATGTCTTGGAGAGAGGTCGTCAAGGTTGATTTTCTTGAAGCATCCAACGCCCCAGGGTTTGTTCTGCTGTAGATGGCATTAAAGATGGCAGGGATAGTGTGCTTTGGCCGAGAACCATCTAAGGCTGGTAAGAGATTAAACACTTCTGACTGTGGCACAGGCGTGGTGATATTGATAGAGCCACGCCAGATTTCGATGACCGTCTCGAGGCACTCCAAGGTCTCTGCTGCGAAAAGATGCTCCAACAATCGTCTCGCCCTATTTCTCATTCGAAGAGACGTATAGTTGAAAGATGAAACAGAAGTCAAGTCCTGGGCATTGATGTCGCCGCCTTGGCCCCAGGACCAGATTGTGAAGCAAATGCGTACAGCATCCGCGAATGCGAGGTGCACCGTTAGTCTATCGTTTGCGGTGGCACTCCGCGCCTGCGGAGTATCTGAGTTGAAGACACCGGACACCATGTTGCCAAAGAATCCCGATGGCTGCTGGTCCGGGCCCTTGACCACTTGCGTCCTGGCCTCTTCAACCAAGAGTCGCTCGTGTGCCCGAGCCAAAACTTGCTCCAAAGCGTTGAGTAGCGAAATCAGTGTAGACTCTGGCGCATTCCAATCATCCTTCTTTGAGTTACCGTTGTCTCGGAAAATGGATTGCAGGTCGTTGAATGTGTTCGAAACTTGTCGGCACAAAGTCTCCACAAGGGGGATGAGGACCTGGAATATGGTATCGGAGTAGAACGGCAGACATTCCGTCAAAAAGCTCACCCAGCTATCGAGGACACTACGACTGCTAGGAGAGCTCAAGCCAGCCTGGAGACACTTGAGCAAGTTGGGAGGCGGTGATGTCGGCTTGGTCTCGGACTGTGTCGATACTCTGAGGCTCTTACTTGGGTCAAGGCTCAGTTTCCTCTTCTCCGATGATGGTGAAGCAGGCACGTCAGAAATAATGATGTCTCGAAGTTTCAGAGCATCAAAGACGACGTCTAAAAGAAGAACCTGAACATAAGGGTCGGTTCCACCGAGCGATTGGAGGAGACGCTCGATGAGAACGTTCTCAAGATGCAGGCTTGCCAGGGGCTCGGCGTAAGGATTCAAAAGGATTTGGTGCATGACGGTTAAGGCATAGCGATGAAGTTGAGTTGCCCGGACTCGGATGTTTTCGTCAGCAGATTCATTATTGCCAGCGATGCATCGTAGACAAACGTGAATGAAAATCTCTTGCATGGAGATGTCGCCTTCGTGACCAGCTGCTGAGGATCAGTATCAGGTTCTTCCAGCCAGAGATCTCTACATACTCATCTGTGCGACTTCCGAATGCCCGCCATCCACGGTGATCGTCGTAGAGGCCAGCACAGCCCAAATCACATCTGGGGCCCAGCGAAAAACATTCGACAGCGTCCTCAGGTAATAGAGACAAAGGTCCAGATCGTCTTCGGCCGTGAAAGTCGTTGAACTGGTCGAAGTTGATGCTGAGCCAATCTCGTGAGTCGCTCTCAGAAATTGGAGTGCAGAAAACTTCCTTACGAAAAGCAAGAACAGTCTGTTGATGTCAGTAAATACTCTTGGTAATCATCTCTCAAGTCAGGGGGACCCACTTGTCGATACCAACTAAGCTGTTCAGCCATCCCTTGACAGTCATGAACAATTGCGTTCGCTCATCCAAGAGGGCATCCAGCATGAGGAAGAGAGGTCGCGTCAACATGACATCGTAGTTCTCTGACCCAGCCATCCGGATCTGCGGAGGCTTCTCAGTCATGGGTGTTTTGGAACCTCGCCTTTCAGCACTAGAATCCTGCAACGTATGAGACCACAGTACGCTGAAACGGCGGCCAGCATCGGCAGGACGTGATGCGAATGATCCCTGAATGTCGTGCTCGATGATGAGACTGGCCAACGCGGCTTCTATATCTCGATTTTGCGATGTCAGAGCAGTCTGGAGCTGCCATAATGATCTAACCGTTTCGACATGGTACTTTGGTTCCGAAGCTGACAGGAACTCCCAAGCTTGCTGGACTAGTGGTGTAACGAGTTCGGTCAGGTTTGGCACCTCTATGCGCTCAGCCGAATAAAGATGGGCGGATAGGTAAAGAATCGAGTTGAAGGACGTAAAAGACAATCTTCTTGCGTGTTTCAAACGCTCGTGCAGACAAGACAGAAGCAACGTCGTGTCAAGCTGATAAGTGCTCGGCACTTTGAGTAAAAAGGCGGTCAGAATCCTTCCTTTGACGCCCAGTTCTGACCCTGACTCGGGGTTCTTCAATCCTTCGCATACCAACGCGCCTGACTTTTGTAACAGCAACTCGCCAACCTCGATCGGCGAGAGCGGAACATGGACGGTATCGAGGTTGCCTTGCTCGTCGATATAGAATGCCTTGATCCGTTTCAAGAGCTCAACGGCAGGTAATGAGGTCAGAACGCCGGCCTCTATTGTTCTCTTCGATTTGTTGCCAACCGAGGACGGGAAAGCTCGATCCGGAATGAGATCCAGGACGGCCAGAGCGATATGCAGTGCTTCCTCGGCGGTTTCCTGCGACTGATTCTTTGGAGCACTGTTCTGCTGTCTTTCTTTGGTATCCTCTAGCATGCAGAGAATGGAAAGAACAGTGATGGGTGCGTGAATTGTGATCATCTCTTCCTCGCGGACATTGAAATTCGCCAGAATGAAGTTGACCAAATCCAGCTTGTCGAGCCGTTCCTTTTCTGCCAGGTTGCCTGGTCCGATAGCCTGCGCTAGAAGGCTCACAATTTCACCGTAAATCAGACCACTCTCGACACCGTCAAAGAACACGCTTGCGCTGCGGAATACTTCGTTGAAGTCGGCTTTGCTGGGCGATTGGTCTCTGTACTGCCGGACACTATTGACAATCGGAAGGAATACCTCGGGAACAACCAGTCCGCCGATCTCCCATCGATCCATGAGTGACAAGCATATTCTGTAAGGCCTTGCCCTCTCTGCCGGACTCGCATCACGGTCAACTTGAATCATGCTCAGCAGCGCTTTGGTCAAAGGTTGAAGCCCATGATCTTCGAAGTAGCTCGTCTTGGAAGCAAAATAGGATTGCTGATGGTCTGTCGAAGATGGTGACTCGATGCCGCTCTCACTTTCTCCGGGGCCGGGGTCCGGGCCAAGAAACCATGCCCAAAGCCTCCGGTTGAGACTCATATCTCTTCGAATGACAACACCTGCCGCCGCATTCAGAAGGAGCTCCAAGTCACCCGGCTTGACATTTGTCTGCAGTACCTTGGAGTGCAAGGGAAGGTGCGTGACCAAGAGGTCGAGGAATCCGCGCTGGATAAGCAGCTGCTCGTCTGCGAGCCCCGCAGCAAATGAGCGCAATAGTAAACCTGGTTCCGGCGAGGTAACCATTTGTGCGAGTTTCGCAGAATGCTCTTCCTCCTGGATGCCACTCTTGCCTGGCTTTCCCTGGACGACCGTGTCGCCCAATTTAGGCAGGTTCCTCACAAGGTATGCCAAGGCTCCAGCTCGACGACTTGAACCCGTAATAGACGCCAAGAAGAAGCATTGCCAGAAGAAATCATCTCCTGATGAATGTGGACCATCTAATTCTTCGCTGCCTGCGGGTCGTATCGCAGCCTTGAAGCTGTCCATCAAACGCAACGTTCGTTCAAAGTCTTCGCTAGTTTCGTCCTCAAGACCCGGTAAAAGGGCCAGAACAACAGATTTCATAGCTGGCCGGAGAGATCGGGGGTCCAAGTCTAGAAAGTGACGCTCGAGAATGTCGAGAAAAGGGGATCGGACGGACAGAGAGGCGAACGAAAGAGTTGATGCCAGGCCAGGGAAGTACAAGGGTAAGTCTTTGGACAGCCCATCGGTGCCTATCGTTGCGAACATGTAGCTGTAGACTTCGAGTGCCTTTTGGTGCACGCCGGACGGGAGGGAGGGGTTGAGACATTGCGACAGGCGTTTCGCGACGATGGCTTTCGAAGGGATAGTCGTGACCGAGGGGTGTCGGACTTGCAGTGCCTGGTAAATACGATCAGTCGCTCGTCGTTTCAAAGATCCGTCTACCATAATGAGAAAGAGTTCTGACCTTGAGGAGGCGGTTCAAGAAGGAAATGTAGTCAGCCCATTCCTGCAATGCCGTTTCAAACAGTGCGAGGGCCCTCTCAACACCAGATGCGTATTTACGGTAGTGCTTGTCCTTGGTCGGGGCTTCTTCTATTACTGAGAATCAATACATGTAGGCCGTGATCCATTCAAAACAGATTGCTTACCAGCTCCCAGCTGGTTTCTCCACTGACGAGGGAGAGGAGACTCGCGGCCTGAGCTCTCCGGGGAGACAGACCGGCGGCCAGAGCCAGGCTCAAGGGCCATGATTGCTGAGAATGGGCGTTGATTGAACGAGTGAGTACATCAGTCTGTTCTTCTGGTCGTAGAACGACGGTATCGCATCGCTGACTAGCCTTGGGGAATCAAGCTGGCATAGATAGTCGTCGCATCGATAATGAACAAGGTATAAAGAGCCCGGTGTGCTTGAGCTCGAAAGGCTACCATGTCTCCTTCGAGACGACAGGTGTACGGTGGGGGCACCCTGAAAGCTCCCAAGCTTCCCATTGGACAGACTAGTTTAGCGACCGTTCCCGCCTGACGAGGCTGGCGCAACCCTCTCCATCAGCGCCGAGATAGGATAAAGTACAACGTCATCAAGCATTGATTTCGGGGTGCACCTGAAAATTGTGGACTCTTTGCGTTCTGTCGCATTTCCACCTTCTTAGAACACTCCACCTTGAGCCTCACGATATGAGACAGATCTTTGAGCACCAGAGACATCACTTTCGGGGGGAATTGGGTGTATTGTACCCGTATATGTCCGTCCACTGGTAAGCGTAAATAGAGTTCGCCAGTTGAGGTACTTGCCAGGTATGCCATCACTTGGTTCCTCTTCGTAGCCATAGACCGTTTGAAATGTGCAACCTCTTTTAACAGATGAACAACGTGCTTATCTAGATCATCAGGCCGGTGCATTGCATCTGCTGAAGTAAGCTGTCAGTGTCCGGAATGTTTCCTCCGCTCGGCCATGGGATTTGCAAATTCCCATGCTGCTCCCTGCCCTGGGGCACTTGGCCAGCTCCGGTTCCAGGTCAGGCGAGCGAGTGGGCCCAAACCGACTCTGATTAGCGGACCGTTCCCACTAAGACCCGGCTGCCACAACACCAGATCTCGGCGCCCCTCCTACGCATCATCAGCAAGTCTGCGCTAACTTGGGACGACTTTCTTCATCCCGTCGCTTACGCCTTTCGCTCCTCTTTCCTACATCTTCTTCAACCCTCACGTACCTACCTATACACTGGGCGAGGTCCCGAATACCCGCCATGGCTGCTTGAAGCTGGCTCGCCCACCCAGACCCTAGACAAAGTGAAAATCACTCTGCTATAAGGCAGCCCGCATCACCGCCGCGCTTCTTTCCAGTTCCCGACCGCCTAGCTGAAATGCTCCTGCCATCGCAATCATGGGCGAGGACCACGAAAACGGCCCCAGCGAGGAGCAACCTCCCCCGCTACCTCCACGACCCTCGATGGAATCGGACGCGTCAATAGATTCGAGAATGGCCATGGCAGCCGCGACTACCGCAATTACGCCTCTCGATATTCAGACTCTTTCCTTTCCAGATGGCTCGCGCGGCACGTTCTCAACTCCTGGCAGTAGGGCAGTCTCGACCCCTGTGCAGTCCTCGACAAGTGGTCAGGCCACTCCGACAAGAACGTTGGGCGAAGGCGAAGATTCTATGAGCATCGCCAGCTTTTCCCCGACCCTGCGGCCGCCCAACGACATTGCAAGCCTGCTGATGGGGGAATTCAACAAGAAAAGCCCGGCATGGAACCTACTCAGGTCCCAATCGGCAACGGTGCCGCCCTTCGAAACGCTGAGGATGGACAACACAACCCGTAATCTGGCTGGTTTCGAGCACGAGTTCGACGACCTGCCCGACGAGGCCGACAGGAATTTCCAAGACGAAGACCGAGTTGCCATGTGGAAGGCAAAGTTGAAGCACTACATGATCCTTTCGTCGGCGGGCAAACCTATCTACAGTCGTCACGGTGATCTGGGACTAATCAACTCGTCCATGGGCGTCATCCAGACCCTCATATCATTTTATGAAGGGGCTAAGAACCCCTTGTCAGGCTTCACTGCAGGAACTACGCGATTCGTTGTCGCAACACAAGGGCCCCTCTATTTTGTGGCCATCAGTCGGCTCGGCGAGAGTGACTCTCAACTGCGAGCACAACTCGAAGCTTTGTACATGCAGATTCTGTCGACACTCACTCTACCCACGTTAAAAAACATCTTCGTACACCGTCCATCTTCCGATCTTCGGAAACCGCTCGAGGGAACTGAGCCCCTGATTTCGTCCCTCGCCGATAACTTCACAAAGGGCTCTCCGTCAGCACTGCTGGGCGCACTGGAGTGTCTCAAGCTGCGCAAGTCTCAGAGACATGCCATCAACAATGCCTTCCTCAAGCAGAGGACAGACAAGCTTTTGTACGGTTTGATTGTAGCCGGCGGTAAGCTAGTCAGCGTTATCCGCCCGCGTCGCCACTCTCTGCACCCGAGCGATCTCCAGCTGATCTTCAACATGCTGTTCGAATCAGGTGGGATCAAAGCAGGTGGCGGTGAGAATTGGATTCCTCTGTGCCTGCCAGCCTTCAACAACCGCGGCTACCTATACATGTACGTCAGCTTCTTCGACGGTGTCGACGGCGAGCAAGCCACGGGACAGGAGACATCGGCACACAAGGACGAAGAACTGGCCATCATCCTCATCAGCCCGGATAAGGAGTCCTTCTTTGAGCTCAAACAAATGCGCGACAATGTCGCCGCTTCCCTGGCCAAGTCGGGCCATCTCGCTCTAATCCAGACCGCCGCGCGCGCCGGACGGCCAAAGACCGCGGACATTGCTCCCGGCGGCCAAATATCGCACTTCCTCTACAAGTCTCGTGCGAACGTTCAGTTCAGCATGTCCGCCCTCGACCCCGTCTTTTCCTCCCTGATTGCCCGCCGCCGCCTCATGGGCCTCTATCACCAACTCCACGCCGCCGTCCACGCGAAACACTCCCCCATGCGCGTCCTCCATTCCGTCTCCGAGGATGCTACTTCCTTGGCCTGGATCACTCCTATTTTCGAATTTTACTGCGTAGCCGGTCCCAACGTGAGCCGTGCCGTTCTCACGCAAGGCGCCAACAAAGTCATTCAATGGGCCCGTCGCGAGGAGGAACGGGTCTTTATCATCGGCGGAGGCGTCTTCTGATCCAGAGAAACGACATGGCCTCTGTATCCTTAGGGACGCTTCATATATTTTTGGAGGGATTAGCTATTAGCTATTAGAAATTACATGAGCTGGCCCTCGGCGGCCATGCCGACTGAGAGAGACACTCTCTACAAGCTTTGGGTATCAATACAAGGATGACTCTACAGTCGAGGTCATCTACATTGTCGTCCACCACGCCTCTGGGATCTCTGTGAGACGCACCGTCGCCAACGTTGAGCGTGATTCCGTCGCCGCCGTCGTCACATCCGACTCGGTCCGGACACCGTCCTCCGATCTTCGAGCGACTTCATACCCTTGCCCATCCAAATCCACGTCCAGCTTCTTCTGCCCACGATTGGACGTCGTACCCACCGCCTCCGCCTCCGCGACAGCAACCGCCACATCTCTGTCCTCCTTCCACTCCGCCCGCTCCACCGTGAACCCCAACTCGTCGCCGCAGATCCGACACGTCGCCCTCCCCTTCCCCTTCTTCCCTTCCGCACCCTCCTTACCGAGAAGCCGACGCAGTCTCTCGACCGACCGCGCCGCGAACCACGCCATCTTCCTCCTCCGGCGTCCCCGCTTCTGGCGGCAGCCGCCGCTCTGGTGGCACCACGGCGCCTTTGGCAAGACCAAAAGGGCGGCGTCCCCTTCGCCCTCTTGACCCGTAGCCTTGTTTCTCTCCATGCTCTTGCCCTTCTTCTTCTTCTTTGGCTCCGGCGGGAATACGCCGGTGGGCTTGGGAGTAGTAGTAGGCGGCGTCGGCGGCGAAGGTCGAGGGGGCTCTGGTTTGATAAAGAGAGCCGTCTGCCGCCTCTTGTTGCCCTTCTCACCATTGGCCTGTCGACCCTCCCCGCCCGACGAAGCCTCCGAGCTCGAGATCGTCTCTCCTGTCCCGGACTCTCTCTTCCTCCTCCCCATCTGCTTCACCTTCTCCTTTTCCTTGAACTTCTCCTTGTCTTTCTCCTTCGCCTTCGCCTTCTCGTCATCAGTAGGCGCGGTACTACTCTCACCCTCTTCATCAAACTCCCTAACCAACTTGCGGACCGTAGCCTTTATCCTCTCTTCGCTCCCCATCGACGATGATGATGATGACGACGACGACCTCTTCCCAACGGAGTCGTCCACGTCCGCGTCGGCCATGACGCTATCCTTTCGTTCCCTAGGATCATCCGCATCCGCATCCGCATCCGCATCACTGCCAGCGTCGTCCGCCACCGCCGCCGCGGGAGTATTCCTTGCACCCCTCATCGACAGAGACGACCGTGACGAGAGATGCAGGGTCGGATTCTCAAAGAAGGAAGGCTGTTGGATGACCAAGGGGAGACGGTCCAGGGGGGACCTGACGTTCTTCATCTCTGACAGGGAGGAAATCATTTCTTGTTGGTGCGAATGCAGTGAAGAAGGGACCATGAATATACTTTGAAGGCTTACGGGTGTGGTGAAGCTGTTGATGAAGCTATTGATGAAACGAATGGCAAGGTTTTGCAAATTTCTGAGTCTTGAGACGACTTTTGATTTGTATCACGATAGTTTCTAACGAGTGTTGGTTCAACGAACGGTATGGTGGAGTACCTTAACGAATGTACGGGTCGCGTGGACGGTATGTACCAAGGAAGCTTCCGCAAGGACAGACATCTCGGGGGACAGCACGGTTTTGTGAGGGACGGTTCCGATGCCATGAGAACCCTCATGGTCAATCAGCCCCTCCGTCATGTATCCAGTAAAGGGCCGTACGTAATACGGTAAAGTCATGTTCATGATGCAAGCCCTTCCATTCTCGCTTAGCGCATCCTGAGCACCGCGCAAGGTATTGACTCGTATCGTACTGTATTGATTCTGTGAGTCTGGCCTTGATCTCGTCAAGCCACTGCACGATCTCTCGTTCTCAACAAACCAGCCGTCCATCATTACTTCCCAACCGCGTATGCGATATACTTCATGCCGGTGCCAGCACTTCGCTCATACCCCTCCAAAACAACAGCAACAAGTACTTTTCAAGAAGCCCATGTCCTTCAGAATCAAGCAAGGAAAGCACCCAATGACGCTAGTAATAATTCCAACGTTTTCTCCCTGACAATTACGCAGTGATTTCGCTCTCGTTTCGCCGGCCCTTGACACAAATGCGGGCAGCTTGCCGAATCCATCCCTTCATTTTTCTTCGCACTTGCTTTGAATAAGCCGGCCTAGCCGTGGCCCATTCACTATGGACGACTGTCGCGTCAGAGTTCGTCGAGACGATAAACCCGTTTGGTCGGAGCCGTCCGCCAGCGTGCTTGTTCACACGCTCTCGAAGATTCAAACGCGACTGTGTGAGGCGAAGCCTGAGGTTGGATAACTTCTTCCTGAGGATCCTCGGCCGGAAAAAAGTTAAATCAGAGCTGAAGCTCCGAGAATCATTAAGATCAAATCCATCAGTGGACGCACTCAACCTAAAGAGGTTCACGTCCACAGGGTGCGCCAGAGGGATGTCACGTTCGTGCAAGTGCCCATCTCTGGAGGATCTTGCTGTTGGAGAGACACGGGCAGGTAGGTTTTCCCCGTTTCTAGGTGTGAGCGGGATAAATCTGCTCCCTTTCCGCCGGTAAGCCATGTTGCTTAGGCGCTCCCCGCACTGCACCGGAGAGAGCACCGGAGAGAATAGATCCTTGGCCTGATGGGTTGGTATGTCGGCGAGTATACTTTGCTTGGCGCTGGGGCGATGTCTTACTGTGCCGTCCTGGTCCTCGGGTATTGTGTCCACGTTCGAGGCTGGCCGTGATGCTCTGAGTCGAAGTCTCCGCTTCGATGAACTTTGAGCCACCACATCTTTCGGGTCCATCTTTCTCACATCGTCATGAACCGCCGGCTTTTGCTCGCTCTTGGGTTGGACTGTTTCAAGCTCGATGCTTGCTCGAAAAGACTCATGATCCTCCATATCTGTGTGTGCAGTAATTCTAGGACTCGACCGTGGAGTCGCAAGGATTTCGAGCTGAAAGGGTGAAAACTTCACTGGAAATCTCAAATCGTCGCCAGAAGCCTCCGAGACTTGTCTAGGTTGAGGTTGCTCATCCTTGGGAAGTGAGGGCAAGGCCTTCATCAATTGCGGGATACTGTTACTCGTACTCAATACACAACTCGTAAAAAGTGACCCGGGAGACAGCTGAGAGATGCCTACATTGGCGGCTGGTGGCGCTGTGTGACTTCGCAGGCTTGCCGTGCTGATGCGAGCAAGGGCTCTATTTCTACGATGACCTCGGAGGAAGGGCCTCCACTCAAGATCAGAATGAGTTCCGCCATCTGCATCCCCCACAATGCCCGTTTTCAGGGGTTGGCCGTACTGTATTCCAGCCTGGTCTTTCGACTCATCCTCATCAAAGGTCTCAAGGGACCCAGTCAATACTTCATCCTTTCCCAGGAAAGGCGACTTGGCGATTCGCTCAAACGATGAAACCAAAGCCGCCAAGTCGGATAAACCAGGTTCAACTGAATGGCGTAGACTAGACCGAAGAAGCGCTGCGAGGCCACCATGAGATGAGGCTCTTTGAGACATCCGGTTTCGACCTCCCAGCCTTGCCGGTGGCGTGCTTCGTTCGTCGAGACCAATGATGGCCTCGTTCAGGGTTTCAGAACGGGACTCGGAGGGGGGCACTTTCTTGGGAGGTTCCACAGCAAGGGGGCAGGTGTCGGCCTTCGCCTCCGTGATCTGGCCTTCATTGGCCTTGTCGCAGCCTTTAGAAGAGTTTACATAGTCGCCTAAACCGTTGCCTGGGTTTTCTGTGGTGTAGTCCTTGGGTCTTTGAGGCTTTGAAATTTCTGGAGATGGCTGGGAACCTGTAGTGTCAGTAGTGTGTGACAAGTGAGCAAACATGCTCTGGTCAGTATCAGCGTCGATGCGACGGGAAGCCGATGTCCCATCAACTTCGAACGGAAACTGTTCCAGCGTTGGAGCGGAGGTTTTGCAATTTGAGCGTTGTGAAGGTAATGTTTCGATGTCGTTGGCAGGCTTTCCGACTGGCGCGCGACAATCATCGCCGGAAGAGTCGCTTGAGTCTTTTACGGATATGTCGATAACTGCGTCAAGATGAGCTTTCGTTTCGTCTCGAAGTACCAAAGCTTTGGTAAGACTCGATGCTCGCTGGGGAATTGGAGCCAAGGGAAGCGCCGGTGCTGATTCCCGAGGATCTGTTTGGTGATCCGGAGTTTCAAATTCTTCAGTGTAGTCGTAGTAGAAAGATCCTGTGGGACGAATTGTGCGTGACAGATTTGGCTCCGACCCCGGAGGCGATCTGTAGTACATCTCAATGACTGAAGTCAGGCTTGAAGATCTTACACTATGATCCGTGGACGGTCGTCGTGATCTGCTCGAAGGCTCGTTCCTCCACGGGTCATGGTAACCACGGTACCTAAAGCCGGATTCAGCTGGCGAAACGAAAGGCTTTGAATATGGCAGTGACGGCATCGATTGGTTGGATCCGAAGCGGAACGCATTGGGAGGAGCAAGTCGTTGCGATTGTGGAAAGGTTGGCTTGTACGAGCCATGCACAGTCCTCTAGTGGCTGGTGAGCTGCCAAGCCGCAACACTTTGTGAGTAGCCAATAATGCTTACATATGAGATTCGATCTATTTCGACCATCCTACTGTAGTCAACGAGTCCATTCTCTGTGAGAGCCGGCGAAGACGGCCGAACCCCGGGGCGTTTAAGTCGAGTCGGATAGGGAAATGGAGAGCGTGGTCGTTGCATTATGCCGCTGCTTGAATGGCTCTGCAGAGTACCGGATGACTTGTTACTGGAAAGCTTCCGGGAACCACACGTGGTCAGTGAATATGAACGCTGGTACGTCCCATCCATTCTGGGAGACAACGAGCTGGAGAAGGAGGATGGAGGACCTTCTGACCCGTACATGGAGATGATTTCTGAGTTAGTGTCTCTATCAGAGCTATGCCATCTGCGTCCGGTTCCAGAGATGGTCCTATCGCTGGCACGAGACTCAGATCTGAAAATTGTGTCGACATCGAGCCCGGACCGTGATCTTGCGCACTGATGAATTGTAGCCGCGGGAGCTATTGGCTTGATGCTGAAGATGCCTATGTCGCCTGTTTCCGTCGTGGTCTTGAGCATGCTCTCGAGAGGACCAGGCGACGGAAGAAAGCTAGCATTCTCGTTGACACTTCTCAGCGGTCGACGCGGTAGGCCGTATCCTATGGATGGTCGAGCGTGGGACTTGTAGCTGCTGCGAAGTGAGCCATGGCTGGCGGAACGACGTTGGACATGGACGGTCTCCATTTGGAGAGACTTTGCAGAATGTTTGGCACAGGTGGGACGGTAATATGAAGTATCTCTACTTGAAGGACAAGGCAAAAACGTCGGGTACTGAAAGAGAGACCCCAAAGAGTCGACATGAAGCTATGTTGAGGCCGGGAGGCTGACACGGCATCCCTTTGCGTGGCGGACGTTGTGTCGGACGAGCATATTGACAATATTGGCAGCGGGGTGGACGTCGGCTGACCTCGACTCATACGTGGACTCGAGATGGGAAGGGACGACGATGCGGTAGAGGCAGGTAGGTAGGTGGTACCTTGACCTCTGCTAGTTCGCCACCGCAAGAAGCTACCTCTCGACGATTTGAACATCTGGTAAGGCACTCCCTAATGAGTATGCGCCTCATATCAGCCGCTCCTTCCTCAGTCACAGGTTGTTAGGGACGAGGAGCTCTGCATGTAGGGCTCAAAGAAAGAAGGTCTCGTTTGCCTGGCCTTCGAACAACTTTCCGATTCTGTCGTCGTGGTCGAAGAGATGAGATGTCGCGAGAACAGCGACATGAAGCTGCAGCTTGAGCGCATCGTAAGCGCTGGGCCGTCTATCGTTGCAAGTCTCCCAAACAAGCCTGACGCTTCTCGGGGAGGCCAGAGCCTGTGAGCAGGCCGCTAAGCTTGAAAATAAGTCCCAACATCATCCGTCATGTCGTCTACAATGAGTAGATGAGGGGTTTCACCTTCAAGTCCAAGACACAGACGACCAATCAGGCTATGGGTTGCTGACGACGAGGCAATCCATAGAAGACTGGAGGGATGATGGACAGCTGAGGCGCTGAAGCTGACAACTGTGAGAACACAATGACTTGATTGGTCTGCTATCCAGCGCCAGCTGCCTGTTTAGGTAATCATCTCGAGGATCAGTCAGTTTAGGTACGTAGTGGGTAATTAATCAATACTGGGCGACATCTACCGTAGGATATGCTCACGTTTCCTCTAGAAAGCTGACATCTGTCCTTTTCGTATTTCAGCCTTATTAGTGTCTGAACGACTCACCCCGACAATGGGTTTGCGAGATAATATAAGGAAATTGGAACAAAATGCCGGCGACGGCGCCCCAGCCAGCATGTGTCTTGTCCGACCATTTACATAGCACAAAGCTTGAGACGGATTCTGAAAGCTTCCTCGCCAGGCCCCATTTGCGGCGGAGCATCCGGGTCGGACGCAAAGATGAGATGTAGAGGTTGGGTTGCTCGGGACACGGTTCCGTTTTGCATGCAGCTGCGAAGCAAACGGAATAGCAATTGGGGTCTCATCCGCAGAGGCGAAATAACTAGATGTGCCTGTCGACCTGGTTGTTCTTCTGAGGGCAGCGTTTGCGCCTTGGCCATTCATCCGAATAGCTCTGCTGTTGCTCAAAAGTATTGCCGTAGTTTCCGGCAATACCAACTTAAACCCCACAATGAGTCAAGATGCAGCATCGCAGTTGTAATTATGGGTTGCGTCGACATTGCCATGTTGGACCCTGGAAATGAGGCTGGGAGGTTTGACCACGGTATCCAGTAGAGCAGGATGGGTGGCTAGCTGGAGCTCTCGCAGAGCCACCTCCATTCTTTTGTCGGACTGCGAGCGAAGCACCAAATAAGAAGCTGCCGAAACAGGCCAGATCTGATTTAGTGATCCGCTCCACGGTAGCGTTGCCGATGGACCTCGAGCCGGCAGGGCAGCTTGGCGGGTGGTGGAGAAGTTGAGTCCCAGGGACAGATCCAATGGCAAGAGGGGTGATCCTTGTGGTGGCACTGAGCAAGGCCCAGATAGAGCTTGTACACGGCAAAACGTGGAAATGTGTCCTCTGGGACCTTTACGAAATCTTGCCGCCCCCAGGCCCGAACGACCCATTGTTGGCTGTGCCTGCATTGCATACGGATACACGGTACGGATAACTTGGTAGTAGAGGAAGGAGGAGGCGGAGGAGGAGATACCACGGGAAAGGAATGAGACCACCACCACCACACACTCCCGTCGCAACCAACCCGAGCCTGGCGCGCACTGAGCTGGTCCGGGCTGGAACTGGGAGGACATGGGATGGAGGGTGTCGTGCCTCATGGTGCCTGTGCCATCGCCGGCGCTTGTGCCATGTTAATAATCATTCCTCAATCAACATTATCCCGTCTGTCTCAGACCGCCCAGGCATAAGGCGGAACGCGAGGAAAGGGGGGCTGTCAACGACAGTGGGCTCCGAGCGCGCTTGCTCCCTGGTCTCTCGCGCTTCTGAGGCCCTCAGCCTCGATGGCCTGCTGACAAGAAGGTCGTGGAGCTCCAGCAGCTTCTTGATGCACGGGGAGAAACCTGGAAACAGGCGGGTGGGGGAGACCTTGGTGTAGGTAGGCAGAAGCAAGAGCAACGCCAATGTAGAAAGGTTCCTTACTTGATGATGGCAAGCCCAGCCTACCTTACTTTCACAGCAAAAAGCGTTCCTACTCCGCCTAAAGCTTACCTATGGATGGAAAGATAAACCCCCTAAAGTAACGGCCTCTAAGTTATAAATCTAAAGGTTTAAAGGATATGAGAATCCTTTTTACTAATTGACAACACTACCTTTGCTCACCGTCCCCTTCAAACGGCCGGAAGTCAGTCAGCCAGCCTGGGCTTGATTATCAATTCACCGTAAGTTAATGTTGCTAGCGGTCGAACGGTGGGGGGAGTGCTTGGAACCTAGGGAGGGGGTGGAAGCCGAAGCGAGTTTGCCCCTCACAACAGAGGAAGGCACAGGCTCACTAGCGGATTGGGGTAAGGACGTACCAATATGTCCAGGGCAGGTGCTTCTTCTGCAGATCTGCCCGCATAGAGACTTATGGATACTTAGCCCAAAAAGAGGAGAAGGGCGTTCCCCCATCCACTCATCCACCACAGACACTGCAGCCGCCTTAGTGAATGCATGAGCTGACTGGCGGTTCCTGGAAAAAGGGACACCTGTTCTCAATTGCCCTTTAGAAATCCGGAATCTTTCTCCAGAACCTCTTGCACCCTCTACTTAAGACCAAAGCCTTCCTCGTTCACCACGGTCTGAAATTCGCCTCGACAGCCTCGCCTTCTTCACGAGTGTACTTTTTTCTTTCTTTCTTCCATTGTTCATTCTTCAGATCAAAGAAAGGTAAGCTTCATCTCAATTTCCTCTTGCCGCCAAAGCTGTCACCAAGCCTTGTCGGTCGAACGAGGAAGCAGCAAATGGTCGCCACCTCTACCAAGTTCCAGTGGGCAGCTTTCCCATCGGTGAGGCTGGTGGAATCTGCATGCGTTCTCGTTCCTACACCCTTGACCCAACCCGTCACGACTCTCTCAAGGAGATCGTAACATCAAAGCTAACATTTAATTCTTTCACAAGACCAAGATGTTCTGCAAGCGTGTCGCCCTCGGCCTTTTGGCTGCCGCTGCCGCGGTGTCTGCCTCCGATGTTGCCCAGTTGAAGAAGGATGACTTCGCCGACTTCATCAAAGCCAACGACCTCGTCCTCGCCGAGTGTGAGTCTCCCCCAAAATCTAGCTCCGATCGAACCGGATCAAAACTGATCGTGGAACTATAGTCTTCGCTCCCTGGTGCGGTCATTGCAAGGCCCTCGCTCCCGAGTACGAGGAGGCCGCCACCTCCCTCAAAGAGAAGAACATCAAGCTCGTCAAGGTCGACTGCACTGAGGAGTCTGAGCTTTGCCAGGACTATGCTGTCGAGGGCTACCCCACCCTTAAGGTCTTCCGCGGCCCCGACAACGTCTCTCCCTACTCTGGCCAGCGCAAGGCTGCTGCCATCACCTCGTACATGGTGAAGCAGTCCCTGCCTGCCGTCTCCCTCCTCACCAAGGACACCCTCGAGGAGTTCAAGACCGCCGACAAGGTCGTCCTCGTCGCCTACATCGACGCCGCTGACAAGGCCTCCAACGAGACCTTCACCAAGGTCGCCGATAAGCTCCGCGACACCTACCTCTTCGGTGGCGTCAACGATGCTGCTGTTGCTGAGGCTGAGGGCGTCAAGGCCCCCGCCATTGTCCTCTACAAGTCTTTCGATGAGGGCAAGGCCACCTTCACTGAGAAGTTCGACGCCGAGGCCATTGAGACCTTCGCCCAGACCGCCGCCACCCCCTTGATCGGTGAGGTTGGCCCCGAGACCTACTCCAGCTACATGTCCGCTGGCATTCCCCTCGCCTACATCTTCGCCGAGACCCCCGAAGAGCGTGAGGAGCTTGGCAACACCCTCAAGCCCATCGCCGAGAAGTACCGCGGCAAGATCAACTTCGCTACCATCGACGCCAAGGCGTTTGGTGCTCACGCTGGAAACCTCAACCTCGCTACCGACAAGTTCCCCTCTTTCGCCATCCAGGAGACCGTCAAGAACCAGAAGTTCCCCTTCGACCAAGAGAAGGAGATTACCCACGATGACATCGCCAAGTTCGTTGAGGAGTTTTCTTCCGGCAAGGTCGAGCCCAGCATCAAGTCCGAGCCCATCCCTGAGTCCAACGACGGCCCCGTCGCCGTTGTTGTTGCCAAGAACTACGAGCAGATTGTCCTTGATGACAAGAAGGACGTCCTGATTGAGTTCTACGCCCCCTGGTGCGGTCACTGCAAGGCTCTGGCCCCCAAGTACGAGGAGCTTGGTGAGCTGTACCAGAAGTCCGAGTTCAAGGACAAGGTCGTTATCGCCAAGGTTGACGCTACTGCCAACGATGTTCCCGATGAGATTCAGGGCTTCCCTACCATCAAGCTCTACCCCGCAGGTGGCAAGGACGCCGCCGTCACTTACTCTGGCTCCCGCTCCATTGAGGACCTGATCGAATTCGTCAAGGAGAACGGCAAGTACAAGGCCGAGGTCTCCGTCAAGGAGGAGGGCGCCGAGGAGAGCCAGGCCGCCGCCGCCGCCACCGAGGCCGAGAAGGAGAAGACCAAGGAGACCGAGAAGGTCAAGGAGGATGCTCACGACGAGCTGTAAAAGGTTTTTTGGGTTCACTATGAAATGACACTTTGGGACGTCCCATGGGATAGGGACTATATACCTCTTGCGCGTTAGGTCGACTCTTTGCATTATGGTCTGCGGGTAAATTAACGTTATGAAATTCGAGCACATGTCAACAAATTGTCCCATTTTCCTTGAATCAACCGTGACACACTACAATGATGTGTTTCCTACTCATGCTAGCCATGTTGACAATCTTGTTGACAAGTTTTTAGTCTTTTACCGAGAACGATGACAAATCCATGGCATAGAGGCAGACAACAACATCACATATCAGCTGATAGTTGGCCGGCCAGTAGAGATGATCTTACTAAGCGCCTAAGCAGCTGTTATTGCAAGCATATTGGTTTCAAAGCTAACTCACCACCCATGTGACTGTTCTCTGCAGTGTGGTTCCAAAGACTGTGTTTGATCTTAATAAGATGCTAGGGGAAACTCTTTCTTCTCTTACGTTGGAGGCTGGTCCCAGTAGCTGCAGTCTGTAGAGAATCTGGTTACTTTAGCTAGTTGTTGCTAGTGAGCAGACGCAACATATTCTTCCAAGTCATTCGTTTCGTGAGCTTCCCTAACCTTGCTCGTCGAGGCATAAAAGTTCGATTGGCATCTCGATTGGGTGCGTGGAGGGTTTCATGAGTTGGAATTTGGAACTTGAAGTAAGAAGAGGTCACTTGCCGCTGGTGGCTGTGGATCTCGCCTCCTTGGTTTCAAGTGCAACTTATGATGGTGTCTGTAAACGGCATTGAACGCCAATGGTCCACATATTGGTCGTGATAACTGGCAGACGAGAGGGCACATTAGTCAATGGGAATGTCCGAATTTTGCTGCTTCATGACGGACGAGGAGGAGGGGAGCCATGTCAGGACAATTAAGTCTCCAAGTTGTGAAAGGGCAGGCATCAGGGGAATACTGGGGGTTTAAGTGTTAGATTTATTCTTATGCTAACTACAGTCAATGGGCTGATTTCCAACATGCGTCCTTATTTTCGACAACATTATGTATCATACACGATTCTTTTTGTAAGGAGTGTCAATAGACTTGGCATCATCTCACGTGCAGCCTATGGCAGGTTTTTCTCCCACCTGGAATTCTCAAGTACTCAATACCAGATATTTCTTTTGTACAGTATCGCTCAAGGTCCGTGTATGAGACATGGGACCAAATCAAGTTAGCTTTCAAGTAACTTGACTTCATTTCAGAAAAATGCTCAAGTGCTAAATGTGCTTCTTGGTTTCCACTGGTATTCTAGCCATACGTCGACAAACCGGAAAGAAACGCGGTACAAAGGTCTAATGGTTGATGCCTCATATTCGCATACAATTGCTATCTACGTGTTCGCATGTGAAATAGATGGCCACGAAGAATAGTCAAGGGTAAATCCATACCAGCCTAGCCTGTCATACCCAAGCTTCGTTAGCCATTTCGCCCCAGCAGTTCGGACCAAATGGTCCCAAACACAAATACAATACGGTTTGCTAGGCAATCGAAGCTGGCATCTTGTGATGATCAGGCCTTTTCTACCCTCGGTCACAGCCAATCAAGGCTACATGATCCATCGCTGATCAGGTGAAGATGGGTGGTGATGGGCTCGAGAGGCCCTGCCCGGTGCACAATGGGCTTTCCGCCGCCGATGAGCGGGGAATCCCCTCGAATCTCTCTGGACCTCCGCGCTGCTTCAATATTAACAGATTCAGGAACGCGCAAGCTGACATGCAACGTCTACGTCCATCGTTGGACCCCGGATTTTACCACGGCAATCATCTAGGGGATTGAATTGTGGAAAGATTTGCCATTGTTTCCCGGAAATTGCTGGGATATAAGGTCGTGTACCCATCAGAGAATATACTGGAATAAGATATACTCTGATAGTAGTGCCTGCTTGTGAGATGACATGAGGTCCGGCTGGCCACTGAACAGCAAAGCTGGAACGCTTGTCTATTGTGTTGAGTCAAGGGTGGACAGCCTCAACCACTGCGCCAGGGCTCCTCATCCGAAAGTGACAAATTTGAAGGAGAGTTGGCTTGTAGACAGCAGGAGGGTGCCTCTCCTTCACGTGGTGCTGGTCATTCTTGGATGAAAGTAACATTGAATAATAGTCTTCTAGAGCGTGTATTGGATTTGACAAGCAAGGTACAGATGCGGTGGCTTGCCAGGACATATTTGATTGTACGGGATTTACGAGAGATTGGCCCAGCGGGCGAACGAGACGAAAACCATTCCTCGAGGAATGTCCCGGGAAAGTGACGTTCGTCCGCTGTTGACTGTCGAGTGAAGACGAATCGCAGTTTTGTGCCGTTATCTCGAGGAGGATTTCGCCCCTTCTCGCCCTCGAGTGAGAGGCCGAACGCAACAAGAGCAGGTATTTCGTACAAGGGCGGCAGGCAGGATATATAAACAGCGAAGAAACACGTTTCATACATGTACTTGCAGTGATTCCACGCCTTACAGGCACATTGTTACAGTCTTGATATACACAAGCTCTCAAATCTCGACCCCCCCAAGGCAAGTTGCGTAGACCCTGCCCTTGAATCTAAAGGACCTCACAAGGAACAAAATTCGGACGCTGTTTGGAAAAGTTTGGTCGTAACCATTGTGCTGTGCTGCTTTTTGTGCTGTTCGCCTCGAAAACCCCACCGTCCATTATGGCGGCGTCCCCTCGGCCATTTGATTCCTCGTCTACTCCTCGTCACACTCTCCCACCTTTTATCCTGCAACGATACGACCACGTTTACTTCCTCTTGCGCTCAATAGTATCCATCTTCTCTTCCAACGCCTCGACGTACTTGCTCACGCGCTGGACGGCGGCCTGGAGTGCCTATATTAATGAGGTCTCGTTAGCCTTTTTCGGATCTTGACGTAGGGTCTGTGGCGCTGATTCATGGCATTGTTAGAATGGTGAAGGGGGAAAGGAAAGGCGAGACTGTTCATGCCGGCGGTGGCGGTCTGCGAGACGGCGCTGGTGGGTGCTCCGTTGCAGCGCATGACACGCAAACGACGCCTTCGACCAGCACTCATAGGAACGTAGTAGAGAACGAGATGGCAGAGGCGGAGAGAGTCGAAAGGACCAGGGAAATATAATATGAGATGCAATGACGCACGTAAATGTCCTCCGTCAGGAGCTCGTTGGAGGTCTTGTATTCTTGGAGGATGTAGGAGTAGACACCAGCGCCAGCGAGGGAGCTGCCGAGGAAAAAGCCAAAGAGACTGTCGAGGGTTCGATTCGTTAGCAACTATCTCATCTCTCTTCGGGTAGATATCACCCGGTTATCGGCATCCATCCTGGATTTCCCCCAAGCTCATCACGGGACCAATTGGCCAGCCACATGAACTCGACGTAGGATAGCTGCACCGGGGAGGGAGAAGAAGAAGAAGCTCAAGACGTACCCTCCGCGGAAAGCACCGACGGGTTTCCGGGCCGGCAGGGGTGCGGCGACGGCGTCGCGCAGGGGTGAGGAGGTCTGGAAGTTGCGGGCGGCGCGGAGAGGGAGGCCGGAGGCGCGGGGGAGGGCGCGGGTGACGATGCGGGAGGCCATTTTGGTTCGGGTGATTTCGTGCGTGTGCTCGATGGAGAGAGAGAGGATGGCTGTCGGGGGAGATTGAAGGCGACCCGGTGGAATTGGGCGCGGAGTGTTTGACGAGGATAGATGTTGGTCGGCTTTCTACTCGTTGTTGTTGTTGTTGCTGTGGTGGTGGTGTTGGTGGTAGGGAAAGTGGCAGGATGGGATGGCGTTAACCAAGTTCAATGAGGTCGGTCGGGTCGGTGCTCTGGGGGCTAGGTACCGGTAATTTGGCGGGAACCTGGAAGCTCTCGTCCCAGCCCAGCTCGTTACGTCGTTCCTTCTGCGGCGCCGCTGCAGCGTGCATTACCTCAGTCAGGTACCGCCTCCGCCTGCGCCGGACCAGCGAGAGGGCGGGATTAGCCGGGACGCCATTGGCGGTATTCCATTGGTCAGAAATGCGCGGCCGCGCAGCCGGCTTTTGCTGGGGATTGTCTGGGGAGTGGCTTCATGATCCACTGAAGGGAGCTTCGGGAATGCGGCTCCTGGGCGCTTTCGGCACTTGTCGACTTCTGGCTTCTGAGGGCATGGGGGCTCGTCACGGTGTTTGGAAACTCTTGAATGTGGATTGAAATTTCCAGTGGTCAATAAGTCTGACGATGTCCACTGTTCGATTCTAATCGAGTTACCGAGGCCTAGGCTTACAACATACCAATCGGGGGAGCTCTTTGCTCACTGCTTTTATTGTCTGTAACCAACCGACTCCGATTGGTCAATATTTAGCCACTCAACGTCACCTCCTCTGATTCGCTACAAAAAAAAGTTCAAGCTCAAAGACTCTGTGAGCTCCAGGACAAACCGCCACACCACCACAAACTCCTCCACTTCCTTCCCCCAAAACCCCTGCTGCGATACCTCCATCCTCGAAATGAACAACTTTGGCGTCTACGAGCTAGCCAGCAAAAAGGTTACAAACGCCCCGGGATGGGCCTACGTCCCCGACACGGGCCTCAACCCGGCCGCCGCCGCCCTCCAACCCGCGAACCGCAAGCGCGCCGCCCGCAGCAAGGCGAACCCCTCCGCCTCGGACCTCACCGTGCGGCAAGAGGCCAAGATCCGCAAGGAGCTCGAGCAGCTGGACCGCGACGGCGGGCGTGATGCCTCGATACCCATCCCGGCCAAGGCCTCTAGAGGTGCGCGCTTCTCAACCCCTCTCCTCCCCTTCCCCAATGCGCCGCGGGAGACGGGACGGAGTGTAGTCAAAATGCGACTGCCAGACTAACGGACGGTTTGAATCCGCGAGTATAGGTCAGAACAAGAGCACGCCAGCTATCCGCAAAATCCTCCAATCCCAAAAGACGTTCCACAATCACTGCGACGACCACCTCGCCCTCCTCTCGCATGCCGGGAACGCGCCGGCGCCGCACCCGAACCAGCACACGGCCAAACCGGCCAACAAACCACCCCATCCGAACCAGCACACCAAGCGCAACGCCGCCAAGCGCTCAAAACCCTCGACGCCGAAGCCGCCAGTGGAACTGGACGATGTCGAGATGACGCCCGCGCCGTCGACTGCGGCGGGAGAGGATTCTGCGACGGCGGCGACAGCAACATCGACAACGGATCCGGTACTCACGCCCTATGATAAACCGGGCCCGGCACCGCACCCCGGCGACGACGATCCGCTGCTCGTGTCACGGGTCCCCGAGATGCCGACGGACGAGGAGCTCAAGTGGCTGCTGTCGCGGCCGATGCTGAGCTTCTGGGACGCGAGGGCCGAGTGGGGCGACGACGACACGCGGTACCCCGAGAGGACGTTCTGCGAGGTGTGCGGGTATTGGGGCCGGGTCAAGTGTATGAAGTGCGGGACCAGGGTTTGCGCTTTGGATTGTCTCGAGACGCACCGGGAGGAGTGTTTCACGAGGTATGGCATTTGAATTTTTTTTGAGGGCTTGGGCTTCGAGACGCAGGTTCATGGTTGTTTTTGTCACTTGTGGTTTATGTTTGGATGTGGAAAGGGCATGGATGGTGAATTGTGAGGCGTTATGATACCCCCCCTTGTCAAGTTTGTCCTTATGCGGAAGATAGAAATATGATTTCAATTCGCTGGCCTTGACGGCCTACGAGTCTGGATTTGTGACAACATCCCCTATGAGGCGTTTGTACAGATGCGAATGTTTCTCACAAGCGCAATGTATATATGTGTATATATATCCGGTTGGAAAGTTTGCCCCTAGAAGAAGGCAAACACACCCTCCAAGTCCAGAACTGTGTCATGAAAACCATGAAGCTACGGCATATATAATGCCTCTAGCATGAAAGGAAAAAACGAGGTATCCCCCGTCATGGGAACAACCTCTGTGAGGAGGAACGTAAAGAGAAAAAACACATCAGATGCAAAAACATCCCCTCATCCGCCCGCCCGGACGCACATTGAACGCACGTTTTCTCTTCGTAAGGGGGAAAAAAAGTCGTCCTTTTCCCAGTTACAAATCGTCCATGCCAAACGAGTTCTTGAGCGTAAACTCGACGTCGCCAACCGTCGCGCCGCCGGCGCAGACGGCGCGGAGGCTGCCGGTGGGGCACTTTTCGCGGGCGGCGCGGACGCACTGCTCCCACTTGTTCTTGGCAATGGTGATGCTGGCGCCCTCGACGGTGGTCTTGAGGGAAAACCGCGCGGAGCCGGCCTGGCCTGTCGTTGTGGAGGGGTTGCCGTGGCAGGCGGCGACGTCGCCCGAGATGCCGCTGCAGATGGCGAGTTCCGCGGCGTTTTGGTCGTGGAAGACGATGTGGCTAGGGGTTTTGGAGTTTTTGTTAGTTGAGGTTATTTTGAGATTCTATTTGCAAATATTGATGTTTGATATAAGGAAAGGGGGGGAGAGGAGAATGGAGGGGATGGTGTGAATTCTCATGCCAAGGGGTTGTCGTGTAAGTGGAATTGGTGAGAGGACGTACGCGTTGCGGTCGATGCAGGTAGCTTCCACCATTGCCGCCGGGTTCACGGGCTCCTGCATGCGCATGCTGAGAACCTCAAAGTGCTGCTGGGGGACGGTGAAGCGGGGCCATTTGTGGCTTCCGGCCGGAGCGGCGAGGGCCGTGGTGGCTGTGAGGAGGAAGACCAAGGTCTGGATGAACGTGGAGAACATGATTGTGGTGGTTAGGGTGGTTGGTTGTGTGAAAGGTGTCGGTGTGCGTGTAAGTGAACTCGAGGTTGAGGCTTCGGTTGTGGGGGAGTATCCTGAGAGCGGCTTTTCGTTTCGAGGTTTCGGTTCGAATGGATCTGCTATTCTTGACAAACAAAATCGATTCTCCCGAGTCGAGAAAGACGTGAAATTCTTGGTGTTGTTGGTCGGTCGGTCGGTCAGGTAGTGAGAGATATCGCGCGTGTTGGTGAGTCTGGTTGGTCGTCGGGACGCAGTTGTTTAGAACGGACTCGAAAGGGCTTCTTGGAAGAAAGAATGGAACAGATCACAGATCATCAGAGTTGGGGGGGAAAAAAGAAGGAAAATAACAGTCTTCAGACTGTCTGCGGGCTTTCTTGCGGAAAGATTGTGGAAGAGAAACAAATATCAAACGATTCATACTGAAGAGGCGGAACGGGAATGAGGATGGGCAGGCCACTAAGTAGGATCCGCAACCGCCAGATTCACAACTACGAAAAATCCCTTTCCCGCGCGCACTTTTGGGCTAAACTACCATGTGTAAACTTCCTCACTTCCCGTCCACACCCCCTTGGACCCTGGAACCCAGTCTGCAAATCCAAGAGCTGGCTTCCCCATGTCGCAATGAAGAGGAGGGGAGGGGTGTGTGCGAACTTGGCTAGGTACGAGTACTGTATTCATAGATGGCCTGGGTAACCGCCTATGGAGCCCTGGCCCCAATCCACTATGGACCCCTGATTCCCTTGCCATATCGAAGAAATGGGAGCGGGACGGACACACGTTTGTCACGTTGTGCGTGCGTACGTTGCGTGGTTGCGTTGCGTGCTTCGTACGTTCCCTGGCAAAGCCACAGTGTCTCCTCTTTCCTGTTGCCGGCCCGGTCAGGTAGACGAAACTGGGAGGTTTTCCAAAGAGAACCACGCGCGCGGGGGATTGTCTCTGTGCCTCTGCGAGTACGGGTATGGACCGCTTGTCTAGCACCCTAGGTGACCCTAGATGAGGTATTTGCGTCTCGCGGCTCACTCGAGCGGCGGCGGCGGCGACGGCGGCGACGGCGGCGACGACATATGAGTATTTGACCTCGGTGGGTAGCACAGCTTCAAATTCACCACGTTCGGGGATCCGAAGGGGATTGCGTCGTCCGAAGGGATATTAACCTTAGTAACATTAGGGTCACTAAAAGCAAAGCCTGTAATTAGAGTAGGCGTAGTGGTTGCTGCCAAAAGAAGAATAGCTGTGTGAACGGATGAAACCAATGTATCTTTCCCTCCCTCCTGTTCTGGAAAGACATCTCTCAGTCTCTCGCTCTGGCGCTCTCTTCTTACTGAGCTGCAGAGCATGCAGCAATGAGGTGGTAGTCAAAGTCCCCTGGATTCCTGGCGCATTGAAAAGCGAGCAGAAAAGTCCAGAAGGATGGAATGGAACAAGTTTCGGTGGTCACTTGGCCGTCCAATCGACACGGCGGCGGTCATCCGGAGTCGCAAGGTGAAACAGGGCCAGCAGGCCGGCAGGCCGGCAGCCCAACCAGCCAGCCACGCCCCCGAAGCGGCAGGCGACCTTGGCTTATTCGTGCGGTAAGGTACTGCACACTGCACACTGCACACTGCACGGTACGGCGCTCGTCAGTCGAGGCGATACATGCCTACCTAAGGTATTCTAAGCCTCTGAAACTCGAGCGGTGGGGTCTCCCTATCCCGGTATTCCCGCCCGTTTCTCCAGCGGCGCGACTTTGGGGGGACTGCCAATACCACCTACCGCAGTCGTGCATTGCCCCGGGCCGCCTCCCCTCTCTGGAAGCTTCCTCGACGCTAAGCGGCGGACGATGGGCTCCGGTTCGAAATCGCGGGAACATAAAAGACTAGGAGAGCCCTTGGAAGGTTAGAGGAGAATACCGGAGCTTGAGCTCAGGCTGCTCAGCTAGGGTGTGTTGCTAGGTAGCTTTGCTTCTTTTCGCCCAAGGTATCCGATAAGCTGTTGCCGGTCATTAGGATGTGCTGCGATATAGAAGATCCCCGAGAATAGGTATATTTCTAACATCCCCCGCTGCTGATGGTGGGTGGTCTTGTTCTTTAGTTCTTGTTCATGTTGATCATTGATCTGGGTATCTCGCTGTTTATCAAACACTTTGCAGAGTGTGCCCAGAATCCGGGTTTGGCGACATGTACTTATTTGCCAACCACAGTTTTTGTCCTTCCTTCCTTGGGATCCTTGAAATCTCCAGTCCAGGTTCTCTCCCTTGCTCTTCCAGACGCCGAGTAAGCGAGTCTCCGCGTCTTTCTTGGCTCTGGCGATCCCGAGCTGGTGATGGCACCCCAGGCATTTGTGCTGCTCAACGGGCCCTATTCGCGGACGGGTATCCAGCCCGCCATGCGCTCCCATGACTTGAACTTGAATCGCCAGCTTCAGCGACTAAAGCGATAGGTGGTATTCTAAGAGTCTCTGTTGGCAAAGCCGTGATTGATGATCAACTGCATACTTCAAAAGGTCACCCCCCTGGACCCATCGATCGGCCATCCGCCTTGCCTGGCCTGCTCTTTCTCCATGTTTCATCCTTATTGTTCCCCACTGGCCAACCTTGGTGGCTGAGGGGGTCCCATGCTGAGCCTGCAAGCCTGTGAGCCTGTCCGTGAATCGTGGTGGCTCGAATTTTGGACGAACCCACCCGCAAAACTTTACTTGACGAGTTGACGTATTAGTCTAAAATGAATGAGAGTCATTTTCGTAAATTGCCTACGAGGGTGTGACTACAGTCTATGTTCCCGCTTGCCTCTTTTGCGTAGGAAACGCGAATGAAAACGTTTCCCAGAATAACGACCCGTACCTAGGCGTGCTAGGTAAACAAATCAACCACACAGAGCTGAGCCCCAGCCAGAAACGAGCGAGTCCGACCGTGTGTGGCCCTTCACTACTGTGTAAGTGAGTTGACGATGGTGCGGATACTACTCGATATTAACATGCGCTCATCGCCTCATCTAGTCATGGCTCCTTTGCTTCCTTTTCCTTGCCCACATTATCCGTACATACTTTTGTTATTTACTTACATAGTACTTGTTTGCGAGTGCACCACAGTTGATTAGCAATAGACGCAATTTTTCCATTATCTGGAATTCATCTCTTTGGATGCAAAGGTCCTGTGTCACAACCTCATTGAGTAGTGACCCAACTCAACCTTGTTTTTTTCGTTTGCTCTGCCCGCAGACGCCGCAAACTCCAAAGTCGCCGGGGTTGAGATACGCGCTTCCCTGGCACGCGGCGCTCTCGCAGCGCCAGGCGTTTGGTACGCTTGCCAGATCCAGCACGTGGGAGCAGACGGCACACGTTATCGACAGGGCAGAGTTGGCAAACGAGCAGACTCCACAGAGGAATTCGGTTTCTTCTCCACCGGCCGTCGCATCGACCGCCGCTCTATTCGACTTTGGCCCTGATATCGTCGCTGACTCAGTCGTCGTCGCCCTCTCGGTCGATGGCGACGCCGTGGATACGCTGGACAGCGTGATCGGATGACGAGTTGCTATTGACCGGGGTCCGTCTCGCGCTTCTCTCTTGATTGTGGGGGGTGCACTCGCGATATCTAAAATTGGCGCCTCCTGATCGTCATCCGGCTCCTCCTTGACCTTGACTCGGGGAGCAACTTGTAGCTTCGGTGCCCTTCTCATCGATGCCTCCTTCTGTAGTGGCTCTGCTGCTCGGCTATGTGGCTGTCTGGCTGCGGCTTCAGCCTCATCGTCTACGGGCTCGCGCTTGAGCTCGAGATGCGTCTGTCGCCATTGCTTCACCGATGCCCGCAACTCCTGCAGCTCGTTCTGCGCGTCATGGTCATCGGGGTTCTCATCTTCGCAGACCTTGATCATGCCCCGGCCTTTGCCGTCCTTGATCGGCCGCCCATCAATGTCGACGGCGTCTTCGTTCTTGACGTCGGCCGGATCATCCTCGTACTCGCTTTCCCCGCTGTCGTCCTCATCCTTGACCTCGTATTTGATGTCCTCCTCAGGCTCCTTCTTCGTCTGATCGAACCGCGCAAGCGCTGCTGCGGCTCGCAGTTCGCGCCCTCGGGCACTCCCAGCCACGCGGGGCTTTGCCTGCGTGCGTTTGCCGCCTTCCAGCTTGACCTTGGCCTCCTCGTCGGCGCCCAAAGCCGTGCCGTTGGCGCCGAACTTCTTGAGGATTCGGCGCTCCTTTTGCTCCTTGTAGGACAACTTGGGCTTAATCTTCCTCTTACGTCCACGCGATCGATATGTGCCGCCACACAGGTGTTCCGGTAGCGGTTCCGAGGGAAGCGCGACGTTGTTCTGGAATTGTCCTGTACCCAGCAGGGCTCCACGACCCCAGATGCCGTCGCCAGAGTAACCTCGCTGCCAAAGCCCTCGCATCTGTTCGGCGTACTGGTTTCTGACGGCCCAGAATGCCCTAGAATGATTCATTTGCTTGCAGTGCGCCAGCCTTTGTTCGGTCAGCAGCGGAGTCTTCGGAGATACTCCATCAGACTTACTCGTGCATCATCACCATTTGGACGTACTCAAATGGTAGCCATCGTCCTGACCGAGACTTGAGAACCAGCTGAATGATTTCACCGGCATTAAAGTTCCTGCCAACGAATTCCCTGTTGAACTCGTACTCCTCCAGAGACATCACCGAAAGATGGTGCTCTTTCATGATGGGTACTGAATCTGGTCAGCTGGGCTCGGTTTTAAAAGCTCACGCAACAACTCACAACATTGTGCAGCGATTCGTTCAAGGAAGTCCTGGGCGATCTTTGCATCGTTGCCTTTCAGAGGCTTGATGAAGATGATTCGGTCATTTGGGTGCGAACGTTTCGCATTCAGCCGCTGAATGCCGATCGGCATAGTGGCACAGACAGGGAATTGGGAACCAGGATATAGAAGGTTAAATGTTACGGAATATCGCAATATTTCGCCTAATCTTTAGGCAGATTAGTTGGTCTTCCGCGAAGACCAAGGATATCTACAATGGAGTCTTGGTGGAGAGGAGGGCGTCGTCTAAGACTGGACGTGCCGAGAGGCAAAAGACGACAGAGCGCGAATGACGCGCAGTCACGTGCCCCACTTTCATGACCTTACGTTTCGGTGACTCTTTCCTGACTGCCTTCCCAAGAGACGGCTGCCTGGTCGAGCCAACTTTTGCTTGTTTCCGCATTTTGGGTTTCCAAGACTACCTTATGTGCATATTTCTGCTACGCTCATCACCGCCTTCTGGCACCACCAGCAGCGCCAGCATCCCCTCTTTCGGCAAGGGATACAACCTCACTAATACCAGCCGCCTCCTGCTCTTCCTCCAACGCCGTGATCTCCTCTCTGCAGTCCCACCACTTCTCCTCGCTGAGCTCGAAAGCCTTGGCTTTGATCTCCTTGATGGCGAGCGCCTCCACCTGGATATTCTTCCAGCGCAGGTTGGTCATGAGAATCTCTTGCCACTCGTTCGTCGTGCGCACGAAGAAGTCTCGTCTTGTCTCGAAAGGCTGTAATGTGTTAGCATGATTTTGATCTTAAGGCAAGGGCTCGTAAAGCGTACTCTTGGGTGGGGGAGACCATCGTCGACCGTTTCGGTAGCCTCGGTGTCGTCATCCTCCGCGGTGCTTGTAGGAGCAGTCGAGGTCGTTGCGTTGGTCGTCTCAGAGCCGGCAACGGAGGCCTCGTCGCCCTGCTTCTTCTTGCGCTTGCTCGGCGTGTAGAATTGTCTCTTGTCTTCTTCCTCCATCTCGATGTCACCTTCTTCGTCTTCATCCTCTTCATCATCATCATCGTCATCCTCATCATCATCGTCGTCGTCTTCATCCTCGGACTCCTGCAGTGCCGTTAGTGAAGTCAGCCTAACTTCGAACCTGGTCTGACTTACAATCCAGTCCTCGACAGGTCTGTTGAAGATTTCTTTACAGCCGTCCATCTTGCCGAGGTCCACAGCGTACAGGTCGTCAAACGTGAACTCGCGGTCCTTTGCCTCGAATGTACCGCCATAGATGTAGAGTACATCATCCTGCACAGCCAACTGGGCATTGAACCGTTGGTGCGGCAGCTCCATTGTAATCGGCATTTCTCTCAGAGGGTTTGCATCCTCTTCCGGCACCTCCTCCTTCTTCTCAATCTCCATGTCGTCGGCATCTTCCAAAGACTTGCCTGTTTCCAGAGCAGCCAGCTGACGGAGGAGTTCCTCCTCTCGGTCTTGGGCTCGCGCCCGACGGCCTCCGCGCTGCTCGGACGGGTTGGCCTTCTTTTGCTGCCGGGATTTGCGGAGGGCGAGTGGGAAAAAGCGGTTCCGCTCAATGTTCCATGCGAAAAGCTCCCTGAAGAACTCGCTGTCCATGCCTTCTTCGCTATCCTCGACATCGTGCACGCCTCCAAACAGAATGCCACGGCCCTTGTGCCATGCCATGGTAGCGCCTGCACGTTTGGGGCTCGGAGCATTGGCTGGCTTCTTGCGCCGTTCCCAGCGAACGACTGGAGGCGCCGTCGGAGGCGAACCATCAGGCGGCAGCGACATCCTAAGGAAGAAACAATCATCGTGCACCATTGGCTTCAGAATATTCTTCTGTCCTTGGCTCGACCCCTTGGCCTGCTTGTTGGCCGCTACGGTAGCCTTTACTCTCGAGTAACCTCCATAGAGGACGGCGCCTTGCTCGTGGGGAAGGAACGTGAACGAAGACCGAGCGTCAGGCTTCAACTGGGCAGGAGGCAGAGTTGGACTGTGCCAAGAGAAGTTTTGGGTATCAAAGATCCACACGTCGGCAAGATATTTGGTTTGGTTTGAGGTATCCTGGAAGCCACCAAACAAGATGATATACTGCTTCCAGTATGTCATGCGGTGACCACTCCTGGCGGGAGGCGTCTTGCCCTTGCACTCAATCTTCGTCCACTCTCTCGTTGCAGGCTCCAGCCGCCAAAAGTCTGAGTAGTGATGGAACGTTCCTTGCTTTGGCGACGAGAATTCTCCGCCAAACAAGTAGACATGGTTCGGGTTCGACGCCCTCGTCCACGCGTGCCCGGAACGCGGCAAGGGGGCGTTCGGCGACGTCACGCACCTCCACTCATCCCGGTTGATGTAGTAGATGTGCAGGTCGTTGAAGAAGTGAGCCAGCGAGCCATTGAAGTACTCGCCGCCAAAGAGCAGCAAGTTGTTGCTGTCACAGGGCGAGGCCATGATGGTGGAAGCGGAGCGGGCCTTCGGCGGTCCCTCGCACACGGTCTCGGTGACTTTGAGGAACTGCTCCTGTTGCTTCCTGTACTCCTCGAGCACTTGCTCGAGGTCGACATCCTCGGCATCGCTGCCCTCGAGCTTTGCAGTCTTGGTCTTTGCCTTCTTCTCGCCCTTGTTGGCCTGCTTCTGCTTCTTTGCAGCCTACTCCATGTCAAGTTAGGCACGTTTTCTTTTCCTTCCTAGAGGTATGAAGATGAGGCAGTGAAACACGTACTAGCTTAGCTGCCTTGTCGTCACTCTTCCCCTTCTTAGCCTTTGCCATTTTGAGGGTGCAGTACAACGTATCGTGATACGTGCGGACGGATCAAGTCAGATATTGACTTTTGTGACGTCGGCGGGGTGAATGGTGGGATGATGATGGTGGGGTTCATCGTCTTGGGGAAAATTTGAGTCTAGTCACGGAGGGGCAATTTGCATTGGCTGATACAGTCATCAACTCTCCGCATTCACTGTGCTCTTGGACATTTTATAGGCGTAAAACAGTGCGAAATGAAACATCATTCTCTGGATATTTTAGAACTTCGAAGCCACGGCTCCTCGTCCAACGATATGAGGTCAATTGAATCGTTCATGGTGATTCTTTTGGATAAGACGATCGACCCAGGCAAGTTGATTCTTGAAGCGGCGTTCAGCGGCTGAGTGGTAGGTTTAAATGTCGCGTGCTTCCCCTGCCGTTCACCCGAACCCTCGACAACCGACTTGGCACGGGCCGGAAGCTGACTGGTCACTGTCTTTCTACTATTCATAGATGGCGCGGACAGCTGGTGATTTTCACATGTTTAAGCTTGGTCCAGCCCCACTGAGGCTTTTCCGCCAGTGTTGAGGATGGTAATGGAGCTCTGGCCAAGGTCCCAGGGAGGCATACGCGAACATGCGAGCACGCGAGGCACCTCGTCACACTCGTCCCACAGCTTTGCTCGAGCTAGGCAAGTCTCAGACCAACAGCTCAACGACGCTATGTTCGAGACAGTCGCGTCGATCGTTCTTGAGAATCTAGTGCAAGCCTGCAAGGCGCCGAGCCAAGTCCTCTGTGGAAGATGCTTCGTTTGAATGCCAGTCTACAATTCTGGTATACCACCGGGAAATTCGAAGGCCGTTTCAAGGACCTGGTAGAGCCCTACTCAATCGTTTTAGAAGCTGGTTAGTAACAGGAGGTAGTTGTGAGCTTGACAATCACATGCAAAGTGAGAACTGAGTGGTGGGACGAAATGAGCTTGACCGGGGTTTGTGCATCGACATATCACGACTTGTGCACATCTTACGTACTATACACGGTTTATGCACAAAAGTCGGCTTCTGTGCTCAGGGGGACAGCCGTAGACTGCAGCCGCTTGCCGGCATGTAACGTCATCGTCAGTGGCGGCAGCTCCGGGGTGCTAGCTGCTGATGCTCCCACGTCCCTCCCATCCGCACCCAGCGTAACCTGCCCTCGTTTCGCAACATCGGGCTAGCTGCCACCAAGCAACCTTTCCGCCCTCCCTTTGTGCATTCCTTCGCCCGCCTCCCTCATAGACTTTGGAACCTGTGCGCCAAAACTTTTCGATCATCGCTACGTATCGCTGGTCAAACCACCGCCCTTCCTGAATCAAGCCGTAGGTCTTTGACTAGCAAAGGAGGTCTCCTTCGAGCTCTCAGCCCACGCCCACGCCTACGCCCACGCCTGTCCGAGGTCCGGCCCTGCCTCCAGCCGACGCCTACGCAACTATGTCTAACTTTGGGGACGGGAACAAGGTGGCTGTCCTTTCAGGTAAGAGACAACACATTCGTACATAAACATCCTTCGTCTCTGCATCCACTCTCCGTACACACTCCATTCGAGACCCGGGTTTGGATTGCCGCTATCGACAACCGAGCCGCCATCAACCAAGATCCGCCATCATGCCTCGCAAGAAGGGTTCCGCAGCTCGTTCCAAGTCGCCAGCCAAGAGGCAACCTGTCAAGAAATTCAGCAACCCTCAGCTCGCGTCGCAAGCAGCTGAGTCTGGGAACAGCAAGGTTAACGTTGTAGCAGAAGCTCCAGAGCTTGGGCCACCAAAGCCCTCAACCACCGACACCCAGACCCATGATGAGGTCCAGAGACCTGCCGCTGAGAGGCAGGAGTCCAATCATGAGTACAGCGCCACCGTAAGTTGATGTAAACCAGACTACCTGCTTCCGCCTTTGTCTGACCATGATTCCTTTGACAGGGCCTAGACGACTCTCCGAAAAGCCCAGGCAGAGGCCATCGACGATCCCCATCTGCGGCCAGGAGCAACGGCAGCAAGACGGAGGAGAATGACAGCAACGGCAATGCGGTGGACCTAGAAAAGAGCTTTGGCAGCGAGGGCACTGCTGATGAAACCCTCGTCGATGGACTTGAAGTCGAAAGATCCGATTCAACAAGCGTCAAGGGAATGAGCGACGATAACTACCCGCGTCTTACTACAGCGGCACATGGGCGAAGGAACAGCCATCGCCTCGGATTGAAGGCTGCAGGCATTCGCTTCGCACCCCTCCAAGTTCCCTTCCAGCGCCGTCTTCAAACCGGAGCCGTTCTATTTCACGGCCTGTCAATCCTTACATTCGTCTCGGTCTTCTTCTTCCTCGCGGCCATCCCCTTTACCTGGCCTCTCCTGGTTCCTTATCTCATCCACCTTTCACTCTCTGGCGTTGCATCCAATGGCAACCTGAAGCTCCGCTCAGAGTGGTTGCGATCGCTTCCCATTTGGAAGTTCTTCGCGGCGTACTATCCCGCCGAGCTTCACAAGACCCACGATCTGCCCCCGACTAGGAAGTACATTTTCGGTTACCATCCTCACGGAATTATCTCACACGGCGCATTCGCGGCGTTCGCGACTAATGCTCTCGGATTCGCTCAGAAGTTCCCTGGGATCACTAACTCATTGTTGACCCTCGACAACAACTTCCGAATTCCCTTTTACCGCGACTACATCCTGTTCATGGGTGTTCGATCTGTTTCTAAGGAGTCAATCTGGAACACACTGAGCAAGGGTGGAGCGAATGGCGAGGGGATGGGACGGGCAGTCACAATCGTTGTGGGTGGCGCTAGAGAGTCGCTTGAGGCTCAACCTGGAACTCTCAGGTTGATTCTGAAGGGACGCAAGGGCTTCATCAAAATGGCCCTCCGGACTGGAGCTGATCTCGTCCCTGTTTTGGGTTTTGGCGAGAACGACCTCTATGATCAACTCAGCCCGAAGACCCACCCCTGGGTGCACAACTTCCAAATGTTTGTGCTCCGCGTCTTCAAGTTTACTCTGCCGGCTCTCCACGGCAGGGGGATTCTCAACTATGATGTGGGCATGATGCCGTATCGCAGACCGCTCAACATTGTAGTGGGCAAGCCTATCAAAGTTACCACATCGCCTACGGCACAACCTACTCAGGAGGATATCGACCGGATACACGAATTGTACATTGCTGAGCTTCAGAAAATCTGGGACACATACAAAGACCAGTTTGCGCCTGAGCGCAAGGCCGAGCTTCAATTCATTGCTTAAAGTGGCAAAGGATTTACCACAGGTAGTCACCTCTTCTTTTGTTACACGATTTCTTTGAGTTCAGTACTCTGTTCTTGTCTTCCTCAAAACAAAACACGGCAGCGGCGGTTGAATTTGGCGCCTGGATGGTAACCGGGTGGAAAACGGGAAGCAAAGTACACTGGACATCGGGATGGCTAGGTACAGTTCTCAGTACATTCAGGTATTCAATTGAAAATCTGATTAAAACCAAACTACCGGTTCTCGTCGAAATACAGAAACGTTCACCTGCTGCGTGCTCACCACGTTGGTCCGACCGCGATATTTCCTGAAGTAAAGTAAGAAAGCACGGACTTCGCTGCTCTATGCTCAATTGCACATTAAAGTCACCTGACATCGCGCACGTATGACGCGGACCTTGACGCGTGATGACTATTGGCCCGCCGACGACGGTCCTTTGCTTTTTGGAGGTCTCGATTTCTCTTCCTCGACACACCCGACTCATCCTCTTTCCGATCGTGTGCGAATTGATTTCTCTTCACAAAAAAGTTACTGCGAAGAATCGTTCAGCTCGGTACAAATTGAAGAAAGCCATGCCTCCCCGCACTTCTGCACGCAGAAAGGCGCAAGCAGTCGTCGAGACCAAGGTCGAAGAGACAACCACCACGAAGACGAAGGGAGCCAAGAGCACGACCGTCGCTGCCTCGAAGACGAAGAGCATGACCGCCAAGAAGCCAGCAGCGAAGCGCAAGGCCGCTTCGGACGACGAACACGAGAGCTGCGGAAGCGGCGCGGAGGAGGAGGAAGAGAAACCTGCGAAGAAAAGGAAGACAACGACAGCCAAGGGCAAGGCGAAGAAGGAGGACGACATGCCGTTGGCAGACAGGACAGCGGTGTCTTCGCTGAAGAGGGCCATGTACATTGGCGCCCATGTCAGCGGTGCTGGCGGTACGTGGTCGCGAAACTCTGTCCTCAGACCTTTGCACTAACAGTCGGTATCATAGGTGTACAAAACTCGATTCAGAATGCCGTCAACATTGGTGCCAACGCTTTCGCCCTATTTCTCAAGTCACAAAGGAAGTGGGAAAGTCCTCCCCTGGCAGCCGATGCGAAAGGTCAATTCGTCTCCCTCGCAAAGGAACATAACTACGACGCCGGCGCGCATGTCCTCCCCCACGGCTCATACCTCGTCAACCTCGCCCAGGCGGACGCCGATAAGGCAAAGCAGGCATACAAGAGCTTCATAGACGACCTTCAACGGTGTGAGCAGCTTGGCATCAAGCTATACAACTTCCACCCAGGCAATACGGGAGGAGAGGCTCGCGAGGAGGCGTGCGGACGTATTGCAGCGCAGCTCAATACTGCGCACAAGGCGACGAAGAAGGTGATTACAGTATTGGAGAATATGGCCGGGACCGGCAACGTCATTGGTACCAAGTTTGAGGACTTGAAGCAAATCATTGACAAGGTCGAGGACAAGGAGCGAGTCGGCGTGTGCATTGACACTTGCCACGCTTTTGCAGCGGGATACGACCTACGCACGCCGGAAAAGTTCCACAAGACAATGAAGGAGTTTGACGAGGTTGTTGGGAACAAGTACCTCAAGGCGTTCCACCGTGAGTCTATACCCCACCGACGCCCATCTAGATTGCTCAGCGCTCTGGTAGCCAATACTGACACCGCAAAAAGTCAACGACAGCAAGGCGCCCTTCGCCTCCCACCGCGACCTTCACGCGAACATTGGCACGGGCTTCTTGGGGCTCCGCGCCTTCCACACGCTCGTCAACCACGAGCCCTTCCAGAACCTCCCCATGGTCCTCGAGACGCCCATCGACCACAAGGACGCAAACGGTAAGACCGTGGAGGATAAGAAGGTGTGGGCGGACGAGATCAAGCTCCTGGAGCGCATGATTGGCATGGACGCCGAGAGCGACGAGTTTAAGACGCTAGAGGCGGAGCTGCAGCAGAAGGGCGCGGGCGAGAGGGGCAAGATTCAGGACCAGGTCGACCGCAAGGCCGAAAAGGATGCCAAGAAGGGGGCCAAGGGGGGCGCGAAGAAGGGCGCGGCGGCTGGGAAGGGTAGGAAGAAGAAGGTTGAGACTGATGATGAGAGCGAGTGAGCGACTGACTGACTGGCCTGGATATCTGGACTGTGTATCAATACGTGTTGTGGACAGCTGAGTCGCGTGTAGTATCCATGAATAAGTTCACGCTGTAAGCTAAGAGACAGTCTGAACGCGATAACCCCTTCAATGCCTCGAGAAGTTTTGCGTTGCGATTGAGAGGATCTTGGAAGACCTGCAGTCAGACGGCTCAACAGTGCAACCCTTGCATCGTACGAATCCATGTTTGAAAATTGAACCATCAAGCATATCACAGTGCCATGGAGCATCATCATCGAAGATGCAGAAAAGTCATTATTCAAGTCTAAGACAAAACACAACAAACGCACCAGTGGTATAGGTAGTTCAAATAAACCATCTCCCCCTAACAGAGCCCAGAACGCCACCCTCTTCTTCATCAAATCATACATGAAGACAAGTTTCCCCTTCTCTCTCACCTCCTACCCTTGGCGAAAGCCTCCACCTTGCCAAGAAGACTCTTCAACCCCACGCCCCTCTCACAATTACCCTCCAGCCAAGCCTCCATCTTCTCCCTGACGCCGCGCATGCTCTTGAGCACCGGCATGCGGGCACCCTCCTCCACAGCGACAAAGGAGCCCGGGTTCAGCAGCAAATCAAAGCACTCGCCCCAAATCTCCGTCTGCCAGTAGCGCTTGAGGCTCTCGCGGACGCGGTACTTGCGGCCCCCCGCCCCGATCCCGCCCTGGTCGCAGCGGACCGTGTCAATGTACTTGCCAAAGAGCAGGCAGTGCACGATGCCCGCGAGGCCGTGGTAGTCAATCTGCCACGTCCACGGCCGGCCCTCGCGCATCTCGGCGCAGTCCTGCGCGCTCGTCTTCCAGTCCGCGATGAAGCCCACGTCGGGCACAAAGTTGCGCATGTCGATGCCGCGCCCGAAATCGATGAGGGTCACGCCCCGCGCGTCCCAGCCGCCAGAGCCGGCGGCGCTGTACTGCGTTGAGAGCGGCTGGTCGTTGCCGCCGTGGTCGAGGCGGAGGAGGCAGTTGTCCACCTTGAGGTCGCCGTGGAGGACGCCGCGGGCGTGCAGGGCCTCGACGGTGCGGAAGAGTTCAATGGTGAAGAACATGGCCAGCTGCTCGTCCATGACGGCAGAGGGCTCGGCGCGGAAGAAGTTGACGACGTCGAGGACGCTCCCGTGGGGGTGGTACGGGAGGAAGAGGAACCCCTCGTCTTGGTAGAGGTGGAACTCGTGGGCGTAGGAGACGGAGGCGGCGGCGCGGTGCTGGGGACCCAGGCGCGTATGGGCGAGACGCATCATGTGGAACTCCCAGGGTGTTGGGGGGAGTTCCATCTTGAGTGCTTCCAAGGGGCTGCGATGACTGACGGCGAATGCGCCCTGACCCATGGCCACCACCCCGTTCTCGTCCTCATCTTCCTGGTCTGCGTCCGGGTTCTCGACGAGGTAGACCGGGGCAAACGCGCCTGCACCGAGCTCCTTCCTGATGGTGTACTCTGTAGCGATATCGGGAAACTCGATGGTGACGAGGGCACAGGCGTTGCTCATCCTGTCTCCGCTCTTGGACGCCTTCGTCATGGCCTTGGCGAATTTGCGGATCTCGTTGCCCTTTTCGTACTTCTCATGGCTGTGGTCATAGAATCCCGGGTATGAGTCCAGCGAAGGATGCATGTTGGCGAGGATCTCGTTCCTCACAACTTCGTCGACTGGATTACACTGCAACTCCTTAATGATGGGACCCTTGGGAGGCGCTGGCTTGGACGGAGCAGTTTTTGCCTTGCCGAGAAGCGGCTGAGGGATCTTGATAGGACGAATCTCGCTCAGAACCTCCCTCAATGGGCTACTACCCGGCTCCTCCATGCCGGAGTCCTCCTCATCGATGGTTGACTCCACGTCGTCTCGGCACGGGGTCTCGTACTTCGCCTTTCGTTCTGTAAACGCAAGGGAGGATTCGGTCCTCTCCGTAATAGGGGTCATGAAGGGGAGGCGATTATTGGCCATCTCGACCGGATCCCTAAACGGCCTTGTTCTGGGCTCATAATCCTCAGGCGGTATCGGAACGTAAATCGTCTTTGTCCTTGGCGGGTAATCATCGTCCTCGTCTCCTTCGTCTTCGGCTTCCTGCTCATCGCCTGATTCTCGGCCATCCTGGGAACCGGTCTGCTCATCCAGTGGAGGGCCAGTAGGCTCAGAATAGTTTGGACCCATCATATCAGAAGCTTGGGTATCGTCTGCACCGTTCTGAGTTGCTTCCTCCTCAAGAACTGGGACATGCTTGCGTGTAGAGAAATCAGACCATTCGCTGATACTCTTGACATCTGAGCCATCTTCATCAGCTTCCTCATCGTCGTTGTCGTTTTCGATTTGGCGGGTCGTCATGGTGTTTTCAACCTCAGTGTAGTCGCCATCTGTCTCATAGTCATCATCTTCGTCGCTCTCTTCCTCTTCTTCCTCATCATCTTCTAGAGGGTTGGATTGAATGGGCTGATTGAAGATCTCATAGATCTCATCCGTAGCAGCCCGAGTATGGAGCGTCATTGTCGGCTCGGCCGTATTCCTCTTTTTCAGCTTTGGCCTAGACGGTGAGTCTAGGTTTGCTTTGACTGTGATTGTATCAGTTTCGATAGAATGTTGCGTATTGGAAAGAAAGATGCTTACTGATTTGGGTTTCGTTCATCTCCATCGTCTTCTTCTTTTTGCTCTTGGACCCCTTCTTTTTGACTATGGCTCCATTTTCATCCATGACAACGGTTTCTGTGTGAACAACTAGCTTCTCCTGTACCAGGTGACTGAGGTCGTCGACCATGGAAGGCTCAGCGCTCATCATCTCCGAAGGAACTTCTTCTGTTAGTGACACATCATCCCACGACACATCCAGCCAACCTCGGGTCATTGCCCAGACTTCCTCAAATCCAAGCTCCGAGCCAGGTTCTTCCGGAGTGGGATAGAGGGCCTCAAGGCTGACAAAAATCCGCTCCTTTTTCCCGCTCACGGGATTTACTACTGTTTGATTCTTGGATGGCACGAGAGTAATATGGGACTTGGACATTTGCGTCCGTGATGATCGTGATTGGGCTTTGGGTTGCACTTTTGATTGCAACTGAGACTGAAATACAAATAACGCCATAAAGCCAAACATTAGTCCTATAATCATCAACATCCAGGCATTGGGAAGTTCAAGTAAAATAGTGCTTACCGTATCCTTGAAGATAGCCATCTTGGGGGCAGTGCTCTTCTTCCCGCCAGCCTTCAATGTCTCTCCTGCCCACGGCTTGGGCTCCATCACATTCTCCTTCTTCCGGTCGCCCAGGGATCCGATGGAATCCCAGCCCCTGGAGCTCTGTCCACGCGACGACAGCACTGGGGGCGCCGAATCGGCATCTGAGAAGATGGCCATCTTAGCCTTGCCAGGCTTCGCCGCCGTTGAGCTCACGCCCTGACTGGGGCGCGGGGCCTGGGGGTCAGCAGCTACAGCTGCTGCAGCGCGAGCAGCGGCAAAGGGATCAATCTTTGCAGCCAGAGCGGGCCGTACGGTGGGGAGTGCTGGTGATGTGGGCGCGTTGTCTGCCTCGGGCTGGTGGGCGAGTCTCTCCTCGAACTCCTTGAACTTGCGGATCAGGCGCTGGACTGGCCTCGCCTCGCGCTCAATTCCGAGCTTGTAAACCTCCTCTGCTTGACTCCATCGTCCAGCACCCTCGAGCCAGGCAGCGTACTCCTCGTAGAAAAGGGCGAGAGTCTCTCCGATGTTGTGTCGCGACAGGAAGAGGAAGGTCTCGCGCGGCGAGTCAGCGAAGAATTGGATGTACAGAATCCAAATCTTGAGGTATCTCGGGTCGTTCTTGTACTGTGATGAGCCAATGAAAGTCTTGGTTGCGCGCTCGAGGAGCGTGTGAAGCTGAGACTGTGGTGTGGCTTGCGCCGAGGGGTATGCGTCTAGGGTCCAGCGCACGTAACGGTCGAAGATGTCTAGAGGATCGTCCGACTCGGAGATGTTCTGGAGCTCCTCCTCGTACTCGACTCGAATGCAGTCGTTGACATTCTTGGTGTCTGATGGTGTCGGGGTATTCAACTTGTGCAGAGGCGAGGGCGAGAACAGCTCGGCCAGCTTTTTGGCAGAGCGCCCACTGGGCAGTGCTTGGATGTTTTCTTTTTGCGCTTCGATAACGTCGAAGTTGATGAGGTCTTCGGAGGCTGCCATGGTTAGTATCGTCGCGGCAATTTGCCGTCGCGTCGCCGGGTGAGGTGGTGCTGGAGTAGTGCGTCTGGGTTGTCGATGTCTGAGTTGGAAATGGGGCAGCGTCAGAAAAGGAAGCCCAGTGTTGTGGTGTTGATTATTGATAACGATAACAGATCAGCAGCCATGTGGGTCGTGTAGCGCGTTGCTGTGACAACGAGTCATCTCATCTCGGCTTATGTAAGACGATCATCTTCACCGAACTCGGTGTGCTCACATCGTCACTCTCCCTCACGTCAGACGGAACTTTACATAGGAATCGCAACGTGACTTCAAGCCTCTATATTACCCCTGTTGATCAACCTGTAAATTCCTTTGACACTACAAAAAAAAGGCTAGGAGGTGTCACTGGATATTGAACCGTTGTGCAAATTTCAAAATGACCAAAGATTTTAGCGTCGAAACACCTCGGTCCTCCGTTTGGCCTCTTCTAGCGCTCGATCCGTCTGGTTTTAGTGGCCGGTCCTGCCCATGTGCCCCTATCTTGTCCAACCTCTTCGAATATGGAAGTAAAAAGTCAGGATGACGCCACCCCAGTCATTCCTTTTTCTTTTTTTTGTCGACTCACCATTACGGATCCTATTTCAGTTATCACAATACTGCGAGTTTCTCCATACTTCTCACACGTCGAACGATGAATACATCCTTATGACTCTCAAATAGCCCTGAAAGCGCTTTACAACAGGTTCATCATGGACTCCTCACCATCGGCGACTTCGGGATCAAGTCTGTCCCCGAAGAAGCGCCTGCTTGACCTGCCCAACGAGCTTATCTGCTGCATCGTCGACTCTGTCGTTCTTTTGGGGAAGGACAGATACGATGATTCCAGAAATACCCAGACCATATCGAGCCTTTCGCGCACCTGTCAGATATTCCACCATCTCTGCAATCCTCAACTGTACTCCACTATCAACTTGGATGAGTCCAAAGAAGCCGCCGGTCTCTTGATCCGGTCACTTATTGAGGCGCCCGAACTTGGGATTCACCTGCAGCGTCTTACGCTACGCGTGATATGGGAATCGGCAGAACACTGTGAAAAGGGATTGCGGAGACGACTTACACAATCGCAGAGCAATGCAAGACATCATCCGGGAACTCTACCGAATTTGCGGCACTTGGAACTGGAAGACCCTGCCGTGTACTTTATGAACATTCCCGATGTTCCTCGCATCTTCACCAGTCTGCTTGCGCTGCCTCCTCTCACATCGATTCTTACACGATACGACAACGATCGATGGGGAGGTCTCGCCCAAGTCGCTTCTGCTGTACCTTTCGCCTTGGAACAGATCCGCTTCCACGAAACTGCAATACGAGGACCCGAATTATGCCGGCTACTCCAGCTGTGCCCCGGTCTCCGAGTCCTCGAAATCGAAATCGATTATCACTTTTTTTCTCCTTGCTTCCAGCCCGCCACACACCCGGGTATTACCACTCACCTTTCTACGGCGCTCTCCTCACTTTGTCCGCGCTTGCAGAGACTTACATTGCTACATGGGGACCTCTCAGCACTTCGTCTCCCTGACGAACCACGCCTCACGTGTCTTACAGACTTGGAAGATCTCACCGTATTGGAGACCGAACTGCCAACCATCTTCCGAAGTCCCGAAGACATGGTGAACGTGGATATCGCCGCGCGTCTGCCAGCCAAGCTCACGGAGCTGACTCTCCATGACATTTGGTACTCAGATCCGAGATATTGTCTGTATTCTTTGGCGCCAGGCTCTCGTCCTTGGATTCATGAGAGGTTGGATGCCAGAACTGAACCTCTGACTGCGATGCTCCTGCGTCTGGCGTCATCTTGTTTGGCCGGTGAGCTGCCTGATCTCCGAAGAGTGGCCGTCAAGACGCCAACATACGAACACGACAGAGGCAACACTTGCGACAGTATCTCAGAAGCTTTTGCCAAGACTGGAGTTTTGTTCGAACTGATTTCCGCTCACTCAACTTTTCCGTGTCCATTAACGCGATAAGGCGCGATGCATATGATTTTAGAAAGATCTATATCCCTTCAAATTGAGCATGTAGTCAACGGTGTTTTTCTTCGAAAGCTAGACTCGTAATTACACAGGAGCTTTTTGGTTGGGTATCTGTCAACTTTAGTACAACGCAACTTGGTGCTTTTAGAACTACAAGTGCTAAATCAAATTATAGTCGAACCCGTAACCTAATGTGTAAAAGCCTACTGCCCAATATTTATTGAGAAAGTATAAATGGAACGGATGAGACATCGCATGCTGTCTTGCGCAAAAGAAACCTACTAAGACTATTTAGTAGCAGCTTACCTCCTATGGTCTCGGCCTCAAATGAACGGTCTTTTTTCCAGTACTCTGAGTGTTACTGTAAGTTGAATGTTGGCTGCTTAGATGCTTTTCATTTAAAAGCTGTACCCGCGCTGCGTGGTGTGCAACTTCCAACTCCCAATTTTCGTTTCTCATGCATAAGGTAGGTATTCTTCGATAAGTAGGCATTCTGTCGAACCCACATCATGTCTAGAGGTTCAGGGTAGTATGGATTGCAAAAAGTGGTAGGGGCACGATTTAATTTTATAAAACACTATACAGTTCCCTCTCCTATAAAGGTTTCAAATGCATCGTCTGAACTTTCCGGGCTCAACGCCTCTTACAATGCAGGTGGCTGCAGTTTACAAAAGCTCCCTGCCGACTTCCGGAGCATTCCCGATCCGCACACGCGGGGTTCTTACATCACGTCATACGGCCCGAAATACAAAATAGCGGTCTTCTTGAGCATACTTCCACTGCGCATCGCGTACTGAAGCGAAGTACCGACACCAGCAGCAGCGCAGGGTTACCTCTATCATCGCCTATAGTCTTCACCTACCAATTCCGTGGCCGCTCCTCACTCTCCAACAATGCGTGTCGAAAAGTTCCCCCTCTCACCACCGAGCCTAGAGGAATTGGCCGAGCGACTGAAGGGTCCCCTGGCCGCCAACTACGAGCATGCATCAGTGACTGTGGTTGCTTGCCCCAATCTACGAGAAGCGCCCTTTCATCTGGCGACCGAGGGCCTGTCGGGCGACGAAAAGATTGCAGACGTCGGCGGCCAGCCAAACCTCTTTCCCCGCCCTCGGCTTGACAGCATCTGGTCCTTGCCGGAGATTGGCAGAAGCATGGAGATGAGCCCCGAAAAGGGCAGCTTGATCGGCGCCGGCGCCGGTCCCTTCCACATCATCGGACAGAACAGCGAGCTGGCGCCGAACCTCAGCTGGCGAGGCGGTCTTGACAAGGTGGACAACAAGAGTCAAGTCATCCAGGTCAAGCGCACCACCGGGGAGGTCAGCGTCGGAACGAGTCCTTCTGTAGACTGCGGCCTGATGGTTAATCTGTACGGTTCCCTGGGCGAGCCGGGGCCGGTACTCAAGATCACAGCAAAGGGCCGCAAGGGGTCTGAGAAGAGCTTCACCGAGTGCATCCGGAAAGGATTGAATACTGCGTATGGCGACGAACGGACCATTAGTCTCGGCGGAGCCTTCGTCGTCAAGGCAGGCAAGGCAACATACCACATCATGCCCGATTTCCCTGCTGAGCGCAATCTACCTTTTAAAGACAGAAAGGAGGTGGAAGACTGGTTGACCTTTCACGATTTCGATTCGCCCATCGTGGGACTGTCTGTATTGCATTCTGCGGACCCGGGCAACAAGATGGGGTTGCGGATCGAGCATACGCACGCCTTTTCTCCTCTAGGGAAGGATGCGGGAGGTCACTACCATTATGAAGCCGAGGGAGAGGAAGAGGCTATCGAGTATGAAGGATACTTCAATACGGCAAAAGCGATATACAGGGTAGACAAACCGGCGGTTTAATCAAAGTATAGAAACAGACAGTCATGTCTATAATACCCGATAATCAAGCTTTTACCAGAGATCCTCATCCTCCGACACTTCGTCGGGAACGTTGAGACTATGTTTGAGTTCCTTCATCCACTGGCGGGTCGGCTTTTCACCAAGTCTGAGTTCTTTGTAGGCGGACTTGAGCGGCTCCGGAAGCTGATTCGCATCGAGCAAACCGTCGTCGTCGACGTATTGCTCCATGTAACCGATCATAGCCATAGCAAACGAGCCCACTGGCTTTCCTGAGTCACGAGCATAGAGTCTCAGATAGGCCTCCAGCAGCACGTGAGACTTGGGGACCACGACAGAGCTGTTGCTCGATTTGAAGGCACCAGATCCGCGACCAGGCCGCCAGGGTGGAAGCACGTCGCGGTCGCAAGCGAGAGCAAACGTTGGCGACAGCTTGGTATCCTCAACTGACAAGAGGGACTCTTCCAAAGTCGGTAGGAACCACAGGGTCTCAGACTGTAGATAAAGACCTATGGTGACTTCCGAGCCTTTGATGTGCACATGGAATGTAGGTGGCGGCGTTCGACGTTCAGGGGAGCTTGCAAGACAGAGCTCCACGGAGGGGCATTGCTGGAGATCGGGCAAGTCTGAGATGACATCTGCGCCGACTGAAATCAATTGATCCGGGACCACGAAATCTATTGACTATGGTCTTTGTTAGTCTGGACATTGACGAGAGTAGTGCACTGTTTCGGGATGAGTTTACTCCTATGATTGAAGGTACACCGTAAACATTGAGCAGGCAGTGACCCCAGAGTACGCAAGGAATCTTGGATGCTTTGAGGGCCGAGGCGATCGACTCTACAAAGGACTCCGAAGTTTCTTCGATCCCGAGCATGTTTTAGCTATTGGGCAGGGACTGTATGACCTCGAGCTTGATTGTCCGTGAAGCGTGATAAGACCAAAGGCCGCTCAACAGATGGCCTGACCAGCACGTGGAAATATTGTTAGCGGTCGAGCAAGTTGGTTGGGTCACAAGATTAAGTTAGCACACACCGCTGTATATACCACCTTGCGTATAGGTATGTGGAGATGGTCCCTCTGAACGGCCTCTTACAACTTGCCATCTTCAATCCCGGACTCCAATCCAAATGGTGCGCTATTCGCTTCGCTGTTAGTTTTCGGAATTGTCTTAGCTTCACTCTTTCGGGACTGCGATTACAGATATGGACCGAGGCACTTCCAGTACGGACCGTTTGGGCTGTGGACCGCCGAGCAACCGATTCCGGCAACGCCAACGCCAGTCATCTGCCCCTCACCGTGGCCCATGTTGGTCCGGCTCCTTACCCAGCAGGCCTTGCCTGCCTAGAATCGCGGCGGCTGTTGGAAGAGTTGAACGGTGAGCCCATGCATGTACCTGCAAACAACAGTCGTGTACCTCGGCGACTATCTGTCTGCAGGCGCTTTGTTGGATGCCTTTTCCTTGCGAGAATTGGCGAGAATCCGCCACGTCGTTTTACGACCATTTCTATTTTCCAATACGGCTAAATTGTGTCGGCGCTTAGCCAGGTCGTTTTCTGGGCTGCGTGCAATCATCGTACAAACGAAGCCGGCTGACAGCTCCCTTATTGACCCCCTGTATCCCTTTGTAGACGAGATAGCTGAATGACTACCCTTACAATAATCCGGGACGCGATCGCTTCGGTTCTCCTCGCAGCCTACTGCTAAAATCAACATATTTCAGCAATTCACCCCTTGGTTTATATTTCACCTCATCTAATTGCGCGACTTGCCCAAAATAATGTTGAACTAGCCTTCGTTTTGCGACCTTTTCTTGAGCATGTTTGATCTGATGCCGTTGGTTGGGATTGAGCTTGTGGAAGGTTGGAGATTGTTAGTTTGGTTGAATATGATTATATGGTCTCAATAAGATTGCGGTCTGAATTCAACTTTGCTGTATCGATATTAGTATCTGAAAACCTTCGCCCAGATCAATGAGCATTGTGAGCATACTTCTAAGTTCTTTACGTAACCTTGATTCTCAGATCCGGCTCTACGCAATCACCTCATCAAGGACGATCAACTTGACTTGTTGGACATAATCAACATAACCTCTAACTGTTTTCAGTCCAGGCTATACTTACTAGACTTCAGCTTGAAAGAGCCGCCACGGAGATGATTTTCGTCCTAAAAAGTGTAAGGAAATTTTATAGTACTAGGGTTACTATAGTTGCTGGTGCTAAATTTGTCCTTGCCTGATATATGTTGTTTAAACCACTGTATTCAGCTCCATGACAACATCTGACTACATTTCAATGACCTTTGTACCGTCGAATCCTGCCGCTTGCTGGAAATAATATCCTCGCTGATTCGCAATCAGCCTCAGCGGCTCGGCGCCACCTCCCCGCTCGACTCTAAAATCGCAGTTGTAATGCGTGTGACCAAACGCCCATATCTTGACGTTCTTGCTCCTGAAGCACAGCTCTCCTGACAGGTCCGTCGCAAAACCCGACGTGATTGGACTTTGCGCAAACCTCGGGTCGATGGAGCGTCCGTCTCTCGACGGATTCCAGTGCGAAAAGATGACAATCTTGACGTCGGAACGCTCGAGCTCTGCGACCTGGGCGTTGAGCCAGGCTACATCCCGTCTGTGGGCCTCGTTGTGGGCTTCCACGTCCCAGTCGCTGGTTTGGAAGAAATCGTTGAGGCCCATGCTCACTTGCATCTCGCTTTCAGGCGGCACGAGTGAGAAGAGACTGCAGCCCAGGATGACGGCGTTGGAGCCGGGCACCCGATACGCAGTTCGATCCAGGAGAACGAAATCACCAATTGAATCGTCTTGGCCGACTTCTTGTTCAAAGGATCGGAGAAGACAGAGGGTTTCGGGCCAGCTGGAGTGGTAGGCTTCGTGATTGCCAGGCACAAAGAATACGGCGCGGAAGTTTTGAAGTTGCCGTGTCAGGAATGCGCGACACTCATCCCTGTGAGCAGCAATGTTCCCGATATCGCCAAGCAGGGCCAGGTATGGTGCTTGAGGGACGATTTCGAAAACATCGTAGGCCTTTGGCGCCTCAAGATGCAAGTCGGAGACAATTTGAATCGACATGATGAGAAAAGTTGCTGTTGTTGGTGGGAAGTTGCGCTGCTGCCTGAAGAAAGCCGTTGGTTGTCTTGACTGGCCATAGTGTTAGTAGACTAAAATTCTCACCGAATACTGTGCTGCCGCCTACAACCCTTGATCGGACATCGTAACAATTGAAGTCTCTTTCCTAGCAACGTGACCTATTCAACAACCTCTTAAACAAAATCGTTTCAATGCCGCCCAGGAAGAAACTAATTGTGACTTCTTGAGCTTTTTCAAACGTTTTGCAAGTTTACAAGGGGAGAAAAAAGAAGAGCTGCTTTGGTTCATGTTATGTTGGGCGACAAAGTTGAAACACTTAAATAATAGAGGCAAATACTATGAGATGTAAGTGCCGTAATGTATGATGATCACCCTGCTTTTTTGACGAAGACTATCAAGTAAGGAAAACATCGATGATTCCTTCGGTTGTGAGACATTGCGAAGAGAGCACAAATCGAGGACTGGTCCCGGCACGTTCTTAAAATCGGTAATCTCCGCAATCGCCCCCTTGCCTCTTTGGGCCACGGAATATTTTCCTCTGTCAGGGGCCGCTCAAGCCTTCAACTTCAATATACCACTTACGAGAAGATAAAGCTGTCGGCCTGCTACCATGTTCAACGTCCGGCAAGCAGTCGGAAAAGGTCTCGGCGTGTTTGCTTCGAGACCAATCCTCACAGGCCAAAGAATCCTCACTGATCAGGCTCTACTCACAATCACCTCCTCAGACAGCAACTCTATCCTGCGACAAGCTCACCTCCTCTCAACAGCCGGCCGAGAGTCCTTGCTTTCGTTATCAACAAACCCCAGCAAGTCAAGCGTCTTCAGCTGGCTAGAATCAATATGGCGGAGCAAGTCTGCTCCGCAAAACACAGTGTCAAATCACACCATCCTAAACATCTTTCGGAACAATAACTTCAACATTGGCAATCAGACACAAGCACTCTTCCCTCGGGTTGCGCGACTGAACCACTCATGTGTGCCCAACGCCCAAGGAAACTTCCACAAGGGTTTGAACGCGTTCACCATTCACGCCACCAGAGACATTGCGACGGAAGAAGAAATCACAATCTCTTACCTCGACGAGCATCTGGGCTTGCGGCAGTCCCGCCAGACAGCGTTGCACAATGGGTACGGCTTCACGTGCGCGTGTTCTGCTTGCAGCCCGACGACGGCGTCAGAAGCAGGCGAAGCGCGCCGGGCGGACATCGCGCGCAAGCTGGAGCTTTTTGCTGAAGCTGCCTCTGAGGATCCGGAAGACGAGTTCAACGTGATGCTTGCGCTGTTGGACGCTCACGAGGCGGAGGCGATCCGCGGCCGTGAGGTCTCGACAATGTACATTGCTACCGCTCGCCAAGCGTTTGACTTGGGGAAGGCAGAGGAAGGGCGTAGGCTCGCGTTGAAGGGTCTGCAGCTGGAGAAGCAGGCTGTGGGTGATGACAGCCCGTTTTATGCTGCTACACTGAAGGACGTAGAGGCTCTTGGAGTTGAGGTCAATGTTGAGCTTTAAAGTGCGATGCGGCAAGTAAGCAGCCAAGGGGAAACAAGGGACCAGAATCATTACTCAAGAGACATTAGCATAGCGAATCATTGAATCCACCAACCGTGTCGCTGCATAAGATTTAGATTTTCTTTTCTTGCAGCCCACGTACATGAGCCTGACGCTGCCGCGCTCCATGATGTGCATCTGCCAGCGTTTGATACCCCCCCGCTGACGCCAATCCGCGGAGTGCAAAAATCCCATTCAAGGTTATCTCCTAATTCCGGGAGCTACCTTTAGACTTTAGCAAGGTACTTCATGAATGGGTGACACAAGAAATCAGCTCTTTTCTGGAGTCGAGTGGATCGAGTGGACTGGAAACACGGGGTACCGTAAGGCATCTTCCAATATTGGTTGGGGTAGCTACATATCGTTAGCATGTAATTACTGCAGAGGGAGAATGCTGAATCATCCGGAGTTTAAGGCTTTAACGATGGCAGCTAGAAGTCGCATCTCCGAAGTAGTGACAGTGGCTATATGGCTCGCCGTTGCTGTCTGAGACATACGCCCCGGAAGAGCTTCAATACTCTAACACTCTCATTTGCCTCGAGACTATAAATACGACTCGAAAGAACACCTCCATAATAACCACGACAGGGATATGTCATCGCATTTCACGGGAATACCTCGCAACAATCTAACTATTTCCAAATGTCGACCAAGAAAATCATTCTCATCACTGGTAAGTGAGTTCTGACTAACGACTTAGGTCATCGAGAACACAAACTTTCCAGTTGTCGATCAGGATGAGGGCTAACGGAATTCAGGCGCAAACCAGGGCATCGGCTTCGACAGCGCTTGGGCCCTAGCCTCCGCATCCCCGGACAACCACGTCGTCGTCGGTTCCCGGAGCCAGGAGCGGGGCGTCAAGGCCGTGGAAGACCTACAGGCCCGGAAGCCGGCCGGCATCGTGAGCCTCTTGCAGCTCGACATCACGTCCGACGACTCCATCAAGGCCGCCGCCGAAAAACTGACCGCTGACTTTGGCGTCCTCGACGTCCTCGTCAACAACGCGGGCATCGTCATCACGCAACCCAAGGATCGCCGTTCCGAGCTAGTTGACACCTTCAACACCAACGCAGCTAGCCCCCTGCTTCTCACCGAGGCTCTCGTGCCGCTGCTGCAAAAGTCCAAGGACCCGCGCATCATCAATGTCACGAGCGGTCTCGGTTCGCTCCACGAGCGCACGACGCCGGGCGGTCCCTATTACGATGTTCGCGCGGATGCCTATCGCATTTCCAAGGCGGCGCTCAACATGGCGACCGCGCATATGCTGTACGACTTCAAGAGCTGGGGCGCAAAAGTCTGGGCGTTTTGCCCCGGCTGGGTCGTGACGAATCTCACTGGTGAAGCCGACAGGCAGAACCGGATTGATGGAGGTGCTGAGAGTTCAGAGACGAGCGCGCAGGGTATCCTGGAGATTGTGGAGGGAAAGAGAGACGGCGAGGTTGGCAAGTTTGTCAAAAGACAGGGCGAGCAGTACAAGTGGTAATTCGTCCAGGGCCAATGATTGGGGGTTTTTTTTTTTAATGCTAGTATTTCGGGCCGTTCAACTCATCAACGGATTGATATCTCCGCGGTCCGCATGATTCAGTGTCCTTTATCCTCGTGAAGCATCATGCCCTCGCTTCCAGACTCCATACTACCGTCTGTTTCATATGGCACTATTGCATGGGTTGCCGACGGCCGTGTGTTGCGCCTGAATTGTTGTCCGGGACGAAATGTCGCGATGAGAAAGCGTGCGAGTTGTTGTTTGCTTCTGAATTAGAACACATCGAGCCAGGTCTACTATGTAGAGTTACTTTTCTTCGGATTTGGGGCAGGAGCAAACGGATCAGATAAAGTTGCGGCAATCGGTTCGCTTGCACCATGATGTTTAAATTATATTCGGTGTTGATGGGAGCATCTCAACGGTGGGGTCATGCCCTCGGTGTATAAGGGAGCGGTCTTTATTCTCGCCCACTTCGCTTCCCTCGACACCCTCTCTCGAGTCCCGTGACGTCGCAGGTGGTCTCGCAAACCTGCAAGCCAAGGCCATGGAGAATCTGAAGGCTGCCGAGGCCGATGGGACAATCTACAAGCGTGGAAGCTACAACCTAACCTTTTCAACGCCAGTATTCTTCAACGGTGTGCAAAGGGATGTCTAACGTAATCTAGCATGGCTGTTGATATCGGCCCAGTATATTGTGGGATGAACGACATGATGGCAAAATCCAACGACCCTATGAAGCACAACCCGCGCTGTCTACGCCGCGTTTTGAGTTCATACGCGGCAACCCCTAACCTGCTCAAAATCACCATCGATCAAGCTTCTAAGAGCATTTCAAAAGTCCAAATTGGACTACAGGGTCGGTTCTCGGACGGCAACTTGTGTGAGTTCGATGCGTCTCTGAGATAACTGCATTCGAGACTAGTTTCTCTACCGTAGGCATGCACGCTTCAGGCTACTTCGTTGCCAATGGAGACGCAAGTGATATCTACTCCTCCCTGACCGATCAACCCTTCTTCCTCTATCATGCCATGATCGGTCGAGCTCAATGGGTCTGGCAGACCTTCCATCTCTGGGAGACTTTTTAAGTTGCTGGGACCAATACGGTTCTCAATCTTGCCGCCGAGTCGTGATGCCAGTGTGCCACGAAGGAGGATACAGTTGAGATAGGCGTTCTAGCGCAACACAGCCTCTATTAAAGAGCTCTTAGACATTGTTGATGACTCACCGTTCTGCTACATCTACGTCTGAGAGGAGCAGAAAATTCTTAATCCTCTTGAAGATTATGGAGACTTAAATGTGTGACTTCCAGTGACGATAAAGCAAACCGGTTTTAAGACGGGCATGGTCCTTTGGTCTTTCGGAACTACTAAACTTGATCAAAAAGCTTTCAACATGTTCTTGGCCCTTCTATTAGGTATATCGTTGGGATTCCGCTGGGTCAAGCGCTGATTGGGGCTAGGAGATCGTCAACCCGACCAGGGCTATGGCGTGACGAGCCTTCGGAAAGATATCGGGAAATCCCCCCTGGCCCGGTAGCAACGTGGTCAGCGTTATCATCCTCAAGTGTCCACTTTCTTGCCTGAAATATGTAACAATGGCAAGTGGATGGAGGACTTCTACACGGCTCTCAAAGACGCTGGGGAGGGGGAACTGTCCGCATCCACTTGGCGCGTTGTATCATTGAGACCTGCTATAGCGCAATGCCGTTATCGCGCATGGGAGTTTGATATGAAGTCGTCTTTGGATGGCTGTTAAAAGGAGAGCGCAAATCTCCAGGCTCCCAAGAGGTGATTTCGAGCAACCAGCCCACTACGCCTTCTATTCTTCAAGCATTGTAAAAGCAGTATCGACCATGTCTCAGCTCGGTCGTCAGACGCCAAAGGTTGAAAGCAAAGCCCGCAATGTTTTTCGCGGGACGATATTCCAAGCCGTCTTGCTGGGCCTCATCAGCTTCACTCAGCCTGGCATATGGACGGCAATGAACAGTATGTTGATTTAAAGTCGTTGCCCTGGTGCGTGATTGCTGATCAATCTCTTCAGATTTGGGAGCTGGCGGTCAAGCGGAACCATACGTCATCAATGCTGTGAACGTCATTACCTTTGTGTAAGTTGACGTCGATCTCCATCAGAACTATCGCGTTCACGAGGCTGATGGCTTAGGATCATGATTGTGTTGTCACCATTGGCCAGCATGGTGGGAAACCTGATTGGCATGAAGTGGATCGTTGTCATTGGAACCCTAGGCTACGTGCCGTACTCCGCTGCGCTCTATTGCAACTCGATCTGGGGAACGCAGTGGTTTCTAATCTTTGGTGCTGTTACATGTGGAATTTCAGTGAGATCTTTTCCTCTTTACCATGATGACAGTGAGGTGTTTTTAATGCAAAATAGGCATCGGCACTGTGGCCAGGTGAAGCCGCTATCGCTGTCGGTTATCCCGAAGTTGCTCGTCGTGGTGTCTGCAGTACGTGTTTTGAAACGCACCACAGCCCGATTTTGAAAAGTTGACAGACTTTGTTGCAGATTCTCGTTGCTAATCGCCCGCATAGTTAGTATCTGGATGGCTCTTGGAAAGCTCGGATCCATCATCGCCACCGCAATTCAACTTGCCATCAACAAAGACAGCGACACAACCGGTGCCATCTCACCCTCGACTTACCTGGTTTTGGTTGCAATCCAGTGCTTGGGGCTGCCGCTTTCCCTGCTGCTAGCACCCCCAGACAAGCTTATTCGCAAAGACGGGAAGAAGCCCATCTTTGCGAACTCTCAGCGGTCGTTCAAGACGCAGTTTAGGGGGTTTCTCGCGCAGTTCAAGCGAAGAGAAGTTCTACTCCTCATCCCGGCCTTCATCACCGCGCAATGGGGCGTCACGTACCAAGGCAACTACATGGCCGCGTATTTCACCGTTCGTGCACGTACACTCGCCGGTTTCATCATTGCTATTGTCGGCGCGATATCCAATGTTCTAGCCGGGTGGTGGCTTGACTCAAAGCACTTGAAGAGAACCACGCAAGCACGTTGGAGTTGGTATTTCTTGTTGGCACTCTTCACACTCGTTTGGATCTGGAATCTAGTCGTCCAGGAGCGGTGGGCAAGAGAAAGCCCCGGTGCGATTGACTGGAGCAGCAAGAGCTTCGGCGAGGGAGTCGCAATCTTTATTCTTTACCGGTACGAGGTCTCCCTATCAACCTCCAAGTTCACAATGGAAGCGAATACTAACGAACACACCTTTAGCATTGCTTACGAGACTGTGGGTGTGTGGCTTTACTGGACCCTCGGGACTTTCGACGTTGAAGCAGACACGATTGCGTTGTCAATGGGTGTCCTTCGCTCCGGAGAATCGCTGGGATCGGCACTTGCCTATGCAGTCGGCTCCGTTCGCAGCGCCTCTTTGATGACGAACCTCATCATATCTGTGGTTGTCTTCTACGTGGGAGCGCCCGCGACGACCTGGGCTGCCCTCCTTGTCAAGGATAGAATCCCAGGAGAATTCTCCGGCTCAGACAGCGATGCCGACGTCTCTAACGCAAACACAGCCGAGCAATCCGACGCAGAACAGATTCAAGTCAACTCTGGGTCCAAAGCATGACTTCACCTCTGACGATTCGCTCACTCTTCTCTATCCGGATAACGCGCTGTCTGATTCCTTGCTCAGGTCGTTCTGGACAGAGCTAGGATCCACAAACGCAGACGAGCAGGAGTAGTTAGGATATTGAATGAAATGACTAGAGGAACGTGAACGTCTAGCATTTGTCTTGTGTTGTTCTAGAAAATGGCTTGAGGTCATCTGTTTGGACATTGTCCATGTCGGCAGATGTGACATGCCAAACCTAATAGTTTTGACGATTGCTTGTGAGATGTGGGGGCCGAGAGGCTTTGTCGACGCCCTGACTTACAAGGGATTGAGGATATGTCTTCGCTGCCCACGTTTCGCTCCTAGACTGGAGTCTACACTGCCAAATCTTCTTACGGTAACATCAAACCACTCCTACCTCTGGGCTCCCGATGAGCTACCGGAACCGGCGCGAAGTCTAATCCTGAGATTATTATTCTAGACAGGCTGGGACCACAAGCATGGCTCTAATTACGCATTATTACCCCAGCTTCCAACCACCCGGACGTGACAATGACAGTGAGAGTACAACTGCACTACAGGCCAAGATCCTTCTTCAACGCCGGCAGAACCGTCCCCTCGATGAACGACCAAACCAGCGCGCTATTGTGGCCGGAAAAAGTCGCGCCCGCCCAATACGTATTTCGCTCACCCTCCAAAGCCAGCAGCTTCCTGTAGTAGCCCTGCTTGATCTCCTCGGGCGTACAGCGGTTGTTGTAGGGCGAGTGGTCGGACACGTAGGGGAACGTCACATTCTGGGCGGCGTCCTTGGGCACGGCGCCGATGGCGGCCAAGGTCGCCAGTTCCTTTTTGATGATGGCCTCGGTCTCCTTCGCGGTGTGGTTGGCCTCCTGGAAGCCGACGGCGAACACAAAGTCGCCTGGGGACCCAGAGTAGCCGAAGCTGTTGGACCCGGGGATGACGGGCTGGTTGAAGGGGGTCTGGACGCCGACGTTGGCGAGGGTGATGTTTTTCATACCGGGGATCGTGGCGACGCCGGTCCAGTAGCCGAGGGAAAAGAGCTTGGAGAAGAGGGAGCGTTCGTGGGCGCTGAGGTCGTAGTTGGCCACGTTCGCCAGGACAGGGGGGATAGCGATGAGGAGCTTGCGGGCGCGGATGAGCTTCTGAGGCTGGCCTGGCTGCTGGACGAGGACGTTGACGGGCGCGGTGGTCTCCTTGTCGATCTTGACATTGCGCTTGACCTCGATGACAGTGGCGTTCAGGAGGACGCTGTCACCGAGATCCTTGGCAGCGGCATCGTACAGAGCACGGGTATCACCGTTGGCGGAGAGGATGAACTCGCCAAAGTAACTTTTAAACAGACCCGGTCCGAAGCCCTTGATACCATAAAGCGCCGGGATTGTTGCGATGTCTCCGGTCCACCAGTTGAGCTGGACGATGATGGGCAGAAGGGCTGTGAAGTTATATTTCTGAGCAAACTCTGCGAACGGAATTGTAAGCTCCTCCGGCACGCGCTCGGGGAGGAGGAAGCCCTCGTCGAGCCAAGTGTACTTGGACAACACGTTGGTAGAGTAGGCCTGCGCGGCTGCTTTCACGGCTTGCTGCTGCGCCGCCGTTGCGGAAGCGTTCTGCGCGGGGATGGCGATGCCGAGCGAGAAGTCGTAGGCCTTGACCGGGACGGTTCTTGGACCGGTGACAGGGTTGGCCTGGATGGTGGAGACGTTGAGACGGGAGAAGTAGTTGCTGACAATCTCCCTGTTCTCGAAGATGGCGACACCGACGTTGACCGGGAGCTTTGTCCGCGGGTTGGTGTAGGTATTTGCGTGGCCGCCATTCTGCTCCTTCTTCTCGACGATGGCAACACTGGCGCCGGCGTCCTTGAGCTGGATCGCGGCGTAGGTGCCGGCGCTGCCGCCGCCAATGATGGCGACGTCGACGTCGATGTCGATCGTAGCCTCGGCAAAGGGCTTCGCCGCTGCTTGGGAGAGCAAGAGGGCCCAGGTGGGCGAGGCGAGCTGACTGAACTTCATAACGCAAAAGGAATAGGGGAACGAGTGAATGTAATTGAAGTGGATGGTACTGACAAGCGCACTCTGTGTACAACGTATCGAGGATTAGCTATCTGTGCGAACCGTCTTGCGAGGATAAGCAGGGGCCCAACGTGTCTTCCAAGAGATATGGCTGTACTTATTGCTTTTATTCCTACCAAAACATAGTCTACGACCATGAACTCTCATGAAAGAATCTGCGCCGGTACGGGCGGAGAAACCGGGCGGAGAACCCGGACGTTGAGATTGCGGCCTTCTACGAGTGCCGAACGAGGCAAAGGCCCGCATCCTTCTTAACTCCCCGTTACCGTGTAAGTGCCACGATACCTGACGCAACCACTGATTAGAATACCACGGGCGCACTAGCTCTCAAGGTTGGGTGCAAAATGCCGACGCCGCACCGGTGAGAGTATGATTAAAATTGGTGTTCATCTACTAGTAAACTTTGATGTTGATAACTGGACGGTGAACATGGTATGCCCGGCTCCACCGATCCTGGTTGAGTTTCGATTAGCCGTGGTACGGGACAAGGTGTATAAAGTTTCGATGGCATGCTCTAATTCCCATCATCGGAGTAGGAGCTGTAGAACGAATGTAGCGCCTACCCCGCAGGCGCGAGTATGATGTTTTCTGGTCGGCTTCATAGGGTATAATCGCGAGGTTTTTGACGCTTTTCTTACGTCGCCGCTGCCATCAAATGGATCAAAACTCTAAATTTCCGTGTCCGAAGCACAGCCCAGATTTTCACCACGTCATCTTCCAGCTGTAGACACTGCTTTGTTCACACGTCGATGCCTGCGGCAATTCCTTGTTGTAGGTCTATGCTCTACTTCTGGCTATCTTCCAAGACATAGCCAGGATTTCCGAAGGTTCATTAGTAAAAACTGCTCAGCAACACAATCCATTCAACATGGTTCTCGACAGCCTGACGATGCTATTTTAGTGTGCGCTCAAGAGACTTTCGTTTACATTGTAGCAACTTTAATATCTCAATTCATCCGTTGACGAATCTTCGACCTAAGACCTCGATGCCAGACTGCTTAGTATCGCTAGCCGGGCAAGTGAAAATCAGACAAGAATATATCGTTTACAACGCCTCAAGAGCCCATACAGGCAAATGCCTATCCACTGAGTCTCATATAGGGACTCGTATAGCATGAGCTTGGAAATACCAATTTTGGCAACACAGTGTTCGGGATGGCTGAGAACTTCCAGGCGACTAGTCTCGCTTCTGGATACGCCCGTGATCTGACAGAAATATCTTCAAACTACATGTCTATCTAACAAGTCTGACCCTCACCATCTAAAAAAGACATGCGGTAGGAAACAAAACCTTTAAAATAATCTTCCGCAAAACAGCAGCGTATCGGTCAGCACTTTCCCACGTTGTCTCATAACTCATGATTCTTTCAAGCATGTGAAGATGGTGTGAATTCACCCGCAGCTGCAAAGGATAGTCTCATCACGGAAAATGCCTGGCAGAGTGTAAAGCTTTGGATTAATAAAAAGGCAGTGGCCGAAATAACGTGACCGACCAGCTGATGCAGATGAAACCGTTTCAAATCATGAGACAGAGTTGATGGATTTCATAATTCGAAGATATCTAGGTCCTACAACAATTGGATTAGCCTGTGCATGGCAACTAGTGGCTAATACGTGATTGCAACTGCTAGTCAACTAAGGAAGAGTGCTCAGCTGCAAGGGGCAAGGCTGTTGTAACATGAGCTGATAGAGAATTTCCAAGTGCTGTTTCAAGTTTCATCGTGGGATCACGACTGAATATGCTTGTCCTGACTATTGAGCCATTCGTCTTTCCGTGTTTCATCTTTCAGAACCAAAATTCGCTGGGAGTTTCTTGCACTCAGACCTGGCACTTCTATATGTCTGTAACGTCACTTTCTTACTCATTCCTGGACGGACTGCCCTTTTGGGAACTTCCTACCATATGTTTCCAAGGCGCTGACTCGCTTTACAGCGTGTCACTCACCTACACTAGTATGAGATAGGCACGCAGCAAAATTAGATAAAGTCTGCCTCGTATAGTTTTTACATCCAGCACGTGAGACTACAGCCCTTACTAATAGCTTTTAACCTCCAAGATTGTCTGTTTGTTGATATCAAAGAACCGAAAGATCCACGTGCATGTGTCCAACATTTTGGCAAAGGTACTAACCTTCCCACAAACTTGAGAACAAAAGTTGCTTATACGTCTGCTGCATAATTGCAATCTCAACATCTTCTCAGATACGAATGCGAAAGCGGCTTCTCCCTCGCCGAACTAGGATGGCTAGACTATAGTAAAGAGGCCTAAAACTCCAAGCAAATCGCAAATCGGGCAGCCGCCCGCTTTGAGCGGCAATCCCGCAGGCAGCTAGCTAGTCGGCGCAAAGAGGGGACCGACCACACAACGCGTCGAGATCCACGCAAACATCTCCACGTCCGTTGGTGGTCCCGACCTCCACCATCCATATTTCTCTTTGTTGCCAGCAATCATCATCCGCATCCGATATGGTGTAGTGGCCAACATGATGCCCTCTCATCCGTACGAAAGGTTAGGCATAGCCCCGAGTTCGATTCTCGGTTTCGGAATTTCCTTTTAATTTTGCTAGCTAAGCTCCCTTGAACTTGCTGTCAACAGACTCACTCACCTCGGGCGGCTTCTGACGCCTAGCTAGGTTGGTTGGAACTGGCGAAAAAGGCGAATCAAAGCAGATTGTGTTTCTCCCATGTTTTTGCCTAATCGCGGAAAACTTGGAATTCTGAAGCTAGCTAGCTAGCATCTTGACCTTGTAAAAACCTTGGCTTCGACAGCCTATCGCCAGACCTTGATCTGCAAAGAAACCTGGCATACGAAGGATTGCATGATGAATGGATACAACATTACGATCACCAGCCCGGCGAGTTCGTCCAACCAGACGCATAAAAGTCCATTTGCGGACTTGCATCCGCTACAGTCACAGTAGCAAGCGTCCAAGGCGGATCACGATAGAAAAAGGCGCACCAATGTCAAAAGGATCGACCGGGCCTGTGGAATATGAGATGGCAACGATGATATCCCGTGACATGTCCACAGCCAGTGAAAAGGGGCCGGGATACGGTTCATCACAAGCGCTGTAGTTCCTCCGTACACGAAAGCAAGCTCCGCCGACGCACCCGGAAGGATGGACGGGAGCGCGAAATCCTCCCGCGCGCCGGCTATTTGCCAACGGATCAGACAAAAAGGGCGGGCGACGACTGGCTTCTTGAAAAACCCCGACACCCGACGACGCGCCGGCGCCCCTCGTTCGCCAAATAAACCGTTGAATTCGCGCCGGCTTTGTTTGGGGCCCCCCGGCGTCACTCAGAGTTCAAGCGCCAGGAACAAGAGACATCCATCCATTACGACTGGATGGGTACCGGAGCGGACGAGTAAGAGAGGAGGAAAAGGGGGAAAGGGGAAGGGATCGTGGCGTGGTGCTAGCTTCCGAGGATCGAGGGGGGTTGAAGATGCGCCGAATAGGAAAGCAGAAGTCGAGAAAGTGACGCTCATTCGTCGTGAGAGAGATGCGGGAGATCCCTTCTGCGACCGGGGGGGGGGGGGGGGGGGGGGGGGAGGGGGGGGGGGGGGGGGGAGGGGGGGAGGGGGGGAGGAGGAGGGGGGGGGGGGACGTGGGGGGGGGGGGAGGGGGGGGGGGCCTGTGCGGGGGGGGGGGGGGGGGGGGGAACGGGGTAGCTGATTGCAGAATTGGGAAATGGGACAAATAGGACGGGCGCGTACCGAGACTGCAACGGTGCCACTGGTTTTGAGCCGCTTCTTGCGAGAGACGGCGAGTTATCATGAGCGTCGGCGTGCTGTTCAAAGAGTACGAAAAGCCTAGAGACTGTAGCCTGGCGACATGATAAGATGGGCCATATGTCGATCGCACGATGTGCGGGAGCGTCCTGCGACGGGATTGCGCAATAGAGCCACAAAGGTAGAATCAAGCAGACATCAGACGTCCTCCGTGCGGGTCCCGTCTGTGTTCAGCGCTTGAGGAGCAAAACACGGATCCCTCCAAAGCCAAACGCTATTGTCTTGGCTTTTGCGCGGGAGAGTGCGGAGAGATTGCGCTGGTCATGCCCCTTCTCTCAGAGGCTCCGTCTGACCGGCGCAATTGTCTGTGGTTTAATCCTTAAGAGAGCGCGTCGTTGTCGGCCATCGCACAACCTCAGCGTCAGCAGCGTAGATCTCGTCTGCCGGATCCTTGGCCTCGGCTGGCGGATCTTGTTGCTACTGAACGATGATTGAACAGGTGCTTCAGGCAGGCAGACATGTCCGGATCGAACGTAAGCATACGACCGCAGCCGGCAAGTCGCCCTGGAGAAAGTTGGGCAGGAAGTATCTGTACTTGGGTCGCATAACCGCCAACGTGAAGATTGAGAAGTGAGCCGTGTCAAAGCTCGGTTCCAAGTAGAGTCTAGACCGCAGTTACCGCACGGCTTCGCGAAAAGGGGTCTGAAGCGCCTGTGATTCTTGTATCAGTCCGTGACTGATGAGGATGGATAGAGACATGGGTGAGGTTGGAGCAGCACATGGAGTGCGATTAGTTGCAGTGTAACAGCATGGAGGCTCGGCATTCCCAAGCTGAACGTGGTACTGGTCTGAGAGGTCGTCATCCTGTCACCCCAGATCAAGCGTTGATAGTCGTTGATCGAAGTGTAGTAGATGCCGGGCAACGGGAGTGGCAGAATAGTGCAGGCAGCGGGCGGCGTGCTCCCTCGGCCCTTGTCTTTTGCCCTCAGACTGGCTCGTTGTCTGTGTACCCGGGAAGAGGCGTGACGCATTCCCACCCACTCGAATCGTGGACGATGGACAGCTGACCATTAGGCAGCTGCAGAAATGATGCATTTCCAACCACTCAAATAATCCTTACCAGGCGAATTCTGACCCAATCGTTGGAGCGTCACGACCTTTTGCCCGCTACTCGATGCGGGCGAGGACGAGGCGGAGGGCCTCCAGCTAAGACCTGTCGCGACGAGCAGACCACGACGAATCACCAACGCGGCCGGATTCACCTCGGTCGCTTGCCTGCTGCTCACCTGACCTAGCGCAGCATTGCAAGGCTCCAAGCACGGGGCAGACACGGGAGACACACGGGACTGCCTATCAGGCTATACTCGGAACTTTGTACTCTGTATCCGTACAGCTGCCGCAATCTTTTACTCCTCAAGGCGTCGTTGCTGCCGCTGCCGCTGCCTGAGCGAGTGCAATGACCGATGCCCCCGGGCAACCCCACTGCGACTATCAGCCCGTGAGACACCAAGCCTTTGATACCCAGGCTGCATGTCTTTGCTGCAGTCAGAGTTCTGTAAGTAGCTATCTCCGAGCGGCCGGATGCAGGTTTCGTGACTCCGAGTCACTCTGGACCTCGCACTGGATGCGGTACGAAAGACACGGATTGAACCGCGTCTGCTGTGTAGTCACTGTAGTGTCCCTCTCTTTCTTGCCGACATCCTGGTAAAGGTAAATTCTTGTTGGAGGCGAATGCCTGTCCCGAGGCCTCGACGACTGAACGAAATCCTCTGGGAAGCTGTGGCATGGTCCAACACTGACTGGAGGATACGGATTGACGGGTACCTCATCCTCTGCGCTTCCGTAGCTCCAAAGTTTCCCCGCTCGCGTTGCTCGAGGAGGGTGGGATCCTGGGAGGGACGCGAGAAGTCCGTGGGAGGCCCGGATGCTGCAGGTACGTACCTGCAGAGCAGAGCGGCTCGCCAGGGAAGCGCTGCTTCAGAAATCCAGAGTCATAAAAATATTTCGTCAGAAAATTATGCGGTGTGTGTCACGTGGAGCCCAAGTGGCTGATGGTGGGTCCTCCCAATATCTGGCCCGGCCGCGAAAGAAGAAAGTTGAGTGATGCGTGATGCGGCGTGGACGAAGCTGGGACAGGAAACCCGGAGACAGACAGTCGCGTCGCAGTTGCAGGGGAAGACCCCAGCCCACACCAATAGCCCAGCCCAACCGATCGACAGTGTGAGCTCCTAGCCCCTCCTCCCCTGGCGAGCTGCCAACGGAGTACCGGTAGCAGCAGTAGGTAATGATTCCACCCGGTCGTTTGAAATGAGAGTACCGTAGCCAGCCTGTCACAAATAAGCGCTGGTAATGAAATTGAGGCCTTTTGCAGCTTGCCGTACGGGTATGTTCCATTGTTCGCAGACATTGGAAACAATATCACATTCGGCGGCGGGATCCTTGGAAATCTCAACTGGATGTGCCGAGTCAACAGGTCGTCTCGTTCCCAGCCTCCCCGTCGCTCGTCAACCTGATCTTCTTGTCGCCCCTCACCGTTCCAGGTGGGAAGCTAGCAGAGCAGTTGGCGGCACTGGGCAGAGGAGGAGAGCCGTCACCGCCTCTTCTTTTTCTCGCTTTTCTTCACCCGCCCCTTGCTCGCACTGTCCGTGTCCCACTCCCGTCGCCCGTCGCGGCGAGGAAAACGAGGCAGCTGTCCAAGGCAAAAGACAAAAGGTGCGCAGCCCGCTGCCCGAGTGAATCGTCGGCCGCTAAATTTAGGCCTTGCTAAGTGCCAGCTCACAAAACTGTCGATCGGCTTCATTCCTCGGGTTGTTGGACCAGGGTTTCGCTCGTGTGCGGCGTGCCGACGCTGACCGGCTGGGTTTGTTGCGTCACCCGCACGTATACATACAGCTGCCAGGCCATGAAACCATACCATAATAGCTGAGGAAATGGGAAGACGAAAAAGAGAGGCGTTTTGAAGTAGATCAAGGTACAGTGCAGTAGGGTCGGCCTCAACAGCTCTAGAACGTGGAACTTCCAAAGAACAACCACATCTCGCGTAGTGTGTTGTGTTGTGTTGGAGCTTGGGTCAGCATGGACCAAAAGTGGTCATCCTGCCGGGAGGTCGGGATGGGCATTGAGCGGCAGCGGTGCGATGAGTCCCTCCTCGTCTCATCTTTTTCGTCGACGTTGGTGTGTGCAGCCTTGCTTTAAAAGAGGGAAGTGCTGAAGTAACGTGGCAGATGGAGGCTTTGCCCCATGCGGAAAAGCTCAGAGCCAGGGCAGAAAATCGGAGAGGTTGACAGGCAGACGCCGAGAGCTCGGAGGACTCAGGAAGGAAAGAGGAGCCCATGGACAGAAAGAGAACGAGCCAAGTCAGAGAGATACATGAAGATGTCGACTTCTGGATGAACATGGAGATATTCGGCACGAAATACGTCCAGCTCGACTGGAGGAGCCTCAGTTACAGTATCGGTAGGAAAGTGCAAAGGGAAGAATTTCTGCACCTGGCTTTCTTGCTTGTACTCGCTGCTCAGAAACCGAGGCCTTGACATTCGACAGGAAGGTGAAGGGGAGAAGAAAATGACTGGATGCCTTACAGCAGAGGCCCACAATCCCAAAGCGCGACCCCCTCCTTCCCCTCTGCCTGAGGAGAAGGGGGTGAACGCAGTAAAATCAGCTCAAGATCACGTCATGACAGCAAATCAGAAGCGAAGATAGCGACGCCAGCCACACCCAAGGGCCCACTTAGACCCGCTGAATCAGCCAGTCAGAGATGTTAAAGGGTTCATGGTCCCGCCCCTCAAATCATGGCTCAGGATTCTCCCTCGTCTTTCACTCCTCCTCCCACAACCAATCAATCCTGTCCGGCCCACCCAAGCGTGACAAGGTGCAGAGGCAGAAAAAAAAGACGGCAAGAGTGAGAGAGAGCGAAGAAAAGGCGAGGAAGCGAGTCGGATCGTTCAATCAGCTTCGTCCCTCAGCAGCACGTCGAAACAGACACCAGGACCGCCCGGGCTGCTTTCATTCCATTGGATCCTCGACCATCATATCAATCGGTCGCCAATCATCAGAGAGACCTATCCGCTCCGCATTTTGGGCGCTTTATCGATCTTGCATCAAGTGCGTACGAAAGCTGCGAAGAGACGCGCGCGAAGATTTTTTTTATTAAAAAAAAAAAAAAAAAGAGACCGGAGACGAAAGCAAGAAAAAGTCTACAGCGACAGTGAGGGGAAACAGCATAGCGCGACAGGCAAACAAGTAAGCCGCCAGCGGCAACGCAACGCATCGCCGAGCACAACGCCCGCGCACACACACACACACACACACACTCTCTCTCTCGCCATCATCTACTTGACTTATACACACCGCCACAAAATCGCGGTGGGAAGACAACCGAGAATAAAACAGCCAGCGCAGAGTACGACGACTCCAAAGCAGTGACATTGCCGGCCCTGCCTTCCGCCTCTGCCACCGTTGCTAGCCAACTTCCTGTCTGGTATCCGTACGCCGTACGGATAAGTACTCTTCTGGTGTCTTGAGAAGTGGGAAGAAAAGAATTCCACACGGGAGGGGGCGTGTGTACCTTTACAGTAAGTTGGACCAAGGTGCGGCTTTACCCAGGCTTCACATACATTACCCTCTCACCTCTCACCTCTCAGTCTGCTTTGCCTTCCCTCGCTGCGACGTCAACGTCAGCAAACTAATACACCCCCTCCCCCCATCCCACTCCCCATCCCACCCCCCTTCCCCTCTTCTGCCTGGCTGCCTTGCCTCTTCGCCCTGGCCTTTCCTTTCCCCTCCTTCCGTCTTTTTCTAAAACCACACCCCCTTCCCAGCCCCAGGCCTGCCTGATCCCAGCAAGGAAAAAAAAAAAACGAAGAGGTGACCCCCCTTCCCCCCCCGCCACCCACTCCCACCCACTCCTTTAGAACCCACCCACCTTCACTCGACCATACCTTTTTTTTTTTTCCCCTCCCCCCCCCCCCCCCAACCACACCCCCCCCGCGCCGCCCCCCCCCCCCCCCCCCCACCCCCCCCCCCCCCTCCCTCTCCCTCCCCCCCCCCTTTGCTTGTCTTTTTCTTTTTTTTTTTTTCCTTGCCCTCTCAACCCCCCAAAACAGGCGTACAAAGTGTCAAAGAGCCCCGGTTCGCCAAAAGGAAAAGCTCCAGCGAATCCAACGAGCCAAAAGCCAGAAAAAACCCGCCCTCCCACAAAACCCAGCAAATCAGCTCGGTTTTTTCCTGCGACCACTCACATCCGTCGCTCAACTCTCCAAACGTCTCCCCCAACTTGACACCACCACTCACATTTCACCACTCACCACTCACCCAACAGTTGTGAATTGTTCGCGACTTGGAATCCGCCCAGAGGCCCTATCATCGTCGGCTTCGACATCGCTCTGCGACCAAGCATCTTGTCTATTGGCCAGCACGAAAAGCAAAGCAAATACCACTGCTCGCTTATCAGGTGACAGAACCAACCTGCGGAAAAGAGCATTTTCCCCGTCTGCCTTTTTTGACCGCAGCGCTCCGGACCGCACGCATCGCATCGCATCAGCGTAGCGCAGCGCGATCACAGCAACGGCCAGTCGTCCAACCGCGTCGCACTTTCTCTCTCTCCGCCAAACAACCCATCGCGCGCGCGCGTCATAGCTTCTTCTTCCGCGGCGATATCAAGCTCATATCGTGACACTCGAGTCAAAAGCCTATCAGAAAGCTTCGTGTCGACTTAGACCAGGAGCCAATCCCCGAAAATTTCACCCCCAAAGCCAAAAAACCAGCCAACCAGGTACGTTTCGCATGCCACTCGACTCAAGTCCTTTGGCGCCCCTCCTGTCCAGCCTTGTTCGCGCGCTTCCTTGTCCCTAAACACGGCCGCCATCTTCCTTCCCCATCCCGTCTTGTCATTTTTTTTTTTTTTTTTTTTGGACGCTATCCTCGTTTGGCTTCTCTGTCAAAATTGGCGCTCCGCATCTTTAGCTACCCATCTGGCACTGCGAATTCGAGGACATTCTATTGTTTGCTTGAACAGCTGCAGTATTCTTCTGGCTTTGTAATTCTTTCCTACAGACTCCTCTCACACATGTCGTGCGCCTGCCGTTCTTTGAAACCGGGACGGACAGCACATGCTTACTGACTTGAGCAGGTCGCATAACATTCACACCTCCTTCCTTCACGGCACATCGCTTTCATCGGCGATTACACCCGCATCTCCAACCTCAGTGGTACGTTTAGTGTACTTTCTCCATTATCACATTGTCCTCGGCATTCGCAGCACTTGTACTCTTGCCCGTTTCCCCCGAGGTGTAACCATTCATGCCTCGGCGCCCCCCTCCCCTTCACTACGTCCACGTCAATATGTCTCTTTCCTGTCATCTGCGGACCTTCGCGTCACCCTGCCGCCTTCACTGCCTCGTCCTCTGATGTTACGCTGTCTTGAGTGCTGTACTTGGTAGAGAAGCGCACCAGCATACCAAGCCTTCTATGCCTTCTCAAAACACACCTTCGGTGACATATCGAGGGCACCGGCAGTGTGTTGGAAAGGGCTCCTATGCCAGCCACTCCACTGTATCGATGTGTATTCCCAGTGGAATGGACGTTATTGCGAAGCGCCGAGTGAGCCCAGCCTGGCTTGTGGCAGCAACACAAGACAGCGCCTGTACAGGCTTCCTTCCCCCTCCATCGGCGCAAAGCACGGGCTCCGTCACAGCAGCTCGGACTGTCTTTTGGCTCTGCGCCGCCACCAGAACAGCATCAAGGGGAAGTGTCGCCGCGTCGGTTGGCATGGTGGGCCTTGTCTCTGCATATTCCGTCATGCATGCGAGGTCTGCCAGCGCATCAAGTGGTGGCCCGAGACGCCATGGGAAGAATATGAACCCCACTCCAACTGCTTGTCTTTGTTGCAACAACCTGAGCTTTGGCTTATATACAGGAGAACTAACATTATTTGGTTGGACAGATCTCACGACGCGAAGTGCAAGAGGATTAAACCGTCTCTAATTTCTGGAGACTCAAGGCACCGACCCGTTCCGTCCAAAAGAACAAGGACAAGCCAATCTTGCCCTACCCGCTCCCGCCGTGCAGCCGGTAGACCAACCCAGGACCAGTCCAGGACCAGCCTGGACCAAGGAGCACTTGATCGGCTAGAAGCAACAGAAGCGACGCCGCCTCGCCTCTGCCTTGTACGGTAGCAGCCTTGACATACCTACCCTCCTCTGTCGAACCCACACACTCTCGCTGCCCTCACGTGGCTGTCATTCAGACCCCCAGGCTCAGCCACCCACCTCGTCCGCCCCGCGACTACATCAGCCCGCATATGCCGTGGTCGGCCACTTGCGTCGCGCACCACTGCCAGCTCATCCACGCATCGCTAATAGATTGAGCCCCTCCGCTCCCAGTACACTGGCAAAGGACCCTAGGACACCGCCGGCTCCCAATCCGTGTGCCCAACTCTACCCAAGCAGACGGGCCGTCCCAGTCATTTTAAAGCTCACTCCTCACGAGAAAGCCAGCCTTCGTCGCAACTCATTCGTCACTCGCGACCCATATCCGTGATACCCTTTTTACCCTCCCACGGTCACGTTTTTCCAACCACGCCAAAGCCGTTTTCAAGCTACACCACTTATCTCGCTTTTCATTGGTTCCGAGACTCTCCGCGACGAAGACGGTTGCCTTCATTGCACAGCTCGACCACTCCTCGAACAAGCTTATTCCCAGTATGATGGAATACGCACAATATCCTCAACAACCTCAGAACGCGCACTCCGGATACACCAACTCCACCACAGGAAACAACATCACCTCTCCACACGGCGTACAGACGTCACCCATTTTGTCTCAACAACAATCACCCTCTCAGCAACAGGGACACAACATGTATCAGCCACAGTACAACGTCCCCCAGCAGGGCATGCACTATGCCATGCCTCAAATCCAAGCCGCTGCCATGGCGGCAACTGCAGCTGCGTCGGGAACCAGCTACCCTTACATGCAGTCGGACCCCAGTCTGCCCCAAACCTCGCCACGAATGGGCGGAGCGAAGAAGGAGAGCCGTGATCCTCGATCACCCACCCAGATGAACAACGTTTCGCAGCTACCGGGTCAGAGACGCCTCAGTCAAGTCACCAGCCCCGGCGTCCCTACGGCGCAGGGCATGATGAACCACGTTGGCGCGCGACCTGGTGTTGCGCCGCCGCAAATGGCCCAGGCTCAAGCCATGCCACACCCGCAATCGCCTGAGATGCCTGCCGGCGGAGTTGAGGAATCGCCTCTCTACGTCAACGCTAAGCAGTTCCATCGCATTTTGAAGCGTCGTGTCGCACGCCAGAAGTTGGAGGAGCAACTGCGTCTCACTTCCAAGGGTCGTAAGCCATACCTCCACGAGTCGAGACACAACCATGCTATGCGCCGACCTCGCGGACCAGGAGGCCGCTTCCTCACCGCCGAGGAGGTCGCCGCCATTGAGCGCGAGAAGGGCGGCGGCTCTGGTGAGGGCCCTGAAGATATTGTCGAGCCCAAGGCTGGGTCGAAGAGAAAGTCAGAGGCCGACGACTCTAGCTCGAACAAGAAGGCCAAGAAGGCATCAGAGACTCCTGAAGAGGACGAGGATGAGGACGACGAGTCCTGATGCACTGGCGCACCATTCGTTCTTGTTTGTCGCGCATTCCAATCACGAAGCCACGACCGCCTGCAGAGACGACTCGCAGTCATCTCCACTCTTTCGAATTGAGGCTATAAAGGAGACGGGAGTGATGATGAAAGGGGCTTGTACGGGATGTGTCTATAGGGGTTGGATTATTCCACAGACATCTGTCTTTGCAGCATGTGGGCCGGTGCACAGGACTCTCGTTGCTCTCTGGCTGCCAGGTCTAGCCGATGCCACCTCGCGGGCATTGTGGTGTGTTTTTTTCGCGTCTTTTTTTTTGCTTTTCTTTTCGTTTTCACGGCTAATACACATTATCGACTGGCAACAGCATGGCACCCGTTTAGACGGGTGGCCGCAAGGTAAATGGGAGGGAAGAATGCATGGACGACTCGAAACGACGGATACCCCTCTTGTGTTTACTCGATTACCCCCTTTCTCCTTGTTGTTTTTGATTTGACTTCACTTCGTGTTACAATTCTTTTTCTTGGACGAGAGATTCTTGTTCTTAGGGAATGGTCGGTAGTGTAGGAGGAAATAGGCAGATGGTCTGGCTACCAACGGCTTCCTTTTTTTTTATTTTATATTTCGTGCTTCAGCAGGGAGTTGAAACGAAGAGAAAAGAAAACCCCAAAACGAAAAGCCGCCAGCGATTGGCGTGCTATGAGTTTGTTGTACGGGAACAAGAGAATGATTGAAGATGATATTTACGCTTATACTTATCTACCTTTCCACTTCTTCCTTGCTGGATTGATGGGGATAGACTGGATTTCCTGGCAATCCGTCGCCGGATTCGTACGTAGGGAGTGAAACACGGATTTAACGACCTCTACTCTTTTGAGCAATTTACACTATTTAGTCTTGATTCTGTCGACAACTGCCAAAGGTCGTGACAAGTGAGGTAATGTATGCCACGTATTTGTAAGAAAGCTGCCTTGCGGTACGGCATCTTGAACGAAGGCATCTTGGACCTGAGGTGGGCTTCCGTCTGAGGTGGGCTTCCGTCTGAGGTGGCCACAAGATGATGCAACCTAGCTAGGAACGAGGCTTTCGAGCCAGCAAATAAAGGGGCCGAGCCGACGATGTTGGATCAGGGCAATGCATTGGCTCGGTCGGGTGCGGCTATCGAGGCCCGCCTCCACCTCCGCACTTTGCTGCACCCAACTGTGAAGGAGACCCTGGCCTGGGTCGGGTGCAGGTTCCCCAAGTGCATCCGTCCCCCGCTCTCCGCTCTCCGCCCTGGCAGGCACTCCAAGGTAGGCTACCTAAGTAAGACAGCTCTACCGCTTCTTTGGCCGGTGGACCTCGGCACCTTTGTGCTGGTTGGGGGGTACCTCGCATGGAATTTTGGAAAGCATTCCAGGCCCCGGCTGCCACCCCGCGTGCCCGCTAAAACGTCACTGGGGGACGAACCGAGGCTGGTCAAGGTCCGAATCAGAGATGCGACGGCCAGTCCAGTGAGACCTTACCCCGGAATTACCTCTCCGACCGAGAATTTTGACGGCAACGGCGGACCTTAAACGACTTCGATCCACCACATCTCCTTCCTCAGAGCCAGAGAAGACGACAAGTATCCCTGCGCATTGGACAACTTGGAACATTTCAACCAATTGCTACTACCATTCCCGGTAGTCGACAGCAAACCGGGCACCGGACACGGCCCTCACGCTCAGCATCCATTCTTTTTCCACAACAAGAACGGCGTAGGACAAGATGGCGGGACGCGTGCGACACCCAATTGACCAGCAGGCGCTAGAACGGTATATCGAGAAAAATGTGCCACAGATCAAGACGCCCTTGGAGATCAAACAGGTACAGTCTGCCGCCTCTGCCACCATGGAAAACACCCCCCCTCTCTTTTCCCTTGATACTTTTGTTCATTCTTGCCCATGACCAGAAGAGCATCCTTCCCTCGACTAACATGAGCCTTTCTACACGAAACAGTTCGGCTTCGGCCAGTCGAACCCAACATACCAACTCACCGACGCGACGAGCGCGCGCTTCGTGATGCGCAAGAAACCACCCGGAAAGCTCCTCTCCAAGGCGGCGCACAAGGTGGACCGCGAGCACCGCATAATCCACGCCCTCGAGGCCACCGACGTGCCCGTCCCCAAAGCCTACTGCCTCTGCGAGGACGAGTCGGTCGTCGGCACCGCCTTTTACATCATGGAGTTCCTCGACGGGCGCATCCTCGAGGACCCGGCCATGCCCGAGGTGTCCTCGCCCGAGGAGCGCCGGGCGCTGTGGAAGGCGGCGACGCTGACGCTGGCGAAGCTGCACCGGGTGGCGCCCGGGGATGTCGGGCTCGAGACGTTTGGCAAGAGGAGCGGGTTCTATGACCGGCAGATCCAGACGTGGACGACGATTTGCAAGAGTCAGGCGGCGGCGGTGGATTTGGAGACGGGGGAAAAGGTGGGGGATCTGCCGCATTTTGAAGAAATGATTTCGTTTTTTAGCGACAAGAGTCGGCAGCCGAGGGATCGGGGGACGTTGATTCATGGGGATTACAAGATTGACAATCTCGTCTTTCACAAGACGGAGCCGAGGGTCATTGGTATCTTGGAGTAAGTTCCCCCCCCCCCCCTACACCCCTGTTTCCATACCCCGTGGTTTGTAAACATTTTTTCATGGGGCTGACGACGAACCGCGTCCTTGTCAGCTGGGAAATGTCGACCGTAGGCCATCCTCTCTCGGACCTCTGCAACTTCCTGCACCCGTACTTCACGGCCTCGCGCACCGGCAGCGGGGTCTACGCCAACGACGGGTTCCTCCCCGGCGCGACGCCGGGCCTGCCGACGGTGGAGGAGATTGTCGGGTGGTATACCGCCGAGGTGACGGCGGCTGCGGCGGCGGCGGTGTCGGCGGCCGGGTCCGCCCTGGGTGGCGGGTGGTCGCCCGCTTCGGAGCTGTCGTGGGGCGCGGCGTTTAGTCTGTTCCGGCTGGCGGGCGTGTGTCAGGGCATCGCGGCGCGGGCGGCGCAGGGGCAGGCGAGCAGTGAGCAGGCGAAGCGGTTTGCTGTGACGAGGGGCCCGCTGGCGGAGTTTGCTTGGGAGCTTGTTGGGAGGAGTCGGGCGGAGAGTGGGGGGAGGGCGAAGTTGTGAGTTTGGGGGTACTGTGGTGGTGGTGGTGGTGGTGGTGGATGTATGTATATGGATGTGTAGGTATGTAGGTAGCGTCGGGTATGGGTGAAGTAGAGTTTGAGTGATGTTATGCTGTGGTGTTGTCTCTGCAAGTGTACTCATTTCCAGTGTGCTTGGGCATTTGTGGAATACAGACTCAGTCTGGGATGCTGGAAGGCGAGTCCCAGAAAGGGGGCAATCCGCCAGTCCTCGTCGACTCTCCTTGTTCGTACTCCTGCTATGGGTGATTTCCAAGATACTGGGATGGATGACTTCCAAGAGACTAGGGCGTGGTTAGAGAATCTTGGCAGAGTCAGCGACGTCGATAAAGACCTGGATTGACCGTCGGGACGAGCAAAGACCATGTCACTCACGATGCTCTAACGTCATTCGACGCCTAGTTCAAGATGTGCCACCACGCATAACTTCCTCGTGTGTGCGCGTACTGGCATATCCCCATCTGCCGGTTGAACAGGTGTGTTGCTGCGAGGCAAGAAAAGGAACCCCCCCCTCCCCCCGTGTATTTGTGACGTCTTTGATGTCTGGGACGACAACACATATGGGCCAGTCTCGTCCTCCCTTTGTCGTGGAGCTTCTCGACGTATCCTTTGTAAGCACTCCAATTGCAGCTCCGTTTGTGAGAGTATGAGAGGCAGTTGGTGGGCGTTTTCAGCTGCCGTCGGTTTATGATGCTTGTTGAGGAGTGATCAGTTGCCAACTGAGGAAACCAGGCTGGGTATATGAGTTAGTTGGCCAAAATCCTTCCTGTAGCAGAGTAGCCACAATTGGAAGTCCATGTCATGACGAGACTTTCAAAGAAGCGTTGTGACTGCAATTGGCTCCGTTCGCGGGTTGCCTCGAACGTAAGAGTGTGAGAAATGGGACCGACCAACTGGCTCCGCATGCTCGACCGATATGACCTCCCCGATCGCCCTGTCCTCTCATAGAAGCCTTCTCAAAAGAATGCTGCGAGGTCTGTAACGCAGGATATAACCTGCCGAGATGGTTTTCCTGGACTGTTTGCTCTGCTCTGCCGAGGCTGATATATTGTCCTGACAGCCCTGGAGAGATGTTGCAATCGGCTTCTCGCCGTCCTCTGCGCCATTAGAATGGTCCAAATGTTTATAGGATCTCCTTGTGCTTATGGTCCTGGGTACAGACAAGTCCTTCTCACCGGCAGCTTCGGCTTCCCGTCGGTTCCTCTCGTAGTCGAGAAAATGCTGCCAGGAATCGAAAGTCTGGTCTGTCCGTGGTGTTCCATCATCCTAGATGTATTCCTTGCCAAACCAAATCCGTGTCGACCGGATTTGTCCCGAAATATGGCCTAGTATCAACTCTGAGGTATCTGGGATATCCTGATCAGCCGCGCACATTGTGGATCGACGCAATGTATATCAATCAAGCCAATGTTGAAGAACGCAGCCGATAAGTCAAGAGGATGAGCCAAATGTCACCCCGTTTCCGAAAAGGTGATAATCTGGTTGGGCTGCGAGTCTGAGGGTAGAGAACGCGCGCGGGAGACCTTGGAGTATTTCATTAAACAGGTGGAATACGTAATTTCTCATCGACGTACGACTGGTTCTCTGACAAAAATCAAGCCTTCTGCCAGATCACAGATGATATCAGGGGCCGCCTCCTCCCATATGCACGAGGCTTGACGGCACCATCGCTCGCTTCGTCTGAGCATCTCTTCCTCTGGACGCGCAATCGGCAATTCTCAGGCCCGCGAGACAAGGTTGACGGAGTTTTGGGGCTGCTGGACCCCGGAAATTGTAGCCAAGTTTGAGGTGGATATTTCAAACCCTTCCTGGAAGACATACGCACAGCTCGTCCTGGATGAGGAGGAGGTCTGCAAGAAATTGAGTATGATCAGCCACTGTAGCATAGCGACGGGCCTTGAAGGATGTCCATCTTGGGTACCAAAATTGGAGCTACCAGTCGAAGGTACAAACGTAGGGCTGTCAAGCATTCGAAGATTGAATGCTTTCGCACGCTCCAGTACTGTTGTGAAGCTCATCGAACCTGCTTACCATTTGCAAGTCACCGAGAGACGCATTTCCACCATCAGTCGTTTCAGCTACGACATGAATAGTATATTTGTATAAGTCATCTAAGTGGCGTATGTATTTCGTTGTGATACCTCCGCCTATTCCACTTATGAAGTTGAAGATGACTGCGTGGTGATATATTTAGAATAATTGAATTCATTCAATGCGTTAGATTCTATGGCTTGGCTCTATCCTATTAAAGGCGGTACTATTTGGACGCACATAAAGTGTGCTAAGAACCTTTCCTGAACTGCTGCTATGTACCTCTTTCAAATCAGTGTCGAGTCGCCTACCCACTAGAGTCGTCTTTCTCGACTAGCTGAATCAACCTAGTACTTTGGGTCTACTAGGTAGTTATAGATTTCACGGCGGTCGACTAGTCTGCTGATGTGGTATGATTATTCTTACTTTGCTAATTTAGTCTACGCATATGTGTGTAAGAAAATCTCACCCTTTGAAAATGACCTTTTACATAACAACCCCACAAATATGGTAGCTCATGTATATCTCTATAAAATAACTCTGTAAAAGCAGCGTGAAGGGTAGAACTTCTGGTAGGTAAGACACCCTCTTTGACTGCGCACAGCCTCGTCACTTGTCGTAGCCATTAGCAGAAGGGGTGGGCTGGCTGGCCTGCCAAAGAAGATTCCTCTCTGCCAAACGAAGCTCTACAATATCACTTTGAAATGGCCATAGGCCGGTTAACTAATAGTCTTTACTTGAGTATGTTTCTTTTCGATCAAGAAAACTTTCCACTCACGCTTAAACTTTTGAGTTGTGACTACCACTTGAGATACTCTGGGCTTGCATGAGTGGTGGCTAATTGTTGACAACGGTAACGAGTTACGAGGGTGCAGATTGTGGAAAGCTTAGGGAGTCAAGCTATATTAACTCTACGGTGAGTCGGTAGTCTCTACCGAAGCTTGATTAAGAGTAAATGACTTGATTACTATATCAAAGATGTACACAAGAACCAGACTTCTATATTCATGTCTACACTCAGTTTTACAAACGGTTGAATGGTCCTCTGGCTTTTTAAATGTGTATATATGCTCACTTTGGATCAAGCCTTTCCTCGCTTGACCAATCCTATTGCCGGCACTATGAGCGGCGAGAGAGGCAGATGCCAAGATGGGAATAAAGTTCATCCCGTTGGGCCATTCGCATACAACTCTGTCTCTTTCTTCTCTCTTTCTCTGCTTTTTTTCTCCCGTTCAGGATTGGCGAGCGCAAAAACTTGTTTCTGGTCCGTGGACAAGTCGGGCCACGATCATCCATGCACGGGACCTCGGCGACATCTGCAAGCAGAAAGCGTGGCTGCATTGACTCCCCGACTTGTTTTGCTCAGAGTGAATCCCAGATTAGGCAGGCGAAGCCTGTAAAACGCATTCTTTCGTTACGTTACCATTGTTTGATGCGCAAGATGCTGCTACAATTTCCATCGGAGGAAGAGGGACTGGGACGTGGGAAAGCTGGACGGCCTTGATCATGAGTTATCTCCTTGGTGTTTAATCTTCAGATACCTCTGTTGGATGCTCACGATCGGCTTCTTGCCCAGTCGGTTCCTGACCTGTTCTGAAGATTTCCGTGCGCCAAGAGAAATGGGCCGTCGATCGAAAGGATAGGATCGGAAGCACTGGCCTTGGTGCTTCGAGGGAATAGCGATGTAGGAGCGCACCGCATCTTCCAAGTTCCACATGCTGTGCTGATGGCAAGGGGAAGCCGGCATGCAGGAGCGACAGGAATTATGGAGTCACGAGTTGCGCGAGAGTCCTCAGAAAGCATCCCCAGAGTATTCTATAGTCCACAGAATTAACCCTCTCATTTTCCAGGGGGGAAAGATAGCAAGCGAGAGTTTGGGCAGTCTAGCGAGCGTGGATATTTTTGGCCTTTGAGTGTGCCGGCCCATGGTAGTTGAGGTATTAAGAACTGCACCCCAGTCAGAGCCGTTGAACTCTCTCCCCACCTGGCGAGGGTCGCGGGATAGTCACATAATACTCAATCGTCGGATGGGTCAAACGGTGGCCGGATGCTTGTTTCACAGTCGTGCGATGACGACGGCTGTGGGTGGTAGTGGTGCTGGGCCCAGCGTTTCCCATTTGCCCGGGCAGCCCTGAAGCGGCCTCTATGTGCGAGGCCTCTCGGTTGACACGCTTAGTAAGTGGTTACTTGCTGGGTACGAGGTGCCCTGGCCCCTGGAACGGGCCTCTTTAACACCCTCCCTCCCCTGCACTCCACCGAGACTGTCACTTGGCCACTCTCCGCACCGCAATATGGCAGCTCCCGCCTTCAATCTATTAATCCCCCCCCCAACTCTGCGCTGCGACTCTACCTTATTCACGAAGCTTGTCTCAAAAAGACGCAACCTGCAGAAGAAGCAGCTTGAGGCTCGTCACTCTCCAGCCTGGTCTCCGAGGCTGACAAAACCTGTGTAGTGGAAGAGCGCCGGGGTAGAGTTGCCGACGCCTGGCTTGGTTCGACCTGGTCACTCCATCGAGCCTCAATTTACACCAACAAAACAGTTGGAAGTGGTCTAGTAACTTGACTTGTTGTTCTCATGAATGGAAAACGTTGGAGCTTCCTCAGGTCTAAATAGCCCTCGCTTATCGTTTATCGAACGCTCAAGCCTGAAGCACCGCCGCAAGAAAAACCTGTCATTGGACTCCTGTGCGTTACGAATTCGTCTCAGAGTACCGGGCCCGTCTGAACTTTTTTCTTTCGGGCGGGGAAAAAAAAAAAAAAAAAAGCTGCCATCGGTAGTTCGCCGCCACGACACGTTCTGGACTATCATGATGGAGAGAGAGAAGAAAGGGGGTAACAATGGAGAAAGAGAGGATCCAGGTTGTGCTTCGCTTTTCTCAATCACGACTGGTACTGGTAATGACCCTCGTCCTTCTCATCCACTTGCTTCTTGGCGCAGCGTTATAACCCATTATGATCATGGCCCATCGTTAAGAGGCCTGAAACGCGGTTGCAGCCCCGTCTTCGTCTGGACTCCCAGCTCGACATCTGCCCATAATCGATGCATCCCCGGCCAACATGACGGGATGGTCGCCCCTGGTCGCCCTCTTCGCCCTACGTCTACGTCCCTGCCGGCCAAGCAAGCCAAGCCTGGTGACCGGTCAGGGGACGGATAGGGCGACACTGGCATGCCCCCCCCCGGAGAAGAGTCGGTCTTTGACAAGAATGGGTGGTCTCGACACATCAGCGCAGCCTCTTCCAGTCTCCAGCAGTCCAACTGTCTCCATCGGGTACCCCCTTCCCACTCCACATGCTCCATGAGTCTATAACCCGCGTAACGCCCCCGTCCCCACTTGACATCTCCACCCGCGCGACGGCATCCGTTCCAGAAGATCGTCGGAGCCGCGGAGGGGATCTGTGCCTGGCCGGGGATCCCTCTCCTGCCTGCCTTGCCCAGAGCTTGCGAGGAAACACAGGCAGGAAGAGCCGCAGCCTGCATGCAGAGGGAGACTGGACTGTTTAGGCGCAAGGCATGGGCACAACGTTCACGGTTCCTGAAAGTCTGTTGCTCTCTGGCCCCAGAGGTCCACTCTGGGGAGGGGGGCTCTTCCACTCCCTCCCATCCCCTCCCCCCCGGTTCTGTTGCGTCTACGTCTTGCTTCCCACCTCGCCCATCGGCTTCAGCACCAGCTGAGAAGTGCTTACACCGACATGCTCTCATCCCCTCTCTAATAAGCCCCATCGTCCATCCTCCCATCCTCAACGTTTGTGACCCCTTGTCGAAACAAGCTCTACCCTTGAAGCAACTCCTCTTGTCATCGCCAAAGGAGGTAAGACCAGACAGAGGATATGGGAAGCAGGCATGTATAAAACTTAATGGGCCTCGCACTTCGGGCAAAACGCAGGATTCCCTGTGCTCTTCCCGTTTGGATCGCTCGCTCACACTTTCCTTTGAGTTCGATCTCGTCTTGGTTTCTTCCTTTCCCTTCTCCTTCACCTCCACACTTCCAGCCGGCCTGTTTTTTTTCTTGAGAGAGAGGTCATAACCAAACCTCTTTCGTTTCTTTCCCTTTACCATCAACGCGGTGCTGGACACATTTTTTGTTTTTCAACCTTTTGGTTCGCTACTAATCCAACTGTGACTCGTGTACCTGTTTTCTTTTGGTCCACTTGTCTCCTCTCACAGCCATGTCTTCTCCCATGTTGAGAGCGTTGGCCGCCGCTGCCATGCTGGCGATGGCCCAGGCCCAAGGTGTCATCCTCGCTGCGCAAGGTCCCAGCGGCCCCGCCAGCCCAGGACTGCTAGGTACGTCGTGTTCAACAATTTGAGATGCGCAATGTGAAGACGGAGGTTTAATGAACTCTTCCCATAGTCAACCCTAACAAGGCGGATGCGAACATTATCAACCAGAAGGAGATTACCAACAACGCCGTCAACGAGTGCGGCCGGACCATCCTCGCGGGTAACATTGATATTGGCGAGACCACAGAGGACCAGCTGGGCAACAAAACTGTTACGCAAGTTACGAAGGGCTCCAACGTTGATGTCACCATTGCCCAGGTCAGCGCGGACGGCGCCGGCCCGTACAGCTGCGATCTCGACCTCACCAGCAACGCCAACGGAGCCACGGGTCAGACGAAGCTGCAGGTCCAAGAATCAGGGGCCCAGAGTGGACAAATCAAGCTCAAGGTCACCATGCCGAACGACTTGGCTTGCGTAGGAGGTATGTTTTGCTTCTCACATCGCTGGATGGCTTCTGGCTCCTCGCGCCCAGGCAGGAACCTCCACTTTGCCCAACGTTCCCACGGACTAACAAACACTTCCTTCTAGCCTCTACTGGCGACGTCTGCACCGTCCGCTGCTTCAACGCCAACGCAAAGGGCCCCTTTGGCGGCTGCTTCGCCGTCCAGCAGACCGACACGAAGCCCAAGCAGAACACCCCCGGCAACATCCCCACCGCCCAGACCCTCAAGGGCGTTCTGTCACAGGTCCAGCAGAATATTGTCGACCTCCCCGCCGCCGTCAAGTCAAACCAGGAGGCAAAGACCCAGGACGAGCAGGGCCTCACCGCCATCAAGGAGATTCTCGGCAACACAGCCACCTCAGAGGCCGCTGGCCCTGCCGGCTCCGGTGCCAACACTGGCAACAACAACAATAACAACAACGGCAATAAGAACAACAACAATGGCAATGGAAATGGCAATGGGAGACAGAATGGTCAGGGCAACCGCAATGGCGGAAACAATAACGCCAACACGGGCAACAACAACGCCAACACGGGTAACAATAACGCCAACACCGGGAACAACGGAGGCAACGGACGTAACAGGGGCAAGAACAATGGCAACGCCAACGCCCAAACGGGCGGAAACAACGGCAACGGCAATGGTAAAGGCGCATTGCCGTTGGCAACTGTTGGCAAGGGCAATGGCAACCGCCAGAACCAGCAGAACAGCAACAATGGCAACGGCAACACCGGCAACGGCAACAACAACAAGCGTGAGGAGGCACCAGGGAACATGCTCCGCACGCGCTGGGCCAGGAGGAACCTTCGCCGCCGCAGCGACTAATCGTTACGCAAGGTGGAGGGGGTTGATGTGGACTGAGGCCGGCAGCGAGCCGCGCGCAGGACACTCTTTTCCCCCCTTATTCGGGCTTCATGTTGTGTGAGCAGGGCCCTTTCTTGGAAGCTTTGTTCCTCACCTTTTTTTCCCATGTCGATGGAACGAGTTCCGCCAAAGACGAAAGAGGAGACGATATTTTAGTTGTTAGTTAGCGAAATTTTATATTGAGCCGTGTACAGTTTATATAAATGGTAGAAATTCGGTGGTGGTCTATTTTCGCGACACCACAACTTTCAGATGCTTGCTTGGCATGTCAGTAACTGTTCATCCGTCGTAAACTACCATCCTTTTCAGGCGAAAATGTACTTGATAGGTGACACAAAGAATACGGGAAGACACTCGTTAGAGTCTCTTCTGCGCAGATGCGCATGCACTGAGATGGGTGACATATCTGCTAACACTGCTCACACTGCTCACATTGCTTATCCCCGGGCCTAGTCACGGCTCACCTCAGGCACGGCTGTTGAGGTCAAAAAGTAGGGGGATGAGTGGTAAGTGAGCAAGAGACGCGGTCTGAACGGATGACTTGATAGGGTGAGGAACAAGAACTTACATTATGTATCCGTAGACGGGGGGATCGCCCTCCTCTCTTCAAAAGAAGATGGTGGGAGGCTACATATAGCTTGCCACTGATTGCCGGAGTCAACCTCGGTGTTGTTATACCTCACTCTACGCATGGGGCGTTTATTTAATCATTGCTTCACAGAATGAAGGCGTTTATTTCAAGACGGACGTATAAGCCAGGCGATTCCGCTTGAACAACAGGGTGTGCCGCCGCCTGATAGTGTTCTTCAACCATTCCTATCAGCAATTCCTCAAGCCCACCCATCAACTTTTCCATCTTCACTTCCAAGAAACGCCCAGCAAACTCACACAACCCAGGACAATGACGACTCAATTCCTGCAAGCGACCCGCAAGCGGATTACAAAGTCATCATCCCGCGAATCTTCATCCGCAGCGCCGTTGCCGACGACACAGAAGCTCTCTATCGCCTCCTCTCGATACCCGAGAAGAGGAGGCTGGAGACGAAGAGTCCGTTCAGCTGTGGTGACAGGGAGGTTGGGTGGGTTTACAAGATTGACTCGTCGACGTGGAGCGGCGTGAGGGGTGGGTTGAAGAAGAGCGGGAGGTGGCCATTGTGAGATTCCCTTGAATGCACCAGACGTTATTATCGTTTTTGGTTTTGAGAGAGGAGTCGACAAATGGGTGGTCGCCGGTCTCCTCTAGACAGGTTTGGATTGGTTGGATACACTGGCTGAACCATCGTTTCCGCTCCCATATTTCCCAGCCATTGATCCTTTTCAACAAGGTCCCACGAGATCGATATCGAGTTTGGCCTCGCTTCTCATCTTGGTTGAGGATAGTTCTGAGGGAGTAGAATGATCGTTCCTTTTCAGAAGGAGGCCTCGCCATGTCTGTGTCCGACAAAGAGTACGCGCGCAAATTAAACGCCGACCGCGGTGACGGCATCGTTTGACGTGACACGAGTGACCATCGCATCGTTGACGGCGGTTGGAATGTTGTTCTGGGCTACTTTTGATCAATTTGAAGTAAGGAGGTATTTGATTTTGTAGTTGGAAAGGGTTCCGGCTTGCAAAATCTGTTGCAGAACTCTGCGGGGGGAGTGAGGGGTTTCACACATGACGAGTGGGTGACGCTGTGTCCGGTAGGATGCCGAAGAATCCTAACTTGAAGAGAATGTGAAAAAAAACTCAAAGGCGAGGGAGAGTGTCACAAGGGTGTATATGGCGTTAATTGCTGCCCGCAATGAATGGCTTCGTTTTTGCGACAGAGAGTGGATAAGAGAGGTTTACATGCTTCGGTCTCGTTGAGAAAGATAACTGGAGGTGGACGAATTGATGAGCTGCGCTACTTATAAGCACCTTTCCTGCCCCTCATGCACCTAATACTTTCCTTGCTCTCTTGTTTATAATCTCTAGAATACTTAAATATCTCTTTTACAGGTTGAATAGGGGCCCGGAAAGGCCATAAGAATGCCTCCGCGACCCTTGCGCAAGCTTCCAAAGAATCAAAGGCTCTAGAACGTCTTAACTACCACCAAATTACAGATACAATACAGTCCTTATGCTAAGTATTAAAAGTCTTTATGATGCCACTAAATTACTGAAAAGCCCCCAGCATGCCGACTATACTCAGTTCGGAAACAACGCTGAAACTGCCAATAAGCCTTATGGAGCCAGATATTACGACTCTGCTCAACAGACTGATCACAAACAGCTGAGACAATCAGGGCTATCCTTAGAGAACAACCTTGAGTTGACAAAACATAAACTCGTCTGTTCTCCCGAGTTGATATAAAGGCAAGGCATAGTCCGGGCATTGTCTTGCCTTCAGCTATTACTGCAACTTTTCAAGCTCAACTTGATGGGACTTGAAAGTGATTGAGGACCATACCCTTATTAAAGAGATCAGTCGGAAGTGTATGTTTACTTCACCAACAAGACCCTAAATCCTACGATCCAAGTAGTTGTCTAGAGCAAGACATTTCCGTAGGATACTTCATGAAGACTCTAGCCTTAATTTTTTTACCTTAATGTGTTCAACACCCATCTTTTATGACACTGTGAAGAGATGATGCATGACGGGCTTGTAGGGTGTCATCCGAGCAGCTTTATGTCGATAGGGGCTTAACGCAGTCTCTGAATATAGGCTGTAGCTACCATTGGATAACAATGATGTACGTAAACCTAAGGTATGTACATGATGAAGATAATCAAATCGGCTAAAACACTGAGAAAATAAAAGTACTTTGACGACGACGAGAAGCTTACCTCTCGTGTCAACAACTCCAAACTCCAATAGTCTAGGATGGTATCTCTGAGCACAACCCCCATACCAATATGTACAAATTGAATGAAAATTTTCGAAAAGCCAAAATTTGGCGGGAAATAACGCTGTTGCCAAGCTGGAAGGCCGCCATGGTTGATGACGGCACTTCAGCCCAGAGAGAATGTGTAAATGTGCAAGTGTGTGTGTGTGTGTGTGTGTGTGTGGGGCTACCGCCGGACCCTCAGACTAATACTGCCCAAGATGCGGCCAAGATCAACACGAGCGCCGAGGACTTGGTGACAAGACCGCCGAGCAACGTGGCACCCCCCGCCGCCTCGCTGGTCTTGACCGCATTACAGGACAGCACGGAGAGCTTTCCCTCAGGGTCAGGCCAGGTCCCGTTCGGACAGTCCGCGCGAGCGAGCATCGCTTCCTTCACCTGCGTCTCCAGCGCCGCATCCATCTTGAACCCGCAGGCGTCGGACGCGGGCTCCTTGTCCGACACCACGGGGCAGATGTCGCCGTAGTCGTGGCTGTTGCCCGTGATTTCAAAACTGCCGACAAAGTCGGGGCACGCGTCGGTGTCGACGAGGGACGGGATCTGGCCGTTGGGGTCGGTCGAGAAGAGGGCCGTGCCGTTGTACGAGACGTCGTAGGCCTTTGACGATGCGCCCTGGCCGGTGGCGTTCTTGGGACAGGCGCTGAACATGGTTGCCGTGTACCGCAGGCGGAACGTCCGCTGCGTCGCGTTCACCAGGTCCCGTCGCGAGGCGTCGATGATGGTGTACGTGTCCGAGGTCTTGTTCTTGGCCTCGGTCTGCCAGACGCCCGAGCTGAAGAGCTGCCCCGAGTCGGCATCGTTGATGTCGTCGTACCCCGTGAGGTCCCACTTGACCCAGAAGCTGTAATAGTCCTTGTTGTCGGGCCAGAGCTGCGAGGCGTTGCGGACGGCGAAGACGAAGGGGAAGGGCCAGATGGGCTTGTAGGTGCTGGCGTTGCGCGGGAAGACGAGGTCGACTTCGACAGCGGTCGAGGGTGTTGTCGCCGCGGAGCTGAAGCATGCGAGGTGCAATAGCATCAGCAGCTGGAGCGGGCGGCTGAGAGAGACGTGCATGGCCGGTTCGTTGGAGGAGCGGTTCTCTTCAAGAGGAAAAGTGACATGCCGCTGGGGGAACACAAGCTCAGATAAAGACAAAATGTGGGAAAAACCGTTCTTCGGAGAGTAATTATAGATTGTCCAGGCACCCCGAGTTGCCCAAAGGGGGCGATCGTCGTTGACATGAAATGTCACCGGGCTGCGGCACGGCCGCACCGGGGGGGGAACTGGGGCCAGGGTTACCCGGGATGGGTTGCTGAAGTCTACCAAGACAACCTTTCCGATTGTCCGTGGCAAGAAAACTTGATTAAATGAGTGATTATGAATGGATAAGAAGCAAGTTTAGCGGGTTTGAATAGAGATGCAATTTCAAACCGAGACTTGAATGAGCCTCTGGCGCCATCAGCTGAAAGTACCTAGCAGTTTAGTGTTAAATAACTCGTTTTTGGCTTTTTTTCTATATTCCCGCAAAACTTGGTCACGATATCAAGACAGTGAGTAAGGCAGAAGCTTTCCATTGGTTGCGATTGCATCACCAGTGAGCTGATGCAGGGGTTGCAAGCCACGCGCAGTTAGCGTGTAAGTCGGTGCTCGTATCGGGTGGTCACTCTTCGTCCATCGTACCCTTGACGGTTCGTTCCTCTACCCCATCCATCATTTGGTTCAGGCTGATCCCGCGAATCCTTCACCCCGTTGACATCCTTCAGAACGGTGAAGTTGGATCCTTCGAATTTCGCTAGCGCCAAGGCGTACATGATTTAGTGCTGACCCAACCAAGAAACACGGCCGCTCGCTGTATCTGGCCAGGGTGAGATACGTGATATGTTGAGTCATGTGCCTCATGAGTTTGCGGAATTCCATGGCATAAAAGACGGGAAATCAGAATGTTGATAGTCAGGTTGCGTCGACATCAACAGAGTTTCGGATTGGAATTGATAATTTGAATTGAGTTTAGTAGCAGGCATGTTGCCTGAATGCGGCTCTATTAAGCCCCATGGGCAAATTTACCCTTGTCTCCCCCCAAGGCCCAAAGGCAACCTTGAAAAGACAACCGACACCCCAAACCACTACTTCCTCGAGATTCAAGAAAACATACAGACAATGAAGATTCACACAAGGCTTTGACGGAGATTCTGCAACAATGAGACGACATGTCGCACAACTCTCAGTCGGATTACTAGGCGTCACCTGAATCCGGTATGCCCCACGCAAACGCCAAGGCGCTGCTCACAACGTGGTTTCCGTCAGACCACACAAGTCGGCCCGAGGACAAAGCGTCGGGCTTGGGCGGGGAGCTCATCTTGACCGTCAGCTTGAACGTCTTCTTCTCCCCGGCCGCCTTGAAGGTGAGAGTCTCGGGTTCCACAGAGGCCTTGACCGAGCCGGTGTCGTTGAGCGAGATTTGGGCCTTGTACGTGCTAGCACCCCCGACGTTCGTCAAAATGCGCTTGAAGGTAGCGGTGTAGGACCCATCCGAGGCGGGGGCGGTGTCGATGCCGTAGGCGGCGGAGAAGGACGGGTAGTTGAGGTTGTAGAGGCTGTACGTCTTGTTGGACGCGCAGGTGAAGTTGTTCCCAGCGAATGCTTGCACGAAGCTGGGCTCTGGGTCAATGGCGCAGAGGGAGTCAAGGTAGTCGGCGGGGGCGATGTCGTAGATAAGGCCCGGGTTAAGGGCGGCCATGGGGTTCACGTGGCCGCTTCCGTAAGCAAAAGGAGTGGCGGGGGTATTATCGTGAGAGTCCACGAGGGGCGAATTGGTGCCCTTGGTGGTGGTGTAGGCGGTTGTCATGATGGCTGAGCGGACGGCGGCTGGGCTCCATCCCGGACGGCGGCCCATGATGAAGGTTACGATGCCGCTCAGGTGAGGGCATGACATGCTGGTGCCAGAAATGATATTCTGGTTAACCTTGCGGGTGTCTACATCGAGGCTGGTAGGTCCCTTTAGGGACCAGGCTGCCAGAATGGAAACTCCGGGTGCCTGCTAATGTGTCAGACCATTGACAACCTCACACAGCCTCCCTCACCTCCTGGAAATTGGTCTTTACGTACTGTGATATCCGGCTTGAGTATCGGCGGAAGGAGAGCGTTCGGACCGCGCCCGCTGAAAGAAGCCATCTTCGGCGCCGGAATGCCGAACACAGAGCCCTTAAATTCCAAGATCGCTGTGCCGTTGCCGATCTTTGCGTACACCGAGACCGCGTCTCCATCTGTGGCGGTGAGTTGCAGGGCAGGCAGGAGGTGCGCGTCGGCAATGAGCTCGTCACCGTCTTTAGGGGCGTTCACGAGGACCATGCCGCGCCCGCCGGCGGTCTTAACTACCAAGCCCTTTTCAACTCTGGCGTTTTCTCCACGCACGCAGACAACGACCTTCCCGGCGACCTTGGCGGGGTCGAGGCTGCCATCCAGGCACAAGTTCGCGCTGGTGACATTGCCCAAGCCCGCCTGACTGCTGTGGATGAGGGGGAGAACCTCGCCGGGGGTGAGGGGCTTGACGTCGGCCACAGAACCGTTGACGTAGAGGGAGGCGCCTTCGTAGGTCTTGCCGTTGCCGAGGATGACTTGAGAAGGGAACTCACGGTCAAGCGTGCTCGCGCCGACGCTCAGAACCCAGGGTTCCTACGGGTATGTATGAGCTTCACGGGAGCAAAGAGGAAGAGGGAGGAGGGGACAGAGAGCGATGAATGCTTACGGAGTTGACGACAGTGCCTGCTGCCGGGCCATCGTTGCCGGCAGATATGGAGACAAAGATTCCCTTCTGGGCGGCGGCGAATGAAGCGACTGACATGACATCGAAATGGGGTGTTGAATTGGTGCCAAGAGATATGGACATGACGTTGACACCGTCCTCGATTGCCTTGTCTATGCCCGCGATGATATCAGATAAGATGCAAGCCTGAAGACCGCAGACCTTATACGTGGAGAGGCGGGCGTGCAAAGCCATGCCACGAGCCGTGCCGGAGGCCTGGCCAAAGAAGCCAGCGTTCGGCACGGCGGCGCCGGCTGCGGTGGACGCGGTGTGCGAGCCGTGTCCGTCGTCGTCCCTGGGGGACTTGGACTCTGTGGTCCAGTTGAAGAAGCCGCTGTCGTTGGAAAAGAACGCCTCGTAGCCCTTGTTAAAGACCCTCGCGCCGATGAGCTTCTTGTTGCAGCTGGTGGCCGGGAAGTCGACGGTGGTTTCGCACTCGCCCTTCCAGCCGGCAGGGACGGGTGGCATGCCGTAATCATTGAAGCTGGGGTTCTCGGGCCGGACACCCGAGTCGATCATGCCGATGATGAGGTTCGACTCGGGGTTGATCCCGCTGTCGCCCCTCTCGTCGAGATAGCTGCTCGGATCGAGTTCGAGCCCGCGACCGAGGAGCGAGGCGTCGTCGAGACCCAAGAAGGCCGGTGTCCTGGTGGTGTGTAGGACGTAGACCTGATCGGGGGTGACGGATAAGACGTCACCCCGGTTTCTCAGTGCGTTAGCTTGTTCTACTGTGAGCTTGGCGGCGTATCCGTTCGCCGCGTTGGTGTAGGAATAGGACTTGTCAGCGGGACTGGCGGAGACGGACACCAGGGAAGCATCGAACTGATTTCCGGGCTGGACGCCAGGTTTCTTCAACTGAACAATATACGTCTTGCGGAGCTTAGTACCGTGGGCTGCCCCCGCGAGGAGGGAGCCCAGGAGGAGTGTGAGAAAAGCCTTGGCCATGTCTGTAGTATCTTCAAGTCAAACTGGTATTTTGATGGAGATCTTGGCACTGGAAGTCAAAATGTCATCGCTTCTCCTACAGACCAAGCGGACGGCTCTATATACTTCAATATCACCTACGTCCCCACGGTTCAATACGTCCCATTTCAGGGGCCAAAGGTACGGTGCCGTGGCGCCATGTCGGTGGGATCTAGTCAGCAGTAAACTTCTCGTACCTGACGATCTCGTAAATAAGCGAAGCCAACATGCAGTGAACGGTCCATGGAACACCATTCCTCTGCACTTGTATCCCGTAGCCACCGAACCCGTTGAGGCCTTAGGGCCGGGGATAAAAAGGCTTGACATCGTCCACCCTGGGCTCGTTGTTGTTCTAATTGGCCAGAGACTCCGCAACGGACGGCAGTCCATCAACACTCTAATAGAGTGCCCAGCAACCTTAATTCTCGAAAACTAATGTTCGTCCGACGTTGCCGAGTCTTTCAAGATTGGCGCTACTTAACCCAGAAAGTTAGCATAACGTTGTTAAGTTTGGACTTCTCCCCCCCGACTGGGAAATTGTCAAGTAGCGTTCCGCGGAAACCGGCTCATTGTCATCCCCAACGCTGGGTATTTGGTACAAGACGACGAAGCTCTAGACGGCCCGGACGAGCGGGCGCTGCTAGTCTGTAGTAATGCAAAAGTTCCATCAATATCCCGTGATTAATAGATGCGGGGGAGTCCTTTGCGTCACGACTGATCCAACGACACACGCAGAACTTCACTAACGGCGACTAATCTCATCTCTTTTTTTGGTTCTTCACTACACCAGTTCACCTGGTAGAGTTCAGGTCGACTTCTTCCGGTAGCAAGCTTTTTAGCTAACCAAATGTCATCAAAGCAAATATTTTGAAAAGCGCTCACTCTGGGTTGCCTTCCTCTTCTGGATTTACGGTTTAAAGGAGTATTCGGAACGATGACTGATTGGTCATTGACGTCAAAACAGAATGCGGCTCTAGATATCAGTCTGTGGCCCAATAAGGGCAAGATAGGGGCGGGTAAGATGAAGCCATCTTGGATTGGCAATGCCATTGTTTGCTTAATAATAAGTGTATCAAGTTCAATGCATAGAGTGTCTGAACAATGAGTAGTCAAATATTTACCTCTATACCAACAGCTATTGTTACAACGGATCTAGCCTATAAACATCAAAGCAACCGCGGCGGCTTGGGTGCCCCGGTCTGATCGGGCTGTGCTTTGGCCACGGGGCAGAATTTCTTCCTGATGGCACCAGCATCGCCGGTGGCGTCCAACGTGCCCAGCATATCCGCGAGCTCGCCCATCCGCTGAGCGATGGAGACGAACATGCCAGCTGTGGCAAGGGGGTATTAGTTTGACTTTCAGGCCCTCGGAAACGGAGTAGACAAACCTTCAGCGTGCCAAAGATAATGGCAATGAAACGCCCAAACACCTGGGTTGTCTGCTGTTATGCGGATCACCAGATGCGAGTATCCTGGAATCGTAATCGTGTCACGCCGCATTGGGTTGTCAAAGTTCCACGTAGTCTCGCTGGCTCCGAAGAGGCCGTTGCCCCAGCCAATGACTTGGAAATTCTGGCCTAATTACAGGGTGAGCACCACCACGTGTAGAGAAAAGACTTGTGTGCATCAGTACGTACCACTAAAAAATCGGTCAGTATCGAGTTGAAAGTCAGAGGGTAGTACAGACAACTTACTGTAAATGCCACGGATGAACCATCATAGCGTCAGAGTTCACCACGATTTGCGCAGCTTTGTCATCCCTAGACACCAAGACAAACTGATCCTTGCCAAAGTCCAGTTTTGATTGAGGCGAGTTAAGGTTCTCAGGCGTAATGTCCTGCTGCATGAATTTCCACAGCGACGCGTCGTCCGTCAGAGGTGTATACAGAGTCTACTCGCTTGTCAGCTATCTATTCTTCAGCAGATCGACTGGAGAAAAATTTCAACTCACATCATTCACGTGTGTGCGGACAACGTCGTTCACACGCTCCTGCTTGAAGGTGAAGTAATGGTAGTTCCTGTCACCAACGTCGTAGGCTGGCCTGCTTCTGACTGGCTTCGGGAGGTTGTGCGGCAGATCCTCGCACCGGTCTTCCCACGGCTCCTTGCCGATGCCGGGGTTCGAGGTGCTGCTCAGGTCCCACGTCTCACCAATCGGCGGAACGCCGACGTCCGTCTCGTCATACGACAGGATGGCGGTGGCACCGAAAGGCGTGGCGTGCATCATTCCCGAGTTATGGTTCTTGTGGGACATGTGGAAGCATCGAACCGCGGCGTCGGCACGAATGAGATAGTTTCCGGCCGTCTGGTTGGCGTTCACGAGGACGGAGTAGCGCTGGCCGGGGTTCATATACACTCGAGACGTGGCGATGGGAGCGACCTCGACACCGTCAATCTCGACGATTTGCAGAGGGTGATTGTCAACCGTCACATAGACGGGGGTTGATGTGCCGTGGTTAATGAGACGCAGGCGAGCGGTTGATCCGCTCTTGACCCGTGTGTTGAAGAGTGAGCCCCATGTGCACTTGGGGGGAGGGGCATCTCTGGGCGTGTTGGGGCTTCCCATGTTCTCCATGTTGTGACCGCTGTGGTCTTCGCCTGATTTGGCCTTGCTTGCATCACCGCCTTCGATGCTGGAGCAGTTGAACGTGTTCCTGCCATTGATGATGACATTGTCAGGGGGAGGCTCCCTGCCGGGCCTCTTTGGGGCCCACGGTGGATTGGCGCTCAGATACTGAGTAAGGAGCTAGAGATTTGTGAGCACCGCGCGAGAATATGGTTACCAAGTGAACTTACAGTGCCTCCATACTCATGAAAGAGGTCTCCAACCATGATAATTTTGTCATCATCAACAGGGGGGATCTTTTCATCCGGGTCATGGATGATCTGCGATGAAAGAGGGCATGTCAGCATCGTCAAGCTGTCTCATAGTCTATGCTTGACCAGCGACGTCTCATGAGTCGGTGTGAGAGGATACTCACCAATGGCCCAAAGAGCCCGTCAGTGACTTGAACGGAAACATGAGCGTGCCACCAGAATGTCCCCCGCTGGTCGGTAACATTGAACTCATACGTGAAGCTTTCGCCGGCAGGAATAGCGCATTGGCTGACGCCAAAGACACCGTCCATCCAAACCGATTTCCTCTGGTCAATGCCGTGCCAGTGGATCGTGGTACTTTCTTGCAGCATCTGGTTGTGCACCGTGACACGGATGGTGTCTCCCGTGTTTGCCTCGATGAGAGGGCCGGGCGACTGTCCGTTGACGAGGATCATTGATTTTTCATAGCCGTCGGGTGAGTGCTGCTGCCGCGTGATGTTGAACACATATTCCCGCAGCGACGTCACGTTTGACACCTCGAATCCCGTCTGCAAGTTGAATTGCTGGTCTGGCGTCAACTTCACTTGTGGTGTTTGCGTGGGGACAAGGGAAGAAGTCGATGTTGGCGTTATCGTCGTCGTCAGTTCCGGCACTGGGTCCGCCGGTGGTGGTGGCGGCGGCGGCGGCGGACTTTGCTCATGGTTGTCCTCATCGTGGGCGGGTTCCGCCGGCCGATCCTTGGCCTGCACGTTGAAGAATTGGGCAAAAATGAAGGGAATGAGGGTCAGGATAGACACGCAAGTGAGGGCCATGATCCATCGGAACGTCTTCTTACGGCCCGCATGGCGTCTGTATTGACCCTTCTCGCCGTAGTCGGCTGAGCCGGGAAGCAGGCGGTCCTCCACGTCAGTCTCCGACGATGATCTGACGCCGAGCATGGGGTTTTGCTCGTCGCGCGTCCCGTCCCGCGGGACCAGACCGGAGCTCATGGTTGCTGGCGCTAATGAGTGAACAGGGGAGAATATGAGGGCTCGAACAAATGTACAAAACGAAGACAAATTCGCTATCAGAATGAGAGGAAATGAACAGGACCAGCAGCAAGACGCTCCAGGTCTCTACCAGCGACTGACGTTCGCCATGCAACTTTCGCCGGTTGAGTTAATAAGAAACACGAAAAGGCATTGAACCACGTGGTAAAAGGGGCAAACGGCCGGGGACAAAGGGGAAAAGCCCACCACTAACGTTGCGAGGGGACCCTCTCTTTTTGCTTCTATCCGAGCATCGAGACATTGGGCGAAACGGGGCGATGGACCGTTAGATGATCACCAGGGTTAAGCCGGGAGATAGGCATGGAGGCTTAGCAGCTCGGTAACTGCCATTTACCACTTAGTTAGTTCGGACACCGGAGAATTTCGACGCATGGAACGCGAAACTGTGATCCAAACATGAACTACGGATATACCGAAACTTTCAACCAATGAATTGGACCTTTTATAAATCTTTCAACCACCGTCCTTGGTGCCCCATAGGCTCCGTAATATTTACTGACTATTATTTCGCCTTCTATAAACTGGTTTGAGAGGCCTTTTGTCCCTGAAGAGACCACATGCATACATTGGTTAAGATACAGTTGATAGAGAAGACGTTGGGAGGTGCCAAGTTTTCAGTGGGTTCAGGGGCCCGCGGCCAAGAAAGTCTGACCACTATCGTTCGCTAAACGGCCTCCCAATGCAGGGCCTAGATTCATCCCGTTTCGAGTTCTGGTGCCAGTGCGTCGGGTTGGTGTTTCATTCACACGGTGTTCACTTGGTAACTCATGCCACGAGGCTGCAAATCATAACAAACTTTCCATCCCGCTGGGAGTATGGGATTGACTTTGCTCAAGTCATGAACAAGTCTCATGGCGTGGCGCCCGCAGCTTGAACCGTCTCGTCGGCGACGGTCCCCTAATTGACTTGAATGATCTGCGAACTGGTGTCCGCTGCGTGTACCGACGTCCATGACTCGTTACTGGTTTAACTGCATAAGCTCGGCCGGGGGTCAGACATCGGTCTCTAAGCAGCACACGCGCTATATGGCTGAATTAGACCGTGTTCGGAATGGCATTGGTTTGGGTTATGTTCCTGCCTTCGGCGCTGCTCTCTACACGTGGTTTCGCCCTATTCTCAGGAAAAAGCCTTCGCCCAACATTGAAAAAGCTGTTGTTGCGGATTCCTACGCCAGCAACACTCTCTCATGTGCACATGGACCGGAGCTTATTTGGCAGACTCGAGTGTACACAATGCACGGATGAATGAGTTGACTGGGCTGAACTCAATGTTGTTGACAAATAGCGCACAATGCTGAACCGATCTGGCAACTATTACCAACTACTAGTCGGCACTTGTCAACTACTTCTCAGCGCTTTTCAACCGAGCTAACTTTGTATCTTTCGTCAACTTAATTCAGAACAGGGCGTGGTATTCTCCGCACTGATACCCGCAATGGGCTGCGTCAATTGACTATAGAGAAGGGCGAAATGAAACTTGGCTAATCAATAAAGGCTGGCATCCTTCACAGACTAAAGAGTGCCTGAGGGCAGGGCTTTTGTGACAATGCAAAAGGGATTTGTGTAGAGACTTGGCCAAATATCGGATTCTTCAGATGGTGTTGCATCGGCCGTAATGCCTAACAAGGAGTAAGTCGGCTGGGATGGGATGCATTTGTCACTTGTCACAAAAGTTGTTGGAGCAGACCGGACGCAAGCTATCAATTGAGAGCATGGTCCGTCTCCCGATCCCCACGGCCCTGGGCGGGACTCGCCAGCGATCATCCGCGGGCCCGTACGGAATGAAACGTCGCTAAGTGAGAGACCGAATGCTCAACAAGTCCGCTCCACGATCCAACTGCAGACCTCCGCAGTTTACGACATGTCGATCGCTCATGAGGTTGCTCTCAATGGCAACGGAAACCAGCTCCGCAACGTGGCCATGAGTAGCCTCCCGCACAGGGGCAAAGGAAACATTTAAGATCTCGTCCTCCCTCGTGGACACTCTTCTTTGCACCAGACGCACTCGCTTGACTACTAATACCTTGAGCTTCATAGACTAAATACGACACATTTAAACTTTCAAGCAGCAGCACAACTTCAACAATGGCCCAAACACACGGCTCATACGACCCCAAATTTCAGGGCGTTCGTGATAAGTTCCGTGACCTCTTGGAATCCGGCGTCGAGCTCGGCGCATCTCTCACCGTCACCCTAGACGGCGAAGATGTCGTCAACCTGTGGGGAGGTTACGCCGATCCCGCTCGCAGTCGCCCCTGGAACGAGGACACCATTGTCAACGTATTTTCGACAACAAAGACCATTTGCGCGCTTGCCGTCCTCCTCCTCATCAACGAGGGCGAACTATCACCCTATGACAAAGTCTCAAAGTACTGGCCCGAATTCGCAGCCAACGGAAAGGAGAACGTCGAGGTCCGCCACCTGCTGTCCCACAGCTCGGGCGTGGCGGCGTTCGAGGACCCTATTACCCTCCAAGAGATGTGCGACTCGTACGAGCTGGTGATTGCGAGACTCGAGAAGCAGCCGGCCCGGTGGGAGCCCGGTACCGCTTCGGGGTACCACGCCTGGACCTACGGCTACTTGCTCGGAGAGCTGGTGCGCCGCAAGACGGGACTGTCTCTGACGGATTTCGTCGCGCAGAGGATCGCGGGACCCCTGGGCGCCGATTTACAAATCGGCGCAAAGGAACAAGACTGGCCTCGCGTCGCAGAGCTGGTTCCTCCCCCGGCTCCTCCCGCCCACATCATGCCTGAGCCGGAGACTAGCCCCGACTCCTTGAAGCACAAAATGCTCTATCCGTTCCCGGATCCCAGCTTTGCCAACACGGTGCCGTGGAAAAAGGCGGAGATCGCCGCGGCCAACGGCCACAGCAATAGCAAGGCGCTCGCCACGATCTGGTCAAGGGCGCTTACGACGAGCGACGAGAGCAAGAGGCTCTTGTCCCAGGAGACGATTGATCTCATCTACAAGGAACAGACGTACGGGCCCGATCTGTGCATGGGATTCCCCATTCGCTACGGGATCGGCATGGGTCTCCGGGGCAACGGCGACACACCCGTTGACTCTTGGCTTCCGGAGGGGAGGATATGCTTTTGGGGTGGCTGGGGTGGCTCGATGCTCCTCAACGACCTCGATCGTCGGGTCACCATTGCCTATGCGATGAATAAAATGTCACCTGGTGCGGCGGGCAATGAGGCTATCTACGCCTATGTTGCAGAGATCTACAAGGCGCTTGAAGTTCCCATACCGACTGCCAATGGCAACATCTAGGCGCTTCGCGCTGCGTTTCAAATTGAAAGCAGTTAGCGCATCATTCTCATGTGTAGTAACGGACCAGTCGGGAAAAAAAACCATCATTGCCTGTGCCTGAGGACTAGAACTTGGTCGTTTGCATTGGGTTATTGGCAAGTCTTTTCGACTGAGTTAGTTGGAAAGACTAAATAAAATGTCACCTTACGACTAATGTATATTCGTATTCCATGAGAAACTCTCCTTTCTTGACTACTACCTAGTGTTGTGTTGGTGAATTCGATTGTATTCCATTGCAAATACCATAAATGACCCCGCCAACCACTATTGGTTACGGCAGCTGCTATTTCACTCACCAATGCAAGCTCTATCTACCGGACTGGCAGTCTTCGGATGATTGTTCCGAGCTATACTATTATTTCTGCTAGTATACTGTCTCTTTGAGCATTCTACAGGCCGTCCGACAGAGATTTGGCACGATCCCAGAATGTCCACCCTATTAATGTCCATAATTATGTGTCATAGGCTCTACTAGCTCGGCTTGGTCTCGATTTACCGAGCAAATCGGTCTCCTAATGTATGCCTCAATCCGGATAAAGTGCCTCGTAGCGAGGGGCCGAGGACAAACCGACTAGTTCTTTACACGGTCCCTTAACAATTTTCTACAAGTATATCTGGGGCTCGAACCCCTGGCCCCTGTGGAGTAGGGCTGATCATATCTGTGACATTGTCCCAGCAATACGTTGCTGAAGATGTTTGCTCGGCACTAAGCAAGGTGGCAATACTACATGCCTGCATTACTGCTTATTCAATTGCATGTATAGGGCGAAAAGCTCCACCGCTGCACGTCAAAAAGTAACAAGCTCCTTAAAACAATCCCAAAGTGATTAGTACAGTTACTGACAAGACTTATTTAATAGGCATTCACGAGGGTAGTCATCACGCACTTGGAGGAGATCCGGGAACAGGTGAGTCACCCATACTTAAGATGTGCTGAATGATTCTGACGGTGATGAACAATTGTCTTTACTTCTCCTGGAGACCCAGCTTTCTACCTGCACCACTCCATGATTAACCGAGTGTGGAGGATGTGGCAGATGCTGTCACTTCAGCAGCGACAATACGGCGACAAAGGCGCGTAGGTAGTAGCCACAGTAATTTCATGATTCGCTTTTACTACGACATATTTTTTTGTCAGAGGAACGCATCGTGTTGTTGAATCGGCGATGGTATTGGAGAGCTCCACCACAACTTTACAACACCCGTGCCGGCCTATCTCCGGCGTGGAGTTGAGGAGATGGCCCGAAGACCGTGATCCTCCGAATCCACTTTCTAGCGGCCGTGCCGGCCTGTCTCCGGCGCGGAATCGAGCAGATCTCCCGAAGACCGTATTCTCCAAGTCCGAACCCCCACTTCGGGGTAAGTCCGGGGAATCAACTCCTAATCTAGCCGACGCATCCTTCAAGCTTGACGTTCCAAACGATGACGCGAAGATGCCCAATGCGGATATTATAGCCGGGTAAGACGGCAAAGAGCCCGCTCATTGGCGCCAAATTAGCGTCATGTACACGCGGAAGCTCCCTCGGGGGGATACGTCTTGGCAATTGCTTGATTCACCCGACTGCCATTTCAGCATGCAAGACTCACGAGGCTCTTTGAAGGTATGTCTGACCGTAATGTGAGGCGCCAGAAGCTTCCCCTGTCAAGTCGACGGTCATGCATTGTTGGATATGGGCTTTGCCCTTGAGAAAGTACCCCAACGGGCGCAGCTCTGTTCCGACTCAGACACATTAGTACGAATATGGACTAGCAGAGGTCGAGACTATATAAAGGGAACGATTGCCAAATCATCAAGAGCCCGGCCACATTCGTTGAAGCAAGCAAATCTTCTTAACCGAGTCTTGAATCTCACGATATAATGCGCGTCCTCATCAGCGGAGCAGGTATCGCTGGCCCTACGCTGGCTTGGTTCCTGGCCAGAACCGGTGCGCGCGTCACAGTGCTTGAGAAGAGCAATTCGATTCCCACGTACGGCCACAATGTCGACGTCAACCACAGCGCCATCGTTATCCTAAAGAAGATGGGCCTCATTGAACAGCTACGGCGGTTCAACACGACGGAAATAGGGACACGGTTCATCGATCCGAACGGACGTCCCTTTGCCCCCTTCCCCGTCAAGGAGGGCTCTTCCGCAAGCCCTACCTCTGAATTTGAGATTCTTAGAGGGGATCTAGCTGCAGTGCTGTATGAAGCTACCAAAACCCACCCCAACATTGAGTACCTCTTCGGCACCACCTGCGCAAAAGTCCTATCCAACGACGAAGCCTCCGTCAAAGTCGAGCTAAGCAGCGGAGAGGTGCAAGAATTCGACCTCTTGGTCGCGGCAGACGGCCAGTGGTCCAAAGTGCGCAAGCAGGTATTCCCCCAGGAGAGCATCACGGTCATCGACAAGAACATGTACGCCGTTTATTCCGCCATCCCACGTCTCCCCGACGACAACGACTGGTGGAACGTCTACCAGGCCCTGGGGTCGAGAATCATCACCACCCGGCCCGATCCGCACGGCACCATACGGGCCATGTTCACGCACATGCCCCGCGACGGCGCTCAGAAGACGGCGTGGCAGGAGGCGTCGCGCGGGGGTAATAAGAAGCTCCAGAAGGAGCTCGTGCGACGGGAATTTTTGGACGCCGGGTGGCAGTCAACCCGGATCATGGATGCCATGTTGCAGGCGGAGGACTACTACTTCCAGGACGTGAAGCAAATCCGGATGGACAAGTGGTCCAGCGCCCGCGTCATCTGCCTGGGCGACGCGGCCTATGCGCCGACGCAGCTTACGGGCATGGGGACCACGCTGGCCATCATCGGAGGTTACATGCTTGCTGGCGAGCTCTCCAAGCTTGAACCGGGAGAGCATCCCTCCAGAGCGCTCGAGGCGTACGAGGCGGCATTTCGCCCCTACGTCGTGCAGACGCAGAACGTCCCGTGGTTCTTCCCGGGAGTCGCGCATCCCGTCACAGCCTGGCAGAGGTGGTTGTTTGGAACGGTTGTGTCGACGGTCTCAAGAGTCCTCGCGATACCTTGGGTGGCTAATAGGTTCTTTGATGATACAAACAAGGACGATTCAGAGTTTCCACTGCCGGTATACTCTAGTCTGGCTGACGAGAAACTGAAATGATACTGGCCGATGATGGCCTTTGACCGAAGTACGAACTTTGACGGCACGTACGGCGTCCCTGGCGACTGGGTGGAGATATGGGTGGACACGACTCGAGATAAGTTGGTAAGGCGTGCTGGCAGCCATACATGGGGGGGGGGGGTGCTTGAACCATGTCTTTCGCGCAAAGATAGACGAGCTTCTGCCATAGCCCTGGGATCTCGGGGAGGATTTATGATAGACAAGCCTTGCAATATAACAGATCACAATACAATTTGAAGATGTCAAGGGGACCAGAGAAACCCCCACCAGATTGGTCCGGGTGAACACGTGGAAGGACGGCCAAAACCGAACCAATTCGGGTTGGACGGACGCAACTAGCTTCTCAATTTGTTGCAGACGAGAGGAAGAGGAAGGTCGACCAACTCTTTCAAGCAATCAACTTCAGCCAATTTCGCGCCTGCTTATTAGTGTGTTAATTTCGGATGAAGGGGTCGCCTCCTGCATTTCCGCCGTGTCAGGTTGGTACGCAACATGGGTTGGCATGGGTCGCTTTCTTCAGCTTCCAACCGTTCCAACAAACCAATCAGATCAATCAATTGATTCTATGAAAAGATTCGGCGCGTAGTGCAGGGGGGATTTTAAAAACGTCTTCCCCATTGCAGGAAGCCTCGAGAATTTCGTCACTGGTAGTACACTACATATCATCTCATCGCCAACTGTCACAAACGTCTTTATCAAATCATCAACAACTTACCACCACTTCAACGCAGTCTCAGATCACCATCATGGCTCTTTCAACCGTTGACTCTTCAGCTCTCGGGGAGTTGAACAGCTCTGAGGCCAAGACGCTATTCGACACGACGGACAAACTCTCTTTGCTGGGCATAGGGAGAATTGTGAATCTTCCCCAAATCATCGTCGTCGGAGATCAATCGTCCGGCAAATCCTCTGTTCTCGAAGCAATTTCACACGTCCATTTTCCGGTCCAAGAAGGTCTCTGTACTCGGTTCGCGACGGAGTTGATTCTTCGCCCGGGCAGTCGTAGATTTGTTACTGCCACAGTGCAATTCGCCGATGGTGCCAAGCCGGTCCGAAAACTGCAGGTTGCCGACTTCAACCAGGAGGATATCGACCACATTGTCAGCACGGCAAAGATTCACATGGGCTTACATGACGCCGGCCGAGACTTTTCCAAAGACGTGCTGCGCCTGGAGATTGAAGGACCCGACATGTATCCTCTCACGTTGGTCGATCTTCCTGGCATCTTCCACAGCGCAACAGCAAACCAATCGCCCGAAGGGATAGCGATTGTCATGGATTTGGTGGGGAGCTATATGAAGAAGAAGAACAGCATCATTCTGGCCGTTGTGTCAGCCAGCAACCAGCTTGCTAATCAGGCCGTCATGCGCGAGGCTATGAAGCACGATCCTACCAAGGAGCGCACACTTGGCGTGCTTACCAAGCCGGATCTTCTTCATCCCGGCTCTTCGAGTGAGAATGAGTACCTCCAGCTCGTTACAGGCCATGAGGTGGTTCATAAGCTGGGGCTCGGCTGGCACGTACTGCGCAACCAAGCGGATCATGAGAAAGGTGCCGGCACGGGTACTCGGGACGAAGTGGAAGAACAATTCTTCAACTCTGGAGCTTGGGCATCTGTTCCCGCAGTCAACCGAGGCGTCGTGGCTTTTCGCAAAAAGCTCAGCCAGATCCTTCTCTCTCATATGAAGCAAAGCTTGCCAAAAGTGATTGACGACATTCATGATAAACTCAAAGAGCGGGAAGGCGAGTTGAGCCGGCTGGGACGGCCACGATCGACCCCAGCAGATATGAGAGCCTATCTCGTGGACATTGCAGGGAGCTTCCAAAGGTTGGTTTGTGACGGCATTGAGGGCCACTACAACCACCCTTTCTTTGGCGGATACGATGGGACGCACCGCAAGATTCGAGCTCAACTGCGGAACTTCAACCGCGCAGTTCGACAAGTGTTGCTCGCCCACGGTTCAGCACAAAGTATCATTCAGTTGGGAGGTGTTGTCCCGCAGCCACACGACGTTCCGCAGTACCTGAAAGCCTTCATCAGCGCACATCAGTACGACTTTCCTGATCCTGAAATCATCACTCGGACCGCGTTGGCCGCCCAGCTTGAGCGTCAGGCTGCAGCGAATCAGGGCACCGAGTTCCCGGGATACGCAAACATGGACCTTGTCATCCAACTCTTTCAAAAGCAGGCGAATCCATGGGGCTCTATTGCTGAACAGCATCTTGCCAATGTTACCTTGGCCGTCAAAGGGTTTGTGGATGAAGTATTTGAGTATACTATCGGCCCAATCAACACAAACACCACAACCGAAGCCGTTTTAACCACCTTTGCGGATGGCTTTTTCGACGAAAAAGAAGGCACGTTGGCCGCAAAGCTACAAGAGATTCTCCGACCTTTCAAGGAAGGCTATGCTATGCCACTAGATGATGAAATCCAGGAGGCCATCGAAAGAAGGAGTACTGCCGAACGCAAGGCTTCTCAGCAGCATGGTCTTGTACTCACTGCTCCGCTGCTTTTCCCCCCACCAATCGTCGAGCCGCAGAGCAGCAAAGAATTCGGGATTGACCGTATCATAGATACGATGCAGGCATTCTACGATGTACAGACCCCGTCCCCGCCCCCTTTTTTTTTCTTCACCAAGTGTCGCTAACGTATGCCCAGATATCGCTACGGACTTTCACCGACAACCTCATCAATCTGGCGATAGAAACCTGTCTGATCCGTGACCTGCCCAATATCCTTACGCCCAGGGATGTGAGCAGCATGAGCGATGCAAGATTGGCAGAACTTGCGGCAGAGTCTGAGGAGGTTCGCCAATACCGGGTGCAACTCCAGGAAGACATCACAATGCTCAAGAAGGGACTGGAACAATGTCGCCGGTACAAGCCGAGGGCGGTCATAGGTGAGTGAGATGAAAGGTTTTTTTTTTTCGGTATGATGAGACTAACATTCTTTGTCGACACTCGCACGGCTCACTATTCCCCACCCTCATTCACTTTTCAGAAGTCCCTTGACCAGCAAAGCAGTACAACTGTCAGCGAGACGGCCTCAACTCGGTCTACATCCTCAACACCCCCAACCACGGGGGGAACGCCCGCAAAAGATACGGTTTCACCTCGTGAAAAACAAGAGTCCGTACTCAACGCCAGTGTTGAAAGTTCAACGGCTCTGAAGACTACAGACACTTTGTTGAGTAAGTCAGATTCCAAAGCCGATGCTTCACCAGGAGCAACTCGACCAGAGGCAAAGTCACCCAAAGGCAACAGTTCTTCTACCGGCAAACCCGCCACTACTACGACGAATGATCCCCCGGTCAATTTATTTGCAAAGGTCGCCGGGGAGAAAGCGGGGTCGGTCCCGATATCTCATGCGTCGCAGGCCATGTCATCCACGTCTCCTGCTAGCGCGAAGACTTCCGCCCCTGAGTCGACTGCTGGTAGCAAGACGGCCAAACCAAAGAGCATCTTCGACTTTACTCCCTTTCCAGATGCCGGAAGCAAGACCACGGGCTCGGGTGGTATCTTTGGTTCTAGTCCCGGCTCTACTTCTTCGCCAAGTGCCGGTAGCAAGACCACAGGCTCAGGTGGTCTCTTTGGTGGTACTGGTAGTCTCGCCTCGACTTCTTCGCCAAGTGCCGGTAGCAAGACCACGGGCTCGGGTGGTATCTTTGGTTCTAGTCCCGGCTCGACTTCTTCGCCTAGTGCCGGTAGCAAGACCACGGGCTCGGGTGGTCCTTTTGCTAGTAGTCTCGCCTCGGCTTCTTTGCCAAGTGCCGGAAGCAAAACCACGGGCTCAGGTAGTCTCTTTGGTGGTGGTGTTGTCAGCTCGGCTTCTTCGGCAGTTCCTGCAAGCTCGGCTGCGCAATCTCAAGGCGTTTTTGGTTTTCGGCCATGACCTGGCAACAAGCCCTCCAAGAACGGTGGGTTCGGTACCTGGGTCTAAGCTTGTCTTCCTAGACAGATTGATTATGCTAGCACGAATCCACCACTTATCAAGCCATCTATGACCTAAGTACCAGACGCAAAGGGCAACACCATGGTTCATTTTTAGTAACACAATTGCAACGCCAGGAGATAACTCATGGGAGTGGATGCCATATCCACCAACCCTGTTATCAAAAGAAACTCATGATTGACTTCTTGGGGTTGACCTGATCTAAGTAAGGACTAACGACCTGTCCCTACTGGGATACTGGCGTAGTGCACCGGCCATAGGGCAGCTCTTTGAAAGCAACGACAGGTGGAATTTTCAGCTCCATACCTCTGTTTCTATAATCTGTTCGCTTACGGGGGTCATGGCTTCCATATTTGGCAACCCTAGTCCCCAACAGTCTGTCGATTGCAAAACGTAGTGAAATATAATGCATTGCTAGTTACTAAGACCAGCTTAAAATACATGAGCCGGGGCTTGCCCTAATTTCAAGCCTATTCCAATGGCTTTTGTCCGGACAAAGCGTGATAGTAAACATACGTGTGGAAGGCCACGTTCTTGAGGTCTTTCCGCACCTGCATTAGCAGCACTTCGACCTCTTCCGAGGTCCAACCAAGCCCCCTCGTCAGGGGTCCCATCGTTATTGCCTGCAATCCGTCAAAGAGGACCGCCTGGGAATACGATCCAATGGTTTTCAGGTGATCGTCTTTGGGCCACCTCCCCAGGGGCACCTTCTTCACGTCGTGGACTTGGGTCACGAAGCCACCGGCCTTGAGACGTTCCGGGTTCGTCTCGGACGCGTAGAGCTCGAAGCCGAACTTGCCGAGGCCCTCTTCGATGAGATTTGCCATCTTCGCCGGGGCGTAGTCGGGGCCCATTGTGTCATCGTCGCAAGCGAATCTCCATCTCAGCTCTTGCAGCTCGATCCAGCCACCCGGCTTGAGAACCCTGCTACCATGAGTCCTTGTCCGTTACGGGTTGTTGCGATGGCTTGATGAGGGCTAAACTCACCTATATGCTTGGCGTAAAAGATTGGGCCAATCTTTGATGAATGGCGCCATGTGCCGCAGATGGATGAAATCAATCGAGTTGTCCGGGTACAGCCACTCCGCCTCAGCATCATCAACTAGAAATTTGACGTTTGGTGGGACGAAACCGGGTTGGATGGGGCTCAGATCAAGACCAAGAATTTCTGCTTCCGGATACTTGTCGCCCACTTTCATATCTAGTTAGCTACTAACGTCCCGGCATCAGTAGAGAGACCATTTACGCACTGTCAATCGCCCAGATGCCAGTACCGGTGCCGATATCAAGGATTTTTTGTGGGTTATCTAGAGGCGCGCTGTGCAGATCCCCGTCACAGATGTGAACTACTAAAGCATGCTTCATGTCCTCACGGTCCTGCTCAGGCTCATCGTTTGGACAGAGGTAACGGCCTTGTTTAAACTTGTGATAGCGGCGCTTGTTCTCCCATTCATAGTCACGAACGCTCGAAGATAGCGAGGTTGAGGCGTTGGAGCTGGCATCGTCGCCGGTCTCGTATCCGTCAGTGGAAGGGTCCGGGTCATCTTCAGCCACGATTGGCGCGGCAGGAGCTGGTGACGATACGGCGGGCGGCGATGCCGGTGCCACTGGAGCAGCAACATGCCCGGTATTTTCAGTCGTCGGAAGCGCTTCATGCCCAGAGATCGCACCGGTAGTGGTGGCCTCGCTGGCACGCTCTTCTGCCATTGGGTGAGCTCTGGGTTTGGATCTAGTTGCAGAGTTTCTTCAGGATGTCTTGTTCAAGGCATGGGATGTTGAGGTGAGGGGGAAGACACAGCATGTAGAACCAACAGACGTCTTTGCAACTTTATCGCCCCATTTTTGTTACTCGTTTGGGTCTTCCTACTGGGGCTTATACGAGAGCAAGGATCATGACCAATCCCGTCCTTCCAACCATGGTGAATCACCAGAGCAACTGCAGGTTAGTCAGACATACATGTACGTTTTAGGAAGTTCGTTGAAGTACTCGGGAATGCACACACTTCAGCAAAGATTCTTCCTTGACATTCAAGCACAATTCACTCTGTCTGTTTTGGTTGACGATGTCACACCAGCACTTTGGATAGGTATAGACAGAAACAGTTGTCAGCGCCTTCTTGTATTTGCGTGCTGGTCTGTCTCCCTTACGACACGGGACTTTGAATGCACCCGCTACACTCTTTGTCGATGCTCCATGTTCTTATAACATAACATATTAGGTTGAATCCGTCAGACCTTTAGTGGTAGCCGCGTCTTCTATTCATTTGCTTCAAGCAATACTTGGACCACGCCTTAGATTGCTGGCTCACGGTCTATATCAATCCAACTCTTCAAACTATTTGTATTGACAGTTTCACTTCGATCGAGCCGCGACAATGCGCGGGTAAAGTCTCTCATATACTCCACCGCACGACGGGCAGGCCGTTCATGCGCTTCGAAGGGACAATTAAGTAGCGTGACAGCCACGTCACGAACCTTATACGCCTAAAGAAGAAATTAATAAGCTTTTTTCTCACATCAGGATCAAACATGTTGAGCATACCAGATAGAGGCCATTAGGTTCTAGGTGAACGTATGGTATACTATGTAGCAAGTGCAGCATCTGACGGCAAATGTCCTCTCGCTCAGCCCAGTTGGCCTTCAAGGCTGTTGACACATCCTCAGGTCCTGTCGTCGTCGAGGGATGAGCCATCGCATTCTCTTGAGTGACCACGTCGATTTGTTCCAGCAGCAAGCTCTGCAACCACAAGTGCGTGACGTGGATGTTGGCCCTCATGATCTCGGCTTGACCCTGTAGCACTGACAAGTACGAGCCGCTCTCTGTCGCACGGCTATAGTCAGCCGGACTGCCGTAGCTAGACGCAGAAGCAGCAGCAGCTCTTTCTTCGTCAAACCGCGGGGTGCCAGGAGCCGCATCGGAAGTCTCGGCAGACGCCCATTGCCGCATGGGACCCGGCGCGTCGTCGAGCATGTATCTCATCTCTTGGAGAAGATCGCGCATACGTGCGAGACGAAGGGCGGGGCTACGGCGCAGCTCGCACTCGCAGCCCAAGGTAGCTATGGATTCCTGGAGACCCTTGTGAAACACGCGGGAGTGTATGATGAAGCCGCTGGTGAGCGTGAACGGTGGACAGTGTTCCCGTGGGTTGGCGGAAGGCGTCCCGTGCGATGCCATTGGAGAGACGGGGTCCAGGATCCTGTCTCTAAAGATGTGTTCGTCGTCAATGTCGAGGGGCATGAGAGCTTCGTAGTTGACCTCGCGGAGTTCACCCGGGCCAAAATACGTCAGACGCTCCCAGCGTCCGGCTTGCACTCTAGTATGTCTAGGATTTGTTAGCCTCCTCCGACAAAGAAACAAAGAATGATGCAGCGGGTATGAGGGGTCCATCGTACGCATAGCCGTAGAACAGCATCCAAAAGGCCTTTTTACGCAACTGGGTCTCGATGCAGTTGAGGCCCTCGTACTCGGAGATTCGATGGAGCCCCAGTAGTCGCGATACTTGCAAGTACTCCACATCAAACATCCGGCTCCGGTTGACCTGGCCCGTTTGGAAACAGGCGACGGAAAGAACGTAACAAACGGCCCATTTCCGATGGTTGATGTGGTCCCAGTAGCTTGCAGTCCGTTGTCGAGTGCAAATCTCCGCGCAGCAGTTGATGAGTGCCGTTCTGTTCTCGAACCGCATGGCAGCTTCGGGATCAACAGCCCGATAGTCGCGAAATCGTGACGGCAATAATCCAACCGTGAGCGCGGCCAGGCTCATCAGCACAGCAAAGAAGTCTGGGTCGGTGATGTCGCGGTTTGTGGCCAGGTCATGACGGAAACTGGGCCGATGGACGACGGGGACCAGCGGGTAGACTAAGTCGAGATAGTCTGCCATCAAGATGTGTATAAGTGCTCTCGAACACAGCTCATCGGTCGGAAACCCTGCACTGGTTACCGAGGATGATATTGTTTGGGCCGGAACAGCCGCACGTGGAGAAGGGCCATGAAGGACTGGATGAGAGGCTTCATAGGGAGACCTGGCCTGCAAAGGTCTCGAGGGAGGTGTATGGTCTGGCAAGATGAGGACAGGCTCACTGCGCACTGCAGGCTCGGAAGCTTGCTGCTCTACAGCCTCTCCTCGACGACTCCCCGTTTCATTGAGAAGCTCACTCGAGCTCCTATCCGAATTTGATGGGAGACGTTTCCTGCCAAGCCCAGTTAGTAAGTAACTCTGAGCAAAAAGTATAGAGACAGAACAGAAAAAACCCCTGTCACCCCGGATCTTCATACCTTCGTTTGGGGCCCCGCGGCCTCGTGGGGACCAGGAAGCTGCACGGAATGCCGAGTTTGGAGCAATCACGACACTGGGTCTTCGGCGGGCCCTCAGCATGGGACGAAGACCCGTCAAAGTGACATTTCCTCCTCCGGGCACGGCAAGCGTCGCACGCCCTGCTGGCGATGCTCGATCTCACCGCCGCCGCCGACGAAGACGAGCCGGGCTCGTCTGGCGTGTTGCTAGCAGCCCTTTGAATCGCGGTTGGCGAGACGCTGACGGACGCAGCCTGTGTGCTTGAGCGACGGCGCATGCTTGTGGACTTCGGACCGATAGGGATAGTGGTGCGGCGCCCATCCTGCTGGGATTTCTGGAAAACGTGGAGAGAAAGTGAGGGGGAGAAATGCGAAGAATGCGGAGAAATATGATAAAAAAGGGGGGGTTGTCAGGTTGACATGCGCCTGGTTAGTGTCACTTGATCCGAACGCTAATTCCCATGGCATATGGAAGCGCGTTGTGGCCCCCCGGTCGAGCAATCCCGGGGTCCCCAGCCGATTTTCCACTCTCGAATGGGGTTAGACATGGGATGGCAGCATGTTCACGATCAGGGATGATTCGGGCAACGCCCGAGATCTGTTGATGAGAGATGACTGCCAAAAGGGCGCTTGTCTCTGAAAAGGTTCGAGGCCAAAGTTGGTGAGACTCAAAATAGCACAGAGAGGTTCTCGGATCAAACCGATAATGTGATGTTGAGCGAAGACATCTTCAAACTACTTAGAAACTATAGTCATTTTCTAATTACTTTGATCATCATCAACTGTGTTTAGCTCTCTGATATGCTCTCATGAGCAGAACATGCGTCTTAAGGAATATCATAGCTCTCATATCAACGCATTACGTCTAGTACCCCAACCATTTTAAATCCAAAAAAATACACGTCCAAGTCTTGTCATCTAAGCCCGCAATCCTCTCCACGTTCTCGACTTCCCCACGTTCATGGTCCTTTCAAGAAACTCTCCACGGCTGCTAGTTCCCACGAGAATGCCGTACGCGCCGGCATCGCTGCGCCAGCAGTCTCCCATCTCGCTCCAGTAGCTCGTCGCACGCAGGACATCCAACGAGATCTCTGCCGTGGCGCTGGCTCCGGCTTCTAGAAAGACCTTTGCGAAGCCCTTCATCTCCTTCTTGGGACGGGTAATGGTATCACGGGTTGTGCTGGTGAGAGGCGTGGGTGCCGCCGGGGTGACGTAGACCTGAACCACTTCAGAACCGGCACGAGAGCCCGTGTTAGCGACCTTGACGCGGACGAGGAGGCTACCGGGCTCCTGGGCGGTGATGGCGTTGTTGCCGTTGGCGTGACCGTTGGTCTTGGCCGATGCTTCGGATACCTCGAGATCAGAGACCTCGAATGTCGTGTATGAAAGACCGTGCCCGAAAGGGAATAAGGGCTCAATGTCGAGCGTGTCGTACCAGCGGTAGCCGACGTAGACGTCTTCGCTGTACAAGCAACGGCCGTTATCTGAGCGGAAGCTCAGTGCCGCGGGGTTGTCTTGCACGCGGCGCGGCATGGTAAGAGGGAGCTTTCCGGCCTGCGACCGCAGCGCATCAGTAAGGTGACTTTGTTCAGATTTTATACTTGGTTTTTCAAAAAAAGACTTACCGGGTTGACCTCTCCAAAGAGCACATCGGCAATACCGTGACCGGACTCGTTGCCGCCGAACCAAGCATGCAAAACAGCGCCGGCTTGGTCGATCCAAGGCATGGACACCGGCGTACCGCTCTGGACGACAACAGCCGTATTAGGGTTCGCCGCCAGCACGGCCGCAACAAGGTCGTCGGTGCCCGGGGGCAGAGCCATCGTCGTCCTGTCAAACCCTTCCGATTCCCACTCGCCGCTCAGGCCGGTGCACACGACGACCTGGTCGACACTCTGGGCGACCTCCACGGCCTCCCGGATCGCGGCGGCGGGCTCCAGCTTGGGGCAGCCGCTGAAGCGGACGCCGCCCTGGCCAAAGTCGACGGTGCCGGCGGCCTTGACTTTGCTCGTGGCGGAGCAACCGAAGCGCACCAGGACGCGGTAGCTCCTCCCGGCGTCCAGGTGCACGCTGCCAGTCTCCTCGACCGTTCCGCAGCCGAGAAAGCTGCTGCCCAGGCGCTGGTTCTCCACGTTGGAGACGACTAGCTCGCCGTCAATGAAGAGCTCGCCGGTGCCGTGGACTGACAGGCCAAAGTCCCACTCGCCCGACCGCTCGGGGACGAGGGTGCCCTCCGTCTCGGCCCACCAGATGGGAGCGAGGTCGGCGTTCTCGTAGTCGACGAACCAGATGTTCGCGTCGTCGAGGACACGCTCCTCGAGGGGTGTCCGGCTGTCGGCCGAGCTCGCGGTGTCCTCGGGTGGCGGGTCGTTGTAGATTCGGAGCACGAAGCCCCTTTGCTTCCCGTTTGGTGTCCTGAGGGCCTTGCCGAGGAGAGGCAGAGACTGGTGGCCGTAGGCGCCTTGTGAGAAGACGACATTGCTGGCGAGGGACTTGACGCCCTCCAGAGGCGTGACGGTGTTGTAGGCCCTGAGTCCGGCGCTGCCGCCGCCGCAGTAGGTCGCAATGTTCGCGTTGGGCCCAATGACGGCGATCTTCTTGTTCTTGTCAAAGGGCAGGATGCTTCTCTCGTTCTTCAGGAGGACGAGGGACTTGGCCGCTGCTTCGCGCAGGAGAGCAATGTGCTCGGGCGTGTTTGCCTCGGTCTCGGGGGCGTTTGGCGGGATGGAGGTGTTCTCGAGACCCTGCTTGACGAGCTTCAGGACGTTGCGCACCGCCGAGTCGAGCTCTGATTGCTTGACCTTGTTGGACATGATGGCGTGGGAGAGGGCTCCGGCGCGCCACTTGCTGGGGCCCGGCATCTCGAGGTCGAGGCCGGCCTTGATCGCCTCCGACGTGCTGTAGGTTCCGTACCAGTCGCTCATGACCAGGCCGTCCCACTTCCACTCGTCGCGGAGGATCGTTTGCAGGATCTGCTTGCTCTCCGCCGCGTGGACGTCATTGACCTTGTTGTAGGCGGTCATGATGGCGCGGGGCTTGCCCACCTCGATGGCGATCATGAAGGGAAGCAGGTAGATCTCGCGCATGGCGCGGTCCGTCACCAAGGCGTTGACGGCCATGCGCTCGCTTTCGAGGTCGTTGCATACAAAGTGCTTCAGCGTGGCTGACACGCCCGTCTCTTGGACGCCATTCACGTAGTTGCCGGCGAGGATGCCGGACAGCACCGGGTCCTCGGAGTAGGACTCGAAGCCACGGCCTCCCAGGGGGCCACGCTGGGTGTTGATTGTAGGCCCGAGCAGGACATGGGCACCCTTTGCGTGAGCTTCGTCTGACAGCAGCCGGCCGAGCCGTTGGACGAGTTCAACATCAAATGTTGCGCCGATGGCGGTTCCGCACGGGAGGCATGCGGAAGGTGTGCTGTCGAAGAAATGTGTGCCGCGAACGCCGTTGGGGCCGTCAGAGAGACGGATCGGCTTGATTCCCAAGCGCTCAACTGTTGCCGTGTGCCACCAGCCAACGCCTGTTGTTTGATTAGAATCGAGTTTGAGCGGCAGGTGTAGGTAACTTACCAGCTGTAAGTGAGATCTTCTCCTCCAGCGTGAGCTGTTCAAGAAGCGCGTCGACATCCATGGTGAAACGTGCGGCGGGAAAGTGGTCTTGGGAAACAGTTCAGACGGCGGAAGGGATACGAAGATTTCAACTACAAGATCTGAAAACCGTCTAAAGGAGGAAAGCAACGACACCAGCAATTGAGTAGGAGCGGGGGTCCGAGCCGATCACCGGGCATGTCTCTTTATTCCTACAGGCAACGCGGGGAGACCCAAGTCTCCCACATGGTCTCAAAATTTCCCCTCGACCGCGGGGTTCTGCTCCACAAGTCGGGCATAGAGGATCGCATTCTGAATGCCATGACGTCGTTTCATTTGAATCAGTAAGTTTTCTGGGTCTCCGTTGTCCACTTTACTGCTTTAGAGCCGCGTGGATGGTGAGCTGACGCGCTCCGGCAATCTGGTCACGATGGGGAAGCAGTTCCAAAGGTGGAGAAGTAAGAGCAAGTGGCCTGGAAACAGGTCTCAATTGTCTTGGTTTGGTGGGGTGGGACACGGTGCGTTCCCTGATCTAAGCAGATTCGGAAAGCCAAGAACGTATTTCTCCGCCTCGGTCTTTGTCTCCTGGTTCTCGAACATATCCAACTCGACCATCCTTAGTCACATCATCCATGAACTGACTCAATTCTCCGCCCCCATGTCCTCCTCTCTCCAGACAAACCATACGACTCTGCGACTACTTCGTAAACCGCTTTTTCCAATGTTTGTCAAGTGGGTCGTATGGGCCCCCGCAACGACCTGCATTGGCAGCGTTTTCTCCATGGGGCGTGACACTGGAGACTCGAGAGTTCTGGCCCCTCCCGAATCCCCTATCCGGCCCAAGTCTGCGTGCGTTCCGGATGAACACGCGGTGACCGGGGCATTGGGATGCTAAGCTCCACCTCCTGGGTTCATTTTTTTTCTCGTACGGATACGCAGACCGCCAAACAACTTCCGACTTGTTTCCCCCATCATTGTGAAGGGAGGATCGTATATAGAGCTTGCCTCTTTCCCCGCTGCGTTGTGTGATGTGACCCTGCTTCTCGGCGCTCGCAGGCTCTAAAGAGTCCAGACAACTTGACAGCGACATTTTGGCGAGTCTCACTGCGGATCCGGAAACCTCTGCCTCTTCCCCTTTTGCCAGCGTTGTTCTCCGACTTTTGCAAGCCCAACGTCACCATGGGTAAACCAGTCGAAGACTTGGCCGTGATCCCCGGCGATGACCTGCCTTGGTGGAAGCACGCCCACCTGCGGAAGCTCAACTTCATTACCTTGTCTATGGTCTTGTTCTGTGCGTTGAGTCGTCCTTTGAATCACGGTGCCTGGGGTAACTAACCTTGGCTGCAATAGCTTCCGCCAACGGCTACGATGGATCCATCATGGGCGGTCTCCTTGCCCTGCCTCAATGGAAGGCGTTTACGCACAACCCCGCAGGCGCATATCTCGGCTGGATGACTGGTATTTACTGGCTCGGAAACGGTATCGCCTTCCCCGTTGCCGCAATGTGCTCCAACCGCTGGGGTCGCAAGCCTGGTATCTATGTCGGATACATGTTCCTCGTCCTCGGCGTTGTCATGCAAACGGCAGCTCAGAATGAAGTAACCTTCACCTATGCCCGTCTCTTCATCGGTATCGCCGCCTCGTGGCTCGGAAACTCTGCTCCTCTCTTGATCAACGAGATCGCCCACCCAAAGCAACGGTCCATCGCCAACGCCCTGTTCATGGTCGGTTGGTATTTTGGCGGTACCCTCTGCGGCTGGGTCACCTTTGCCTGCCGTAACATTGCCTCGGACTGGTGCTGGCGTATTCCCGTCGTCATCCAGCTCGTCCTTCCCTTCGTTGCTCTGCCCGGCTTCCTCTTAGCCCCTGAGAGTCCTCGTTGGCTGATTAGTGTTGGGCGTGTCGAGGAGGCCACTGAGATTCTAACCAAACACCATGCAGGTGGTGACAGAAATGACCCCTTGGTGACCTACCAGGTCGTCGAAATCCAGTCCACCATCGCCGCAGAAAAGGAGGCTTCCGCCAGCGCTTCGTACTCCGACATGATCAAATCACCAGGAAACCGTCACCGTCTCTTTATCTCTGTAACTCTCGGCATCTACGCTCAGTGGTGTGGCAACGGTGTAGTCTCTTATTATCTCGCGCTGATTTTGGACTCAATTGGAGTCACGTCGGTTACAAACCAGACCTTGATCTCGGCTTGCTTGAACGTGTGGAACCTGCTGTGGGCAATCGCTGCCGCCACCAGCGTCGACAAGCTGGGTCGCCGTTTCCTATTCTTGACTTCTGCCAGCGTCATGTTGGTCAGCTTCATCATCATCACTGGCCTCAGTGGTTCCTTCGCCACGACTCAATCGTCAAGCGTAGGGTCTTCGGTCATCCCATTCCTGTTCATCTTCTTTGCTGGTTACGACATTGCCATGTAAGTCTCTTCGGTCTCTGCGGAGGGCCTAGACCCAAGCTTGCGGAAAATTTAGCAATTTGCTAAACAGAACCCTTACTCACGTTACACAGGACCCCCTTCCTCACAGCCTACCCTTGCGAGATCTGGCAATTCAGCCTCCGGTCCCGAGGTCTCACCGTCAGCTGGTGCTCAACCGTCATCGCCATCTTCATCAACACCTTTGTGAACCCCATCGCCTTGGAGGCTATTCACTGGAAGTACTACATCGTCTTCATAGTGATGCTTATTCTACTTTGGGTCACCGTCTTCTTCGCTTACCCTGAGACTCGCGGACATACCTTGGAGCAAATGGCGGTCGTCTTTGATGGCGAAGATGCTGCGGTTCCCCCTGCGGCTGCTGTGAGCGAGAAGACCGAAGCTTTAATTACCCATGGAGACGTCAATGATAAGAGGCAGTATCAGAGCGATGCTGAACACAGAGTCTGAGGTTTTCCATCTTACAAAGCAAGAAGCGTCGAAGCTTCAAAGTCAATACTCCGTTCGTATTCAGTATAGCACTATGCAATGCATCTAATCTGAGATTACTTGTCGCGGTTGAAATCCTTTATTCAGTGTTGTAGTTTGTTCAAAAGTCCTCCTCTGGTATTGGTTTGGTATTATTGACTGCAAATTGACTCGGGATCTAACATCAGTTTATTGGAACGAACAGAGGAGTGATAGCAGCAACGAAGTCTGAAGAAAATTGTGGCCACCTTGCCAAGCAGGGTTAGAGACTATTGGCTTGCTTGCAGCGTGAAAGGTGATGTGATTGGTGCAATATGCTTGGCACCTGCAGTACATGGGTGAACAACACTCAGCAGACGTTGGAGCTGAGTTAAAGAAGTTAGACGCCTAGCTTTTTTGGAACAAGCATTGTCGTACGTTATCATATTGGTGTATTTCGTATTGATATACCTGTTCCCCAGCCACCGCTCCATAGTTCCTCGGCATCTCACCACCATAGGCCCTTTAAGAATCATAGCAGCGGACTCAACACAGAGTATGTCGATCAGACTCATCGATACCGAGACTCTACAGCTGAAGCTTTTTGCCGCGAGTCTTGCGCCAAGTTATGCAATTCTCTCGCATACTTGGGTCGGAAACGAGGAGATCAGCTTACAAGAACTCACGCAACTTTATGAATCACCAGATCACAAGGCATCGAGAAAGCCTGGCTACCAGAAGATTATCGCGACATGCCGCGAAGCTAAAGCCCACGGCATACAGTACGCATGGATCGATACCTGCTGCATTGACAAGACAAGCAGCGCCGAGCTCGGCGAGGCAATCAACTCCATGTTCCGCTGGTATCGTGACGCCCAAGTATGCTACGCCTTTCTCTCAGACTGGCCGGCGGTCGGTGAGGGCGGCGAATCTACCGACGACGCACTGCGGAACTGCAGATGGTTCACCCGCGGCTGGTGTCTCCAGGAACTGATTGCGCCCAAGATTCTCCGCTTCTACGACGAGAAGTGGAACTTTCGAGGCCATAGGTCGGACTTCAGGGACGCCATCTCGAGCATAACGCGCATAGACGTGGACGTGCTCGGGGATTGCACACTCCTGGACTCGAAGCCGGTGGCTCGCAGGATGTCCTGGGCATCGAGGCGGACCACGACGAGGATAGAGGATGTCGCCTACTGTCTCATTGGAATCTTTGACGTCAACATGCCGATGCTGTACGGCGAGGGCGACAGAGCGTTTCTCCGTCTGCAGGAGGAGATTATTCGGCGCTCAAATGACATTTCCATCTTCTGCCACGCGCCGCTGCGACCTGATCCCACGATACTAGAGACAGGGGCAGAAGATCTGCCGCGAGATCTTGCGGACCTTGTTTTCTGCGACATGCTGGCTAAGTCCCCAGAGGCGTTTTCTGACTCCAACAGCATCTCGCGTATTAGAGGGACGTTGCTCGACGGGCGAGAATTCTCCATGACGAACCGTGGCATCCGGTTTGGCCGGCGACGGTTCTTTGAGGTTCCAGAGATCAACTGCTTGGGACTGAAGCTTGACTATGCTGCTTCGCCAGAGTGCGAGAACCCAGAGATATTCAACGTCTTCCTTCGAAAAGTCGGTCCAAATTTGTTTTCGAGAGCACTGCCTGCGTCGCCAAAGTATAGACATACACTTGTGGAACTAGACGATGCTCGGAGAACCATGCTGGTAGAAAAGGATGCCTGCGTGATCTCCAGAGTGACCCCATCCATTCAACGGCAGATACAAGAGTCTGTCACGAGGAGAGTCGACGTATGCATTCAAAATCACAACGAGGACTTCAAAGTACACGTGGTGGAAGGCTTCCCCCCAGATAGATGGGACAGTCTGAACCGGAAATTCCTCATTCCAAAGGACGCGGCATATAGAACAAGCCTACGGCTCAGGATTAGTGTCGGGCAGGACCACAACGACGTCTATCTCATCTGCGGAATACCCAGCACCGGCGCAAGAGATGGAGGCAGACAGCCGTGGGCTACATTCTCAACCTCTGATTGTAGGCACCTATGGTACAGCGGTGACTGGGGATATGAGGATGAGAGCGAGATTGCACAGGCTACTGCTCAGTACCTCACGAGTGCTGTACGTCTCAAGGCTCGGATTGTCCAGGAACCTAGAAATCTCTGGGGGTCTGTGCCATTCGCGTGTACAATTGAGGCTCATCTGATATAAGGTCTTGGGGGTCTCTGGCTTCTTAGATTTTTCAAATCGAAGGTGTTGGATTGGAAACATCAGACACATGCAGCATGATCTGGCCTAATGTCTTCAAAAGACTACTCAATTCGCCCATTTCTCCCTAGTGTTTCGTTGAGGAGCATTCAGCTGTTGTAAAGTGAATTGATGAAGATAGCGCTGAGTACTAGCTTCCTTAGGTCCTTCTTTGTTGACGTAGCTTAGGGGCAGTTGTGTCCAGACCTGACCCCATTTTGTTGTATGTCTCGTCGTTCTTATCAAGCTCATCTAGTGTAAAACTTACGGCTACCCATGTTCAACTTACAAAGGGCACTATTTACGTTCTCTCAAGCCCTCAGTCTTTGCGACTGCCGTTTTCGCCGCTTGCTGCAGAGCTTCTCCAAGATCTTTGGGCATACTCAAGAACGGTGAGTGGCTGGCCGAAAGGCTGGCCGTGAAAGAGCTGGGAGAGAATTGAGATGCCATCGTGATCTGCAGGTCGAGAGGTATGGCTTGGTCATTCTCGGCAAAAATGTATCCCATCTCGAACCCCTCGTTCCAAGGTTCGAACCCGGACTTGTCTAAAAATGTCCTAAGAGGCTGGGGGCGCAAAGCGTCAACTGCCTTGGCGGCGAGAGCGGGCTTGACGTCGGCGTAAAAGACACGGATCGGGTCGAGAGGTGAGATGAAGCCGTCCTACGTGGTGAAAGTGATGAGCTACAGTTTTTTGTCCTCCCGGGAGCTGATGGTTATCCCACCTTGACGTCCCACCAGGAAGGTAAACCAGCGCCGTCGGACAAAGATGATCCAGCACTAATAGCAAACGAAGCCATGTACACGACCATGAGAACGCCGCCCGTTTTCTTCTGTGCAGCGCGATCCTTGTAGTTGAAGCCCTCTACCGCGTTCGCGGTAGGGACGCCGCCGTAGGAATGCGCAACCACGACGACCTCACGTCCGTCATCGACGAGCTTTTGCAGCTCGGTGCGGACGGCTGCCGTGTCTTGCTCAAGTCCCACGTTCGCATCGGTGCTACCCACGCAGGCCAAGGTAACCGTTTCAGTACTGAAGCCCCGACCGTGGAGGTCGTCGCGCAAAAGGTCATAAGACCATGGCCGATGCCAGGAGCCCGGTACTAGAAGAAAAGTTGGAGGTGTACGAGGACTCATTGTGATGCCGACGATTGAAATTGCGAGGAGTTGAAGAGGTTCCGACTGGACTTGATAGTGTCAGGGGTACGGCGAGAAGTGAGTGACGTATAGAAGGCCAACCCTGAACGTAGATGTGCATTATGACAAACGGTCGAATCTGGCCTTCTCTAGTCTTTTTCCATTTTATACCAGCAGGGGCCCTGGTGGGCCGCCTTAGTCAGACTGTCAGGCCGGGCACCTGGCAGGTGGTGAGAATGAGAAGGAAGAGCTCGTGCGGATTCTGATCGAGACTGGGGAAACATCATGTGACTTATTCTACTGGATTGGAAATGGAACTCGGAAGATCTTCGTCTCTGTTTTGTCTTGCTATCAAGAAACCTTTCCTATTCAGAAAGAAGATTCGCGTCGGGATGTGAGCATACCTTTCTGTTCCCTATGTTGAAAACATACCCCAGAGGGCCTGGCGGCGGCAAGCTCTTTTAGCTTGCGTTTGAGCCCTATACCGAAGAAACTTGTCAAACTTGTCAAACTTGTCAAGCTTGTCAAACTTGTCAAGCTTGTCAAGCTTGTCAAACTCGGGTTTCCGCTAGCCCGTGCTCCTATCGTCTTACCAGGTATTTGACTAAGACGATCTTTCTCTCAAGCTCTGAAACTCAGACAGTGGGGGAGATTCAGCGTGTTTTTGTATTGGAAACAGCTTAATGCAAATCTGAGTTTGACGACTTTCTACGTTACTGTAGTAGCAGGCCAAAGTAAAACCTTCAACTACGTGTCTACGGGGCGTGATGAGGTAGCTCTACCGACTATCTAAGCAGCGATACGTCGACTTTTGACGCTTGAGTTCAGCCATTCGTGTTGCAGCATTTCAAAACCAGGGGATTAATGCCCGGAAATATACGTGTACGACCAGGGATTAGACTTACCGATCATACCGCAACAAGTGCCGTAGAAACTACCCGGCCTCGAACTAGCGCTAGCCCGTGCCCTCTATGGAGTATATGTAAGCTGGTTTTAGTACCAGAAACACGCTGGTCTCCCCTCTTCATTGAGATGGAGGTCCCGAATAGAGGCGCTTCATTGGCCAAAAGCTGTTTGAGACATGGGAAAGCGCAACTACGGAGTCTGGGGAATTTCTACGGTAATCGCCGGTCCCAGGTTGTGCCCGGATCGTAGAGAGATCAACCTCGAATTCGTACCTGGCGGCGCCAGGTGTCGGGCGCGCGAAACCGGGCCAAGAGCCAAGCTTTGTTGCATCTTCGTTTGACGAGTCTACCTAACTGTTATTGGCCAGCGTAGAAAGGCAATTCTTGTTTCCCGACTGCTTAGACATAAAATGTTTATTGTCTGGCTCGGGCCCCCCTTGGAAAATGATTAAAAGACCTACCATACTTGACAGTCGTTTATTCTCCCATCTCCGAGTCAGACACCGAATTCTTCGCGGAGCTGGAGGCATTATGGCCTCCCCACCAGTTCCGAATGGCGTAGATCTCAACGAGTCTAGAGTACCCAGCATCATCGGTGCTCTCAGTGGCACATGGGCACTCGCAGCCATCGCCGTTGCACTGCGGTTCTTTGCTCGACATATACAAGCCAACAAGCTTTGGTTGGATGATTGGCTAATCACTGTTTCATTGGTACTGAACAAAACCCCGCGTTTGAGTTTCTCACTTCTATGACGAAGCGTACGCGGATTATTCGCTGACATTTTCACCTTAGACTGCAGCAGCTGTGCATGTATTCATAAACACAGGGTATAGTGCGTCAACTCCGTGGTATCCGAAACTCTAGTTTCCCTGCCAAGAGTCATTTGTTATTAATTGACTGAATACTGGTTTCGTTGTAGTGATCCCAAATGGAACCGGTAAACACATTTGGGCAGCACCGCCCTCAGCGACAAAAGCGTGGGCGATAGGTCTTTTCGCATCAGAGATGGCGTACACCGTTACGATGTCAACAGTCAAGTGGTCGACGCTAGCGCTCTACTGGCGAATTTTCAACACTCGAAAAAGCATCAGGTATTACATCTGGACCACGGCCGGCACCATCTTGGCTTGGTTCGTTGTTGTTGTAGGTTGAAAGACATTCCACTCCAAACGCAGTCTCAACGCCTAGCGATACTTGAGCGTGTCACTGACAACCCTCACAGATATTTGTTTTGATTTTTCAATGTCACCCTGTCCATGCGTTCTGGGCCCGCTATGACACAGAGCATCCCTTGACGTCCGACCAATACACATGCGGCGTAGATGTCAAGATGTTCTTCATGGGAAACTCTATACTTAACATTATCACGGATGCTCTGCTTGTGTTGTTGCCCATACCCTACGTTTGGAAGCTGCAACTGCATACAGCCCAGAAGCTTGCCTTGGCGGGCGTCTTTGCGCTCGGTACTTTGTGAGTAGATAAGCACTTTGAACCATTTGTAGAGGAAGCAACAGGTCAACAGCTGCTGATGAATGCGACTAGTGTTACCGTAGTGTCTACGGCCCGGTTAAACGTGATTCTGTCTGTCGATCTCACGTCACCGGACATCACCTGGAACTTCATCGACACCATTATCTGGACTCATGTCGAAGCCAACACGGCCATCATTTGCGGTATGTTCTTCATACTTCGTCTACCAGAAATTCCAATGGGAATATGCGACTAATATGTATCTTGCAATCAGGTTGTCTTCCTTGCCTCAAAACAATTCTCAATCTCGCGCTCAACGGCGGCTTCAAATCTTCGATCAACTCGAGCAACCAGAACTCTGGCGACCAATTCATACTTCACGACCGGACGAAGCTTAGTACTGCCGATAGCAGCAACTCTTTGGGTGGCTCTGGTACCGAGTCGATGCAGATAGGTCTTGGTGGAGGTGGTGTCGAAGACGAGCGCCCTCTCACATGGTTGACTGAACGAGATTCCGAGGCGAGTTTACATGCCGTTAATGACGAAGGGGCCTGTGGGCGGGAAAGTTTAAGCAAAGCTGGAGGAAGTATAGATACCCACGGTGTAAGCGGGCATTCTTAATATGGTTAAGCACCCTTATACGTCTTCGGCGTACATCAACTCAAAGAGAAACAGCCATGCTTTACGTGAAGCGTCAAACATCAAGCTAATCAGATGCCATCTTTCAAAGACTTGGTAAAATTCAAAGACCTCCTATTATACTGCCCAATTTACCCTAGGAAAGACGTGCGTCAGGAAATAGCATGACGTCCGGGCAGCGTTACGCAGAACAGTGCATTGCAAATGCGCAGCGCGACGAGGGTAATTCGAGGTCAATTGCAACGCTTGATGCGATTGCAAGTCTCTCTGTTCAGCAACCAAGGGACCAAAGAAATGCAGAAACACAGAAGAACCCATTCAAGACGATTGATTCCAATCGCTGACTACTTGCAGTCCGGCGATCGACGCGCCGTTTTACACACAGGCCGGCCGTCCCATGCATCTTCCGCATTCTCGGTAAATGGCTGGGTCCATGAAATGCCAGAATGTGTTGAATGTCGTGGCGTCGGGCTTCTGCAAGATGAGGGCTTGGCTCTATGATAAAAGTCTTTTCATGCCGGCACAGAAATGAATGAGAAGGGCGTGCTGGCGCAATCTGTCGCGATGCCCCGATCGCATCAGCTATGTCACTCACCTTACCGCAACGCTATTTGGATATCATCAGTTGAGAAAGTTGGGATCATGCTTTTGCAATGTCGACATGGAGCGAAGGATTAACTCGAGTTCACATAATGACCTTGTGTAGTCAAAAGTCACACGCAAGCACGCGTTGGCAGTCCACAAGTAGGTATTAAAAGCAAAAGTCCTCCCAGTTGCTTGTTGTGTGACGTTGCGCCCTGCACCGAACAATGTCCACGCAGTAACACAGATCCAAGACATGCATGGTGTCAGCAAGTCTCAGGATACCTGGAAAATCACTCTGAGAAGTGAGTAAATCTGAAGTGGAAGTAGAAGGGACAAAAAGAATGAACCCGGAGAGGTTCGAACTCTCGACTTTGAAGAAGCATACTGGCATTGTAGTAACGAAGTATAAGCATCACACTCTAACCAACTGAGTTACGGGTCCCAAGTCGCGCCGGAAGAAGCCGAAATGCAGGTCTATCTTGCGAGGTTCCGTGTTTCCCCGGTGTTTGCTCTGTGTGGCAGATCGCCAAGTTGGAAGCTTGGTTGTAGGTCTTGGCGGTTTGTATCGGGGCCTCACTTGGGTTGAAAGTGCAAAGATCCGCCTGAAACGAATTGATACGCGGTAGTGTATGATTTCAAAGTGCAGTCGAACGTCTGGAACAAAGGCTTGAGAAGTACAGATTTTTGACGAGGGTTTTTTTTCTCTCAGGTCTTTTTTTTCCGGATAGACTAAGTGGGCACTGCCACCAATGAGATGGCTTGATGTTAATCCTTGACTCCTATGGCTTGAGCCACCACTTTCTGTTGCCTGTTATTAAGCCACAATTTGACAATACTGGCTTCTTCAAACGTTCATCTGGGTTGAGACTTCACGCATGTCTGGACTTCTTGACTTGAACTACAACAATTGATACTTACACAAAAACTGTGAGCTGAAGAGAAAGTCAATCCAGACCAGGATCTGGATATTCTGTATTATTGACACATACTATCCAAACTACGAATCAGCTTCGCGAACAGCGAGCATCCAAACACCACTTGCCAACAGAAAGGTGGCTGTTGAACTCGTGGCCTGGGGCTCATCTTTCCATTCAACCCTGAATACATAGGTCAAGTCATAATTCCACCAACGCCTTGCCTACGGAGCTAATCGCTCTAGACACCCATGCTTTGTTCATTACTTTCCCAACATCCATCTCCTCCTTTACCAAAATCACTCCTTTCTCGATGGTCGGTAGTCACTTTCCTGCCCTGCGAATGAGAAACGTGGCATATATCTGGGTGGTGGAGAATTACCCGAATCCGTCGCCGTCGGCAGCTCAACCGGCGCAGCGGCGGGTGCCGCAGGGGCAGCAACAGGTGGTGGGGCCTGGTTGTCCGGAGCTTCAGCTACATCACTAGGCGCTACTGACGAAATGCGAGGGTCGCTGCGACGAGGTTAGCAGAGTCCAAAAATCGCAAGAGTTGAGAGCCTACAAGTAGGTCTGCATGCCGTTGACAGGGTGTGGGAATCCAGTCGGCTGAGGGCTCAATTGAGGGGAGAACTGCGCTGTGGGAGTAGCGTGATCACGGTAGGGACCGCTGAAGGCGCTATAATGGCTGCTTCTCCATCCTTGAGTAGCTGGGCTCTTCGGTTGCATCGAGTAGTTGATCTCCGTGATGGTCGGTTGAGACGATGGCGGGTAAGGTACCCGATATGCGGTCGAGGTTCTCCTGTAGGCGCGGTTGATGCCGCCTCGTCGGCCACACAAGTATACCAATAGACCGCCGAGAAGCAGGAATGCCAGGGAGCCAATGATAATACCGGCTATTTGGCCACCAGTCACACTGTGGTGGTAGTTGTTGATGACAGCACTATTGTCGGAAGAACTGGAGCCGCCGTTGGTTGCCTTTGGGGCATCCGATTCAGTTGGGAAGGGTTCGCCAGGAAGGATCTGGGTGGTCAGGGGAAGGGCCGCTTCGAGCTGTTTGTCTAGTGTTTGAGTTGAATTCTGAGGTTTGTGAGCATTCATGGATCTTTCAGGAAGTTTGATGCTCTGTCTTACTTCGTTGATCACACCGATCATCTTCTCTTTATAGCATGACCCCGGGGCTCCGCAGTAGTAGAATATTGGAAGCGTATCGTTGACGAGGACCCTGTACCGTGGCATCTATTTCCTATTAGTCAAAAGACTCTCAGCAGAGCAGACCCAGGTATCCAACTAACATCATTCGTAATAGCCTTGACAGACTGATTTCCGCTGTAGAAGCCTTCGCGACCAATGTCAATGTACTCGTATGGTGTACAAGGAAAGCCAAACTCGGCGCGGATGACCGAATGGGCATCGGGGTAGAAGATCCATTCGATAGTATCGCCGACATTGGCTTCCGTCTTTGCAGGTGAGAATGAAAACCCAGACTTGCATCAATTTAGTAGATATCGAGCAACTCTTCTCTGGGCCAGCCACCTACCGCTCCGACGGCAACAGTATGCGTTTGCGCAGCAGCAGCAGAAGTGTTTCCGGTCGAGACCAATTCCAGCCTCCCTGCTGGCGTCACGGTAGGTGCGGAGGAAGATGTCGAAGAGGTGAGGAAAGGCGTGATTGTTATTGACTGCGGCTGAGCATTCGCCAGGACGGCCAGAACGGCAACTCCTAATGTTGACGACAGCATCTTGTCGGAGAAGCTACGCTGTTCAACCACAAGATTGACTGGACCAAACAATGGCAACGGCAGAGAAACCAGAAGAAGGGAAAGCTAGGAGGAGGAGGGGAATGTAACGTGTGAGGGTCCATGGCAATACTTATTGCGGCAACGTCCTCATGTACTCCCCGGGCCGGGCTGAAGATGGGGCTGGGGCGGGACTCGGGCCTGATGGCTGAGACCATCAGTCTGCAGCTGCTTGAGAACTCCGCCCAAAAACATGCATGAGTTACCTGTTGTCTTGGTGCCCACATGGCAGAGACTACAGCTCTTCGTTGACTACCTTCTTTTCTGTTCACCAGGAGAAAGGAAAGGGGCGGAGATTCATGCAACCATGTGACTTGAGCAACGGTGGCACCCTCAAGACGGCCTTTATTAAACGTCGATTGAGGAGTCGAGTCTTGGAAGCAAGGAGGTGACTTGCTGAGACCTTCGCTTGTGAATGTCTATCTGGAAGAAAACAAAGGCTTGCAACGAAATCGAGACGCTTGCCACTACATGTGAGATGCCGAAGATGGCGTAACCATGGGTTCAAATGTAACTTTAATCTTTAGGTGACACCAAGTTTGGAGTGTGTCAACACAACAACGATTCAACCTCAGGATTTCCAGAGAAATACTCAAACGTAGGATTTGTGGTGCAAGAGGGAAAATTGGTAGATCGTCAAGTTGGATCGGCCCAATCCCTGCCAGAAACGATCTGCCGCGAGAGACACTTGCTACTAGAAGGAAGGGAACATAGGATGAACTGCCGCGAAGGGCCCCTTAGTGTCTTGGCGAACATAGAGCCCATCTATCACACCAGGGGGACCTGCGGCTTCACACATGTTTGCTGCCTTAGCCGAGATTTTAGTGCGGTCGCCCGGCACTCAAGAACCGTGTTTGGTGGTGCCTGTCCTACAGGGAGGGCCATTGTGAAAAAACGGAACCACGTATGGGTCAGGTCCCTTGCTGAGCTACTTTGCATGAGTCCGGACCGCCGGCGTATGTGGTAGGACGCGGTCAGCCGGACAAGATGAAGGAAGGTTCGAAAGTTTGCGCCACGAATAGATATCTGGAAAGAAGATGCCGGAGACGCTGCTCTGCTCCCCTTTATAACGTATACATGCCAGTATCCCTTGATTGCGACTAGAATCCACTGCAGTGCTTATCTCAAGGGCACTCGACCGAACGGCTTTGCTGCAGGTATGCAACAAACATCGCACTGGAGTGGAAACACTTGACGTCCCGATTAAGATGAGTTCAATGTTGTGTCCGGACAATACAGAGGCTAAGACATTGTCAGGGTCCTAGTGCTGCACTAGCGTCAAGCATCGGACTCTGGGGAATAGACCCAGGGCTGAGAGTGAGACAACGTTTGGAAAACAGCCGGCCATCCTCCCTTGGTTTCGAATCCTTCGGGAGCGAACCTCTGTCCGTAACCAAACCGTTTCCTCAGTAAAAGCCGTGAGCATGGGGGCAGTGCCGGAATACGGGCCAAAGATACCGCTGTGAGTGACAGCTTATGGTGTTTGAAATTGCTGACTGCATTGCTGAGCCATGATGTAGGGCCTAGAAACAGTCACAGCCATTTCTCCACACAAAACTTACTTTTGACTGAGTTGGCATGCTTCGGGTAGGGCCTACTGGAGCATCCCCGCGTGGTTCGGTCCATCCCAAGGTGAGATAGCCTGCGTTGAGCGACGATGACGAGCCATGGTGTAGCAGCGGGCGAACCTCCTCAAACCAGACAGCCACTATCGAAAAGTAGAGTATGCACCAGAGCCATGCCATATTTTCTAGCCCCTTGACATGTTGACATGGAAGCTGTCGGAGGCAAAGCGCCTGAGGATTTTGATCGGGTGAGAACACAACTACCGCACAGACCAGGTCACTGACGGTATTCCGAGACTCTCTGATACGCTCGACTTCGGCACGAAGGCGTAGGGACCGAAGGAAGTAGGTTTGGTGGCAGCTGCAGGTACAGTAAATATTCGGGAAGATTGTTGAATGGAAAAGCCGAATGGATTACTGATTCATTGACGCTAATGCCGGATGTGGGCGATGGAGACAGAAGTCACGAGTTGGGATGTTGGGAGGCGACCCATGGAGAAAAGTAGAGACGCCGCGATGCGGTATGGATCTGAGATTTCAATCCTTGATCAAGCCTCAAAAGGTTTAAAGCCACTTGTTGAAATCCAATTAGGTGATTTGTAGAACTGGTGAATCGAGGCGGGACCGTCGGGGTAGAAGGCAGATACTGTATGCGCGAAGCGGTGCTTGGAAACTGAAGTGAATCAATGCCATGGAGATGAACGTGAACTCCACCGGAATTCAAACGAGTCAGAGTGGATTGAGAAATAACCAAGTCCCCGAGCAAGATTGACCACGCAAGGTATCGTGAGTTTTGGAGGTCAGCGCCAAAGAAGCCGCAAGTGTCTGAGGCTGTGAACATTGTCTGCTGACTAACTGACACTGGCCAGGGATCACCTTAGCGCAGAAGGAGGCGCCTTGAGCGGGCCCAGAAGTCTGGACAGATCCACTCTCCTTTGAGCTTTGGGCCAATCATGTCACAGTTTCAGAGCTTGACCTCTTCAGGGAAAAAAGTTCCAGCCTCGCGCTGGTGGACTGGACGACTGCGCCTCTGCCTCACGCGGTAATCTTCATCTCCATCGTCAATCGCCTTCTCCAGCCTGGGCTGCCCATCATTTACGATTGGCCTTATCACACCACGTGCAATCGCAATCATGAACGGCGACGGCTACTCTCGCGGTAAGTCTATCCGCTATCTAACCAGACCAATCTATGCGTCCGTGTCTAACAAACGCCTTTCGGTGGAAAAGGCCGAGGAAAGGGATCTCGCGACTACCCGGTAAGTGCCCTTGACTCTTTACGAATCACTTGAACCACATCTAACAATTGCTATAGAGAGACCGTGATGATAGACGCGGTGGCGATAGAGACAGACACCGAGACCGAAGACGCTCCCGTTCCCCCTACGACCGAAGCTCTAGACGTCGCGAGGACGAGGACAGTTACGCGACGAGTCGCAGCCATCGCGAGCGCGAGCGTGAAGACAGATACTCTGGGCGCGAGAGACGCGGAGGAGATCGAGAGTGGGATCGCGACCGCGGATCCTCCAGACGCGATGCCAGAAGAGACGACGACGATCGCCCGCGGAGAGATCGCGACCCGTACGATGACCGACGCCGAGGCGGACGAGACAGAAATGAAGAAGCCGGATTTGCCCGGGGCCGTGAACAACGCCAGCGTAGCGCGACGCCACCTCCCAAGAAGAGGGAGCCTACACCTGATCTGACAAACGTCACATCAGTCTTGGAGCGCAAGCGACGTTTGACTCAGTGGGACATCAAACCCCCCGGCTATGAGAATGTCACTGCTGAACAAGCCAAGCTGTCAGGCATGTTCCCTCTGCCCGGTGCTCCTCGCCAGCAACCCATGGATCCCAGCAAGCTCCAGGCTATCATGAACCAGCCAGGTGGCCAAGTCAACAGCGCCGCGCTGAAGCCCAGTAACTCGCGCCAGGCCAAGCGTCTGCTCATCAACAACCTTCCTCCATCCACGACCGAAGAGACCCTCCAGAACTTCTTCAACTTGCAGCTGAACGGCCTCAACATTATTGAGAGCACCGATCCCTGTACCAGTTGTCAGATTTCAAAGGACAACTCCTTCGCCGTGGTAGAGTTCAGAAACGCATCCGAGGCTACCGTAGCACTGGCTCTCGATGGGATCTCAATGGAGGCCGATGATGCCACAAATGGCGCAGCGGCTAGCCAAGGCCTTGTCATCCGGCGTCCGAAGGACTACATTGTTCCCGCTGTCGTTGACGACGTCCCCTACGAGCCGGGCGTCGTTTCCAACACGGTGATCGACACTCCTAACAAGATCAGCATCGTGAACATGCCTCCTTACTTGTCGGACGAGCAAGTATCAGAGCTTTTGGTTTCGTTTGGTGAGCTCAAGGCGTTTGTTCTTGTTCGTGACAGAAGCACGGAGGAATCCCGGGTAAGCTAAGTTGCACTTGAACATCTCACACACCACACTAACTATTCCCGCAGGGTATTGCGTTCTGCGAGTACGTTGACCCATCAGCCACGGACGTTGCCATTCAGGGCCTCAACGGTATGGACCTTGGAGACAAGAAGCTCAAGGTTCAAAAGGCCAGTGTTGGTGTCACTCAAGTTGCCGGGGTGGAGATGGGAGTCGCAGCCATGTCTATGTTGGCCGGAACCACTTCAACGGACTCTGAGGAAACCCGTGTCCTGCAACTGCTGAACATGGTAACTCCAGAGGAGTTGATGGACCCCGACGATTATGAGGGTAAGTGACGATATCTAGTTCAGACCTTTTGCTCATGCTGACAACTTGGTAGAAATCAAGGAGGATGTCCACGAAGAGTGCGCGAAGTTCGGTACCGTTCTTGATATCAAGATTCCCCGTCCAGTGGGAGGTAGCAGACAATCTGCCGGTGTTGGCAAGATCTTCGTCAAGTTCGAAACAAAGGAGTCATCCAAGAAAGCTCTCCAAGCACTTGCAGGACGCAAGTTTGCGGATCGCACTGTTGTCACCACGTACTTCCCAGAGGTAAGGGCAACCCCAGTGTTGCATCGCGAACCATTTACTAACCTCGCTGCAGGAAAATTTCGAAGTCGGTGCCTGGTGATTGTTTGCACATTGGACAGAGGGAAACGGAAGGATATTATTATTGAAAAGGCAAGGCTCGGCGGAAAAAGAAGCCTCCAGGCCGATCACACTCTGACAGCCTTGTAACCATTGAAAATGCTGTACCATAATTCCGCGAGGCGGGCAACAGGACAGGGAGCATCTATCAAATCGCAAAATTGCAGATGACTTGCGGCGGCTACGAGCCGGCGCGGTGGAGAAAACCTAGGGATGCCTTATCAAAATTTGTTGCCGAAAACCATATTACGTACAGACAGAGAGTACCCTGGCTCGCAAGGCGTTGGCAAAGTCTACATCGTCCGTACTTGCGTCACTGACCTCTTTTATCTTGCATAGATCATTTGGTCAAGTCTAAAGGCCCTCGTCTTCTTGATTTTAGGATATATACGGGGACTATCATGGGCAACGTCAAGTTACATTGTCATAGTGGCGGAGGAATACATAGGTTCATGGCTTTTGATTTACTATCTACCCCTGGGCTACGCATCATCCACGTTCGAGTCTGTGTCTCCTTTTCATATTCTGCACCACTTGGAGCGTGAACGAAGACAAGAACCCATTCGAAGTGTACAAGTAACCTTTTCTGCCTGTTAGCTTCCTGTACAAATATGCAAATGATCTGGAATGAGAGGAGGAAGGTGCAGTATCAGAAGTCCTGTTCATTCATGAAGCCCGAAGGCTTTAAAATAAGAGGTACCAGAAAAAAGTAATAATGGAGGATCATCATTTGATGCATTGGGGGGAGATGGAATAAAAGCTGAAGAGTTCTTACCAGAGGAAATGAATGCAAAGAGACGCCGCGAATGAGCACTCAGCGGCGATGTATCTGACTTGCTCGTCTCTCAAAGAGATGAAGTTGAGGGAGCAAGAAGAAAAATCTCGAGCTCACGACGCTTGAGGTAGGCAGAGGGATGCACGGACCAAGAAGAGGCTGCATGGTCCCGTATATCCACTCGAGCGGGTCCTCCAAAATTTTCCAGACCTGCCCACCTCAGACTGGATCCTGTAAGTCCAAAGCAGGAGCCAGCCCGCAGAAGGAACACTGCAGTCTAGCAGCTGCCCTAATTAAGCGAGGATTTCCCGCCCGCACAATCCACTCCGTCCACGCCGAGCGACAGCCCGCCCAAACATATCGTAGGTGATCGTGAACTTTTTTCCCTTCCTCAAATCCGACCAGCGACCGACCGACTGAACCCCTCGACTCCAGCCGACAACCACCACAACCACCGTCAAAATGGGCCGTCTTCACTCCAAGGGAAAGGGTATCTCCGCCTCGGCGATCCCTTACAGCCGCAACGCCCCGTCGTGGCTCAAGACCACCCCCGAGCAGGTCGTTGACCAGATCTGCAAGCTGGCCAAGAAGGGTGCTACCCCTTCCCAGATCGGTGTCATTCTCCGTGACTCCCACGGCGTTGCCCAGGTCCGCATTGTCACCGGTAAGTCGGAATCGAAATTTCCAACATCTCCTCTGCTGGAGGAACGAAAAGAGAGAACTTTGCGACTGACTATTTTGCGCTCTCCAGGCAACCGCATTCTCCGCATCCTCAAGTCCAACGGTACGATCCCAGTTAGATGAATACACCAAGCGGCGACTTCGATGTCGAAAGATGATCAAACCGTCCGCGAGGAGAAATCCTCTTTACCGCATTCAATGCGCCTCTGCTTGGTCTAGGCTGACAGAGAGATATGATGAACAGGCCTCGCCCCCGATATCCCTGAGGACCTCTACATGCTCATCAAGAAGGTACGCCATGGCTCTGGAGACGGTCGTCTCTTTCATTTGGAGGAAACCATGGGTGGATGATTGACCATTCGGTGAACAGGCTGTTGCCGTCCGCAAGCACCTCGAGCGCAACCGCAAGGACAAGGACTCCAAGTTCCGCCTCATTCTCATCGAGTCCCGTATCCACCGTCTCGCCCGCTACTACAAGACCGTCGGTGTCCTCCCCCCTACCTGGAGATACGAGTCCGCCACCGCCTCCACCATCGTCTCTTAAGCGCCTTGTAACCGCTACTACGAACGAATGGATTGGTCGTCGCACGACGCGGTGGATTCTGGTCATGGAGTTGGGGTATTAGGAAAGTGCATTTAGAGCTCTGATGCCAGCTCTCTAGGCCCGGTGGCCGCGCGGGGTTTCAGCCGCGGAGGAGGAGTAAAAGTTTCCCCCATGTCGCTCGAAAGAAGTAGACATGAAACAAAATAGAGAGGAAATTCTTCCACGGCAACGCCAACGTCTATGAGTGTTTTTTATGGGCTGCTATGAGGAATCAAAAGTTTTATGAATCGTGGTATCATTCGTATCGTCATGACCTGAAGCGCAATGCCCAAAGTACCTATCGCAAATACTTTTTCTGCTTCCTGAACGCCTAGCCCAATGCCAATGAAGTGTAGAGTCCCTGCATCCCAAATGATTATGCCATCCAAGCCCAGATATGACTGCAACATGAGACCGCAAAAGAGGCTCGTTCATCATCTCAGGTGGAGGGCTCGTTTCTTCTACGAGACTCCTCGAGAAGGAAGTTGCCCAAAACATGAAGAGGATTGGCAGGCCTAAAAGAATTATACTGTCAGCTACAATACCGCAAGTCATGATCATGAAAAGGGCAATCCTTACTGGTTCTTGCTAATGATCTTCATGCCCTCCAGCAGAGCAGCGGTGACGTGGTTGTTGATGTACATGCGAGCAGAGTCGCCATGCTCAACAGCCCGGTTGGGGAAGCTCGTCGCGTTCGCATCAGGATGAACCGAGCCAGCACGGGAGCTGGCCTCGCCATTGACATTGCGGCTGGGAGTACCGGTTCGACCAGGAGCAGGGCTGGGAGCGCTCGGGGCGGCCTGCGGGATCGGGATGGGAGACTGTAAACTCGAGATCAGCACGAGTGTATGAGGAGTGGTGGATTTTCTAGAGATCACACCGAAGCAGACTCGCCAGCATCGGCCATAGGGACGTCGAGGCTAGCAGTATCGACAATGGCAGGAGCAGGCGTGGGAGCAATCGTGGAGTCTGCTGGCGCTGGCGCCGTGGCTTCCTGTGAGGTGGGCTCCGCTGGGTTGGACATGGTGAAAGAGGGAAGACGGTTAAAGATGAATGATCTTGTGATGTAGCTCAAAGACTCGGTTGAAGACTGAGCGGGTGTCCAAGGCGAAACTGGCTGGTTGATTGGTGACTGCGATTCAGCGATTCTTGACAGCTGTGAAGTTTGCGACGGCAGAGGCAAGATGCACAAAGACGAAGCTTCCAAAGCGATGAGACACCCTAAATCAGTGTTGAAAGGGGTGATGTAGCGACTGAAGGAAGACGGTTTGTTTCGGAGCTCAATTCCTAGGCCAAGGGTCAGGAAGCTCGTCAATTGATCGTGGGGGAAGTTGCGACAGACGGAAGGGCCTGTCGAGGAAGCTGACGCCGTGGTGGGCTGCAAGAATCAGAGCTCATTTACGCGGGGTCACCTGACCTCGCGTTGAATTGCGCTTTCCCCCCTGCGGCTGCCTGTTTCCTTCGCGTCTCCATTGCACATGACGCCACCAAGGCAAACCCAAATGATCATTCTCGCAAATTCCGCTGAAAAACACAAGAGCCATCTCTCTACGATGTCGGGCCTGGTCAAATCACACCATGGACGCCTTTGTACAGCGGCTTCCACGCCCTAAATCACAGCCTCCCTCCAGATCTCCCACGAGACCTTCGCCGCTGGGTGAAAGGCCTGCAAAGAAGGTCAAGGTCGAGATAGCGGACAGCGACTGTGACGACGACGATGAGACCAAGTCTTGCGATGAGGAGGGTGACACCTCTGGCCTGACCATCAATAATGTTTCTGACACTGAAGACGAAGTCAAACACCACACACGGCAGCCTGATATCGAGAGCACTTTGCCACCCATTCAGGTGGACAAAGAAGCGATTGAGGAATACGAATTGATGAGGAGCTCCCAGGTCAGCGTTCCTGACGATGAACCATCAGCTGTACCTGATCGCAAATGGGCAAGGGGCAAGAGCTCGATCTACGTGGATGCGTTTAACCTTGCCTTGAGTACTGTCTTGGCAGACGAATCCCATTTATTTGACGCCAAGGAATGCAAAGTATTCGAGCAATGGAAGTCGCTGGACTACGAGGCCCAGTACCTGTGAGTCCAGCCTACTCCCATGATGTTTCTCTTCGTGACTGATGTCCTCGGTAGGTACGTGCGCTTGTTCTTGCGTAAGACTTCCGCCTGGCATCGTCAAGACCGGCTGGGATACTACAGCGATGTTTCGGACCCTGAAGCCGCCATCGCGTCTCTGCAGAAAGTGAGAGATCTTCCAGAGCCTGATGCTCCCGCATCCAGCAATCCTGTCGAAGGCGTTGATCTGGAAGAGTTTAGCTTGGACGAAACATTCACATTTGCCGATGCTTCTGAGGAACACATCACTACCATCGAAGAGGCAGCCTCATTGCTAAGCCTAGACGAGCTAAAAGATCTCGCTAAAGAGGCCAAATTCCAGGGACGCAATAAATCTGATTTGGTGAAAGCGCTATGTCGAACAGGCCATCAGCAAACCGGTCTCTTCGCGCATGGGCTACAGCGGTCTGGCAGCAGCGAGTCCCAGACTGCTCGAGGTCTGATGAGAGAACGCCGCGAAACTCCCCCGCACCTCAGCAGACAGGACTCGAACCAGACACAACACTTTCTGGAAAAGATTAGGATCATCACGGGCCCTTGCATTAGGCTATCGCCGCTAACATACAAACTCTTCGAAAGGGTGCACCTGGTCTTCTATCGGTCGACGGAGTGGACTGAGAAGTCTCTCACGGCAATCATCCTTGCTAGTATTGCGCGCCGGAACTACCCTGAGTACATCGTCTGCCGAAGTACAAACATCTTTGCTTCTCGGAGGCATGTTCTCGAGTTCGAGTCAGCAGTTCGCGTCGAAGCCGAGGTCGACCAAGTCCTAGAGTTCAACGGCTCGCCTGGTGAGGCAGGTCTTCGCAAGATCGTGGATGTCTTTGACCGCGTGTACCCTCGGTGGAAAATACTTTTGAGAGAAGAGCAGGACAAGGAGAAGCGAGTATACGAGGAGGGAGAAGGCGCTTATTTGAGAAGATTTACGCCTGTTCACTCCTACACGCGCATTGTCCACAAGGCAGCATATGTGTTTGGAAAGCTGAAAGACCACGAACGCGAACACTCTATCCTCACCGAACTCCTCGAGCAACATCTATTCCACCCTGCCAGGCGAGGCAGCTGGTATCAACGAAAGGCTCTGTTGGAAGAACACTACATGGACGCATTAGATGCCAATGCAGTGTCTGCTGATGCAGACATCCAGAAGAAGCATTGGAAACGCATTGCGGTGACGACTTGTGAGACAGCGTTAGAGGACAACGACTGCCATTTGATTTACCATTACGACCTGCAAAAGCGTCTCATCAAGCTCGAGAAGCAGCTCCGTATCCCGAGACGACTTCAGCATGACTTCGGCCACGTGCGTCTCCAGAAGCCACTAGAGCACACTGTTGAGGGTATCCAGGTGAAGAAAGAAGACCGCCAAGGCAGGAATGGCCGACAAGCGAGCACGAAGACGATTTGGGTCGACGAGCTAGAGGATGGCGGCGAATGCAGCGTTGAAGAGATGTGCCTCAGTTGGTACCGAAGCCAAGGCTACAAAGGGTACCACGCTGAGGGAGGCATCGTGCGCACCCTTTTCGCCTATCTCTTCTACGACATTTTGTTTCTTTACATCCCAAACGTATTCCAGACAGCTTATCAGACATGTCCCTTGGACCTGCACACGGATTCGTTCTATCCGACGCGGTTGTCCGAGATTAATCACCGACTAGTTGAGATAGGCAACGGCGGTGCGGAAAGCATCATCCGAGAGGTCGACGCCAGAGAACGCCAACGACGCACGTGTGTTATCGGCCTCAACTGGGACTACGACGTCGAGGATCTTGTGGAGCTGGTCGGGTGCTTCGATGGTAGCGCACTGGCCGCTCTCTGCAAGGTGATGGCACAGGAGTACCGACAGCGGGGCGGAGGCTTGCCCGACCTGATTCTATGGCGGACGGAGCCGAAAAAGGAATGTATGTTCGCCGAGGTCAAAAGCGCCAATGACCGTCTCAGTGACACTCAGAGATTATGGATCCACGTTCTCACGAGTGCAGGCGTGAAGGTGGTACTTTGCAACGCCGTGGCTAAAGAAGTCAAAGCTATGGACTGAAGACGCCCTTTGAGTCCTCGAGGACCCTTGCCTACCCCAAGATATTTTGGTTCGCTCTTATGAGCACCCTTTCAGGATATTACGCGGTGTTACGGGAGGCGGAGATTGCTCTGAAGATTTGAGCGCTTCCCAAAAGTGGGAATACATTGCAATATCCTCAAGCGTGTTAGGGCCCGTCAAGTAGCACACGCCAGCAAGCTTCGAGGTCAAGATTCCTTGAAATTGGAACTCTTCGTGGAGCTCGACACCCATGCGCTGGATCAGCGGAGCTCATCTCGCGGGCGCCGAGCCGAAATACGACATATGGCGATGCCAAAAATAGGATTTGATCTTCAGCGATCCGCAATCACTTTAAACCCATGGAAGCGAAGAAGGGCGAAAGAAGGTTATGAAACGGCCGAGTCGCCACTTAAAGCTGCACCTAAGCTCTGTTCAGATCACCGGTCAAGGAACTACAGCACGTCGAACAGCCAATCACTTATCCATAATTAACAGCTCTGGAGTCCTGTTTCAACCTGATCATTTGACAAACTATTGAATGCATTGGCTCCTGTTTCAGCGTTGCCGGGGTCTACAACTCGTGGCGCCGGGGGGAGGCTAAATCTGGTATCAGAATTCGAGACATCCAGTCAGAGGCGATAACCGGCAGGCAGGGCTCGTTTTGGGTCGGAGATTTTCTGGATCACATGCAGCCAATCACGCAGAATCGTCGAGAGGCGAGACTTTGGGAGAGGAGGTTGGGTGGAACCTTGACAGGCAATGAAATGTCATGTTCTCACCGAGAATGGGAGACGCAGGCAGGCCTCCTCAGGCTCGCAGCAGTCTCGATCTTTGCCCCTCCTCGCGCTACCGATGCCGCATCTTTGGGAGTGGAGGTCGTCACACTCGCGGTTGGTCTGCCGTTTCGTTTACTGCGTGCGTGGGCTAATGTGGTCCAGACATGCGTCCTAAACATGCTGCTAATGTACGGGACGACGACTCCGTACGTAGTGCCATTTCATGCCTCTATCGACCTTCCTTCACCGCCAGATGACAGTAGTCAATAGCAACCAACCAACATGGGATTCACTCTTCCTGGCAATGGAAAATTACCGGCATCTTCCCTCCAGCCAGCGGAAACCCATCCCATTCCATTTCTCGCTTCTTTGCAAACCAGATCCACCCTTGTTTATTTTCGAAGAAAAAGGCCGGATGGGTCAAGCTCTGGAAGAGCAACCCGACTTGCGACGGGTGACTCTGCGTCAAGGGCCGAGAAACAAAAGTCAGAGACGCTTCGCCTGGCCCCTGCCCACCACAATCCCCCCACCAGGACACCGGCGCTTAACCACTCGACCAATCTGCTGCCTCCCCGCCGACCGTTGGTGATGGTCCTGACGGGACAAGGGACACCGCGAAATCCCTGTCATTCCCGAGCTCAGGCCAATCAAGACCCCGGTCCTGCTGAGGACAGGCGCTTAGCAAAGTGAGGTGACTGGGGGCCGTCTACGGCTTCGCTCCGTACGCGACCACCCACCCCCATGCAGTGCCCGGGATACCGGGTCGTACCATGGCCGTATCCGGCAAGGCGCCCCAGGCCGCTTTTGCTATTCTTCTTCCCGACTTTATTCTGAGTGGACGTTTCGCCTGCTTGGTACTTTTCTTTGGCTTGACGACACGCCCTCGACTGCGTCTTGAGTTGTTGACTCTGTCCCATCGCGGGTTCCGAAACGCCGTATACTTTTGAATCTCAACCGCGCACCTGCAAGAGACGATTTCTGACATGGACGACACAAGCCCGAAAAAAAAGAAAGAAAAAACTACACTCGACATACACGCCTCGGGGTGTGCGTCTTCGCATCTGTATGTGTGCGAGGCAGTCATAGACCTCATCAACCGTGCCCCGTCCCTCAAAGGGCGACGAAAAGGTTAAGCGGACCACGGAGGAGGGTGGGATGTGAGGACCGAACATGGGGAGACATGGGTGCGCCTTTCTACGCTTGAGTCATCACCGCATCGTCCATCACGACGACTGCAACACCAAGCCACGACCTAGCAGCGGGAGGAAGAGGATGACGCCCCGGCGGCAGCAACACCAGCAGCAATACCAGCAGCAGCAGAAGCGAGAAGCGGCGGCGGCGGCAGGAGCAGCATCTATAGTGCTGTATTGTGATGCTCGCGCTCCGGCCGGGACTTGATGCATCACCGCCGAACGATCACCCCCCCCCCCCCCCCCCCCCACCCCCCCCCCACCCCCCTCTCCCCGGGGTCGAGCCCCCCCCCCCCCCCCCCCCCCCCTCACATCCCCGCTTCTCCCCCGCTTTCCCCACCGGTGGCCCCCGCCCCGCGCGCCCCCCCCCCCCCCCCCCCCCATCCCAAGCCCCATCCAGCCTACCTTCTCCGGGTGGTTACCCTCCCCCCTCCCTCCCCTCCGGCTCGATTGCACCGTTTTCCAAGGTTTTGCTCACATTGAGCCACTGAAGATCGACGGCTATTACATCGATCCCTCATGGCGTCCCCCCTGCTTGGCGTGATTTCCCATCCGATGTGGAGGGGGGAGGAATTCAACTTTCAAGAGAGAGCATCAAGTGAAAAAATGTGACGGGATGAGATGGGTATGGTGAAGTGAAGGGCGGGCGGGCGGACGGGATGGCATCCCCCCCCATCTCGTCAGCGGAAATCGAGGCGGGGGAAAAAGGGTCAGCCAGCTGAAGGTGCGGGAAAAAACACTGGCTCAATGGTTTGAATTATGATGACCTAGTCACACGGTTTTGCTCCATTGCATGGTACGGATCCCGTGAACAAGGGCTGTTCACTCGTAGCGAAATAGACTATGAGAAAGCAGGTCATGGCATGTATGTGATCACGGCTCTTGACTCGAGATGCAACAACACCATCCATGTTATGCAGCCGGGGACGGGAACGGGAACGGGATAGTTTTCTAGAGATTGTAAGAATCTGTCCGCGTCCCTCGTAGACTCCACCCGGCCAACCATCGCGACCGCCTCCTCCTCCTCCTCCTCCTCCTCGACGACTCCCCGTGCCTCCAGCGGGGCCATAACAAACCCACGATGCTGGCCGCATCAACGGGCCGCGCTGCACGAGAATGCTGGCCGTACAACGATGAACAAAATAAACAAAGACACATACGCGCGCGCACACATGATCCCTCACAACTGTTCTTGCGGTGAAGGAAGAGTCCACAAAAGCAACACTGTAAAATTATACACAGTATGCTGATATTAGGCTACCTGGCTCGCTGTGTACTAGGTATCTTTGCCCTCGATAGAGCTCTCCTCCATCGTCTTTCAAAAAAAACCAAGACGCATTCAACCTCTTCCCCCCATCAGATAATCAAGCCCGCCCCCACCCAAATAGTTCCTGGTATCGAACATGAGCATCGTAGAGACGCCAAAGAACTCCGTTTGGCCCGGTCCCAATCGGGGACCGGTAGATGATTTGAAACAAAAGACCAGCCAATTCCCTTCTTTCCTTCGCAACAGGTTCCCTCGCGATGAACCAATCACTGGTTCCGCCCTTGTATTTGCCCTCCATGTCATGGTTTGCGCCAGTTTGTGTGCGCTGAGTTGCTTCCGTAAAGTTATATCGTTGCCAAGTCCCTCCGTGGGAAGAGCCTGCTTCATCACATGTCCTGCTTCTCTTTTTTGTGGCGCTAGGCCTAGGTCGTCAAATGGTGCCGAGTGTCGCATAAGGTAACGTGGTGAGGCGATAATGGTGATGGTAGGTAGAACAAATAGAAAATAGATCGGGATATGTAGTGCCGATGTCGTGTCAGGTTTAAGTGGGTTCGTTTGCTTCTGGTCCAAACATTCATTCCACCTTCCTCCTCTTTCCCTTTGGCGCGGGGTTCATCCTCGGCGTGTAAGTTACTGTCCGCGTGACCACCTCGCGGATGTGACGCACGCTAGTCCTCGAGGGCTTCTTGGAATCATTCAGTCTCTTGGCCTTGAGGGCTGCGTCCCAATCGAATACTGAATGAACTGATCTGGCGCTGAATGGTGACCGCGCGCTCATTGGTGAATCCAGGTGCGATACCGCTGGAGAAGGCGGGATCTTGAGGCTCGGGAAAGAATTCGCCCCGGTGGGAGGTGCTGACATTGGCAGATGTGTGAAAGGGCTTGGTGGGATGGCTGGCGCCGTAGCCGGAGCCTTGTGCTCGTGTTCACATTTGCAAGAGATATCGGTCCGCTCGCTGGTGGCGGTTGAGGGCATTGAGTCAGGCGTGGACTCGGGCGTAGTGTCTCCAGAGGTTGATGGTTTGAAAGCGGCTGGCGAGTTGAGAGACATGGCTTTGAGGAAATCTGTGTAGGCCGTTGGCGGGCTGATGGGTGTCTTGATAGGAAGGTCTTTGCAAGACATGGGCCTAGCAGAGAGCGGAGTCGAGGTCGAGAACATGTTCTCCGAGGGGAAAGTGCTGGTGACGGGCGTGGCCAGCTGGGCCAACTTGGGTCTGTTGACGGGCATGATGGCTTGAGGCGTGAGGAGAGGCGGGAGAAGAGTGAGGTAGTAGCGAGTGTGTGCAGGGAGAGAGAGAGAGAGAGATGTCCAGTCAACCAAATGACTCTGACGTGGTGAGAGAGGAGAAAGTCAGGCTGCCTACGAGCTGCAGAGACAAGTCGCCTGGGGAGAGAAGGGAGAGAAGAGACCGGCAGTTGCGAGGGTGGGTGGACGTTATATTATTTCGACGACAATGAGGTGGGCGCTTGTGTGCGTGGTCGTAGTGTAAGTGAGCCAGGAAGAGAACTGCAGTGCGAGGCTAAGCTCTGACGGCGGCAAGGAGAATGGAAGGTTTTAGGAAGCTGCTGTGCTCCCGGAAGTCTGGTCTGGGGTTGCTGGGGGCTTGAACAGGTGGGCGATAACAAGCCAGTGCTATTCGCCAGGAATGGGTTTCGAGTTTGGGCGGGAAGACACGCAGGCAGACAATATGTCAGTCTTCCAGGTCGGCAGGCTGGACAAGGGAGGGGCAGAGTAGGGAGGGGTGAGAAGGGGGCGTCTGGTGACGAGATGCCGCGGACGAGGGGGAGGGGGGTGGATGGCTTCAAGGAAGCAAACAACAGAGGATGGAAAGCCTGCACCAAAAGGCTGCGGTAGCGCGTGAAGGATTCTGTGAGGTGAAGAGGAGTCGTGATGTGTTGGTGACAGCGGATACGGATGGTCCAACGAGAAGAAAGCAGTGGCGCGCGGCGGGAGCGTCGAGGAGAGCGGTAGACAGGAACAGGAGCGCGAGAGCGTGGTGGTGGGGAGGACAGCAACGGAGAGAGGTGGCCGGGGTATCTCTAAAGCGGCAGGGAAGCAGCGGGTGGATGAACTGGGATTGGTCGTGGAGCTTCAACAGGGGACAGTCTGATTCGCTGCGTGGGCGCGTGTGGTGTGTGGTGTTCACTGCCTTAGTGCGTGCTGAGCCTGCTGCAGGAGACAGCGAAACAGAGAGACTGGACAGAGACGGGAACGGGGCCTGCCAGGGTAGAGAAAGAGCCAAAGCGGACCAGGGGCTGATGAACTGCTGCCGCAATGAATTTGCCTCTATTGGCGTCCTTTTTGGGGGGGGAAGCGGCTCGTCGCACGCCAAAAGAAAGCGGGCAAATTTTGTCGGTTGTGATTGACACAGCGGTTGGCCTTCGTCCAGTGCTTTGCTGCGGTGCCCGGTGCCCAAACTTGTCGTTGGCTGCGATGGAATGGACTGGCTTTGTCCGTTTGCTTGCGTCCAAAGTCAATAAGCCAATGGGAGTGGCTTGTGTTTGAGGAAGCGGCTGGCGTTCGGCGGATGGCTAGGATCACCGTTTGTCCCGTCGCGCGATCGTGGATGCCTCGTGGCCTCTCGCCCGGTATATGTGATGAATGTGTGATTATTGGACCGCTTGGTCCAAGGTTGTCTGGTGTCGGGTAGCAAAGTCAGCTAAGGCAGGCTCAGGTAGTGGTGTCGTGCGATGACGATGTTGCTTTGTACGGATGTCTTGTCGATTAGGATTGGTCGGCCAGCACTGGTATCCAGCACAGGTATCCGGCACCTGTGAGTCGTAGTCGTCTAGCGAATATCAAGAGTGGTCCCGAGGGCGGAGGCTACGAAGACTTGCAGAACCGGGTGGAGGTGATGCGCCGTGTAAGTGGAGAGGGATGCAAAGCCACCTCAGGCGGTGGACGGTAGAAGAGTCAACAGAGACAGAATGCCGCAGAGAAGCAAAGAAGAGATCGAGAGCCCGAGTAACTCAAATGCGAAGCTACCTAGGCTAGAAAGAGTCAAGAAGACAGTGGCCCGGCGTGGAGAGGCCTCGATTGCTGCTGGTCTGAAAGGCGGAATCAGAGACGTGATTGGCTCTTGGGGGAGGCTCGAGGTGAGGTGTCGTGCAGTTGCGGGCTGTCCGTCGCTGGGTCCAACGGGGCTGCTTATGGGCGCTAGCAAAGGAGCACTGTGGCCAGTCAAAGATGTCGAATGGTAGTGGGAAAACAAGAGTCGGCCGGGGTAGCCGTCCGGAGGGTGTTCCGCGGTTGAGCTGGCTATTCTTAGTGCTCTGGCTCTACGATTGGTGATTGGACGCTGGCCGAGGGCGCTTTCTTACCTGAAAATCCCCACGTCGTCCACCAGATCTTGCAGATGCGTCTTCTACCGGGAAGATATGTCGAGAACCAGTCCCGATGGTGATGTGTGGCGAGGCGGAGCAGGAATCCCGTTGGATGAACCGAATGATTCGAAGCTAGCGAAGACGGGACACAAGAAAAGACGTCTTGGTCCGATGACGAGGGAACCGGCCCGGGGGGGGGGGGGGGGGGGGGGGGGGGGGGGGGAGGAGAGGAGAAGGAAAGGGGGAGGCCCGAGCGCGCGGGGGGGGGGGGGGGGGGGGGGGCGGGGGGGGGGGGGGGGGGGGGGGGGGGGGGGGGGCGAAGGAGGAGGCAAGAGGCAAAGACGAGAAAGAGACGTCGTCAAGCGTCGTCAGACCTTGTGATGGAAGTGGGCCCGAGAGAAGAAGCCGGAGCTGAGCGGGCTTGGAAGGCTATTTGCGAAGAATGATGCCGCAAAGAGTACGGGGTACGGATTGAGTGCGGAATGACAACTGAACAGGGGGAGGCAGGGGCAGGATGCAGGTGAGTGCAGCTGAAGAGTCGAGATGGATAGGAGATGGAAAAAGAGCCAAGGTGAGGAAGTCTCGGTCTGGGAGGAGGCAAGAGCAGAGAACCTTGAAATGACTGGAGGAAGGAAGAGCAGGTGTGAGTCGAGGTGTGACTGACTGCCTTGTTGGTTCTGGCGTTGGTGTCGGTGTCAGTTGATGTTGGGAGGAAGGAAAGCGCTTGGCTCTCGACTTCTTGACTTGGGATCCGAGTGATGAGGAGGGAAGGAGCTGATTGATCACGAGCTTCCATGAATTTTTTTTTCTCCAGCATCATTGCCGGAGTAAGCCATCGTTTTATCCATTCGTCTGTCCGCACCTTTCTCGCTGTTCATTTCCAAAGCGCCTGCCTCAATTCACGACCGACCTTACCTCGCGCCAGTCGCCCGAGGACAAAAACAAAAACAAGATACAAAAAACAAGAAATAAGAAACTAGATTTCGTTTTTCGTCTTGCTTCACTCCGCGCGCGGCACCGTTCAGCGTCTCGACTCTCGACACTCCCTCGATCAATTTGAGCCTATCTTTCCATCTCTTCTCAAGCGCTCTCCATCAATGGCTGCCAGCGGTCCTGTTTCCAGCTACATGGCCCGGCAACCAGAGTCCCGCCAGATGGGAGCGCGCGCCATGTGACGCACAGCGGCGATTGGACCTGGCTGCCACCATGCTGTTGCGACTCGGGGAATTTGCCTACCCATGCACGCAATCTGCCCCCAGCATCAAGTGTGAGGAGCGGGTACGTGGCCGGCCATCTCGTCTGCCTGCCTCCGATACACTGGGGGGGCCTTTTTGCTCCGGCCCCGGCTCTGCAGCGCGCGCCTCCAGCCATGACGAGGTTGGGCCGCGGCCGGGTTGTCGACCCCCACCACCACCACCGTCTTCCGTGTCAAGACATCATGGGCCGGGACAGCTCTCTCAGGCTCGCAGGGCCCGGTTCCGTCTGCGATCCTTCTCCACGACCATTTTGCCCACTAGAGCATCTGCCGACTCTTTGCTCCTGGTTTGCGGATGGTCTAGAATGTCAGTTCTGGTGATAAGCGCCAACCCGAGACTTATTCTATTCGCTGGTCCAAAGGAGATCGAATCCTTCGCGCCTGTTTCCTGCAAGCTCCCTGAGATTTCATTTGCCAGATCCACGCCAGCTCGCGCGCCGCAAACTCTTGGAGGCAGTTTTCCACCTCGCTGCCCATGCTCAGTATGCAGCCACACAATCTCGTCAACTGCTGCCATGAGGCACATTCACCTCGTGTTGGTCCACGCACGCAGGCGGTGTGTTAGTGCGTCTATGGCGTCTTGGGAATCCTTCTGTTGGACGTCAACAATAAACGCGACGTGGAGGATCAAAAGAGGCTGGTTTTTGATCGCGAGAGGCCAATCGCTTTCCGAGCTATTGCTTCAATGTGCCTTGGGCCATCCATATCAGGGCCTTCGACCTGAAGGATCGCGCTTAACATGCTATGCACTCGATCAAAAGAGGCGGTTTAATTTCCTTGCAAAACTGTGCAGACGCCCCTCAAGAACGCCGATTAGACGTGACACGCCCTCGGTGTTGCTAGTGAACCGTCGATTTGCCGCGCGATACTGCAGCGTCGAAGGCTTTAAACAGCAGAGCCATCACCGGAATCAAGTTTCCAAGTTGCTTGAGAAGCCAATGAATCCTCCATCCCCACGAACCCAGGCAGTTCAAGGGACGCCCTCACGGACTGGTTATTGGGTGTCGCTACCTAGCAGGTCTCGACGCTCATCAAACGGATTTCAGCAGCATTCGCGCCTCAGAAGCAATGTCAGGCGTCACAGGATTGGATGACCTTGTCCCTCAAGAGTATACAATGCCACTGTGAGCCGCTGGCCAGTTTTCCTGGCCGGCACTCATCACACATAAGTGGCATGGCCTTCAATGAACACTTCGTCTTCCTGCTAAGCGGAGTGGTCTTCCAGAGAGGAGGGACTTCGTGATGTACATTACCGGCCATGCCTCAGCTTCCGATGACCTTGATTACTCCCGAGACAAAGGCGGCGCGATCTATCAAGGACTCTAGCAGGACAGAAGTATTTCCCTGCCCTGTGCTACGGGTGACTGTATTGCTTACCTGTGAAGTGACGTCTTCCGGCCTGCTTGCGATTAGCTACCAGTCTGATATGACCATCAAACCGAGCGTAGCATACAACCCGAAGCTTCGGGCTTCTTTATCTCTTAACGTAGGAGAAACCTCCCGATCGTGACCTATCATATATTATCCCCCCATGAATAACGATGGCGTTGATGCGTGTATCTGAGTGTCACAAAACTCCTTCCTTCAAAAGGGTTACCGCGAATACAGTACTAAATTTCGCAGCGGTGTACTGATCCTCACTGCGGAAGCGCTATCGGGACCTGTTGTTATAATGTCCAGCCCGAAAGAAACAGTGATCCAGCCAGAAGCGCAGAGCAGGCGAAGGGCACCACCATTCAATGACGACACATACTACTTCCCCTTCTTCCTCTTTACGCTCCATGGACGCACCTCGAAATACACCAAGGAGGCCGCCCAGCGCAGTCGGTTAAGGGACTCTTACCTACCTGCGTTTGCCTGAACATCTGCGTGGATAGCGTGTATCATAATGCCATATGTCTTTTCTTGTCGCGGTGCATTGCATTAATGTAACAGGTTTCTTCTCGCACGTGTGCGTTGCTATACGAGATGGAGGGTTTACGGCGAGGAGAGCCGGTTTTATACGGCCCGGCGCTCAGCCTGGCTAGCAAGGACATGAGATGGAAGGACGGGATCTTGGCAACGTTATGATAATTTGAGAATCGGTATCTTCTTTCTTCCCTAAGACGCCCATTTTTTGCTTGATGGTGACATATTTTCATCTGGGATCGGAGTACGTTTCGAGATGGTGGGAGCGCCTTTCACCATCAGGTTGCCTCGTGGTGCGCTGTCGCTATGGCTATATGGTCCTTGACATACTGAGAAATAGAGTATGATGGCCACAAGTACTACCCGCATCTTTGCAATCTTTCGCACGACAGACTGTATGAAGTTCACAAGCGCTTATACCTCTTAGCCGCGCCGGCCTAGGCTTATACTCGACCGGCGGTGGCATACACGTGACGTAGGTCTTGGCTTTTCTTGAGCTTGCTCAGCTACAGCTTACCGATATATCGTCGTGTACTTCAAACGTGGGCAAGTGGTCTCGACTTGTGATGGTGCCTTTCGATACTTGGCGCTGATGTTCTGAGATAAAATTAGGTCTCACGGCGTGGACCGAGAGAGAACATGAAGTCAACCTGTCAGAGCCCCCTTTATTAAGGAGAATCGTACAGCATGAAATATGAATCGACTTTCAAAGCTTGAAGAGAAGCTCAAATAACTAGAATTCGTGGATGAACCACGGGTTCTACAGGTCATAGAGTGAGACCGTCGAGACTGTACGTGCTTTCGAGACTTGCCAAAATCATTATGCGTCGATTTTTACACTATCATTGGAGTTGCTTGAACCTGTCGTTTAAGAGCTGGACCTTGGGGATGAATGGCATCAAGTCCAACGAATAGTAGGTTGATACCCGAGATGACTTCACTAACCTCGAGGGACCGCTCGGGGGATGGGGTGATCTTGTCGCCCAGGACTTTCAGACTCATCTTCCATTACTTGATAAAGATTCCATGAACAAGAATAGCGACAAATTTCTGTGTCCTGCGTTGCTGTTGAGCTTTGTAGTTTAAGGGAGAAGGGGATAGTCAGCCATCCCCACCCATACTGAGCTCCGCGTGGCCAGGAACGTCCCTCTGACCACCCTATTGCGTACTGCCGTGATGCCTCATATGAAACATGCTTTTGAGTGTGGTCGTGGCGGCGATAGTTGAAGTCTACGTGTACTTCACAACGTGGGTATGGAGTGAGGGAGTTTAGCTCAGGTAGTCTAAGTAACGACTAGTAAAAAAAGCTACATAGGCTGGCCGGTCTGGTCAGTCTTCTCCCACTCCCTTTCGTTTCCGGAATTCAATGAAGCGGATCTCCAATAGGGTACAGCAGTGAGTGTGCGAAAGCGTCGCTGCCGTGTAGTAGCTGCTCAAAGTTCACCCTAAATGGCAGTAGCTAACGTGTTCGACTAACGTGCTCGAAGGCTTGAAGTTGACCCGCTGATGCTCGCCGGGCGGAGTTCCAGCAAGTTCTGGTCCGGTGGTTTAACACGGGAAACAAGGAGAACCTAGGTAAACAAGTAAAAATGAAGTCACATCAGCCAATATCGCTTCAACTCTGGCGTAATTCCAGATCCCTTACTACTCCCCCATCCATTTTGGTCACCTCGAAGACCAACACATTCTATGCTCTGATTGATGGGATGATGCCCTATTGCCTATACCACCGTCTCAGGTCCCTGCCGTCTTCCTGTTGTATACCAATCAACCTTTCTGCCAAGGCCAACCAAGGATCCGCAACCATGAGTGAACAAGAATGCTGGAAGCCTCGGTGGATAGGGGATGGAAGTAATGCATCGCAAGTAGTCTGCTAGATTAGCTAAACGTCTAGACCACAAGATTACGTACGATCCACTCTGAAAGCCGAACTCTGAAATTTTTCTGGAACGTTGTCGGCATCACGCGATGAACGGCCATTTCGCACGCAACCGCCAGGTGGCGTGGGCGCTAGTTGCTCAGCTCAACTCAGCTCAACCCTCGAAAAGCGCCCATCAACACAAGCGAGGAATGCGTTCATTCATCCAGGGTTTTCTTCAGAGAATCTCATTGGAAGATGTGGGATAGGCACGGGACGGCCCTTATTTCCCCTCTTCGGCAAATTGCTAGGACAGCCTGAGGGGAGCCAAGGTGGCTGCCGACATGGCATTCTCTGGCCTCATCGCAAATGGAGGGCTGAATTGCGTATTTCTTGTGCGACACGAGGCTACCTCCTGAACAACCGCATCCGACATGACAACTTGGCACAGAGCAATGGCAAACTTTTTGATCGGAACATGGCTGAGTAGTCGCCCAGGTGATTTGGTGTTTCACGAAACTCAAACTCACTTGAGGTTCTTGCGAGATACACCGGTTCGCCAAAACGCCATCATATCTGGGTTCGCTGAGCTGAATGCTGCTTCCGGTATCTTTAGAAAACTCTGCTTGATCACTTTTTCAGCTTCATTCCAGGAGATGCTTTTCGAGACTATCCTTCGTGGAGTTACGGCGACATTTCACCGCAGGATGGACATAAAAGGGGCACACAGACGGCACCAACATCAACCTCCTTCATCATACTCACCACTTTCTTCTCTTCTCATCCCAGTAATATCCACCATCTTATCCCCATAAGCTCGCCTTCCTACAAACCTCACCATGGGTTTCCTCCAGAACATCCCCGCCAATGAGGTCTCGGCCGCCTACGACACGAAGATCAAGAAGCTCGTCCTCACGGCCAAGGGCCAAGTCCAAAACTTCACCTCCGGCATCGAGTTCCACCGCGTGCCCTTCGCCGGCGGCCTCCTCTTCAACCTACAGGGCTGGGTCGGCCCCATCGGCGAGGGAACCAGGCCATACAGCGTAACAAACTACTTTGACATTGAACTGCCGAGCCCCGTCCTCCCCTCCAACACGGTCCTCGTCAACGTCTCGAACCGTCCCAGCCCCTTTATCGCGCACATCAAGTTCAACGGCCTGCAGCAACAGCAGCAGCAGCAGCAGCCCACCACCACCTCGGCGTCCGCCGTGGAGACCCAGCTCCCAGAGATCAAGACCGTCGCCCCCAACGAGAAAAAGATCACAGCACTGTTCAAGATCCCGTTCGAGATCAGGGAGTCCGATTCTGTCCCCAGAGGCGGCAACGTGAGCATCTCCTTTGACAAGAACTTCCTCACCCTCACCGACGCCGGCATCGACAACGGCGACATCGTCTGGACCTTTGACTCCCTCCAGACGGGCAACACCCAGATCGGCGTCCTCATCGGCGGCGGCATCGCCACCTTTGTCCTCCAAAAGACCTACGACGTCCGCATCGAGGTCCTCGCCGACGAAGCAAAGACCAAAAAGGCCACCCTCTCCGCCGCCTCCACCACTACCTCCATCGACCCAGCCTCGGCCGGCGAGATCCTCTCCTGGACGGGCTTCGTCAACATCGGCCTCAACCTCATCCGCGCCCAGCACCCCACCGCCCGCCTCCTCGAAGCCGACGCGACCCCCATCGGCCGCGACCCCGTCAACGACCCTCTCGCCCTCTCCCGCCTCCGCGTCGTCGCGGGCCTGGACGGCAACCAGAGCGCCGTCGTGCAGTCCACGGGCTGGGGCGAGTTCGGCAGCGTGCAGGTGATCCCCGGCCTTCCGCTCGACGACGTCGCCATCGCGTGGCCTCTGAAGCCCGAGCTGGAGCTCACCCAGGCGTGGGACATCTTGCAGAGGTCCGGGTTCAACGGGCTCGTTGATGCTGTTACGCTGAGGCAGCCGCTGTTTCCTGGGATCGATCAGGTGTTTTACATTTTTACTTCGGGGCCCGAGTTTTTCGGGGTTGGGGTTACGGATCGGAAGGTGCATCGGTTCTCTTCGGGGGGGCGCGAGGTGCAGCTTGCCAACTGAGGAGAGGATGTGACGGGATGGTGTCAAGGAGAGTGGTGGGAAGTGCCCTTGAGTCGCAGGTTGAGTACTATGTTTGAGGGTCGAGGAGGTCTGATAGGATAGTTATCTATTTTGTCCCGACTACAAACGATTTCAGCTACTAGTAATTGCTTCAGACTATGCGCTTGCCAATGCCCTCTTTGGCACAGCAAGATTGTGTGACGACGTCCTTATCCAGAGGTTGACATCATATTTTCCATCCGCCGATGATCTTTGGGGCAGGGCAAAGTGAAGAATGAATAAAACAGCGGTCTTCCATTCTTTTGTTGATGGAAGGCGGGTAGCTGGGGATGGATCCCCAGCTCGATAGGGGCTTTGCGAAGAAGAGTATTTGATTCGGCTTCTGCTGTTCACATGTTGAAGAACTCCATCCCGATCATAACATCTTGATGGCCTTGTGGGGTTGTCAGATGCGCCCAGTTGTAGCTTGGTGGTGGTGGTGGTAGTATTAACCCTATGAGGACTGTCCGCAACCACCGCCGTCAGAGCCGACTCGAGAACTGCCCAATCCACGCCCGTCATGTCTTTCTTTTATGTATTCGAGATAGGATACTCAGAAAGTAAATTAGGATCAAGGACAGTAGAAAGACTACTTTCGAGGTGAGAGGGACCACAGGAGTAATAGCCGAGGTCTGGACTTCAATATCGATGGCGATGATCCTCTTTGACTTGTCGCTTCAATTCCATCGATCCGAAGCTATTCGCCGACAAGAACAACAACTGGGGCAATATCACTACTTACGTGCTTGGAGTATCTCGCTATTTACGTAGTATTGATAAAGAACATAGGCTCTGAGGGATCTCGTTTCCGGTACGCATGGTCTTCGCCAGAATTAACCATAATATCCTGCGCTGAGTGAGGCGCTTCACGCCGTCTACCACACCATCTCGAAGGCCGTTCGCCGATTCCGACTTCGAACCAGAGTCCTACGGCAACCTCTCTGTCGACTGGAAGAAAGGCCTCGGCATGCCGTCTTCGACTCCTGGAGAAGAGGGCGAGGGTGAACTGGAAGCGTTCGCGTTGAAGACGAGCTTAAGATGCCACCAATTCTTGAGCCCGTTTTGAAGGCATAGTGGTAGTCTTAACCTACTACTTCACTACGCGGGTAAATGACTGTAACTCAATCTAAAGAGTACGCACGTTGCTACAACCATGACTTCGAACAACCAACGCCCGGATAACGATATTTTATGCTTCTGCTCTGGCCGAGAAGGCATTAGAGTATCGGCTTCGACTGGGCACCGAGTCATTATCTTTGGTAACACCGGGCATGAGAAGAGAGACAATATTCGATACATATCGTCATGTCGCTGTAAACCGCGTGAGATATTGCCGGATTAGCTGAGTCATATAGACGTAAATAGCACAAAAACTCCAGGCTATATCCGTCATGCTTCCCAATGCCCCCCCCTCCGCCCTAATTGACCCCACCACCTACCCAGGTACTCAGACATGTGTACATGTATCCTTGCTAACCGTGGTTCATCATGCTCGTCGAAAAAAAATCATCGTTGCTGGCCAATCCCTCACAATCATCATACTCGCAGCTCAACCGCAATCCTATCATCCTTATTCACGACTTCCTCCTCACCCCCCTTGCGTCTCCGGCTCAGCTCGCTTTCGGCAATGGACCGAATCAGCTGTATCGCCAGTTCCGTGCCCCTGGAGACGGACACCTCGGACGCATCGGACGGCACGTGGAGGAAGGTCACCCTGCGGTGCTTCTGCGCCTTCCACAGGTGTGCCAGACTGGAGAAGTAGATGAAATCGCAGAGATAGTGCCCCGCGTCTTCGGATATGCGAAGGTCGGATCCCTCCTGGGCAAGGGGTCAGCACTCAACGTCCGCTCCACGGGACCCCGGCGAATGCCAATACTTGACCCTGGGGAAGAGAGACAGAGAAAAAGAAATAAAGGGACTTACCGGGCTGTGATCCTTCCACCGCTCCAGCACATCAGCCAGATCTAACCCCGTCTCAATCTCAGACGGCAAACCGTACCAGACCCAGTCCTCGCCCTCCTCCCTCCGCCTGTCCTCGTCCTCGAGCTTGTTCCCGTCAACGTCCGGAAAAGCGTACCCGTCCCGATGGCCGCGCCGTTCGACAGAGTAGAACAAGCGTGGGCCCGCCATGCCGATGTGGACGGTGGCGTCGATGCGCGGGTGGGTCGCCGGGTCCCAGAGTTGAGGCACCAGGGCGCGGACGTTTTGGTAGTTTACGCGGATGGCTTCCGGATGGACGAGGATTCGGACCGGCGGAAGGGGACGAGAGGAGGAGAAGGAGGAGGAGGAGAATGTGGTTGAAGAGCGGTGGTCTTTTGGGTTCTTGGCGCGGAGGGGCGGGAGGTACGCTGGGAGAGAGTGGGCGATCTCCCAGGATGGGTTTACAGGATACTGAGCTTTAAAGGGCTGGAATTGAACATTGATTAGTATTGGAAACAGTACTTCTTTCGGGAAGGGAATGAGTGTTCTCAAGGAGCCATGCGCGTCGTCCGTCGTCGGTTGCGATGCGATGCCCGGGTACACCGCGGCGGGCATGGCGGGGTAGGAAAGGAGGGGCAATCGGGGGAATGGGGCGGCGCGGGTGGAGATTTGGAAAACGTACGCCGAAGCCGGTGACGAGCACCGTGAACTCGTCTTGCGAATCAATTTGCGACCCCATCGCGAACGGCGCGGGTTTCGGTCGGGTGAAGGAGAGGTGGTGAGGAAAAGGGAATACGTCAACGAAAGGAACTGGTGGTCGTTCGGGACAAAAACCACGCGATCATTCATACGTGGGGGAAAGGATGGGGACGGACGATCTGTCTCACGATGCCCTTTTGTACTCTTCCCTCCAGTCTCCTCCCCTCCCCCCCGTTCCATTTCCCCCCCCTCCACTGCTCTGATGCGGGTGACATCCGCCGGCGCTGGATGCGCTGTGAAAGGGTGGTGGGGTCTCAGCGCTAAGGCACCCGGTGCAGACGCCGTACAGGGCCCGCGCTCACTTGCAGCAGCAAGGGCGATGCGGGGCACACCCGGGGCGTCTTCCAGTTTCACCGCAGCGGCCCGCCTTCCATTTTGCAGACAACACACAAACGGGACCACACGACGCAGTGCTTCATCTTACTCCGTCGACGACTGATTCTCATTCTCATTGCACCTTTACGTCATGGCAAAATGCTTCCAATGTGGTTTTCCCTGGACAGCAGGTATTCAAAGGGTAGGTTGACAGACGGTGGTGCAGATGAGAATCGTGGCACGGGTCAGGCAACGTGTGGTTACAACGGCGTATAAGACATGATTTTTGACCTCACCAGGCGATCCTGGGGCTTGGCAATGTCGTGCTACGAGAAGGGCATCTGGAGAACAATTACAAAACATGATTGGCTGGCATCCAGACTGACACAGCTGAAAAAGGTAAACTCGGCGGTGAGGAGCTAGGATGATGGTGCGAACCTTGGATCTTGCACAAGTCATGACTGAATCGAAACGGGAGAAACATCCAGAAACTTCGTTATGGCCCGTTGATCCTGGAGTCTAAAGGTATCTGTGCTATTCTGAAATGGCCCGTCGCCTGACGGGCGTATATCGACGCCCTCTAATGCCGTAAGTGCAGTGCACCCTCTGTGGTGCGGGTATCAAACCATTTGCCATCATATCCAGCCGCAGCCGAACCAAATCATTAGACACTCGACGGAGAAAAGACACATCAGCTCGATACTGACCGCGGCTCGTCGAGCATCCTCAATCCTCCCGTGTCGTCATATTCTACGCGCTCTTCATTCACAGCCCTTTGCATCTCATCTCGGAGAACTGTCCTCTCCCCCGTGACGGGATCCCACTCCCATCCTTCACGCATCCACATCCACCGTAGACACGCCCGAAGCTCCTTGTCGTCGGGTCGCACTCTCATCCACTCGGGTTGGAAATTAGGCGCAGCGCCCTTGCCGTTCCAGTCTTGGGCCCGCCCCAAAAGCTCGTCGCGACAAAAGATTCGCCAGCTGTCGAGGGCGTATTTGCCCTGGGTGAAGTGCCCCATTTCCCAGGCATCGTCGGCATCTCCAGTAGTAGGCGTTTCAGACGAGCCTTGATCGGTACTGTTGTCGGGTCGAAGTGTGCTGGCCTCGATGTCTCTCTTATCGTACTTCTTCACTCTGTAAACAACCCCTCCTGCCGGGGGCTTCTCGAGCCAGACTCGAGCATACCGCTGTATCGCCGCCGTCCGTACAACAGAAAGCCCCAAATGATGGATCATATTCATGATGATGGGTGTCGCCCGTGGGTCAGCCAAGGCAGCAGGCGTTGGGAAGCGTTCCTTGACCTTGTAAAACGTGGGGATGGCCAGCGTCCCAGCGGTCTTGACGAGGAAGGTCACCACCACAAGCAGCCAGAACGGTTCGTGAGCAAACTCTTCTTGAATCAGACCGAATTTAGGAGCCGAAAGTCGCGGAAAGGGGATTGTGGATACAAGTCCAGCGCCGCGTTTCGACCTAGGAGACTGCTTGGCTGGTGATGGCAGGCTGAAGAAGGGAGATTTGACGGCCGTCTTCCGCCTCGGCGAAGGCCCGGAAAGATTTAGTCCTCGGACTTGATCGGGCTCAAATCCTCGGAGGACAATAATTCGGACGAGTTCATCCGAGACGGACTGCTGCACGGGGTTGGCCAGGTTGGCGTTTCTGCCCGAAGATCCCTGGCTATCTGCGGGCCGTTGGCTTTTAAAGCGCCGGCGTCATCATCATCCGCTCGGCGAGCCGCACAAGTGGCGTTCTGCGCCTTGCTGCTCGACGGCGTTGGCTCCGCCGGGGTTTGTACGGTAGTGTCATTCGGGGCCTCCTTTTCAAGTGACTGTTTGCGAGGCGTGACATTGGGTGTGGCGATACCGTTGCGGATGACTGCCGGAGTGTAGGCGCGAGCCGCGTCGGCGGCGAACGGAGATGGTGCTGGCTGTTCTGGCCGGTTGCGTGGCGATTGTTCGCCCGCGGGAGGCGCGAAATAGTGAGATGTGGATGGTTTGGGAGCGATTCTCCGTCGCTTGACTCGTTGATTGTTGGGTTGGGCGTCCTCATCATCGTTCTCCTCCTCATCTTCTCGTCCGCGCTTGGTGACGCCTTCTCGCTTGAGAATTCGCTCCCGTTTGATGGCAGCAGGTTGGGGTTCAACAGCGATGCCTGATCGATGAACCCGCAGAAGCGTGGCCAATTTTTTGATGGACTGGTCAGTCGCTGCCCAACCTTGACGCAGCTTGTCGGCGGCTAGCGTGGCATCTTTGACCCGCGGGACGAAGGCTAGAAGATCCCGTGCATCGAGAGGCGAGCTGATTGGGCTCTGCTCCTTGATTGAGGCCGCACTCTCAAGCATCAGGTTCCAATCCTCGTATCCGCTGAACAGGCCGAGATCGTATACAGCCAGCTTCTCATCCCACGGGGTGCCGGGTGCAGCGAGTACATCGAGTAAGAATGGCTTGTCCACTTCGGGGACGTCGAAGCCGACGAAGACGTCGTCTGCTAGTGTATGCGCCATTGCTGATGATGTGGATGGACTGACGCGGGCGAATGAAGCGGATGCTGTGGTGTGAAGTTTGTGTGTGGTAAGGTATGGTATGGTGTGGTGTGAGTGACGGATGGAATGAGAAGGAATGAGGTTTTTTCGCGAGGTTGCGAGGAGTATTTGGGAAGGAAGTGAATTGTTCCGGAGATAGGTCTGAGGTATAGGGCAGTGAACTGAAAATAAGTGAGAAGCACCTGAGGTTGACTTGAGCCTACGACGTGAACGAAGATCCAAAGGGGTTGAATTACTTCAGCTGCCTTTGAAGTGAGGCCTGGGGGGCCGCTGAGGACGCCATTGTATGCTGTGGGCGGTCAATGGCATTCAATTGCAGCGTCAAAGGACAAAACAAATGAATGCAGGCAGGCAGGTGCAGGGGAAGAAACACGGCAAGGCAGGTGCGAAGGACGGGGAGTATTCCGTCCGTCGTTAGCAATGGCAACGGCGCTGGTGAGGTGAAGCCGGGTCTGTTTTTAGGAGAGCGTTTCTATTAAGCAGGACAAAAACCTGCTGGAGGTGTGGTTGTTTAGCCTCATGCGGATCCCCCTGGCTCGCCAGGTCCCCTTTTTTTCCCTTTCAGTGTCATCGCCCGGGAGGCTTGTGTGGCTTTGACGCTGATTCTACGGAAATAGGTAGGTATGTCAACCGGTCGCTGGCTCATGGCGACTGGATTGAAACATCTGGGCTGCCGATCAAAGAAACGGGAGCTCATAAACGGCGGCATTCGCGTGAAAGCCATGGACGCGGTGGCTTGATGACGCTCGTGTGGTCCTTATTTGTTCATGTCGCTGACCAACAACAGCCGACCCCAATACCTACACGTATTTCCAAGCATGACATGAAGGGTGGGAGTTCCTGGCCTGTCACTGCTGCAGAGGGCCCTGACGATTAACCAGGTCGGACCAGCTTATTGGAGATCACCTCAGTACATGGCACAGCCAAGACGCCTAGCAGTACTAGAAGCAACTGTACAAGTTCCAAGCCCCCCTCCCGAACAGTTGGTGGTTGTCCAGGGGTGCCTCACCCAGAGCCTCCTCCTCGCCTTCCCCAGATTATGCGATAGGAGAGATAACCTGGTTGGTAGGCTGCTACCTTACCTTCGGTATCGCATTGATCAGATTACGCAATCTGGGACCCAATCTTGTGACTTGTACAAAGGTCCACTCATTGACCTTTTTCGCCGGGGTGATTAGATTGCCAGGAATGGGCGACGGCGATTCCCAGGAAGCAAACAGTGCATAAGAATAGGCTGCTCGAGCGTGTTCCGTGGTGACCGCGAATGTTCGCATTGATTGTAGAAAGTGGATGGCGTGCTCAGGCACTGGTGGCTTCTCCAACTTTGTCCAGCGCGTGCGGTGTGGTGGGTGGTATCTACGACTTTGGACGCATGTGCCTTGATTTACTCGGGGAACGCAAAGGTGCCTCAAATTGGGCGAGTCCCATCGAGGCTGGTAACCATTCCCGCTGGAAATGCTGGAATTATCAAGGCATGAGCATCTGGCACCGTTACCATCATGCCAGCATACCAGCAATTGGTCGCATTCTTTCCTTTTGAGGTGCCCGGCCACCTTCAGCGTACAGTGAGATGTTGCAAGTGCGTGAACCTCTCAGTAAGAGCGACCCTAAGAGTGGCAGTGACATGAGCCAGCCAAAGTCTATCCGGCGATTGTTGTTTTAGTGAGCGGAGACCGAGATAGGCATTCGGTGCTGCGGGTGCGCTTTCGCCCTCTGGCAATCTGGTTGTCTGCCCGGGTGCCACGTCTGCGGAAAGCCGAAGCGGGTACGTATCGCCCCCCCAGTGCAATTGTGTGCTACTGCGGCCTGCCTTCCACTGTCCCAGTGTCCTTCTATGACGGGGAACGCATGATGAGTGGTCCGCCGCGTGACGGCCTGTGGGGCCCGTCATGTCACGTGGGCGCCTTTGCCCAATCCTTGCCTCCCGCCAGCCGGTCGCCTCATTTACTGCCTACTCCCCATTTTCGCTGTTCCTAAGAACTTCCAGATCCTATTCCAACATCCGTCCATCCCTCACCACACACCCCCCCAGCGCGTCCTTGTCCTTTTCTCGAGCGTTCACCAACCCGAATCGAACACTCTCAGCGTCATCCGAGCATCGAGAGATGAGTAGTCGCGGCGGTAAATTAGCCCCCGAAGTCAACCGGTAAGTCCGAATTCTTCCAATCGCGAATCTGCCTACTCGGTACATCTCTGCATCTTTTCCCTGCCTGGCCGCACACGACATCCGGCCCGCCGGCCAAGGTCACCCCACGGCCCATGCCGACCACCTCCGTCCGGCCTCGCCTAGTACCTACCTCGATCCTACCCCGTGTCCCGATGGATACCACCTGGCTGGCGTGCTACTTGATGAGAGAGACATGGCTGACTGGTCGTTGTACAGAGCTCTGTTCGTGAAGAACTTGAGGTAAGCCTCACCCAAGCCTCGAGATTGACCCACGCGACAATCGACATCAATGACTGACACCAATATAGCTACAACGTAACTCCAGAGGAGTTGTTTGACCTGTTTGGAAAATTTGGCCCAATTCGGTACGCACCTCTTGTCGATGACAAACATCGCCATCCTCGAATATCGATACTGACCCCTACCTCAGACAGGTCCGCCAGGGCATTGCGAGCGGCACCAAGGGTACCGCCTTCGTCGTCTATGAAGACGTAATGGATGCGAAGCAAGCTTGCGACAAGCTCAACGGCTTCAACTTCCAGAACCGATACCTCATCGGTATGCTACCCGTCGATCCCATCCAACAAGTGTGGATCCATGCTAACTTGAGTAGTTCTGTATCACCAGCCAGAGAAGATGCTCAAGTCAAAAGAGGACCTCGAGGCTCGCCAGGCTCGTTTAGCGCAGCTCAAGACACAGCACGGTATCGATTGACAATCCGACGGGTCTGCGGCACGCCTCCAGACACCCACCTCGTCTGCAGGCCCGTCTATTTCTTCATCTAAACGAACCACTTCTCCGGATCAGAAGACGATCCTCAGAAAGGGCAAGCCGACCATCACCGGGCACGCACCTAGAACCGGTGTACGATTCGCCGACGGAGTGCTCCCCAACTCGCTCCAGGCCCAGACTTGCGCTTGAGATGGTGGGTCGTCAAACATGACCCGCCAAAAATTTCAAGCTTTGTTCTGGTCGGGGTTCTTACGGTGCAGAGACACGCGCAACTTTTCTTGTTCGCTGGTTTTGGCTTGGCAAACGCCCGAAAACTCACTCAACCTCTCCTGGAGAGTATCACGACCTGATATGAATCTTGTGCGATGGCAGGGGCGATTAGGGGACAGGAAACCGGATTGAGCCGTCCGTGGACTTTGACAAAAAAAAAAACTCAACAGTTCTCGGCGGTGTTGTTTTATATCATATTTTTGTTCTTTCCTTTTTGCTGATTTGGGAAACGGAGGGGGGCGTATTACCTCAACTTGTGGATCACCATCCTTCGACACTCTTCACACACAATAGGTTGCTACCAGAGAATGCATGACAACCGAGGCACTGGCCTCGTGTTCCTCCTCCGTATGCTGGCCCGTTTTGACTATTTTGAGCTGATGCTTCGCGGATATCGTAGTGAATATTGAGTATCTCATGTGCGTATGTTCTCCAACGTCGTAACCACCCACTCCATGAGCTGGCCAGCTTCACTGCTGGACATGTCGTCTTTGGCCGTAAGACATCTTTCCACCACTTGCTTGTAAAGCTTTCCGGTCTTGCTCCCCAGTCCTGGAACCAAGACTGGCAAGACGACCCTGTCCCTCCACTTCTCCCCCGAGTAATGCGGCTTGTAGTACGTTTGCAGCACCTTCCACAACCCAATCTCCAACAACACCAGCCCGAGACTGTACACGTCGTAGCCCTTGCAGTACTGCCTCCTGCCAAGGCCGGTGCCCAGCGACCGCGGGTCCCTGTGGAGGTTGAGGATGCTGGGGTTCCGCGGGCTGACGCTCATCTCGGCGTCAAAGTCTGGGCGGGAGGCGTCGAAGCCGACGAGGTAGGGGGAGCCGACGTCCGGGACGACGGCGGCGGAGACGGTGGCTGCGCGGGTTGCGGCGAGGGAGGCGGCGGAGGGGAAGAAGAGGATGTTTGCGCTGCAGAGGGACTTGTGGAGCCAGTCTAGGGAGTGGAGGGACCAGAGGGCGCAGGCGAGGGTTGATGCGAGGGTGATGCGGTCGTCTAGGTCGGGGGTTTTGAGGTCTGGGGAGGAGATTAGGGCGTGGAGGGTTGAGTGGGATGTCGCTGCTGGCTGTGCTGCTTGTTCTGGTGCTGGTGCTGGCTGTGGTGGTGGTGGTGGTGGCGCTGCTGCTGCGGTAGTGGTCTTGGTCTTGGTCTTACTCTTGGTGACGGGAGACGAGGGCGAGAGCGAGAGCGGGTTCGGGGACGGGGACGGGTGAGAGAGGGGGAGGGGCGGACAGCGGTATACGAGGCCGTAGCGGGCATTGGCCGCGTCGTCGGTGTAGCCCACGCAGTCGATTGTGTGCAGGTCCGGGTGGTTGGAGGAGGCCGAGTGCATCATGCGGGCGAGGTCGTCGAGGCGGCGGAGGTGGAGGAAGCGTTCGTCGGGGGAGGCGGGGTCGTATTCGACCCATTCTACGAGGACGGGGCCGTGGGCGATGTGGGTTGCGTGGGTGCGGGTTGCGGTTGCTGTCAGCGTCAGGGAGGAGAGGAGGTTGGAGGAAGAGGCGGAGGGGGAGGGGGATGTCTTTGCGGTGGAGGAGTTGCGGCGTTTGGTTCCGGTGCCGGGGGACGGCGTCGTCAGGGGTGGTGAGAGCAACGGCGCTGGCATCGGCGTCGGCGTCGGCGTCGGGGAGGAACAAGAGCCGAGGTCGAGGTCCGTACGGGGGATCCTAAAGGCAAAGGTCGGGCGGAAGGAGGCCTGGGGTTCAGCGTCGAGGTTGATGCGCAGCTTTTTGAGGTTTGCCGAGGCGGTGAGCTGCGGGTACGAGTCGGCAGAGGAGGACTCGAGGAGGGCGAGCTGGGCGACGTCGCGGCGGGCCGAGTCGAGGAGAGAGTGGCGCCAGGACCGGTGGAGGGAGGGGAGGAAGCGCGGCGGGAAGAGCTGTTCCAGGCCATCGTTGAAGTCTTTTGGATATTTGTTAGTATTGCTTTGACTTGGGTGAAGTTGTTTTGAGATGAGATATAATATCTGGCTTATATCATTAGTATGCTGGAGGGGGGGTTGTTCACCTTTCAAGTCTTTCAGCAAGGCCGTAAACTTTTCCTTGTCTATCATATAATCATCAGCAACCTGGCAACACACATATACTCTGGAAGGAATAGGAAACTTGACAGCAACGTACCAGCAATAACCCACTTGGCCCTCTTCGAAATCTCCTTCTTCCAATCCCTCCTCTTCCCTTCCACCCCCTTCTCACCAACACCACCACCACCACCACCACCACCACCATCACCGCCGGCCCCAATCCGACCCCCCTCGGCAACATCCTCCACGAGCCCATACCGCTCCTTCAACCGCCCAAAATCCGTCACCGTGGCATGCAACTCCCTCATGATCCCCTCCGCCAACCCCGCCATCCGCGGATCGCCCGCCTCCCTGCTGACGCGCAGATGCGCCTCCAACCGGCCCTCGGCGACGCCCCACTCGCGGCCCCAGACGACGAGCCGCATCTCCTCGATGCGCACCTTGCACAGCAGCCGCTGCGAGTCGGCGTCGAGGTTGGCCGCCGCCGAAAAGTACCCGTACGCTTTCACGCAGCCGTCAAAGAGCTGGCCTAGGAAGCCGACTACGCCAATCGCTGTGCCGATTGCTTCGGCCATGATTTGGGGGTGGGGGGGGTTTGGTTGGGTTACCACCAGGAGGGTCGTTTTGTTTTAATCCTTTGGTTGCTTTGCGCGCTTTTCTTTCTTTCCCCCCCGGCTATGGTCTGATGGTCTCTTTTGACAACTTCCTGGGGCAAGGTAGGTGGGTGGATTTGCTACTGCCCCTTCTTCGACTGACTGCAACGAGCTCGTCGGATATCGCTTTAAGAGGGATCCGGGCCTATCTGAGGTGCTGCTTGTGTTGTTGTAGCTTAGCCGTCCTATGATGGATATGTTCAACAGTGGCTCGATGTTTGAGAGAGAGAGAGGAGGCGAGGTGTGAGGTTACACCGCTTTCTTCAACAGTGGTACTGTCTCACGATATCCCAGGCGTGTCCAATGTGAAGCTCACCTCATGCGGGTGAAATGAACCAAATCGAGGTGAACGAGTGAGTCCCAAGCTCGAGTTGAAAATTTCAAAAAATGAAAGGGGTGGAATTCGAAGTTTAGATTGGTCGAGAAACCAAAATCAGGAGAGTCGGAATAAGTAAGCGACAGACAATGATGCCAGTCGTCAACGGCTTGCATACGTTCCTCGAGGGGTTTCTTAAAGACCTGCATATGATCCACTTCAAATCTCACCCAATAGCAAAGAGCCTAACCGACGGTTGTGTTCCCCCTCACGGGACGGACCAGAGAGCCACCTTTGATGCAAGTCACCCACGAGCGAGGAACCAATTCCAGCCCTCTTCGTCTTAGTGCCGGAGGTTGGCTGACGCCTGCGACCAGGATTAGGGGTGTGGTCGAACGCTCTTAGTCCACTGGGTCGAGCTCCTGCCTATGATGGTTCAGCTGCAGACACGATATAACAAGATGTCCAGAGACACCAGAGTCATGTATGAACTTGAATGTATCTTCTCCATTTCCTAAGCGCGCCGCTTAAACTGTCCTTTTCCACTATTGAACCCTTTCTGTGTCTACCCATCATGTATGTGCAGCGATGTGATCCCATAGACCCACGCCCAAAAATGCAACTGCAGTGCGGGGACGAAGTTGCAAGCCTTTTGAATGCCGTTCGTAATGCCAAGAAAGCGACCTAATGATATCGGTCGTCTTTTGTATTCTCCTTCCCAAAGGTATGTCAGCCCTTTCGAAAATGGGCTTCGTGATTTCCTCCTTAGAAGACCTTCTCCTAGTAAACCTTCTTCTTCTCGTCGATGGAGAACTGGCCAGGGCCAGCGTTGACGAGCAGGAGGAGACCACCGACAATGGACAGGATCTGGAAGAAGTCGTACTTGGCAAAGTCCTTGTGGGGGTGGTGCTCGTGGAGCTGCAGATCATTAGCATACAAACAAGGGGCATTCCGAGAGACTTGGAAGAGCTTACGGTCCAAAAGTTGTTCACAAGGATGTTGAAGATGCTCAGAATGAGGACCAGAAGGGTGGCGCTGAACTTGGCCTTGAAGCCAACAACCACCATGACGCAGGCAACAAAGCCAACCAGGGAGGTGATGATGCGCCAGACGGACCAGGAGCCGCTGAAAACGAAACCGACGAAGAGGAAGATGAGCAGGACACGGCCAGCAAGCTGGAAGTACATCTTGCGGTCCTTCTCGTCAAGCTGGGGCAGACCAGCAAAAGCCTTGGTCTTGCGAACCCACGAATCGGAGAGGACCATGAGGAGACCACCAATGACGGACAGGTTGCGGAGGAAGAAGTTGAGGTCGAAGATCAGGCCATATCCCAGAGCCTGTGTGATGACGACGCCCATGAGGCCGGCGACTGCGTAGTCGGAGTACTTGCGGATGATCACGAGGGTGGAGCATGCGACCATGGCGAGGACGTTCACGATGAGGAACAGGTGGGTAATGCCCGAGGGAACTGTACAGGATTAGCATCCAATTGGTGGCGCATATATCGTAGGCTCGCGGACGTACTGTGGCGGTAGTCGTGGAGGTAGAGGAGCTGGTCGCCCCATTGCGTGATGATTCTCAGAGCATCCTCAAGGAAAGTGACAACGATCAGGAAACGACCAATGGCCGGCAGGTAACTACCGAGGAACGTTAGCCGACAGGAGGCTCATGCGATGACGAACTATCTGACAGCTCCCTGTCAAGACGCCGAGGGTCCAACTCACGGCTTGAGGGGCTCGCTGAGGGTGTCCAACATGTCCTCAATCTTGCTAGTCTGTTGACGGATCAAATCCAAGGGACTGGACTCAGAGCTGTCGGCACTGGGGCCGCCAAAGGAGGCCGAGGGGCCACCGGCACCCAAGCCGTAGGAAGGGCCTCTCTGTTGAGCCATCGTGGGGAGCGGGAGATCGACGGAGGGAAAAGGTTCGTGAGAGAGAAGTGGACGTGGCTGTTGCACAAGAAGGTACAGACAGACCAGCTGTTCGATCTGGCGACTTTATTTTTTTCGAGTCGTCGTCGTCGTCTTCGTCGTCGTCAGGAATGACGGAATTTTCTGGTGGAGGGACGGGGGTCTGAACCGTCAGGTGAAAAAGAGGGTTAACCGCAATTGAGATCCGAGGGCTGGCCTTGACCTTGACGTTTCGGCAAAGGTAATTGGGGGGGAAGGTTTGCGACGAAGTAGAAAGACAGAGGGAGAGCAAAGGATTGGCAAAGGTAGCCCGTTGGCGCTCTGGGAGAGGTTGTCGAGGCAGGCCGTGAACTTTGGATGGTGCTAGCTGGGGTTTCGGAAAAGAAGGGGAGCAACTTTGTAGTGATGTAGGGAACGAAATGGAGAAACCGGAGGGCAAGCTGGCCTGAATGGCGTGGATGACTTCAGATTTGGTACAATGTGTCCTTTCGAGCCTCCCGCGATGGCTGCTCAGTGCTCAGAGGACCGAGGTACCCACTTTTTAGACAGGGCACCCAGAACGGGTAGGTCGCTGGGATGTACCTGCACCTTCCTTCGGTACATGGATCTTTGCCGTGGTCACCGGCTCCCGCGCAGGTACTCCTGGAGGCAACAAGTACCGGCCACACACACACCCGACACCCTCGCTTGTCTCCGGCTCCAGCAGCAGTGCAGCACCAGCAGCAACCTCCACTGTATTCGCACTTTATTAACAGCGTGACAGCCACCTCCAGCTCCGTGGTCACTGGTGCCCTCGGGTTACAGTTTAAGGCACGTATCCGCAGGCGGTGGGCTGCAACCATCGGTTTGAGCCACTGAGCTCCTGCCGCTTGCCCATGCTTAACTCGTGCGTCTGGGTGGTTGGTCCCTGCACAGCTCTGTCCCTGAACTCGGCACGAACGCCTAATTCTTTTTAATTTTCTCTCTTATTGTTTCCGAGTTCCGTGAGTACAGGTACCTGGGTAGCTCTAGCTTCAACCCGCTTTTGGCCGTTGTGTGTTTCACGTTGGCTGCGAGCGTGGATTCCGTTCAAGTTGAAATCGAACCGGCAGAACATTCTACCTTGATCTGACAGAGAGGTTGAGTGCCTAACTGCTTGGTGACGACTGAAGAGCTCTTTCCAAGTGCAATGAATCGGACGTGGTGAGTTGTCAACTTCTCATCATGCTTGGACCTCTGAGCTTCTTCGGCCTGATTGGCAGGCCATCCCTTGCCTCGTTTGCAACCTTCCTTTACTGGTTGGCGGCTTCTTGAGGGAAAGCTGTTATCGACAGACGCAGCTTCGGTTCATGTTCTCGCCAACTGCCCTGTTGATTTTCCAGTATCAGTATACTCATGAGCACTCGAATGACAATCGAGCCCGAGGTTCGTCGGATCTTTCGGTTAGGAGAGGATGCGCTACATAATGGCATAGTGAGGCGAGTCAGTCGAGCATTAATCTCGACTGTCTGTGACGCCCGGACTTTGTTCCTTGCCAGGCCACCTGACTTGACCAATTGGCGGGATAGAAATGCTTGGCAGAAGGTTTACCGACGTGTTTGCAAACATGTCGAGGGATTTCAAAAGGAAGAGTAAACAGCTCAGACACGTCTCTTTCGTAGGGTGAGAGCCGTCTGCAAAAGCCTGCTGACAATTAATAGAAACTCCAAGCCTTGAGAATCTCCATCAAACCTCAATCCCCCTCATTCACCGCCGGCTTCCTCCCTCAGACAGAATATCTAGTCTCAGTCAGCAACTTCACGTGCAGATCCCTGCCGTCAGACTTACACCGCAAAGTGCGCGTGATTATTCTGGTGATTGATATTCTTCCGTACGTCGATGAGGAAGACCAGGACCGCCTCTCTCGACCACCCGTGTATCCGCGTAAAAGGCGCCATAATGAAGCCCTCCTTACCCATAGTCAGGTTCTTATTCTGCCAGACACCAACCTCCTTGTACTTATGATGCCGCAACCAAGAATTCGTCGGTCACTTGTACCTCTCCAGAGCGACGTCGCGGAACCCGATCCCAACCATCATGTCCCTGAGCTCCGGCGTGTCCTGGTAAGGGCGGCTTAGCTTCCCCATGGCTTTGCCTAGGAGTTTCAGGGATTCAGTAAAGGCGAAGTCGGGATAAAGTCCATCTCATTCAGCTCGAGGTAGCCACCCCCGGGTGTGAGACTGCTGAGGGTGTTAGTCGAGAAGAGCCCCCGTATTGACGAGGTAAGGTACGGTCAGAGTTTGTCCGGAAGCTTAGAGCAAGAAACACCGACCTAGCCTATCATTCTCTCTCTCATCGTTGGGATAGCTATATTCTATTGTTGTCAGAAGCGCTATTCTTGGACTGCCCAATTGCGGTGAAAGGCCGAGCGGCTTACCGGTCGTATTGGATGTTGATGAGATAGTCGTTCGCCCCCCTACTCAGTTTAGGGCTCGCATTGAGATGCTGTCGGATACCACCGTACTTCTTTTTGATGGCCTCCTACAAACGGCTGTGGGCATCTTGAGGTGGTCGTACGTATAGCCGTGGCTCTTGATCTTTCACGACATTTGGGGTTACGAGGGTAATAACGGTATCAGAGTGGACCGGGTGCAGAGGACCGTCTACCGTCTTATCAAGTGTTGGAGACCCTCCATCGAACCAATGGTCCAGATTAACTTTCTGAAAGATTGCCATTTTTTATTCAAGGCTAAATATGATTCTAGGAAGTAGTCAAAAGGCATTGTCATTCATATCTCACTCCAAATGAACATCGTGTACGTGGTGTGACTGCCGATATCCCATTTAAAAATAGCACCATGCTGGACATTATGCCGTCTTTGGATTACTCGCACTCATCCGGATATTCTTAGTGACTTTCATCTCGTGATGAAGCATTTTACGTTCTTCCAAGCGGATGTTACAGCATGAATTTAGGGGGTTCTTGTTAACGTACTGTGGAGGCAGGATGACGTTGGCAAAGTCCGTATCTGTCCCATACCATATCCTACATTCAAGGTGACAGGTAAACGATGTTCAGTTCAAAATATTCAGGGTAAAATTTCTCTGTTCCGCTTTCTTTCTCGGAGGAGACTGTTATACTGCTGTAGCGTACTCGCCACCAATCTTTTGAATATATTTTCTGGGACTAATACTGCTTATTCCACACATGGAAATACATCAATTGGTGTTTGAATCTTTTCCCCATTTTAAAATACCAGCTCCTCGATTACGACTATACGACAAGAAGCGCATCCAGTACTCTCACTAAAACTTGCATAATATGCGCAAGTCAGTGGCGACCATTCGTAGTGAGGCGGACTTGGAAGAAACAGTACATGTTTTTTGATCTAAATCTGACGATGACTCGGTACGAACCTGCCGCCAAAGTAAAACATAATCCCTTGATTCTTCAAAACTTACAAAAAAAGGCTTCCCGATAACCTAAAAGCAAACCACGCTCTTTCCCGCCATCCTCCACTTACTCCACAGCCATGACCGCCGGCGTCAGGTGCACCATGAGCGGCGGCTTGTTATAGAGGATGTAGACGTCGTGGTCGATCCAGCCCGTGCTCTGGGCGGCTAGCTGGAGGTCAAAGTTCCAAAGGACCTTTGAGAGAATCATCTTCATCTCTGCGTAGGCGAGGTTCATGCCCAGGCAGTTGCGGGGCCCGATGTGGAAGGGCTTGAGGGCCTCGAGGTGGTCGCCGGCGAAGGCCGGGTCGCCGAGCCAGCGCTCCGGGTGGAACTCGAAGGGCTTGGAGAAGATCTTTTCGTTGTGGTAGAGGGCCCAGTGGGCGACGCCGATTGTGGTCTGGAGGGTTGGAGGTGTTGTGTTAGCAGAAGGGGGAACTTAGGAGGGAAGGGGTAATTTTCTTTGTTCAAAGGGACTTGGTTCAGATGCTGGGGGCAGAGCGCACATTTCCGGGGATCCATTGCCCTAGAATCTCTTGTCCTGACGGCGGAGTGATACGTGGTAGCGCGACGGGGACTGGAGGGTACGCTCTCAGGGTCTCCTCGAGGACGGCATGGAGGTACTCGAGCTCGGCGGTGCTGAGGAGGTCAATTTCGTCTTCGTTTTGAAACGAGGTCCTGATTTCCTGCGTAAGCTTGGCCAGCTTGTCCGGGTTGGTCAGGAGGAGGTAGGTGCAGCCCGAGAGGGCCGTCGCCGTCGTCTCGGAGCCGGCGATGATGAGGACGTTTGCGTTTTCGTATATTTCTGCCATGTTCATTGGCTATGACGCCTACTTAGCCTTCGAGAACCGAACAAGACCAGGAGTCTATCTGTCTGTCATATGCGTATGTGTGTATCTAGAGACAAGTCAAGGACATATGCTCACCTGAGCTCCCTTCTTGAGCATGGTTTCCGCAAAGTCAGGTCGTGGCGTGCCGAGAGACACTCTCTCATCGACCTTTTCGCGGACGAACAGCCTGTGCGCCATGCCCTTCCTCATCAAGTCTTTGGGGATAAAGGCTTTAAGGAGAGGTTCGAGGACCTTGAAGCTCCTGGTGATGTTGACCATGCAATTCATCTTGATGCTGGTAAAGATCATCTTGACCCAGGGATGGTAGTCGGACTTGTCGAGGCACCCAAAAGACTGCCCAAAGGCGAGGTCGCCAATTATGTCAAAGGTGGTGTAGTTGTACCACGACACGATGTCGACGGGGCCATTGCTCGAGATGCCGTGGAGCCGCTCGATGAGGAGGTCAACGTACCCCTTGATGATGGGCTGTTGCTCCTGCATGCTCTTGGCGGAGAAGCCGTTGGACAGGATGCGGCGGTAGCGGGAGTGATCCTCACGGTTGGCTGAGATGATGTCCATGTGGTTCTTGTCGATAAAGTCCGGGTCTTTGGCGTTCTCCTCGGTATTTCCCTTGCGGTGGCCCATTATCTCCTTCATGGCGTCCGGGTGCTGGAAGGAGAGCTCGTTGGGCGAGACGCGGACGATCTCAGCGTCATAGTACTGGTGGAGGGCGAGGATCTCCTTGTGCGTCTGGCCGCGGGCGGACATCATCGCGTAGGGGATTCTGGTGGCGGCCCATAGCTTGGGGCCTGGGTATTTGCAGAGGGGATGGAGTGTTACGTTGTAGATGATTTGCAGCAGGAGGCCGATAACGACCTGTAGGCAGGTTAGGTGATTCGCCAAGTGTTGTGGAGGTAGAGTAGAGAATGGATCACGAGGTTTGTTCGGAGTTGTAGACTTACTAGTGGTACTGCTAACAGAGGCCATAGGATAAAAGTCGAGAGCCTTGAGCTCCCGGCTTGGAGTTCCATCAACATCTTGGTTACGATGATACTCAGATGAAATGTTTATGAGAACAGTCAAGAGTGACCCAGTTCGCGCCAATGAACTGTGTGAAATCTCGCAGAGCAGAATAGTAGAGTGTAGAGATAGATTCTTCTCAAATTCCAAAGGGGGAGCTTGAGGGCACTAGAGAATCACATACGCCACTCGGACCGCCTTCATCGACATAAACTTCAGAATGTACGGGTACGAGTACGACATGACACTGTAGCCCCCAAATCCCTACAGATTACAACGGGAAGATGTTAACCATACACTCGCAATTAATTGGCAAAGTATGGTGCCCGCAGGTAGGCCGTCAGCATGCAAACCTCCAAGCAAGATGCAAGCCTTTCTTTCTTCTTTCCCCTCCTTACGCGGAGCCGTCAAGACATCATCTTGCATAACGCAACGAAACGCTCAATGGACAACTTCCTCATCAGTACGAGATGGACCAACTCGCTACATACTTGCACTAAGTCAGCTCCAGCGACCACAGCCCGCCGCGCGTCATATTTCCCCATCATGGATGATCGACTTGGCCCATCGACCATGTATCCTGGGAAGGAACCTTACTCTTTGGAACTTGGTTTTCGTCCACTACTTTGAGGAAGGCTTGAAAGGCATGTCGTTCTCGTCCACAAAACTGTCGGCAATCGACGTGTTGCAGGGAGGTGCGGATGAGGTACGGGTATGCCTGATCCCTCCCGCATCGTGCTGCCCCCGTTTTACGATGAGTGTCATGACAAGTCGTCTCCTTCTAGAGAGGGAAGTTCGGCCCCGAGCTTCGTAAACTCTACGGCATTGACACTGGGGAATTTCTGAGGCTCTGGCGCTCTTGAGGGCATCAAGCCCAAGCAAACTGGACTGGGGGCCGCCGAGTCCATCTTGGCACGGGGATCTGGACCGGCAACCTTTGCCGGGGTATGAAGTCAGACTAAGGTGGTGTCAGTCCGATAAAGCACTGAGAGGGGTTTTCTGACATGCAGCGATACGCGTGATGTTGCTTCTTGGACGTTGCACCGCAGCCCTCCGCCCATGCAGTATGCACATCTCTGCTCTCTGGTTCGAACCGGCAGATGCGCGGGCTTATGGCGGGCCCCGGGTCCCGAGCAGCCGCATCCCTGCCTTCCTCCTCCTCCCCCGGTTTTCTTTTTCCTCTCGTTCATTGTCCGCGTCTGGGCCCGCCTCAAGTCCGCAGCGGGCGGGGGAAACGCGTCACAGAGGCGGGTTCGTCTTTGCGGAGAGGGGGATGAGGTTGGGAGAAGAGTTTTGGGAGCCAAAAATCCTGCCGAAGACCTCGATATCCCCTCCGACTTTCTGTCAGGTTGTGGTCTCAGGAACTCCGCCGACTTCTTTTTCTGCGCCGCCGGACTACGGTGACGGCTGCGGCTACGGTGCCGGCCATCTGTTTGTCTCTTTAGAATGATGGTGCAGCCAGAATACATCGGATGGCGGGCGGCGATTTGACGAACACTTACACGCTCAAGTTCGTTTTATCTGGTAGACACCTCTCAAAGTCACCCGAACCATTCACTACAGTTGCCCTCAATTTTGCGCCCCTACCATATCTAACGCCCAAGAACCACTCGACATCGCTCTGCGGTTTGACGGTGAGAATGCTGGTTAGATTGAATAAGCAACTGTAATGAAACTAGATTTTGCCATATCAGTACCTGGCAGAGAATACGTGTCCATCTGGCGATTGAACTGGTTAAACCAGCGCTTCACACGCCGCACAATATGACTTTACGGCTGCCGGCAAAAACACTACAAAAATGCTCGAGCTATCACACAACCTGTAGATTCTTTGCCAAAGGATTCTTCCTTTTTTGAGGGCATGCAGTCCAAATGATGTTTGAACGAGATTTTTACAATAAGCGACACGATGCAAGATGGCAGTGCCAGCCCAAGTACCTAGACCGATGATCGCCCATCTTGCATCGACTCTGGCGCAGGTCAGCTTCAAATGATACCCCCACCTACCGAAACGGCGACGCAACTCAGCTTGATTCGACGAGACGGCGGATGGCCTGACTATGACGGTGTTCTACATGTCACAATGTGTCGCCCTTGCTGCAAAGCGCTCGACTTGATTGAAAGGCTTGGCGGTTCCCTCTTTTGTCACACAAAAGACTCGGGGTTAGAACACCGTTGTTGTGTAACTGGTGCCGCTGTCTTTCCCAAGTACCGCTATACTCCTGTGGCGTTGTGCCTGATTAGGTAGTCTGCATGAATGAGAGCTCAGCAACAAGACATCAGAATCGCCAAATGGACTATCCTCGAGATGCCACGATGAGAGAGTAAAAGTGTCAGATGGTGTGCCCGACAAACCGTTGCTAACAAAATCCTTATTTTTTTCCCGCACTGAATGCGATGCTCCATATCGCGGGCAGCGACGGCTTATCCACGGCAGGTCATTCCGAAGGGGGGCCACGCCGAGGCGAGGGATCCGAGATCGGGCCACGGGGACCAGGGGGACCGATCGGGATCCCCACCGTACAAACTCATCGGAGGGTCACCGGCTTCTTTCCGTAACGTACCTACGCACCGAAACTCAAACCACTTGCACAACACAAGCGTTCCTTGCGCACAAAAACAAGTCGAATATTTCCATTCATGACGAGCATCAAGTTATATAATTCAGCGTCTCCAGGAAATAAACTCACCACACGCATTACCACTCACGAAACCCTTTAATTCCACCGCAATGGCCTTCACAGTCTTATCAGACAACAACGTGAAGCAACTCTTCCAGAGCTTCGGCCCAGAAGACGTGGCCCGCATGGCAGACGTCCTCACCGACGCCTTCCTCGCCTACTCGGTCGGCCCCGAAGCGCAGTACCAGCCCCACCGCGCCGCCGTCCTCCGGCCCGACGGGACCACCGGCCTCTTCATGCCGGCCACAATGGAAGGCGGCATGTCCGTCAAAATCGTGGGCCTCCCGCCGCCGACCTCGGCCACCTCTGACCTCCGCTGCGTCCTCACAATCTGCGACGGGACCGGCCGGGCCGTCGGCATCATCAACGCCGAGGAACTCACGGCGTTCCGCACCTCGCTCGGCTCGATCCTGCTGTACAGGTACCGCAAGGCGACGGCCAACATTGTCGTCTTTGGCGCCGGGAAGCAGGCGCTCTGGCATCTCCGGCTCGCGCTCGTCCTCCGCGGCCAGGACATCAGGACCATCACCATTGTGAACCGCTCCAAGGAGCGCCCGGCCCAGCTCGTGGCGCGGCTGCAGGCCATGGGCAAGGCCAGCGGCGTCGGGGACACCGACGCGGTGACGTTTACCATCATCGAGGCGGACCCCGACAGCGCGCCGGGCCACGCGCAGCTGCGCTCCGCCGTTGAGGAGAGCGACGTCATCTTCTGCACCACGCCGTCGACGCAGCGCGTGTTCCCGGCGGAATGGTTGACGCTGGAGCGCGGCGCGGCCAAGACCCGGTACATCGCGGCCATCGGGTCGTACAAGCTCAACATGAAGGAGCTCGACCCGGACTTCCTCCGCGCCGTCGTCGACACACCCCTCGGAGCCTTCACCTCGGCGGCCCGGGGGGGCGCCGCCAAGAAGACCGGCGTCATCTTCGTGGACAGCCGGGAGGCCTGCTTCTTGGAGGCTGGGGAGCTGGTGGAGGCCAAGATCCCAGCCGACAAGATCACCGAGGTGGGAGAGTTCACTGATGCGCTTCGCAGGGCGGACGAGACGGAGGCGGGGCTGCTGCGCGAGTGGCTTGAGAAGGGGTTGATTGTGTACAAGAGCGTCGGCATTGGTATCATGGACTTGTCTTTGGGCAAGGTTCTTCTCGAGCTGGCGGCCAAGCATCAGGTCGGCACGATATTGCAGGAGTTTTGAGCTTTTTCTTTCTCTTTTCCAAGTTCAATGCAATCCGGCCCAAATTTCTCATTGAGCACGTCAAGACTATCTTCTGTAGTTGTGGTGTAGGGAGTTGGTTCAGCGTAAAAGTAAAACGACTCGCTCAATAATGGATCTAGTGAAAAGCACGTGGCAAATCATTCATATCATATTTATACCAACTTGCTAAAGCGAATCATTGGAAACTAAGGTATTACTGGGACATCTATTCTCAGACTCTCTCAAGCCTCGTCCATCTTTTCGGAACATGCGTCTGTCTAATACTCTCTTCTTCCCATCTAGAAGAACTTGTAAAAGTCTACCACCTATCTACCTCTAGTCCAGTTGTTATTCCCCTCCTCCTTCTTCTTCACCACCGCCATCTTCATCATCATCTTCTCAGAGCTTTGCGCCCCCCTTCTTCCGACCAAGTAGTCAAAACTTCCCGCGCGGCGCCCGTTGGTACTGATTCGCCCACTTGACTCGCACGCCAATCTCGTCTGCAATCTTGTACACGAAATTCGGCTCCCGCAGAAACTGCCTCGCCACAAATACAGCGTCCGCCTGCGTGACCTGCCCGTGCTCCTCGTCCACCTCCAGCGTCGCCACCGCATTCCCCTGGTCGACGCCGTTGTGGCCCGTCGCCTCGGCGCTCTTGCCGGAGCCTTTCGCCTGCACGATACTCCGCGCCATCTCGCCGCTCGAAATCATGCCCACGGCGCCGATGAATAGCTCTTTCCCTTCCGCCGCCAACGCCTCGCGGATCTTGCCGGCGAGGCTGACCTGGAAGTACGGCGAAATCTTAATCTTTTGCGCCTCGTTGTTGCCGCCGGACGAGACGTCCAGCAGGTCGACGCCGGCGTCCGGAAGAAGCTTGGCGAGCTTGATGGAGTCTTCAACCGTCCACGAGGGTTCGCCGTCGTACTCCATCCACTCTGTCGCCGAGATACGCAGGAAGAGTGGCATGCCGGACGGGATGACGTCACGGACGGCCTTGATGGTCTCAAAGAGGAGACGGGTACGGTTCTCGAAGCTGCCGCCGTACTGGTCGGTGCGTTGCTGGGTTCATGGTGTCAGCAAAACGTTATTGCACGCGCATATCACGATACGTGAGGGGGTTTAAGAAGAGGCCCTGCTAAAAACTCACATTGGTCAGAGGAGAGAGGAACTGTGTCAGCAGGTAGCCGTGCGCGCCATGAATCTCAATTACGTCCACACCGGCCTCGACGGCCCTCTTGGCAGACTCGGTAAAGCTCTTGACCACACCCCGAATCTCCTCAACGGTCAACTCCCGTGGCGTGGCCCAGCCCTCGGTGAAGGGGATCGAGCTCGGCGCGACGCAGTCTTTGGGCCACCCACCATCGCTCTCCAGCGCGAGCCTCTTGTCTATGGTTTCGGCAATCCACGGCGCCAACGTGCTTGCCTTGCGGCCGGCATGGGCGAGCTGGATGCCCACGGCCTGGTTCTGCGAGTGGATAAAGTCGACGACGCGCTTCAGCGGGGCAATCTGAGAGTCCTTCCACAGGCCGACGTCCTCGGGAGAGATGCGGCCGCGCGGCTCGACGCCAGTGGCCTCGATGATGGTCAGCGAGGCGCCGTGGAGGGCGAACTGGCCCAGGTGCACGAGGTGGTAGTCCGTCAAGTGGCCATCGTCGGCGGAGTACTGGCACATGGGCGAAACCCAGATGCGGTTGTTGAGGGTCAGGTCGCGGATCTGGAGAGGCTGGAAGAGCGTCGGGGCCGTGGAGGCGTCGACGGGGGTGCCGGCGGGGGGCTCCTGGGCCGGGGTGTAAAACGGCACGCCTGGGGCCGCCTTGTTAGCAGTGCCGGTCATGGTGTCGTCCGGGAAGGGTCGGTTTCGTGCAGACGTGAATGGAGACGAGGGTGGTAAAGTGGGGATAAGGTGCCGTGTTTTGCGGCGTGCTTTTTCTTTGGTAATGGCTCGTTTGGAAGGGCGGCGGGACGTTTGGCCTGTGGTTTCGAGTTGATGAGATGCTGACAGGCAGGCGGCAGACAGATAGATCTTGGGAGGGTCACCTAGGGGTTTTATCTGCACGGCTAAAAGCGCCGGATCGAACCCCGGGAATCCATATTGCGTTTCGTCACGTCAAGGGCGATTGTCCTGATTTGTCAAGCTTGTCGATGCGGGCTGGGTTGTAACAAACACCTCGGCATCTAGAGGCGATATGGAGCACTTTCTCACTTTTGGTTCAATGCTCCGGGACAGTGGGGGATGTCTCTTGAAGCAGCAGCACACTCGATTTATCAGCTCGGTCTAAAGTGCGTCCATCACACCTGCTATCCGACGAAACGCCCTAACTTACCACCACGCCCTTAAACCCACCTTCTGTGCGGTAGCTGTTCTTTACTTGTTGATGGTGATGATGATGAAGCTATCCTGTGCTTGCTGACTAATTGCACAATGGCACATGCGTCAATCCTGCTGCTGCTGGGCTTCCTTCCTGTTGGACGGGAACTTGGAAACATGCAAGGTGGGACGCGGCACCTCTGGCCGGAGTGGGCCCCCCCGAGTGGCGTCATTCCGACTAGGTTGTCCCCTCGTCTTCCCCGTGGCGCCGAATCGGCAGCCGCCTAACCGACCCTTCCATCCTTCCCCTCCTCTCGGCCCTCGCTTAGTTGGGCACCGAGTTTCTGTTTGATGAAGCGCAGCGCCTTTTCTTTCTCGATGCCCTCCACAAAGACTAGCTTACCCGGAAGGTGGGTTATAACTTTTTGAAATGTCACTATAGACTAGGACATGCAACCAAGTTTGACGCCTCATGTTGCATCCGAATGCTTCTGTATGCAGATAAAACCAACTTCCCTTACTCATGTCACCCTCCAATCCATGAGCAATAGTCATAGGCTTGAGAGCTCCATAGGAATGGCCTCAGTTCGGACGTGTCATACAATCATCACTTGACACATTCACAAGACTACCGCAACGCTCCAAGACCATATGATTGAACCTTGCAATTTCATATATTTATGAACATACTACATTAGACCATGGCCCGTTAAGGGGCTCTTTGAGTCTATCCGTTCAGGACCCATCCCTGAAAGCGGTATCTGTTGAATTCCTTACTTTTCCCTTGAGTCCCAAACCCGCTTGCAAAACGCCGTGGAGATGTGTTGAAAAAAGAACGCCCATGTTGAATTTGCCCGTAACCTTCCCCTGTTTTTCCGGTCATCCCCGCGGGTATTGCCACGTCATTGTCTGTTGAAAAGACTTATCGTTCCCACCCAACACCTAAATCACACTCATGTACACCGCATCAACTGCCCAAACTTAGTTGGAGTACTTCTGGCGGAAGTACTTGGCAGCGTTGACCAAGTTGACCAGAGCGGCCTTGGTCTCAGCCCACTGGCGGGTCTTCAGACCGCAATCGGGGTTGATCCAGAGCTGCTCAGGGCGAAGACCGTTGTTAAGCATCTCCTCGATGCGGGTCTTGATCTCCTCCTCTGAGGGAACACGAGGGGAGTGGATGTCGTAGACACCAGGTCCGATGTGACGGGGGTAGGCCTTGTCCTCGAAGACACGGAGGAGCTTGGCGTCAGACTTGCTGTTCTCGATGGACAGAACATCAGCGTCCAGCGCAGCAATGGCGTGGAAGAAGTCCTGGAACTCGGAGTAGCAGAAGTGAGAGTGGATCTGGGTAGAGTCCTCGACACCGGCAGTCGACAGCTTGAAGGAGTCAACAGCCCACTTGAGGTAAGCCTCGCGCTCGGATCCGGTGCGGAGAGGGAGACCCTCACGGAGGGCGGGCTCATCAACCTGGATGACGTAGATGCCGGCGGCCTCGAGGTCGACGACCTCGTCGCGGAGGGCCAGAGCGAGCTGCTGGGCCTGGACGGACTGGTGGACGTCGTCACGGGGGAAGGACCAGCGCAAGCAGGTGATGGGGCCAGTAAGCATGCCCTTCATGGGGCGAGCAGAGTTGGCAGCGGCGTACTTCGACTCCTTGACGGTCATGGGCTCGTTGTTGCGGCGAGAGATGTCACCGACAACGATGGGGGGACGAACGCAGCGAGAGCCGTAAGACTGAACCCAGGCGTGGGTGGTGAAGACGTAACCGTCCATGCGCTCACCGAAGTACTGAACCATGTCGTTACGCTCGGGCTCACCGTGGACGAGGACGTCCAAGTCAAGCTCGTTCTGGATCTTGATGGTCTCCTCAATCTCCTTCTCGATGAACTTCTCGTACTCCTGGGCAGTGATCTCGCCCTTGGTGAACTTGTTGCGCTGGATGCGGATCTCCTTGGTCTGAGGGAAGGAGCCGATGGTGGTAGTGGGGAAGAGGGGAAGCTTCAGGTGCTTGCGCTGAGCCTCAATACGGGTAGGGAAACCAGACTTGCGGTTGTGCATGGCCTCAGTGACCTCAGACTGGCGCTTCTTGACGTTGGGGTCGTTGGTGCGGGCAGAGGTGGCGCGGGACTGGATATCCTTGGCGTTCTCATCGAGCTTGGCCTGGACAGAGGCAGCATCGGTGATGGCCTTGGCAATGGTGGCAACCTCAGAGGCCTTCTCGGAGGCGAAGGAGAACCAGCGGTACACCTCCTCGGGGAGCTTCTTCTCAGAGGCGAGAGTGTGGGGAGTGTGGAGAAGGGAGCTGGAGGTGGAGACAATGACACGCTCCTCACCAACCTTTGCGATGGCCTGCTTGACGGCGTCAATGGCACGCTGGAAGTTGGTCTTCCAGATGTTACGGCCGTCAACGACACCGGCAGAGAAGACCTGCTTGGGGCCGAGCTTCTCGAGGACGGGGCCAAGCTGCTCAGGGTTGCGGACAAGGTCGACGTGGAGACCGTAGACGTTGCTGAGGGCTGGGAGAACATCGAAGTTGTGGACGATGTCACCGAAGTAGGTGGCCAGGACAAGGTTGGGGAGGCCAGCACCAACGAGCTGCTCGTAGGCGGGCTTGAAGGCATCCTTGGACTTCTGGGGAAGGTCGTAGACCAGGATGGGCTCGTCAATCTGGACGGTCTCGGCACCGGCAGCCTTCAGCTGCTTCAGGAGCTCAACGTAGACGGGGACGAGCTTGTCGAGGAGGGAGATGGGGTCAACGGACTGGCCACGGTCGGGCTTGCCGAGGTGAAGGAAGGAGACGGGACCCAGGAGGACGGGGCGGGTGATGATGCCGGCCTCCTTGGCCTCGTTGAACTCGCGGACGGGCTTGGGATCGGACGCGAGCTTGAAGGTCTGGCCATCCTGGAGGGTAGGCTTGACGTAGTGGTAGTTGGAGTCAAACCACTTGACCATTTCCTGTTGATGTAGTCATTAACACACATGGCCCAAGCTTTTTTTTGTTGGTTTTTGCCAACTGCTCAAATGTTTGGGCGGGGGCGGGGCGGGGCTTACCAGAGAGGGGACGTCGATGCCGTCCTTCTGGTGGCCACGGCCCATGGCGAAGTACTCGTCAATGGGCTCGAGCTTGGTCTCGACATAACGGGGAGGGACGGCCTGATTATTTCGTTAGCTTGTGATTCTAGGTGGTATGATCATAGACGGAGGGGAGGAAGTGAGTAACATACGTTGAAGAGCTGGATGTGGTCGAGAACGTGATCGTAGTGAGCAAAGTCGTTGCTGGGGATGATGTCGACACCGGCATCCTTCTGGATCTTCCAGTGAGCGAGACGAAGTCTCTTGCCCTCAGCGAGAAGCTCATCGCGGGAGAGCTTGCCGGCCCAGTAGGCCTCATTGGCCTTCTTGAGGTCACGGTTCACACCCATGCGGGGGAAACCAAGGACCGATGACTGAACCATCTTGAACGCTGTTGCTTGTCTCTGCAAAGTATTCAAAGGTGACAGAAAAGCGTGATGTGTAAAATTACCTCGCCGACAAGAAGCAAGGTAAGGGGAAAAGAATTTGGAAGGCAGGTCGGTTGAAGAGGAGAGGTAGGGAGAGAGGAAAGAGGGATGAAACAAACAGGAAGAAGGCGGAGGAGGGGTTACTACAAGTAGTCGGACGGATAGGCGAGGAGGGCGAGGGGGAAAAAAAAAAAACTAAAAAAAACTCTAACAGGTGGCCAAGTTGGTCGGTGAGGTGAATTGGGCAATTGCGTGCGAAGGGACAACGGCGGATGAGGAGGGGAGCAACAGGACAGTGAAGGAAGGAAGCTCAGTGGCTGGGGTGACGGGTCCCGGGTCCAGTCAATTGAGAGCGAAGTCGGCTTCCTGTACCTTCTGTTTCCCTTTGGAATTTCCCTTTCCCACCATAGATACGGAGACCTTACGGAGACATACGCTCGCCATCCGGCTACGATCAGCCATTGACCCGGTGATATTGTCTTAATTTTTGGCTTTAAATTTTCTGCCTCTGCCTCTGCCTCTCCCTCGCTCTTCCTCCCTCCTGCTGCTCCTCCTCCTACTAACGTAACCCTCCATTGCGTGTGCCTTCATTGCATGTGCTTGATGCGTGCCCAGGGGAAAAAAATGAGGCGAGAATTCTTTTCCTCCCATGGTCCCTTAGCGTCAAGGTGGGGTAGTTTTGGAAGGGAAGGAGGGGTTGTCGCAGATTGCCCTTGAGATACGGCCCTCTGACACGCCTTGGGAATGCGGCGTGGCGTCAAGCAGGACACTCGATTGGGGACTTGTCTCTCGACGCATCCACCCAGGCAAGAAACATTTCTGGGCTGTCGATGGCGGGGTATGACAATGCCACTACCATGAGCTATCAGTAGCTACCTAAGCTGCACAACTGGGAGCCCCCCGGCGGCAGCCCGCAAACCATCCGTTGTTTTCCATGCTGTTCATACCCCTCGGTTCCACAGCTGATAGGCAACACACACAGTAAGACTAAGCTCGTGTTGTCACCGTCGCTCTGCGTCTACTGATTGTTCTATTCTACCTTCCGTGTTGCCAGCTTACGTGCCGTGCCTCTTCGCTTGTTCCCCCATTGCGTCGGTGTGCCTGAGGATAATGGCCCGACTGGCCGAGAAGCTGAGGCTACTGACTGTACGTGCCTCTTGACGCATGAGGCGACAACTCAGGCACTGCCCAGGCGCCTTAGGGCAGGACAAGTTGAGTTGTCTATGTATCCATCCACGCATGACAAGTTTTTTTTTCTAAAAAAAAAAAAAAAAAAAAAGGTGAGAAAGGCAACGCAAAGCCAAACAAGAGAAGGGAACTTGCGAGCAAAGGGAACTCACGAAGGAGGGGCAGGCGTTTCCCTATTGGCTGGAACCCACCTGAGCGCGGCAGGAACGCAGGGGACCTGCCTCGATATGGAAGGGCGGTGTGGGAAGTAGGGGAATGCACCTCAGTTTGCGTGCCTGCCACGCCTGCTCTGTACTAGGTAGGCACGTATAGAAAATAGTGCCTGAGGGAATGTTCGTTTTCTCACCTCTTACCTCTGCGCCTTGGGCTTATCGTGCTCGATGCTGCCCGTGGCTCGTGCGCGCCCGACCGATATTTTGCCTCAGGTACTAAACCACTCGAGCTTGCTCGGCCCCTCTTCGACCGCTAGCGCCTCTTTTCATTCGCTCACCCGTCACCTTACAGGGGAGCTGCCGCACCTTTGTCCTTTCCCCTTGCTTGAAGCTGCTTGTTGGAGACCTGGTGGGGTGGCCTTACTCGAGCGTGTCGAGCTCTGCGCGCTTCAGGAACCTCCACCTCGGATTCCATAGACGTCCTCACCGTTGTCGACAAACCCTCCCGAGTCTCGCGGCTTCACTAGCTGCGTTGAGTTGTCAACTGGTCTTGCTTCGTTGAGAAAATAATGCATGTCGCATTCCTGAGTTGTCTGCTTTCGTCAGCCAATGTCTCACTCTCACGCGTCAAACGTCTCCCTCGATTGGACGAGCCTTTCCTCCTTCAACTGAGGTTATGACGGCAATTGCAGGTCAACGTCGAGACCGCCATCTCGAAGTCGCTCCAGCCCTCACATTGTTTCTTTTTTCTCGACAACGGTAGCCAATGACAGTCCGTCCGCCACTCGTCACCGCTCAACGGTCTCCCTTGACAAGTACACTAAGATGGACTATACCAATCTGGACCAGCGCGTGTCGCTCGATTGATCGTCGTGGAAGCAGTTGAAGCTCTCGACATCAACTCTTCCAAGATCATCAACAATGCCCCTCCTCTACTACTGGCAGCAGAGCGGCCTGGGGCAACCACACGGGCAATGGCGTGATCGGCGGCAAGAAGATCCAAGATCCAGGATCCAGTCAGTCTGGGTGACCGGGCCTGCCTATGTGCCTCCGGAGTCTGGAGGTATGGATCACGCAGAAAAATCCGCGCAAACCGTTCCCAAGGACAACCCTGGCTCCCGGTTCTTCCTCTTGTTACGGGTCGGGGTCTCGTTCTCGAATCTCAACCCCCTTACCGTCAACCCCACCTCTCCATACCCGTACATCGGAGCCAGCACCCACCGACATTGCAGGTTGAGAAAGACCGCACTTTTCAATGGGCACCGCCTCCAACGCTGCCGCCCGGCCCGGCCGCAAGATGCCCTGTGCTCAACCTGGCAAGCCTCCTTAGCCCCCTTACCAAGGGCTCAAGGAGACTTTTAGACTCTTTTTCGCGGGTTCACTAGCGTCGAATGCGGTCGAGACCCAGTTTCAAGTCTCTGTCTCTGCACCTCGTATTATACGGGCCTTCTCTTTTTCCAGAACCTCTTCGAGACTCCCAACTCCACGACTGAAACCGAATGTCCCATGGTAGCGATATAGGAGCCCGGGCCTTAACATCCCGTCTTACTCTTGAATGAGCAGCAGGATTTTCCCTCCCGCGTTGCACTGCCTCGACGATCCAAGCAGCATCGGACGGATGCTTGGGATGCGACAGCACGGCGGCGCAGTCGTCGTCGAGCTTGAAATGCAGTCAATGCCAGCTACGAGAGCTAGTGGTTTCGAGCATTGAAGTGTCCACCTTCGTACTGAAGCTGGCTAGCGATGCTCTCAGCCATGATCACTAGCCGACTTCAACAGGGTCAAGCAATCACGATGAATCTGCCAAACACGAGTTTTCCCCGCGCTATAGTCCGGGATAGTGGATGACACCGAAACATGATCCTTCTTGCGGGCTTGCCTGGCTTGTTTACTGGCCACAACTGACAAGGAAGCGACGATTCAAGATGCCTCATGTTGTCGTCGTTCGACACACCCGTCCCAGGGAATCAGTTGAAGTATTGTGTTGTGTCTGCATGTATGAAAAATATGAGAAAAAAAAGGCAAACGCCACCAAAAATAGGAGGTCCAGAAACCGTGTTTGTGCCGTCTGAGGGTTGAATTATAGACTACGGAGCATCTTGGCCTACCAAAAAAAAAACGCTAAAAAAAACTCGCTAAATCATCGATAGCTTCAAGCCAGGAGTAGCAGGAGATCGCCTGCACAGACGAGACAGTTCTTGACAGGGCTCGGCGGGAACGTCAAGGACTGCATCCAAGCACTGGACCCCGGTCCTATATCAGCCGCGGCCCAAATGCCCCAAGCTTCCGCTACAGCCGTGTCCCACGATAACACAGCCACGAACCCTGTCGCCTGAACCAGTCGAGGGAGTACTTTGCGTGGCACGACTCCCACACCACTGCACTCAGTGTGTTTGACAATGACGTTTGAAACCAACCCCCCCTACCGTCCCAAGCAGCATCATCTCGTCTTTGGCGTGAATCGCTGCCCCATATCAGCTTTCTGCTAAGCTGAAGATGCTGCAAGAGTCCCAGCAACTCCCGACAAGCCCCAGCAAAGCCCCGGCTACGCACCAAGCCAGCCACACCCATATACCCTCCTTTCTGAAACGGGCTTAACACCGATTGTCACGTATAAGCTTATTCATACACTGCGCTTGGTAGACGACACAGGGGCTTTGGTGTTAGGGAAGCTCGTGTGTGACCATGTAGTTCCCTATGCCTGCGGCGGCTCTACCCTGCCAAAGTTGCATCCAGATTCGGAGCAATTGATAATGAAGAGCGTCCTCGGATCCATCTTGAACTAGTCCCGGTGTGCTCTCTCTTTTCCTTCTCGAGCTCTCTGGGAGAGTGAAAGCAATAAACGAAGTCCACGACCTTTGATCAGCGTGCTCGGGTTTTTCTGGGTTCCTCAACTTCTTTAGTATTATCATCTGTTTACTTTCTTATCCAGAGCTGGCTCTCATACCAAGTGCTGAGAACCACTATAATCACAATGGCACCCATGACTAGACCACAAGGCATCTTTCACAGATCGTCACCGTCCAACGTGTAAGTCTCCTGCAGTATAGCAATGTCTCCAAACACGATCTGACCTTCTCTTTCCCAGATCATCACATGAAGATGATAACCTGGCTCGCGTGTTCGTCGGTCGAGGCGAGAAGATGAAGGAGTTCCGCGTCAATAAACAGAAGCTCAGCAACGCTGCTCCCTTCTTCGAAGACCGGCTGGATGCTACACCAGCCGGCGTCAAGGTGACGCCCAACCAGACCCCAGTGCCGGTGTGGTTGCCGCAACAAAAATCGACCATCCGCCTACCAAACGAGTCTGCCTCCATGTTCGAGCTCTTCGTAGTATGGCTACACCAAGGGGACAGCTTCCGCAGGCACCTCGATGAGATGATTACTCTTGTCAGTGATGCGCCTGGCGTCCCCTGCCAACGACTTCACTGGGCTCTGGTCCGCCTCCACATTTTTGCTGCCCGGCTCGACCTCCACCACCTGCAAGACCTTGCGATTGATGCCTTGCAAGACATTTACCTCCGCTGCGACTGGGACGTTACTCCTCGGTTCGTTGAGTACGTGTACGGCCAATGCGATGCCGAGTCTGCGATGCGGATTCGGCGGTGGACCGTGGCGATGGTGGCCTGGTCCGGTGCGGGAGGCTCATCGTCAACCGTAAAGGACGATGGCGGGCTTGAGAGGTTTCAGGACATGTTTGAACGCTTCCCCGATTTTGCTACCGAATTCACCTCGCACCTCTGCAAGATGAAGTCGAGCAAGCTGGACACCCGTATCAAGAATCCTCAACTACGAATCCCGGCAAACAAGCTCCGTAATGAAGAGCGCCAGTTCGGTTTCCGGCAATGCTCGTTCCACAGCCACCGGGCCGCCGTTGGCGAGCGTAGGTGTCCCCACACTACCGCCAGCAGGGAGCTGGATAACTTCCTGCTGGTACCGTTGGTAATGGAGGTCGCTCCAGAGCCAAGCCGTGGCCATTCCCGTCGCGACATACCACCACCACCACCACACCTCCGCCGAGAGAGGATGGCTCACACCGCACAGGTGTTCTAAGCGAGCGTGGACGTCGCCAACCTCCACGGGTGGAGGATGCCCGTCTAGTTCGGCGGGAAACCAAACTTGAAAGTGTTACCCAAGCCACATCAAAATCCTAATCCTTTTACTCGTCATCCGAAAATCACTGCTCCCCCCTCTTCACAGGTCCTCGGACTCGGTCCTCCTAGGGATCGGGCACGCGTGAGCCATGAAGACGCCAAAGCCTTCTGTCGGATAGGATGCCTGGCGGAAGGCGACGCGACTGCGTCCTGCGTCGCCAAGCTCAAAGACGAAGCTGCCACTGCCGTCGCACTGGCCGAGGTCTATGGACTGCGTTCCGGGCTTGACCTGGACGGTGCCCAGAAGATTCTGCTTCTGCTGAATGACTTCGTCCCCCTCGTGGCTGGGGACGCGGTACACGCGCATCGTGGTGGCGCCCTCGTGCTGGATCAGCTCCCAGCTCTCCGAGTCCTCGGGCATGGTGAAGAGGAGGCGGCACTCGGTCGATCCTTGCTCTCCCTGAACGCCGCCAAAGGTGACGAGTTGCGCGACTCTGTTCGCCTTGTTTCCTATAAAAGAGAACCGTTTGAGTACATCCATTCATTCATTCAGAATCTCCTTTGTCGAGGGAACTACACAACAGAGGCATACTTGTATGCCACCCCGAAAAGACAAAAAATACTATAAAAAAAAGTCCTACCTGACGCGTCAATATCTTGATTGACGTAGAAGAAGGCGGACGGATCCTCCTGTTCAAAGGGTTGATCTTGCAAAAGCCAGGTCAAGGAGGTCGGGCCATCGACGCGCGCGCAGTCCGTCGCCGTATGTGGTTGCTGCCGGCCAAAAAAGGGCGCTCTACCGAGTGCGGTTCCGGTGAGCGACAGGACGAGCATGGAGACGATGATGCTGGGGCGAGCCATATTTTTTGAAATGTACATGATTCAACTACCCAATAGGGGTATGGATATCCTTGGATTTTTTTTTTTCCAAATAATAGAGACACTAGATGTTTTTGCTGGACCTTTTTTTCGATTCCTATGCTAAGCTGTGACTGTTCCGACGAGCTGATAACAGAAAGTTAAATCGGTGTACGTTGAGGGTTGGATAATACGTGATTTGCGGAGGGATCCAGGTTATCCGTAGAGTGGGATGTGAGTCGAGTACAATCACCGAGCACCAGAGGAACCCAGCCGTCGTCGTATGTTGTATTATTGAAAGGGCACGCACGGTAATCTCTTGGGATGAAGGGGAAAAAAAGGATAATAATAAGACAAGCAATTAGTTCAGAAGTGAGGACGAGGGAAGAAAGGGTGGTGGTGGTGCGGTCTGACACGATATTATACTCTGACGGTCTTCCGGTGTGAGGTACCCAAACCAAAAGTCAGAACACAAAAGTAAAAGTTGGGGTTCGGTACATGTAGGCAGCCGAGCGTTTGGTGGTGTCGGTGGTGGAGGTGTGTTACAGGGGTGGGAAGTGGAAAAGGGAAGCTTTTTCTGCTGCCAAAAAGCTTGGTCTCGTTTCCTCTCTCTCTATCTCTCTGCTGGTCCGTGGTCATGGTCATCAGACCAGGCATTCGTTCTAGCGAGTAAACGTCCTCCTCCTCTGCCGGGAGGGACTTGTGACACCCGGGTTGACGCCGCTTTGGCTTTTTTGGTTTGCGTTTGTGCTTTCCCCCCCCCCGCTGTCGCCGCCGCGGCGCTGCCGAGCTTGGGCTGACTGACTGACTGGATTTTGACTCTCGATTGTGTTTCTGTATCTGTATCTTGTCTCTGTCCCTCTCTTTTCTCTGTGTCCCGTCTATTCGTACAGAATGCTCTGTGCTGGTTCCCGTAAATGTCCGCCCTCCTTTCTCCCCCTCCTCCCAACTCAGGTCTATCAGTCCGTCATTGCTCCCTTGCAGTCCCTCCTTTAGCTCTTTTCCCCCCTCCCTTACCCCCCCCTCTTTCCTTCTTTTCTTTCTCTCTTTAGATATGTACGGGATAATGGTTGCTGAACCGTTCCCGGAACCTGTTAAATTCCCCTTGCCTAAGTAGGAAAGAAACGAATGAGGCGTTTGGATCGAGTGCCAAGAGGGGGGGCCGAAGGCAAGGGGACAAGTGACATTGGATTTTGGTACGTGTTAGGTCGGATGAGGGGTGGGGGGCGGAGATGGAAGAGAGGACCGGGGGGAACCGGGGGCGCCGTACCCAGCTTCTAGGTAGGCAGGCAGCCAATTTTGTTTTTAAGGTGTAATCCGTACTGTAACTTGTAAGGCAGACCTTGTATTAGGTGCCAGTACTCTGTAGTAGAGCAAAGTTTCTGGGTCCTTTTTTTTTCTGCTTTCTGCCGTTTATAGTTTTTGTTCTTGTTTTCCTATTCGGGACAAGGTTTGTATCTCTCGATTGGGTCACGGAGTTATGAAGGTATCAGGTTGTAAAAGTTACTGCAGCTGTTCATTTTGGTTTGATTTTGGTTTTACACTTGTGGGACTTGGCTTGTCTTGAAGAGACATTGGACGGGGGCCGACGTTGGTTCGAACCTGATATTGGCGTTGCACCGGGGGAGTCTAGTGTTGGACGGATGCGGAGGTGCTTTTTTTTTTTTTTTTTTTTTTGTTTATGTTTTTTTTTTGTTTATTTTGGTTTTGGTGTCGTTGATTTTGGTTTGTTGGTTTGTTTGTGTGTTTTTTTTTTTTTTTTTTTTTTTTTTTTTTTTTTTTTTTTTTTTTTTTTTCATCTTATGTTGCGTTATATCGCAGGGCAAGGGATGACAAAAGCCAGGCAGACTGACAATCACAGAGGAAAAGAAGGAGGAATGAGGAATGGGGGGAGAGACTCAGCCCTGGAGCCTAACGTCCTTTGCGCAGCGCCGCCTCTCTTGTGGTACCTACACCCCAGCTTTCGACCGCGTGCAGACAAGGGGAGCCTCAATTGAATTACGTTGCTGAATTAGGATAGTTTCGTGGGTATCGTTTCTTTGGGAGGGGGTCTTGGCTCGGCGGATCGATACCGTCCGTCCATGATGGATTCTCCGTCTTGTTTCCTTCGGGACGGACACTGGACCGGGGGGGGAATGGGACTTGGTCACGCTTGGAAGCGCGGAACAGCTGGAACTCTCACACGCGCGAGAGCACGCAACTACCCGAGTTGAAGATGAATGGAACCCTTTCTCTCTTCTCTCCCTCCTCCCTTCCGAAACCCCTTCCTCCGACTTCTTGGGTTCGGATACTTGGCCAAGCAGCAGCAAGCAAGCACGACACTTTGACGGCGAAGAGCCAAATCGACGCAGACGATCGGTCCGTGAGTTACCCCTGCCTGCGCCTGCACACACATGGTCCTCCGTCCGAATGGGGCTACGACAGTCCACGTTGGGAACTCTCCATTGACAGTGTTCTGTCATGCCTGCATGGTTCTGCGCTTACTTGCGAAATTTGGCCGGTTTTACGGACGGCATCCGTAGTTCAACTTCCAAGCCAAAGCAAGCCCTCCCCCCAGCCGATCTTCTACTTGGCTGAAAAAAAGTCTAAGCCAAAAGATGAGATTTCCCCAACTTTAAGAGGCAACCTTTGGTAGGGGGGAAATGAGCTTTCGGCTGCCCTATGGGGCTAGAAGGGTAATTCCCTACCGATATTCGTATGGTCGATACAGGTACAGCGCGATCATCTTTCCTCTTCACTTCCTTAGCCCTTTTGATTGCGCGGGATGGCGGATTTTTCATGCCAGGCAGGGAATCAAAGTTAAAATAGCACAGAGATCATTTTATTTTCGTATTCCCTGGCCCCAGGTCCCGAACTCCCAATTATGTGATGCCCCTGGTCTGAATGCGGTTCCGGTCACGTCAAGGTTCCAAACTGAAGGTTGGCCTGCTCATCGTCAGATTTGGGGTGAAGACTGTTTGGTCCGTTACAGGTTGCTGAGGCAAGATATCTGTAGTAGTTTTTTAGTAGTTTTTTTTTTTTTGTTTTCTTTAACCCTTTGACCGGCTTACCTCGGACTACACACTGCACACACCCCCGAGGGAGCGTTATGCCAGAGTAACTTCCCAATTAGCTCCGTTAGCCTAACCTCTCTTAAAGCGCAACTTGAATTTACCAATGTGGCCTCGGATGATACAAGTCTTTGGGATTGAAAGGGGGAAAATAGGACTGACAATGAGACCAAATGCGTGATCAACCCCAATTCGGAACATTCATGACATCTTCTGCGCCCGACTGCAGCGTCAGCCGCGACTTTTGCCAGGCCAAGGGAGAGTGAAAGACAAGAGAGGATCGGGGAAAAAAAAAAAAGAGACAAGCCCATTGTTGCCGATACGGACACACGCATTCTTACCGAGTCCCCCCGCCCGTACGTCCGTCCGTCTCCCGCTCCCCCCTCCCTCTTCGTCCACGACCGTCAGCAGCACCAAAGCCGGGCGTTCCCACTGGCCAAGATTTTTGCTGAGCCTCTCCGGTGGCATCCGGGGAGGGGCGTGGAGCAAAAGGAGTTAAGTTGAAAGTGATTCGGAGAGACACGGCGCAGCAATTTTTTGAGAAGATTTGATGGGATATTGTAACGCTGGCACCGAGCAAGAGACGAGCATGGAATCCCCAAACCCAGTGTGTGTGGTCCACAAGGATCTTTTGGAATAAGCTATGCAGAGATCTGCCCTGTCAGAATTTAGCAAGGAAAAGAGGAAACCATACCGCTAGCCTCATGTTATGTCATTATTGCACTAAATCGCCCGGAAATCTCGACATCATGCGCTGATCAAAAAAAGGAATTAAAAAAAAATCTGGGGAAGAAAAGAGCCCAACGCAGCTCTACTGTGGTAGGCTCTCCTAGCGTGCTCGCCGACAATCGTCCAAAGACGCAGCAGCAATCTGTACATACCTAGTGTACATTTACAAGTCCCAAGGCTAGACAAGAAACGACCAAGGGACGCACGTATCCAATGGAACCCCCCCAGATACAGGCACACGTGAACCCAGAAAAGAGAGCCATACTCCAAAGAAGCGTTCATCCTCTTCATTTGCACATTGAATGACGAGGATCGAGTCCGTCGCCGGTGCGTCGAGGGGTTAGCGTAAGACGGACGTTTCTTCTTGTCCCCCTCTCCGGCCTGGCGGACCTGTCGGCCTCGAAGCTTCAACTACGCCCCAAAAAAACCCTCTCTATGCTCGACGCCATTTCTTGTGTAGACATTTGCTAGACAAGTTCGAACGCGCGGGCGCGGGGTGGAGAGAGAGGGAGGGGGGCAGAGAGATGGAAGCCAAAAACGTGGTACTCTGGGCGCGGGCCTCGACTGTCGGACACCCGTGGCACCGTTCGCGTGGCCCCCCCGGATTGTTCGGGTCCCGGTGCGTGATGTAGCGTCTGCACATGTCTAGTGTGAACGTGTAAACGACCGACCTCTGCCATAGCAATCTGCATCCTTGACCTGCCAAGAGAGACAGACTTGCGACAAATTGGACGTCAGGCTGGAGGAATACATCACAGCGTCCTCAATACGCCTCCCTGAGCGTACTATACCGGTTTCCCTTCTTGTGTAAAATGAAACAAAAGGCGTATTGAAACCCAACGAGACGAGGGTGAGGAATTGGAGGCAGCCCGAACACGTGGGGGATGAATGGATGGATGGATGGGACGGCCCTTTAAAACTCTATCGACATTCCAACGACATTCCCACCGAAGAGAGGGGGGGGCCGCTACTTTCAAATGCGAAAGCGAAGATGATGTGATGGGAAAACCCAGGCATCCCGCAAGGCGTAGGTAGTCTCGAGAACCGGCAACCCGGCCCCCCTCGAGAGTTCTGAAAGTGCGCCGGAGATCCGAGGTCAACTATTTCCCTGGCATTCCCCGGGACATCGGAAACTGGAAGCCGAGGTCGCAAGCCCAAAGAAAAGAGAGAGAGAGAGAGAGAGAGAGAGAGAGAAAGAGAGAGAGAGATCCCTCAGCGAGCTCTTATGCACCATGAACCAACTATCCAGCGCCCTTTGCCACGATGCGAATCGAAATCGGAATCCTTGCCCACTCGGCCGAAACGCGGTCAAGACTCTCTCCCTAACAAACGTCCAAGGTCTCCATGCTGGATTCCCAATGGCAAATGATGTCCCATCACCCCCACCCCCAAACCCCCTTGAGGGGGAGCCTTGAGGGGGGCCGCCCCTTTGGTCAAATCACCGTTTCCTGACCCGCATTCCAACTCACCAAAAAACCGACATCGAATTCCACAAACACACACACACAACCACTGCTTCCCATCGAAAACCTCACCCTTTGTCTCTCTCACGATACCCTCGGATGTCCGCTCCCCCGCCGCCCCTTTGAAAACAAGAAACCCATCGTGCCTCCTTATCCCCGAGCGCAGCGCCCGCCAGTTCCTTTACACGCATCCCCCCCCCCGACATGCCTTCTCCGCCCGGACACGAAGGCCCACCCAGATCTCGGCTGGATTACTTCGGCCCCGAAAGCAGTTCCTCTCTTGGCCTTCCAAGACTTGGCAAACACCTCCTCCAACTCTCTCATTCATTCATCATTCATCACACTGACACAGTAACATGCTGGCAACCCTCCCAAACGAAGCCAAAGCACATGTCCGTTTGATTCTTCCTCCTCCTATCCGTATATTGGTCTTGAATTCCTTCCCTTTCTCTCTAATGACAGGACAGAGGCCAGAATATCCCCATCTCTCCCTTCTACAAACGAATCACGAGACATTCAAACATTGTCGTAGAATTCCTTGCCCTGGCCCTTCGTTTCCGTGAATGACCCCTCCCCTCCCCCTCTTTTTAATGAGAATTATCTAGGGTGCCAGGCTCGAAGATCCCACCCGGCTGCTTGCGGTCACGCAAAGAGGCGTGTTCCGTCTCGCGTAGCGTCAGCTCATCACTTCACCAGCGCCTTGGCTCGGGGGTGACATGTCAAGCCTCTCCTACCGTGCACCGGTTCCCCTCCGACCGGAAACGTCACCGTAGCAGGGCGCGGCTGCTGGTCATTCGAGCTCATCAGTGGAAGACACATCGAATCAAGGCAATGATTGTGAGAACTTGCATTACCTGACGTCAGAGAGACAATCTTTCGGAATGGAGATAATGCCTCATTTCCATTCGTCTAGAAACGACTGTTCTGTCTTCCTAACCACACCCCCTTTTTTTTTCTGTTCCAATTGAATACCTATTCTTCGAGGAGAGTTTAGAGTTTCTCACTCAACAACGCCCCGGAACCCCATACAAGGTCCAGTCGTTGATACGTACATAGAATATCCGACGTCCTTGTCGAATGTCGTTTCGTCATGTCCATCGTCACTAAGAAGCCGGGCTGCGGAGAACCGACAGCTGTGAATGAAAACATAGGAAATATCGTCCAGATCGCACACCATCTCCAGCAAAGTGGCCAGTATGTGGTCCTCCAAGCCATGAAGGGTATCCTCCCCTCGATATGTGAAGCAAATGTGTTCGCAAGAAGTGAAGTAAGGGAATATCGGAGCCATCATCAAAGCGTGCTGTCGTCTATGTACCAGTCGAGGGGTATGTCCTTGTAGGAGTTTCTCCACAGTGATACCGAGCAGATGACTCGGACTCGCATGGACTCATAAGTCGTGAGAGTAACGGGCGTAGCAACATGTACAAAGAAAAAGATTTCACTAGAAAGGTGATTCAGACCGGCGACGATTGCTGTCCCGTCGTCTAAAGTTGCGAAGGCGTTCGTCAATGTAAGCTAGGCGATCAGCCAGGTTACGAGGAGGAGCTGAGCTGCCGTCCCCGCCGGGTTGTTGTTGGATTGTGGCAAATGGGCGAATAGTGCCGTGCTCAAATCCCTCTGGCTGCGTGAACCGATTCGGGAAGGAAAAGCTAGTCTTCGTCCCAGGAAACGGCGATCCAAGCCTGGGAGGAGATGCGTTGGGTGCAGCCAAGAAGGGATCAGGCAGACCTGCAGGCTGAAGCCGGGGCGCAGGTATCTGCATAGGGGCTGTAAAGAGCCCACTAAGACTTGTGCGAGGTACAAAGAGGTCGTCGTGTGAGTTCCGGTCCGTGGAGCTGAACTCAACCTCAGGCTTGGCCAGTGTCTTGGGTAGACACTCGGAGGGCATTGGCTCAGTCCAGAGGTCGGAGACAAGACTAGGTCGCTTGGTCTTCCGCGGCTCATGTGATGCTTGTCTGGGTCGTCCAACGCGCTTCTGCGTGTTAGATCGACTTCTGGTCAGACGCGCCGGCGACTGCAAGGTGCGCCTGTGACCAAGACTCTGGTTCTGTCTTTGAGGCACTGAGGACACAGCGGCAGCCAGTGCACCAGTCGAGCTGGGCCCGTAACTGTTGGCCATAAAAGGTGTCCCAAGTCGTGGTCGTTCATCGGGTGGGGTATCCAACTTGGAAAAGTCCATGGGAAAGAGAGGGAATGGCTCCGTCATTGTCTCTCGAGCAGGTTCGGGTTCCGATTTTGTAAGTTGCGCCAGAGGACCCTGGGGTTGCATGGCTTCCGAAGTGCTCAGAGTGAGCGACATGGACATGTCGTGAGCTGAGAAGACGGAAGGAGACCGGGCCGGAGTGGATCTTCGGTTCCAGAATCGCGCCGCCGTTCTGCCAAAGGGTGTCGGACTGTTGGCAAGGAACTTGCTCGTGCGGGCCGATGATGAAGCGGCTTTGAGCTTGCAAAGGTCTCTCAGATGGGCTCGGGTAGACGCGCAAGTGTGTGGCCACTGCAGAAAGGTGCAGGTCTCAACGGTAGGAGTACTGCTTCCGCTCTTGGGGTTGAGAGACTTTCTTCCGCCCTTGGGACCCCTCCAGCTTCTTTTCGCTTCCCTCGCGACACGAAGACAAACCCCGTGAGGCGGAACGCCGCTTTTGGCGGTGCGAAACGGCGTAACCTTGGGGTCTTGGAGATAAGTAAGGTAGGTTGCCCAGAGGTGGTCGCTCATCGCCTTTGTCCAAGGGGCCTTTCTCCTCTTTGCCTTTGGCTTGGACGAAGACGAGGGTTCGGCAGGCTCTTCGATAGCATCGAAGAATGAGTTCTTGACGTGATCCGACGCGTCAGTTTCCGGACTGATGCACTGCAAGTCTTCTGATGCGAGAGAGAAGCGACTGAAAAGGGAGGCACTGGTTTGCGTGGACCGTGCGGTTGATGGTCGGCTGGACTCGCATTCCGGGGTAGACTCGCCGCTACTGAAGGCAGAGTCGATGGACCAGTTGGGATACCGTCTAGGGGATAGCGAGGGAGCGGCGCCGGGTGCTGGCGTTTTGGGTGGAGAAAAACGCCTGCCGCGAAGTTTGTGTAAGGCGAGCTCGTCCAGGTCGTTGAGATTGTGAATGACCGGGTACGTCATGCTGGAAAATTGCGTGTCTGCGCCAGCCGACTCGGGCTCTTCGATACTGGGAATCGGAACGTCGGCGGCAGCAACTGACGCGAGGAAGTGCGTCGTCGGAGCGTTCAAGTTGGATGCGACGCGCCTTTTCAGTCTCAATCGCGGACGCGGCGGCGAGGGTGGCTGAAGCTCCTCGTCCACTGCGGAAGGCTCCGGTGTTTTGGGATTTTGCTGATCCGGGTCGTGGAAACGGAAGCCTTTGGGCAGCGTCGCTGCTCCGGAATGTTGAGGATTCATGTTGGCGGACAACAAGAGGTTCCGAGGAATGCCGCGGCCTCTTGAGAATATGCTAGCGGCAGGTGAGCTCCGGGATTTCAAAGCCGCTTGGTGTACGATTCTCCAAGAACAAAGGCGACGTGGTCCTTTCGGTTGTCTCTGTGGTGGCTTATTTGAGACAAGGTGGTATTTGCACGTCCAGATGACTGGAAAAGTAGCGCTTGGGAACGTCCCTGGGCTTCAAACGGCTGCAATTGACCTCAACGGCTGCGGCGCAATATGTGCGCGCGACTTAGCGTGGGACAAAAAAATGCCCCCAACACAGGAAGTCGTGTACTGCTTAATCCAAGCAAATCCTTTGGCTGGTATGATGCGCTCAGTCAGATGCAAATCAGGTATGCGACGGCCTCGCCTGGATTCGAGGATCGTTCGATTCAACACCACTTTCCGTCAATACATTGATCGGATGGAATACAAAAAAAGAAAACGTTGTCTTGGCAATCGTGGAAATGGTCGTCGCCCGAGTCGCTTCGTGTGGTGTAAAAGTCGTGGATAGGTCGTTAGACGTGCGGTAACCGTCGTCGTCGTCGTCGCAATACTGTACGTAGGGAGATTCAAGGAAATGGGTCGTCGAGACGAGCCAGGAGGAACAAGTATTGTCGTCTCTACTAGTGTATGGCTCGTGATTATGGGCTTATCGGGGGGGATCGAAAGCGCGCAAACCCCCACCACCGGAGGACGGCTGGTGTTTGCGAAAAGGAACGACTGTGGTTGAAGAGAAAGGAGGGAGGAAGAAGTTCGGGGCTTGGGCTGAGGCGGGCCGGTGTGGTATGTATGGCAAGGTCCAGCGACGGTGGGCGGGGTGGGGAAGAAAGAGCGGGTGGCGCGAACCTTGCTCGAGGAGCCGGTACGGATACAGGGCGGGAGACCAGATACGAATGGGAAGAGACCTGTGCCTGCGCCTGAGCCTGTGCTCGTGCCTGAGAGTTGCAGTGGAAGGTCGACAGGCCTTGGAACGCCGAAAGTACCTCAGCCGAGTTGAGGTGAACCAAACTTCACACACACTGCTCGCTTGAACCCCCGTGCAGACCTGCAGTCCTGCAGTCCTGCAGTAGCAGTCGGTGCAGCAGCAGAGCGTGGTGGCCGGGGAGGGCGTTGCACAGCGGTTGAGAACTTGGGCGCACGCTAGAATCCCCCACCTAGGCTAAACCCAAGGGAACCTAGTCGAGCCGTCCAAGGCAAGTGACAGTGGAGCGTTTGTGACTGACGGACACGCCAGTAGCGGCTCGAGACAAGTCCAGAAGCTCGCCAGCGCATGTGGCAGAGTGGGGTCTAGGGTGAGCGTAGTCTCTCTTTGCGCCGAGAGACCCTGAAGATGCAATGTGCGGTGAGGTGCGCGATATGGGAAGCGCCTTGTTGGAGGAGGAGGAGACTGATCGTCTGCCCGTATGCCAGTGGGACTGGGTCCGCATGAAGTCGTGGCTTGTCGCAAGCCCAAGACTGATCTGCCTCTTCTTCACAAGGATCCCTGGAGAGGGCCTTTGAGTGAACTGGGCAGCGGCGTGTGGGATGGGGTCTGGCGATTGCAGTAGTCGTATGTACTCCGGATACACGGTGTTATTTGGTGTAGCCAGTCGATGGACACGACAGGAGTGCAGGAGCAGCGAACGACGAGGGCCCAGAGTCCGAAAGGAGCGATGGAGGGAAAGCAAAGCGACGGCTTCGGGCTCCCGTTGGTCGATTAGCTCGTTCGCCGGGTGTAAAGCAAGGTACGCCGCGCGTGAAGTCTGAGAAGCGCGGCGAACTAGAGATTGGGTTGGTCGAGACAAGCAGCCGACGCAGCACCCCGCAGAGCTTGATGACGGAAAACTCAACAACACTAACAAAACCACTGGTCTTTCTTGGGTGTCGGACGGCGCAGAAGATGTAGCAGATGCCGTAAACAAAAAGTTCAAGCCACGACTAGAATGGCGCAGTGGTGGACTGGCTGATGCAACGGACGAGACGACAGTCCACTCAACAAAGCAGACTGGGAGTCCGGATAGACAATGGCAAACGGTACGGATGGAGGGTCGAGACGATCAGGCCGCTCGGTTTGTGGGGCGGTGAGACAAGAAACCAGACGATGCTGCCGGAGCTGGATGTGCTTGCAGCAGTTTCGTGCTCGCTATCTTCTCCTCTGGGTACTAGGGCGTGTTTGCCCTGCGGTGGTTGCTGTTGCGGATGGGTTGGTCTCCTGGCCGCAGCCTGTGCGATGGTCTGCGCTCGGTGGTCTACAAACGGGGCAGGGAAAGGAAGGAGGCTGGTTTCTGCGTCTGCAGCCAGCAGGCTTAATTAATGTGTGCCGAAAGTCTCGTTCTTGGGACGAACAGAGCCTCGAACTGCAGTGGTTGAGCGTTAAGCAAGCCACAAAGTGGATAGTGGGCGGTGGGGATGGTTGAAGATGAAGACTTGGATAATGGGAAATGAACGAGACACCGTCTCCAAGAGAGTGCGTGCGATGTCGACTCGAGAGTGGCACCGATGACGGAGCGGAATAGAAGATGTGACAAGACGTGACGAAAGTCGGATAAGCGAGCAAACAGCCAACCTGTACGGTTGTTGACGAAGGCGATGGTCTAGGCGGACTGTCTAGTTGAGCAGGTGAGCACGAGGTGAAGCGTTGGATGCGCCCGGTGCCCGGTGAAAGCCAAGGTGAGTATGACGGGCGGGAAGCGACTCATTGGCATCACAAATTGTGGGTGGTGACGTCTGTCCAACTCAAGGTATCCGTACTCTGTACAGGGTAAGAGAGCAGCGGGAGGCGCATCAGCGGGGGGGTGAGGAGCGTTCCAAGAAAAAAGAGACGACGGATGAAACTGATTTGAGTGCGATCCGTGCGGGAGCGGTAGGAACTGAGGTGGGAGGAAGAAAAACCCAGACGCCTGATGGGCAATGACCGATGGCCGATGGCCGACGGTGGTCGACGGTGGTCCAGATGCAAATTGGGAAGCGACGCGTGGGAGACGCGGCTAAGCGCGTCTTTTCGCGTTAAGTGGAGAAAATCAGTCGCGAAAGTGGATCAATGCCCTAAGGCACTTTTCTGGCTTCCCATTTCATTGGAAGAAGAGACTCCACCTAGACATCATCAGCTCCCACCCAGGTCCCGGCCGTTCGTGCTCATGGTCGTCCACCACCACCTGGATGGAGAAGGCACCTCCCCGTCTGCCCCCCCGATCGGTCCTTCCTTGCTCCATGGAAATCTGCCAGCTGAAATCGCAGAGTCTGGACCTGCCGCAGCAGGAAGCGCATGAAGATGCGATGCCAGGGCCAACGAGCAGAAAGCGGCTGTGCGGGAGGCGCGGGGAACACGAACAGACCAGAGTTCACAGCCAACTACAGATGCCGCCAACTTTCTACAATGTACACATTGCTACCCATTGACTGAATCAAGAACGCAAGGGTCCGATCTCCAAGTCGTCGGCCCATGTTGCCAGGAACAATTGGCACGCCGGTACTGAAGCTACCAACCCGTATCTATACGTACTTACAGAAAGATACTTTGCTTGACTTCTCATCTGCGTCCAAGCTGTAATACGACGACACGACGACAGGCAGACGAATCCTGGCCGAGACTACCAGCATCTTACAACGGCACGGAAGTGCAAGCGGCTGCTAGGGAACAGGCTCTCTTGTCGAATCCATGTTGGGTAGGGGGTGATCAGTGACGGACGATACGAACGAGTCCCGCGGCTGGCGCGCAACACGCGAATAGTATCACCGTGTGCTGCGTCGCGTTGCCTTGTGTTTTTGTTGTGCTGGGTTGCGCCGCTGTCCTTCTGCCGTCGACTCCTTTCCCCCTGTCGCTCCTCCCGTCCACCACCGCATCGCTTGCAATCGCTACATTGCACAGCTACACTTGGCCCTCAGCCAATCGAAGCTCAGCATGGCTTGTTCGCCGGCTCCGAATGCCTGCTTGGGTCTGCACGACGATGGAGTTGGGATGCGGTGAGTCTGTCTAGGTAAGGTGCCTAGGGGTGTGAAGAGTATATCTCTGGCCTTGTCCAAACCATTGATCCCTCTTATCATACCTATGAGCATTGTCGGCTGCAAGCAAGGCTTCTAGCGCGCCAAAATATCATGGTTTCTGCGAGTCTGCACCCCTCAAAAACCCTGGCCTACCTGCCAATCTCTGGCCGGAGAAATGACACGAGGCCCGCCCCGGGGATCAGCGAGTCTAAGGTACTGCGACGCTCCAGTTGATTGCTTCGGGATCCGCAGAGGTGCATCGTTGTTCTCTCTCTCTCTCGTTCTACGTCTGGGGATACTGGCATTCATCGACATTACATGAACGCTCATGTCCCTCTACCAGCCTCATTCGATTTCGCCGCGGTTCAAAGTCATGGCTTTCATCCGAGTCATGGGTGCACCGCGGTGTGCACAGAAAAAGGTAGGCTAAAGTCGTTCCCGTCCAGACGATCAGACCGTCCGAGTCAAACGAAACGCCTCCCCCCCGGGGAGAAACTAGACAACGGCCTCGGTACAACGTCAAGCCCTTAAAAGTTAAGAGTCACGGACCTTGGCCGCTACCATGACCCAATCACATCACATTCTCCCGAACGCTCTTGGCGCTCTGCGTGGCACCGGTTCGGTTGTCCGCTGCGAGATCCAAGCAGCGTGAACCCAAAGATGCTGTGGTGCGGTGCGGCAAAACCCCCTGGTCTAAGGTAGGCCGACGTCGCCAGTGTTGCGATTGTTCAGCGACGTGATCAGATGGAACCCTCATCAGTGTGAGCTTTGCTACCATTGCACAATGGACTGTGCCTGGGCCCTGACCTGACTATCTGCCATCCGAAATCACGTCTCGAAGCCCGTGATTAAGAAACACGCACGGCTGTATCGCGAGGCCGTCCCAGAGACCCTGAAGGTTAGGCGATGATTTCTCCACATCTTGAGGCATATCGACACTTGGCAACTCCTGGGGTCGACGGCAGCAGATATTCAAGCGTAAAAGCATCTACGCTATATTTTTTCAGCCTCAAACTAGCCAGTCGGCAGCCAGTCGGCGGCCAGTATTTACTTCAGCTCGACTACCTTAGACTTCACTCCCGCCACAGCGAAATAGTGTTCCACGTCGCTCCCTTTAGCGCGCGCCGCACGAGAACCTCGTGAGCTCATTGCCACAACGGGGAAAATGTCGAATGCCTGGATTCCTCGACTGATCGACTTCTTACAAAAGACCACCAAGCTCAAGCAGGGCCAAAAAAAGCCAAGGGTATTGTGAGACCGCTGAAGAACGTCAGCAAGTCAGTAAAGATGGCATCCCAGACTAGCAGCATGTTGGGGGCGCTATCGCCAATCCTATCCCTTTAATAGCTGTCGATCTACGCCATGCCATTCCGGAAACGACTCAGAAACGCCACATTTCTGGCTTTCTGGCTCGTTCAGCCAGGCGCGAAGCTTTCCATTCCACTCGGTTCGCCCTCGAGAGCTGGGTGGCCGTCTTTCTTTGGAGAGAGCCGCCTCTTTCGCCTCCTCATCAGCGAGATGGTTTCCTCAAACCTTCTCCATCACGACAGCAGTTCGAACTGCATCGTTTAGCCCAAGATGCTCGGCTCGACATCCTTATCCCAGCTCATGAAGCTTTTGGGGCCGTTGCTCCTCATTCTCTGGTCGATATGGTACCTGGGAATCTCCCGGCAGCATGTACAGACAATCACCCGCCAATTCCGCAATCAAAGGGAGCTGTTCATCAAAGATTTCCTCGAGCACGAAGTCGACGGACGCTTCGACGGCGCTGCCATCGAGGGCCTATGTGCCAGCAAGAAATGGACAAAAGGGTTGCTAATGAGTTGCGATGCGGCGCCTGGAGGTATCGGTGAAGTTCGAAACGCACACTTGCACTGCATTCGCTTCGCGATCGAGGCAGGAGGTAAAGACATCCCTCAGACAACAGAATGTCGAATGCAGAATTCTATGAGTCTGCTCGTGCTAACCAGCGCCAGCGGAGTTGATCCTACCCGAAATCATCCCTCGCTCGGAAGACGATATCAAATCCATCAACGGACGGCCCGCCGTGCCTCTAGACCACTACTTCGACACAGCCCACCTCAGCCACGTGCTTCGGACGCATTGCCCGCAGATGCGAGTACACGGGTCGATGAACGACCTGTACAACGTTCCTGAAGTCTATGAAGCACTCCAGTTCAGCATCTCGGACACGAACAGCAACTGGGTCAACGGCACCGTCCTAGCCGAGCCGTCCGACTGGAACAAGCAGTTTCACGACTTTATCAACGGAAAGTCGCCCCTCGCAGACAGGGTATACCCCTTCCGTGTCCACCTCAGACACACGCTCTGGACGTGGCCGACGGCGCGGGACAAGGCGCCCGTGGCCTCCTCGTTCGGACGCATGCTCCGCATCCGCCCGGACGCCCGGCGTCTCGCGGCCTCGGCGCTCTTCACCCTCGAGTCCCGGTTCCGCCTCAACCTCGACCCGCGCACGCGGTACCACCCGTCGAGCTTCGTGGGCGTCCACCTGCGCACCGAGGAGGACGTCAACGAGCGGTTCCCAGACTACACGACGCAGGCGGCAAACTACCTGCTCTACCTGTCCGAGTCCGAATCGAACGTTGCGTTCCTGGCCTCGGGTGCCACGGGGACCAACATTACGGCGTTTGTCAACCGCGCCGAGGACTTTAACGTCACGGTCGTCACCAAGACGGACATTCTGGACGACGAGGAGCAGGCGGCACTGGCGGCGCTGACGTGGGATCAGCGCGGGCTGGTGGACTACGAGATTATGCTGCGCGCCGGGATGGTGGCGGGTGTGAGCGCGAGCAGCTTTGCGTGGAACCTGGCGCTGAGGCGGTCGTACGCCTTTGGGCAAGGCCCGATGGGCGTGCCGCTTGAGCCTGGCGCGACGATTTCGTGGAAGGACGAGTATACTACGCTGTACGGGAGGCACGAGAACGCGTACGCCATGAGAGCGACGGTGTGGCCATGAAACTTTTTGATGATTGGGCAGGGAAGTTGAAAAAAAAAATGATAGCTTTTTGGGGGGGAGACCAGGGTTTGCAATAACGCAGCAGCAGCCGCACTATTCTAGACAAAATTGACTAAATGCTTACGCGGTGATGGTGGTGGTCTACGGGCGTTTCTGCCATGTACCCGTCTGTAATGCAAGGGATATCATATCAGTCTCGTGTCAGATGTCGTCTTGTGGTGGTTTGTATGTGCACATGCCTACAATCCCGGGCCAAAAGTCTGTTTACACCATGAGGTTCTACAGCTTGCTCACGCCATCTTTCTTCTTTTATAGCAATGTATCACATAGATATTCCAGCTTCTCATTAATCGTTGAGTCAACAGCTACTTCTGGCGATGATTTTGATACACAATTTATCTTATCCAAGTAACAGCTAATAGTACTGGGTGTTGGAAGCAAACCGGGCCTTGGTGTGGCGGCCCGAATGGTGTACGCAGACTTTTGACCCGGGGTTGGCCGAGCATCTCGATGACCGACCGGGCCGTCCAAAACGTCGACTGTAAACGACGAGTCGCCTCGGGTTGCCCGGTCCGACCCCCTCACTTTGGTGAAATGTTTCGTTTCTTCTTACGTCGATGATTGCATGATGGATGCCGGCTCATCAGTTCGCGTCTGCTTTGGGTGAAGAAGGGATGGAAAGAAGATCAAAAGCTCGCGGCGGCTGGATTAAACTTGTTGACTATCCTTCCGTATTCTGTCCCGCTATTGAAGTCGATCACAAGGGCAAGGTAAACAAACGTTTGTGTAACCATGCTAGAGAAACCAGAGAAAGATTGGTCGCCCGTGCCAATTATTCGCGAGCGATGGAAGCCCGCTACGCTGACCCCTCGTTCGATGTCGTCGTCTCCCTACCTAGCGCGAGCCGTCAATGACTGACAGGGAAAGGCCGTCGACCACGGCTGCTGACCCGCATGAAGCGATGCATCCAACAATTGCAGCAGAGGTGCGTCTCTTGTGTAGCCAATTCGCCCCCCGGTCACGCGACTGCGCGACCCCCCCCCC